TTCTCAAAATCCACAAAACGTAGGAAAATGCACTTTGTATTGTCATTTGAAGAAAATTACCGCGCATATAATACACTAGGTTTTGTTTTGATTTAAGAAACGTTTGCCACCATAATTGAACATATTGAGGTACTTACCGGGGCTCAGCAGTCGCCATAGTCACGTGATTCCCCCCCCCCCCGTGATTTACAAGCAGTAAAGCCTTTTTTGTTTGTAATGCCAGACTTCATCGATGTTGCATCTTTCCTGTTGTTCCTGTTGTTTTGTTTTCAGAAAAATTGACAATAATTGTGCCAATTCAGAAGGTAGATTTTTTTTATAGAAAAATTACTTTAATTTTCCAATCTCAATTAGCAAAAATAAGAGAATTTGTTAAATAAAAGCCCTGTAAAGAATGTTTGGGTTATTTCAAAATTTTGTCTTCCCTTGATTTTAGAGAGCACAGTACAGGAATGTTTAAATCCCAAAAAGGATAAAAACAATTAACAGATTCACAGTTATCCAATATTTTATTAAGCTATAGTCTATATCAAATTTTGCATGCACATGTAAAAGCATCTGGTATAAAGAAACAGTTACCAAGGAAACGAAGACCTTTATTTGAAAAAAACATTCGTAATGTAGACAAAGAACAATATCAGACTTGATAAAGTTAGCAACTAAATTTTTGAATACTCGGGTATTTGAAACCCTTTTAAAGTGGCATGCCTGCAGATTCAAGTAATTTTTTATGAAAATTAAAAAAACAACCTTAATCTGTAAAATTGTTGTCAAATGTACAAATCAAGCTATATATAAGCATGCTTAGGGCACGCACTATTAACAGTAGTTAGGCATGCGGTCAAAATGTGCTTACATTTTTTATAATATCTCATTACATCAAATTACGCTGAAAAAGTCTGTTGCATCTAGCTATAAATCAAGATTAGTCTGAAGTCAGGAATGCATTCATATATTGGCAAATATGGGAGTAAAATAAAACTATCTGAGCGCATAATTCTCTAATATCCAGGGTACATATATCTAAACAAGAGAAATAAATAACAACAATAATAATGATATCATCACAGAACTGGCATAGATAATCTAATGTATACAACCTATCTAAATAAAAATAATGTCAAATTTGACACCAATAAAAGGTAGGCCAAGGGTACAGGAAAATGTCCCAAAATTTCAAAAAAAATCCTCTTATTTATTCTAAAAATATTGTAAAAAGCTAAAAAATATTTGTGGGAAACTGTCAAAATCTGCACATACTCGTACATGTGCTAAATCGGTACATGACTTTAACACATTTAAACATGTAACAATGTTTATAAAATAGTTATAAAAAAGAATTCAATAATGTTAACAATGGTACTAAAAATGGCAAGTACATATAAAAATTGCTATTTATATCATTATCAATATTTACATAATTGTTTTTTACTCCCCAATCAAGTTTACATTTGATTGTTTTAAATAAACCATGTTAAATTTCTGTTTGCGAAAATCAAGACTTTGCCAACTTTATTAACTATTACATGTATTTTGAATTATACTGATAATGACACTGATAGCATTCTGATATTATAAAAAAAGGTTTATAAAATGTTTTTACTTAATTTATAAAAATTAAAAAACAGGGAAGGGATATAAAAAAGTAGGTCAAAAAAAAAAAACCCCTTTAAAAATTTGGGGTTAATCTTTTAAAACACTTTTTGGGCCCCAAGCCACTTTCCGGCTTTAAAAAGGTGTAAAGGGAAAGCCTCCCTGCCCCCTTCATTTTATGTACAATTTTCAAAGGGAAAAAATTTAAAAACAAGTTAAACCCCTGATTTTCCATACTTTAGTTAGTTTGATATCTTCCTTACAAGAACGAATTTTACATCCCTGTCAGGATTTGAACCTACTGAAGAGAAAGATAAGTTCAAGAACCAAATCAAAATACTAATCATGTGAAAAATTGTTGAACATACAAATGCTTAATATTTGACCCTTATATCATATCCTAAATGGCGTCTTTTTAGTATGTCATCCCAAATCAAATGTTTTTATTACTTTAAACCAATAAAATACCATTGTATTAAATGCTGCAGACAATTGTGATCTTGACCCATCCATCTCTAGAATGAGCCCAATGTTTAACTTTTGTCAGTCCCCACACTTCCAGGTCAAAGTGGTGATGTTGTTTTTGTGCCAAAATGGCTTGAATATGTCTAAATGGTAATACGAGAGTATTAAGTGGACATTCAAACAGCTGCCATTGTAGCCAATGCAGCTATGAAAATCCGAAAGTCAAAATACGGGTTATTTTCTTAGTGAGGAGGGACCAGACCACAGTTACAATTATCTAGTGCATAATAAATAACAGAAAATTAAAACTACACATATTTCCATGGCAAAAATCCATCAAATTGTTTTTGAATCTCGATTCTACATAAAATATTTGTGTATTCCAAACAAATTGTTCATTAAAAGTAATGATTATATGAATGATATGTGTATTAATATTCACACTGGCAGTGAAAATTATTCTTAATAATGACAAATAGCAACAATATCACTCCCATGTTATTATAAGTCTTCACTTCTTAAGTCTTGAAAATGCTATATTGTTACCTTCCACAAACAGCCCTTTTGATATATGGCATGAACATTTTGTTTTAAATTATACGAACTATTTTCGGTTCCAGCACGGAAAAAAGCTAACTTATGCCACAAGAATAGGATCTGGTAAGACTGCACAAAAGAGCTGTGTACTGCATTATGATTTCAAAACCACAACTATTATAAACAAGAGGGCCATGATGGCCCTAGATCGCTCACCTGAATTATCAAACTCATCTAAACAATTACCTAGACAAGCATTCTGACCAAGTCTCATGACAGGTGAGTCAAAAATGTGACCACTACAGTGTTAACAAGGATTATCCATATTTGAGCAGTGCGACCTAGTTTTTTACCCAGGTGACACATATTCAAACTTGACCTAGAAATCATCAAAACAAACTTTCAGACCAATTTCCAGGATACTTGGATCAAAACAGTAGCAACTAGAGTGTTAACAAGATTTTTCTATTTTTAGCTCCGGTGACCTAGTTTCACATGCGATTTCGAACTCATCCAAGCAATTACCTAGACAAACATCCTGACCAAGTTTGATGATAATTGAGTCGAAAATGTGACCACTAGAATGTTAACAAGGTTTTTCCATATTTGGGCGGTGTGACCTAGTTTTTCATCCAAGATGACCCATGTTAGAACTTGACTTAGAAATCATCAAAACAAACTTTCAGACCAATTAACAGAATATTTGGATCACAACAGTAGCCACTAGAGTGTTAACAAGATTTTTTCTATTTTTTAGCTCCTGTGACCTAGTTTTTCATCCGAAATGTCCCATGTTCGATTTATTCCCAGCAATGACCTAGACAAGTTTCCTGACCAAGTTTGATGACAATTGAGTCAAAATTGTGACCACTAGAGTGTTAACAAGGTTTTTCTATTTTTAGCTCCTGTGACCTAGTTTTTTCATCTGAGATGACCCATGTTCGAACTCATCCGAGCTATCACCTAGACAAGCATCTTGATCAAGTTTGATGATGATTGATGCAAAATGTGACCGCTAAAGTGTTAACAAGGTTTTTCTATTTTTAGCTCTGGTGACCTACTTTTTCATCCGAGATGACCCATGTTCGAACTCATCCAAGCTATCAACTAGATAAGCATCCTGACCAAGTTTGATGATGATTGATGCAAAAATGTGACCACTAGAGTGTTCACAAGGTTTTTCTATTTATAGCTCCGGTGACCTAGTTTTTCATCCGAGATGACCCATATTCGAACTCATCCGAGCTATTATCTAAACAAGCATCCTGACAAAGTTTGATGATGATTGGGTCAAAAATGTGACCACTAGAGTGTTCACAAGGTTTTTCTATTTTTAGCTCCTGTGACCTAGTTTTTCATCAGAGATGACCCATGTTCGAACTCATCCAAGCACTTGACTAGACAAGCATTCTGACCAAGTTTGATGATGATTGGTTCAAAAATGTGACCACTAGAGTGTTCACAAGGTTTTTCTATTTATAGCTCCTGTGACCTACTTTTTCATCCGAGATGACCCATGTTCGAACTCATCCAAGCTATCACCTAGACAAACATCCTGACCAAGTTTGATGATGATTGGGTCAAAAATGTGACCTCTAGAGTGTTCACAAGGTTTTTCTATTTTTAGCTCTTGTGACCTAGTTTTTCATCCGAGATGACCCATGTTCGAACTCATCCGAGCTTTCAACTAGATAAGCATCCTGACCAAGTTTGATGATGATTGAGGCAAAAATGCGACCGCTAGAGTGTTCACAAGTAATTGTGGACGGCCGGACGGACGACGGACGACGGACGACGGACGACGGACATTCACCGATCCTAAAAGCTCACTGAGCAAGCTCAGGTGAGCTAAAAAAGTTGAGGAATCAAAATCTCATATTTGTTTGGTTTTCAATGTAATTAAAATAAATAAGCCGTGTCACGACAAATCCAACATAGTGCGTTTGCGACCAGCATGGATCCAGACCAGCCGCGCAGTCTGATCAGGATCCATGCTGTTCGCTTACCAACTCTATTACAAGCAGAGAAACTGATAGCGAACAACATGGATCCTGATCAGACTGCGCAGATGCACAGGCTGGTCTGGATCCATGCTGGTCGCAAACGCACTACGTTGGTTTTGTCATGACGCGGCTCATAAAGTCTGCTCAGCATTACAGAAATGCACCGTATTGGTCATCTCTTGTAAACAAGAAATTAAGAGATGTAACTTTAGAACTAAATAAAACTTGTGTAATGATTAAATTAAAGCTTTTAAATATATATGAATGTATAGTGTAATGAGCATGATGTATAAATATACAAATGTTTCCTACTTATGATAGGAATGACGACTAGTAATGTATCTACAAAATATACAACATACAATATACATGTATAACATGATATAATTCTACATAATGTTCTTAAAACCCGTTTTCTACCTACTTCCGTAAACATCATTGAAAGCAACATTATAGTAAGTAAAAGTAAGAGTTTCCATAGACTTTTGATATAAAAAGCATTATTATATTCAAATATAAGCAAATCCTTATGGAAAAATTGATACATTGTACCTCCAGCAAGGTCAAGTTTCATAATAAACACTTGAATATACCTAGCATATTAACTATTTAGTATCTGTAATTATGAACAAAAATCCCTTTTTAACTTAGTGATGTTTTTTGCACAAACAATTCCCACTCTTTCTTGTCCAAGTTAGTTGCACTGAAGGATAATACATGTATTTAATTTGTTGTCTATGTTTACAACAACCAATGTTATACCACAATAATTTATTTTCCTGCATTTAGTTAGCATTAAAACTGTTTTATTTTAACCTTCGTATCCTTTTTTATTTAACTGATAAACACTTTCTGGGTAGGATTGGTGATTATAAAGAAATATTTTGCCTAAAAATTGTCATAACTTTGTCTATATGTTTATTTACTGTTTTATCAAGCAAATAATTATTTTCCAGCACTTTCTTCTCTTATCACAGCTAAACATAATTTCTTGTAATCCCCTGAGAGGTCATCCTGAAAGAATAAACAAGTACAAAATTTGTTACAGAATGTTGTTAAATATTATAAGAATTATTTAAATTTTGCAGTTATTTAAAGCCTTGTAAATCTGCTAGATAAGTAAGCTAGTGGTCAAAGGTCAAGGTCACAATGACCTTGTGTGCAAAATTGGTTTCCAAACAATAACTTGACAATCAATAGGCCGGCCCCCAAACTTCATACATGAAGCCTCATTGGTCTTAGTCCGTATATGATCCATATTGATTTTGAGATCAAGGACTCAAAGGTCATGGTTAGCCTGCTTTATATATTAAATGGACTTGTGCACATTTCAATCTGGACCATTCATCATTTTTAGAGTAAATCTAAATACATGTCCTAATTGAATGGAAACACTGCATGATAAAACAGAACAGACCCATGCCTTATCTTGGTCTGCACTTGTTGCATACGTTGCCACCAGCATGCTAAAGATTAATAAAAATAATATTTCTGAAACAACATACCGCACAAAAGCTTCCAAGAGTTTGTTTGAACATTTTTTGGAACTCTTGTTTAATCTGCACCATATCTACACAAGCACGGGAGACCACCACTCTACACAGTGTATCATCATCTGTACCTAGACCTTTCATTGATTTATGAAGCTCTGAGGCGAAATGGGCAGCCTTGTTCCTGATGCATCGCACTGAAAAATAAATCAACCAATAAGATCATAACTAGAACTCCGGGAGTCGGATGTGTCGCCTTGTGAACAATGTAGTTTAGGAGAAATGGCCAGGACAAAAATGAAATATGAAAATAACAAAGGGCAATAACTAAAAAAATAATAAGTGCAGAGCAGCAGTTTCTGTGCACTTCACTTCTTATCAATAAGATCTATCATTCTATGATGTTTCAAGTCCATAGCTTTCATACTTGAGGAGAAATGACCAGGACAAAAATAAAGTAAGAAAATCAACAAAGGGCAATAACTCAAAAAATAATAAATGCAGAGTATCAGTTCTTATGCACTGCACTTTTTCTTAATGAGATCTATCAACCTATGAAGTTTCAAGTCCATAACTTTTATACTTTTGGAGAAATGACCTGGACAAAAAAATAAGTATGAAAATTAACAAAGGGCCATAACTCAAAAATTAAGAAATGCAGAGTACCGATTCTTGTGCACTGCAATTCTTCTTAATGAGATCTATCATCCTATGAAGTTTCAAGTCCATAGCTTTTATACTTAAAGTTACATTAAATAAATATGTAAAAATATTTTGCCGTCGGCCTAAAAATCAAACATTCTACAGTTTCATTAACCTGTTTAATAGTATTGTTGTAAATCTCATCAAATATTGCTCATAAATTAGGATTTTAAACGGGAAACCCCACGGTAACACTAAAGTTCGTATACGAATTTTAACATGCAAATGAAGACCATAATGAGCTCGTGTATGCCCTACGTCACAGTTTTATAGTTGCTATCCGGAACACAGCAAATGTGATATTTTCTTGTGCAAACACAGTTTTACCGCTTAAGCTTCATGGTGCACTAAACCTGGGGTTCAGTAAAAGTAATCATCTCGTAAAAAGATTAAATTTGTATGAAAACATCCGTTACAATGCGGAAATATACCGTTAAATTAGGACTGCCACTTATAGTCATGTTTGTTGATTTAATATTGATGTATCGATGATCCGAAGGCGGAGTTTCTCATGCAAACAGAAATTGTACTTCCCATTTCGCCACAATGAGGTTACCTATTTTCATGCTAATAAAACTCATTTTGGTTGTCTGTACACCAAAATAAGATCTGGAGTCGATATAAAACCCAATTTATTAATAAAATGTTGTTATTTAGTTTTTTTATGAAATTATTAAATGTAACTTTAAGGAGAAATGGCCCTGACAAATTTAAAGTATGAAAATAAACAAAGGGCAATAACTCAAAAAATAAGAAATGCAGAGTACCTGTTCTTGTGTACTGCACTTCTTCTTAATGAGACCTATCATCCTATGAAGTTTCAAGTCCATGGCTTTTATACATTAGGAGAAATGGCCCGGACAAAAATAAAGTATGAAAATTAACAAAGGGCAATAACTCAAAAATAAGGAAGTGCAGAGTACTGGTTATTGTGCACTGCACTTCTTCTTAATGAGATCTATCATCCTATGAAGTTTCAAGTCCATAGCTTTTTTAGTTGAAGAGAAATGGCCCTGACAAAATTAAAGTATGAAAATTAACAAAGGGCAATAACTCAAAAAATAGGAACTGCAGAGTACCGGTCCTTGTGCACTGCACTTCAGGTTATTGAAAGAAGCATGCATACCAAGTTTGAAGTCAATCAGACTTATAGTGACTGAGTTATGCTCCGGACAAGCTTTAGGGGACGCCGACTCTGACAACCACGCCGACAACAACGCCGACACAGACGCCGCCGCCGACAAAAGTAACCCCTATATGTTACCTTTTCAAGGCCACACAAAAAGCATACTTTGATGTACAGTACAGTCAGACACATCCCTGACACATCTCAACTGATCATTCCAAATTTTGGCTGCCCTTTTAAGTCTCTCTGCATTATGCAGATGTGAAATACAATATATGAATTTTGCTTTGAATTCACGTATCTTCATTATTGTATTAGATGATATCATTCTCTCAATCAACATAAATTGAGCCGTGTCATGACAAAACCAACATAATGGGTTTGTGACCAGCATGGATCCAGACCAGCCTGCGCATCAGCACAATCTGATCAGGATCAATGCTGTTAGCTTACATACTCTATAACAAGTAGAGAAACTTAAAGCGACCAGCATGGAGCCTAATCAGACTGCGTGGATGCCCAGGCTGGTCTGGATCCATGCTGGTTGCAAACCCATTATGTTGGTTTTGTCATAGCGCGGATCATATTATTTTCATCACATGTAGCACTGTAAATTTTGTACAAATATATTTCCAGTCCTTTTATGTTAACTTTTAATGACTTTAAATAAAATATATATACATGTTAATACATTAGTATACAAAGAACTTCCTATGGAAATAAAGAAATCAATATTATTTCTAACAAGAACTGTTGGAGGACAGTAAGGCTCGACTATTCGAAAAAGTTGTCACAAGGGTGTTTTATTGAGTATAATAATGCTTAACTATAAATACATAGAAAAGGTACAAAGGCTTGTTATTAAGATGTTTGATCAAGTAAATCACTGCTTTATTACTGTATTCCTAGAAAAGATTTCGCGCATTTTAAGTTAGCGGTTTTCGCGGTAGGCATGATTCCGCGAATCTTTATAGCCGCGAATATGTCACTTATAACAAATCCGCGAACATTTCTAGCTTCAACCAAATATAACATAAAAAGTGCAGAATATGTATGGTAATCTACTCACACATAACAACATTTAAACACAGGTGTTATAGAAATGTGTAAAGAATTATTTATGTATGTTATTGATACTAGTTTGCACACTGAAACAAAAAAAATCAATAATTAGTAATTAACATGCTTATTGACGTTATTTGCTAGTCACGGCGTTGACAAATAATTAAAAGCACCCAACAGGCAAGGTAATGCATAAAAAACGTAGCTTCCAAAAACTGTAATTTAGGCCTTAGCGACTTATCATTCGCGGAATTCGCGGTTACTAAATATCCGCGAAAGTTTGTCTCCGCGAAAATGCTAACATTGTGAAAAACGCGAAATATTGTATCCGCGAACATTTCTAGGAATACAGCATTATGAATGCATAAAATTGTCCCAAAAAAAGGCACAAACCCTTCTGTTGTTATGGAGATAACAGCTTACAAGCAAAACCTTTACCATGAATTTTTAAGTTGAAAAAGGGGAGATAAATCAGCCTAAATGCAAGATACAGTTATGGAACTTGGTCAGTGACATACAATATTAGCCGCGAATATGTCACTTATAACAAATCCGCCAACATTTCTAGCTTCAACCAAATATAACATAAAAAGTGCAGAATATGTATGGTAATCTACTGACACAAAACAACATTTAAACACAGGTGTTATAGAAATGTGTAAAGAATTATTTATGTATTATTGATACTAGTTTGCACACTGAAACAAAAAAATCAATTATTAGTAATTAACATGCTTATTGACGTTATTTGCTAGTCACGGCGTTGACAAATAATCAAAAGCACCCAACAGGCAAGGTAATGCATAAAAAACGTAGCTTCCAAAAACTGTAATTTAGGCCGTAGCGACTTAACATTCGCGGAATTCGCGGTTACTAAATATCCGCGAATGTTTGTCTCCGCGAAAATGCCAACATTGTGAAAAATGCGAAATATTGTATCCGCCAACATTTCTAGGAATACAGCATTATGAATGCATAAAATTGTCCCAAAAAAAGGCACAAACCCTTCTGTTGTTATGGAGATAACAGCTTACAAGCAAAACCTTTACCATGAATTTTTAAGTTGAAAAAGGGGAGAAAAATCAGCCTAAATGCAAGATAGAGTTATGGATCTTGGTCAGTGACATACAATTATGACCCTTCATGCATACGTGAAGTTTCAAATCAAAATCTCTGATAGTTGTTGAGATATGTAAAACTTACATGTAAACATTAACCAAGAGACTAAGTAAAAAAGGGGGAGATAAATCAGCCTAAATACATGACACAGATATGAGTGTTATTCAGTGATCATTATTTATGACCACAAATATACATATGAAGTTTCAAGTTTGTATCTTTAATAGTTTCAGAGAAATGCAAAACTTGCATGTAAAACTTAACCAAGAAAAGGAGATTTTTTTAACTACAAAAGGGAGCATAATTCAGCCAAAATACATGGCAGAGTAATGGGTCTTGAGATGTGACATTCAGTTAATATCTCAAGCAATAATTGAGATATTTGACTTTACAAAAGACTTTAACCAACCAACACGGACGCGGACCCGGATGCCAGGGAAACTGCAATAGCTCTTCAAATTCTTTGAATAGTCGAGTTAAAAATTGTTTCATAAACTTGAACAAACATACCACATATTATGCCAAAATCCTTAACAGAGGTACTGATTTTACTTAAAATAAATAAAAATTTCAAAAATTTTAAAATAAAAAAGTTCAAGACTTATTTTCATTTATTATTTGAGGATCCCACATATTTGTAACTATGAAATGTTTCACTTTACCTATAGTAAGCATGCTATTCTTCAAGTCTCCGGACATTTCACTCTGTATAGTATCATCTATGTCTTTGTTAGCTATTTTTGCGTACTCTTGGAATGTTGCTCGTAACTGAGGGAAACTTCTAGCTGACAGTATCATATTAAACCTGAAATAAATGAATAAATAAATGAGTATAAACTAAAATTGTGGATATAAAAACATAAATACAATGTTATTTATTATTAACCTAAAATTAATGATATAGATCATTATATTTTTAATTAAATCTGAAATTAACACATATATTTTCAATGCAACCTGAAATCATGGTTGATATTTTATATGTCTAGTTTCTGGTAGCAGGTGGTTCTTTTACAAAGGTTTTAATGTATATTGACACAATTCTCTCTGTTAAACACATGTATAGTTTACCTAGATTCATCAGTTCCCCATTTCTTCTCACCAGCATCATACAGGGCCTGGGCATCTTGTTTGGCCTTGTTGCGGTCAAACTCTTGACCTTCTGGTCTGTTAGCTTGTAAACAACTGATTAAAATCTTCCTAAAATCTCCAGATGTATCCCCAGAAACATCTGCTTCCAACTCTTTATTGTAATCTATTAAAATAATTAATTGATATAATTATTTTGGCATTAAGAATTAATTAAAACATTTTTATTAATGCTGGATTAAAACTCAAGATTTATGAAGTTATAGTGAGTTACTAGCTTCACAGCTTCCAATCCTTGTAATGAAACTCAAAGGTCTCAAAGGTTTCACTGATAACAATATGTGTTATTGGATTTTACTGACAACAGTATGTTGAATGTCAACTGATCTTCCCAGCAGTTTAATTAATATGATTTATATAGAGAAGAGGGAAATAATATCAATGGTGTTTTTTTTTATTGGTTTTTTGTTTTTGAGATCTTATTGTATCATTTAAAATCTGTGATTGCCCTACGTCGAACACACAATCAAAACAGATAAACAACTTTTCATAAGTTGTGCCCTTTTTTAACTCAGAGAACTCCTTAAATTGACATATACAAATGAAATATGGTAACAGATCTAAGCTATAAACTATGCAAAGAAACAAACAATACACAAAATTATACAGATAATATTCTGTAACAGTTTAGATTGAAAAACTTGCAACAAATATGGACTGTACAGTACCTTAAAAGGATAGAAATATACTGTATATACTTACTTGTTTTATAAGCTGCCTTTATGTCTTTAAGTTGTTGGTTAGATCTAGAGCATATAATCTCAATCAAAACTTGTTCATCTGTTCCTAGGCCCTGTTAAAACAGTAAATACATGTATAACCTATGCTTCTTATATTTTTTACAAAAACTTAGTAATACATTTCAACAAAAGAACAGACCAAATGAATAGTCTATATTTCTATTTAATTTAATATATATGTACAAAGCTTGAGATCAACATAAATACAAAATAAAGTCATACAGGCAGACATTAGATTGAAAATGAGAATACTACTGTAATAAACACATTGTTAATAAAGTAACAAAACTAGCATGGCTCTTGCAAAAGAAATGTATGTGATAATTCTTATAATGACTCTCCAATAAACCTTTCATGTCTTCCATAAAAGTTATTGCCTTTTTCCTGAACATCCACTTGGATCTTATAACATGCAATCAATATTCTTCCTCTTACAAAATCCACAAAACCTTACAAAAATACTCATTCCCAAAACCTTGGAACCAGCAGCCAGACAATAATATGAAAAAGATCTTATCAAGTGAAGGAACCAGCAAACACTAATAGGAACATCTACTGAATGCAACTGGCAATAATAGGTACCAGACTGTATGATGTGATACCTACCTTTATAGCATTATGTAGACTCATAGCATCAAAATCTGCTGGTACCATGCATAGTCCAACTAACAGTTTCTTAAATCCACCACTTGTCTCACTCTTCAAGTCTGCGATCAGATCTCTACCAAACATTGTTTTATAGGTTTTTACGACCTCTAACATTTGATCGTTGGAACGATATCCTATCACTTTGATTAAAGCTGCCTCATCAGTACCTGTAATCATATATAGACAGCATGTTTTTAACCCTTAGCTTGCTGTACTAGTTGGCAATTGAATCTACCAATGGGACCAGTGAAGATATAAGACAGCTGGCACATTTGTGCCACCTGATTATGGTCTATATTGTTTGCTATTCAGTCAGTACATGTTTTTCGTTTTTTCCATAAAATGATAAATGGTTTTGTCGAGACTGAAAGATATTTAGGGTAGTACTGGCTTATTACATGTAGTTGTGATAAAATGCTGATGTTGATATGCAAGATATAATTTTGACAAAACAGGCACCTAAAGCCTCATGCCTTCTAGTGAGTACAGTACATATTCACACATAAAACTTAAGATAAGCATACATTAAGTTTAAGAAATGTCATCCATTTTTGTTATACAGTAAACTTCACTTATAGCGAACACGGTTAGAGCGAATTTCCGGTTATAGGGAACAATTTATTTTGGCCTGAATTTTGCCCTTCTTTATTTAATATAAAAATATATGGTTATAGCAAACACGGTTATAAGGAATTATCGCTTATAAGCAACTCATTTCTTAGTCCCAATTTAGTTAAAAGTACAGAAAATTTCACTTTTATAACGAACTCCAAAATAATGGCTATCCGTAAATAGATACTGCATTTTCAACTTTCGTTTTCATTGGCATGAATGTACCGTTTATTGTTGTACATCTATAAAAATGAATTTGTATAGTTTTCTATTTAGGGTTTTTTTAGCATGAGCTCTTTTCACCAAGATAAAACCGTTATTTATTGCTTTCCTTCAATAGTTTTGCTTGAGTAAAATAATTATAATAATAATTTATAATCGGTTTTCAACATAATCACGTATACCTGCAAGCATGCTCCATTGCAAACTGCAAAGTACACTTGATTTAAATGAAAAGAAATCTATATCTTACATTACTAAAAGTCACCCTTAAATTATAATAGAAGATATTCAATATAAAAGGAAGGAAAAATCGAAAATATTGTTTATTCTCAATCATGGAAAGAAAACGAAAATAGTTTAGAAACAAAATATTATATTTTATGAGAAATTGAGATAGGGAGTAAAACTAAAACTGAAATAGCAATGATTTTCAAATTCAAAAAGTACGCTCTCGTGTATTGTGTCTAAAATAGAAACAATGGACTATTTTTTCTAAATCAAATGCTCTTCAATATGGCGGACAATGGTAAACAATCAGTTCCTTATATGTAAATCTGTTCGCTATAAAAACTCCTGATACAAAGAACTAATTCGCTATATGCTTACAAGGAACTCCGGATATAAGGAACAAATTTTGAATGTCCCAATGAGTTCGTTATAAGCGTAGTTTACTGTATTAAAAAATTACATGGCAATCAAATTACTCTGAAAACAAAAGATATCATGTTAGTTACAATTACAGTGCAACCTCTGCAAAACAGCTTTCTATAGAGCAATAACCTCTTTTTGCCAACACAATCAATTCACCCTTAAGAAAAGCATCACAAATTGAGCCGCGTCATGACAAAACCAACATAATTGGTTTGCGACCAGCATGGATCCAGACCAGCCTGCGCATTTGCGCAATCTGATCAGGATCCATGCTGTTCGCTATCAGTTTCTCTACTTGTAATAGGGTTGGTAAGCAAACAGCATGGATCCTTAGCAGACTGCATGGATGCGCAGGCTGGTCTGGATCCATGCTGGTCACAAACCCATTATGTTGGTTTTGTCGTGATGTGGCTCAATTAAGTTTTAACCTCTCAAGTGCAACACCTCTCAAGAACAAGCAAAGTCTTTGTCTCCAAATTAGTGTTGAAACAAAGAAGTTTCACTGTAAATATTTAAGATATAACATACATTATTATCAAAACTGATATGTTAACTGAAAAATTAACTTACCAAAACCCTTCATGGCTTTTCTCAATACCTCTGAGTCAGTCTCGGCATTAAAGTTTTCAGCTGGTACTAGAGTAGGATCTTCTTGGACAGGTTCTGATTCCATCTTAATGTCTTCATCAAGTTCTTCTTCTGTTTTGTGCTTAACTGCTTCTACAAAACCTTTCCCAGCTGTTAGTAATAGAAGAAATAAGAAATACATGTATCTGTACTAACATTAGCATACAAACTGATATTTTGTCTTTCATAACTTTTAGTAAATGATGTAAAAGCAAATAATGATTCAGCTGTACAGGTATTTGGCCCGATGAGCACTGTTTTAGAAACTGGTAATGAGTTACAAACAGATCATTTATTAACATTTGAAATATAAAAATAAAAGCCTTTTTTTACTAAATGGGCCTTTAATATACAATGTAATGTAAACACTTACATTTTGAGGCCATATCTGGTGGTTCTCCCCCTACGACCAATGAAAGAATGGCATCTCTATAATCCCCTGATATATCATCCTGAAATATATAACAAATATGATCCGCGTCACGACAAAACCAACATAATGGGTTTGCGACCAGCATAGATCCAGACCAGCCTGAGCATCCGCACAGTCTGATCAGGATCCATGCTGTTCGCTATCAGTTTCTGTACTTGTTATAGAGTTGGTAAGCGAACAGCATGGATCCTGATCAGACTGCCCGGAGGCGCAGGCTGGTCTGGATCCATGCTGGTCACAAACCCACTATGTTGGTTTTGTCCTGACGCGGCTCAATTATATTTTTAATTACATCTTGGTTGCAGAATTGACAAATAGAGGATATTATGATTGTTTTCAGTGAATATGGAATATACTGTAGAAATGGTTTTATTCATGTTATATCAACTTTCGCAATTCTTTGCAAAATCATAGTTATTGTGAACAAATATGATAGCCAGAAAAAGCAAGATCTTAATCGATTTGAGCAACACTTTCATTTTTTAAAATATAATAATTATTACAATTGACATGAAGATGCAAATTAAGAAAAATACATTTTTCGAACCAAAAAAACGCAAAATTTTGACAACATGAATTTTAGGCAATGGATAGCATATCACAACAAAGAAGTGAGAATTTTCAAATATTTTCCAGAACACAAAGTGGGACAAAAAAAAATCAACAATGAAAACAATCCCTTTGTCATATTCTATGGATTTCACAATATAACAATTCAGATGATAAAAAATAATTCAAATTTATATGACATATAGTTATTTAAGAATATTCTGTAGTTCACACTTACAGAGATGTATTGGTCCAGTGTTTGTCCAGTCAACTTCTGGAATTCCTCTTTTATATTAGCCAAGTCTATCTCACACCTGGACACTACCACTCGCACCAGTGTATCATCGTCTGTCCCGATACCTTTCATTGTTTTCTGCAACTGCCGGGCAAAATGATTGAACTTGTGTTTTATGCAGCGCACTGAAATGTTATTTAAAAACGTCTAAAATACTGGATAAACTAATTAATATTCAACACCATCAAGTTAATCTGTGAAGTTAATATTATTTATCTTATCACATTCCATTTCTAATACCCGTAATATACAGTTAGTATGCATATCAAAATTTTTCCTACCATTCTATTTCACTATAAGAAAATGTCTTTACGTAGAATGGCTTTTCCTATATTTTCCGACCTTCACCTATCATATAATGAGCAAGATTCTCATGCCTTCCTAATTTATTTTCCCTAATTTGATTAAGACCTAGTATTATAACCTCTCAGTATATTTCCTGATATTTAAAAAAGGGACCTAATTAAGTGTTCAATTCTTATGCATAAAAACTCCAAAATGGTATTATATAGCCAATGAACAGCCAATATTTTGCACATAACTTTTAATATATTTCCTGACATTCAATCAAAATAAATATCAAACAAACTGAGCAAGCCTCTGAATACATTTCCTGACATTTTAAATTGGTACACATCCTACCTATAATGAGCATACCTCTTGGTTCCATATCAAATATAATCTAGCCTACAGTTAGCATGTATCTATGCAAATTTTCTGACATTCATTATAAACATTATCTACCAACATTGAGATATATTTCCTGACATTTGTTATAAACTTATCTACCTATATCGAGATATATTTCCTGATATAATATAAAATATCACCCAACAGCAATCATGGATCTAAACTTATCATCAGAAAAATAAAACATCACATAACATACCTACAGAGAGCATACTTTATGTTTATTTCCTGACATTCAATATAAAACATCACATACCTACAGTGAGCATGCCTCTCAAGATATCTCCTGACATTTCACTCTTTAGAGCACCTTCGATATCTTTCTTGGATATTTTCTGATATTCCTCAAATGTGGCACGTAATTGAGGATAACTTCTTGTCACCAAAATTGTGTTGAATTTTGATTCATCTGTTCCCCATTTCTTCTCTCCAGCCTAAATAGAAAACAAAATTAAAGCTATCGGAGGTGTCTTTAACACGGGAACCAAAAGTAATTAGTCTTTGCCTTGAAGAGTGTTGTGTTTAAGTGTGTATTTGTGTACAATTTACAGTTTTTACAATTAAAAAAAACAACATGAAAATATCAATTTGTAAAAAAAATATTAAATGGGTTACTCCATTTTTTTTCTGCAGATACACTATATTGTGCCATGAGCACTGTATCGCAGTAAACATTGTATACACCCTTTTCCAACTATAAAAGTAAGTTAACTTTTAACAAGCTGAAACTGACAACCTTTTTCACCAGTATCCGTACAGTCTGACCAGGCTTTATATTATTTGTAGCTTTAATATTAAAATCTCTATAAAAATTGAATGAACTGTTCCAAAATGAATTTTTTTTAATTTTCATCAAAATCCCATAAACATAAGAAATGGACTGTTCCAAACTCAAAGCAGGGCAAATCCATTCCACAAATCTTGCAGGTTATGGGTCAATATAGATTCAGACCTGATACAGTTCTTTAGCATCTTGGTTGGCCTTGTTTCTGTCCACTTCTTTACTGTCACTACGACTTGCCTGCAGCAGTGATACAAGCAACTTCTTAAAGTGTCCTGATGTGTCCGATATTATGTCCTTCTCTAAGTCACGATTGAATTCTAAAAAATTAAATTTCAGATTTTAAAAAAAAAAGATATTTGAATCCATATTTTGTAAATTTGTACATTAAAAAAACTCAGTTGTATTTACATGTATGTTCATATTTATTGTGTGGTACCATTGTAAAGCTAGCAATTTGGGATATTTAACAATGAAATTCATCTTCGATGTTTTTACAGATATTACATACAACGTAAAAATGTATTTTCTAAATGATTTTTCAAAAGCAAAACTGTTTACTTTATTTTTTTCAGGAAATCATCAAAATAAAGTGGAAACCATATAAACTGTAGTAAAGAGAGAAACATATAACTTACTTTCTTTATAAACTCTGATGATTTCTTTAAGTTGTGCGTTTGACCGGGTACACAGGATCTCAATGAGAACATCTTCATCGGTGCCGAGGCCTTTCATTGCTTTACGTAACTGATAGGCATCGTACTCTGCTGGAGCCATCAATAATGCCTTCAACGTGTCACAAAAATGTCCGCTCGTCTCGCTCTTTATATCTTCTATCAAATCCTACACAAAAATGTTACTATATATGATTCTGAGGTAGATATAAAATTAACGTAACATACAAACTACAAGAGGACACATTCTTCCTATTGATGCAAAGTCTGACTCTTTATTCTATTTTTTTTCATAACAGAAACACAAAAAAGCAGTTAATTAGTTGTATTTTAAATGTAGATATTAACCTGTACACATAATCCATATTTTCCTCAAATTTGTGTATCAGTTTTGTGTATAACAGGTTTTCAATTATGTCACATGACATGACTATTTAGGTTAGGTTTAACAATTAAAGTAATAAGAAATGAATTGTGATGAACAATCAATTTGAAAACAAAAGTTATTAAGCACAATGGCTTTTTGAATAACATTTCTAGCATCATTATTATAACATTTCTAGCACCTGTTTCTAAGGTTATATATTTTGTTATTTGCATTCATCCAATTATTAATATGCATAGAATATACATAAAATGAATGCAATGAATATTATATAACACAAATATAATATTCTATTTATCAGATAACCAACAAAACAACTTTTTATAGTGAAAATAATCCTTTTCTGTTATTGACTATAGTGCTTATATTTAGTGTGTCATGTATAACCCAATGTACACATACCTTTCCAAACATTGTCTTGTATGTGGAGACCAGTTCTTGTCTTTGTGTATTAGATCTATAGCATAAAACATTAATAAGAGTTTCCTCGTCGGTGCCCAAACCCTTCATGGCACCCTTCAACACCTCCGCATCTTGCTCCGCGTTAAATTTAGCATATGGCTGCACCGTACCTTGTTGCTGTAATTAGAATAAACAAGTCTCTATGAACTAATCACATAATAACACAACAAAGACGACCTTTGACATTGTGTTGGTGTCCCGAAAATGGCCATGATGACCATGCTAGGATGTGTGTCAAAAATCTATAGATATTTTAGTGGCCAGTAATTAATAATGTTTCTTAATTTGGTGTTAATGTATCACTGTATCAAATATTAAAAATGATAGTAATAATGTGCCTGCAAAATATTTCTTGATGAAATCAAGTGTGAACAATGATGTCCTTTGATTATTTTGACAAAACACTCTGATAAATTAAAAGAAATTGATACTTAATAAAACTGATTTACATTTGATACATATTTTTACTATATTTACATTTAAGTCTTCTGTTTCCATGGCAAAGAATGGATCTTTCTCTGGAGTGGGAGGTTTCTTTGGTTTGGGTTTAGGTTTAGGTACCTCCTTTTTCTCCACCTTCTTCTCCTCCTTCTTTGGCTTGGGTTTTGGTTTTTCCGGTTTCTTTTCTGGCTTTTTGATAGACCCTCCTGTAATAAATCATTTTTAGATACAGAAATAATGCTTATGGAGATGACCGTCTCTTTGAATTCTTGGTGATTTGTCTAGTATAAAGTCCAATCTTCTCATAATGTTAGCAACTTTTTTAAAGAATTTGAATTAAAGATTTTCATAATAAAATACCTTAAAATAAAAATTAACCAGTCCAAATTCAAAGCAGGGAAAGTCTATTATACAAATTTAGAGGTTTTAGGGCTATGATTCTTAAAAATATGCATTATCTGTATATGGTTGGTCATATTTGAAATATTATAAAAGGCTATAAAGAAATTCAAAGGAAATTATTAAAAGCTTAAATGACTAGGCCTATTGAAAATGGATATAGAAGGAATCTTGATAAAAGTGTAACTTACGTTTTATGCCAGGCTTTTCAAAAACTAGTGTAAACTCAAAACAATCTGGTTGATCTGTAAATTTTCCTTCCAGAATCTGTAAAATAAAAAAAAACTGTAAGCATATAATATTGCACATTGGATCTAGATCTGCAGATGGCCCAAGGTAATTTCAAGCAAAGAGAGCACTTCAGAAGAACCACCTTCCTCTGTGAGCTGGCTGGATAGTTTCTTCTCTTGAAGAATCCAGTTTCTGGTGGGTTTTAAACCAACAGCTGTAAGAGAATACTTATGGATTCACCAAGCCAGGGATGCCCCTTAAAAGACATGATTCCTTACAATTTGTACATACAGAACATTTGACAGTTAAAAGCTCTGTTTTTCATATTTAATTTGTATTAAAATACATCTGACTTAAAAAAATAATCAAGATTAATTCTTAATATTAATCTACTTTATTATGGCTCAGTGACATGTCCATAACCTATAAAGTGTTTTAGTTTGGCCTTAAGTACACCCCCAAAATCATGTGAATTTCATGCAGGGACAAGTATGTCATTATGCTGTATCAAATCATATATAAAGGTGAACACTACTATATTCGTCCTCTTTTTCGATAAAGCAGTGAGTCAGCAAAATGAAAACAATCCCGATTCCCTAGCAGAATTTGAACCCACAGCAGTGAGGGGCAAAATGTTCAAAGTCATTGACTTTAACCATTCTGCCATGGAGGCCCCAAAAATAAATAATAATATTCAGGAAACAAGTATTAATACCTTTCCCATTTTAGGATCTGCTACAGGTAATCTGAAGTCTTTATGGTTGTTAGCATAGTTTATCAGGTGAGCGTATACATGCAGTAGATTCCCTTTATAATCTCCTGTAAAATTATTATATAACACATTATAGATAAACATTTAGATTATCACCAATTCAATGTACAGTAAATTATTTGCAGATTGGGAATTTTTACAATAAAATATTGATAATATTTCTCTGAAGCAACTAAAAAGTAAATATAAGATATTGCTCATCATATGATACAAGAGTTTTACACTAATAATCTTATTAACAAATTTTTAACCTTGATATAAATTAAATAATCATTATGGAAGCAAGCCTCTAGTCTCATGTGTGTTTTTTCTTGTTGCTTTTTAATGAAATATATAAAGTTGTTAAATGCATAAAATTGTTGATGAATGTATAAATTAAGTGATTATCCTTAGTCTAAGAAGTGTACTATCACACAGAAATTATCAATAACTTGTCAAAATTTACAGAAATCTTTACAAGTCACTGAACAAGGTAGAATTTTGGTTATAAAGATGTAAAATTCTGTCATAGTTCACATAAGTCTTAAGACATTCAAAGTTTCAACTGAATTGTGATTTATAATTTATAAATTTCTTGACTATAAATATATCTAACATAAAGTTTGATATTTTGAAGATTTATTTTACCCATCTGGAGTCATGCTGCTTTAAGACAAACTGTGGTCTTAGCTAAAGGATTGTGGGTACAGCCCTAACGGCCACATGTAAGATTCCTTATTAACACCAATACTAGCTAGTTCCAGGAAACAGACTCATAAGTGGTAAATAAAATTGCAATAACATGTGTTCCAACTTGACATTAAACTTAGTAATTAAATATTCATTATTACTGAATAATACAAAAGTTTTTCATAATCACAAATGGGTCTGTTTGACAGTTTATCTTACTTATTGTACATTTTACTTAAGTCTACGAATCACCCTTGAGAATAAGCCTTTTTTAAAATAGACCCATGCCACCAAATGTAAAGTCTGACCAAACTCTATACAGCTGGTTGTTCCATTCTAGTCATATTTATTGTATTACATGTATTTTTGCATTATTTCAAAGGAAAAGAAATTAAATGCAAGATATTAAAGACAGAGACAAAATTAGTCTAATACAGTAGGGGGAATTGATCATTGTTATATTACACAAATGAGCCGCGTCATGACAAAACCAACGTAATGCGTTTGCGACCAGCATGGATCCAGACCAGCCTGCGCATCTGCGCGGTCTGATCAGGATCCATGCTGTTCGCTTACAAACCCTATAACAAGTAGAGAAACTGACAGCGAACAGCATGGATCCTGACTAGACTGTGCGGATGCGCAGGCTGGTCTTGATCCATGCTGGTCGCAAATGCACTATGTTGGTTTTGTCGTGACGCGGCTCAATTTAATTTCCCTTCTGTGCAGTACTACATGTTAACCTGTGAGTAATGCTGGAAAATTTTCAAATAACCTTTCCACTTTTGGTGAACCTACGAAAGATCCTACGGTGCATTACAACATGTTATTTCAGTCACATGTGATCTGTTGGGTTAACATATTGATTTTCATTTAATTATTGACCTGAAATTAACTTCAACTCATGCAAAAGTTTTTCTTATATACACAGAAATTCAATGGTCTATGAATAACCTTCTGTGATGGAAGCAGTAAATATACTGTCATCTGCAGACTTTTAGTTATTTGATATAGTAATTTTATAATTTTAACAGCCAAGTTAAAGAAGGATAAGTCTTTTGTACAAATATAGCAGGGATTATGGATATTTTCAAGAATGGAAATTCCCCGACATATGCCCTATAATTTAGCAGCATTTAGCTGGTTTTTAATATTAATGATTACTACTGTGGAGTAATGCATATTAAAAGAATACAACAATGTTTTCTTCTATGTTTTATTGTAAATCTAAAATGTTACTTTACAACCAGGTAAAATATAACAGAAAAGTGCTTTAAGTAAAAATATTAGCAAGAAAAAATAAATAAAATAAAATCTTAAAATAATTGACAACATGCTAAAGCAATGAAATAAAAATGAAAATGGTACAAAACCAAGAGAAAACATTGTTGTTTCTTCCAAAAAATTAGAATCTTTTGTAGAAAATATGTGTTAGGACTTAATGTGCTGAACTTGTGTAATGGAATTGCCCTGATTTGAATGTATAGAGATCAACAAGTTAAGCTTTAAACCCTAAGGCTGGTGGCAACAATAGATTTGAGCCATGCAACTAGTGCTGAGCAATTTAATGGCTGTACCTGGCTCTGGTCAACATGCTTAGCACTGTTTGCTATTCAGTCAGTACATATTTTGAAATTTTCCCTACAACTGATTAATGCTTTTGTCCAGATTGAAAGATGGACAAGTCCATTTAAGACATTTAGCATAATAAGGGGGGTTCAGTGTCAGAATATTACAATTAAGCAGCCTGAACAATCACAAAAGAACTTGATCTGACTGGTAACATATTAAAATGGTCATTGGTGCTGTAGCACTCAAAGGGTGAATAATCATCTATATTACATATAATTATATAAATCATTAATTTTTTTATCAATTTCCTATCTTTCTTTAGTTTAAGACAGCTACTCAGCTTTTATGGAAAACACAAAATCATCTCAGAATATTTGTATCCTTGGTCAGAATGAAAACAAAGATTCGCAAATAATTAATACATTTGGGAATTCCCAATTACACTAATCTATCAGTAAGAAAAAGAGATCAATACTAAATGTTACTTTTGTTTGTTCACTTAACTTAAGCTTGACTGAATATCAAGTACAGATCACGATAACAATACATCACTATATGTAATATTCTCCATGTTACAAGAACAGTTTCATAACAAATGTAAAGAAAAATGACAGTAACATTTAATGATGCTTAAAGAAATCTAATATTATTTAAAAGAAAAGACTAGCTAATGGCTACTATAAATAGAAATTTAAAAAAAAATAACAGAATAAATGTAAAGAAACATGCATATAATATACCATTTGACAATTACATCTCAAAAGTACATATATATATAATTCTTGCATATCAGTCTAGAATAATTTCTATTGTAAAATTTGTACTGGAACTAGTAAATGTCACATGCTTTAAATGATGTCACATGCTTTAAATGATGTCACATGCTACAAATGATGTCAATATTCTACATACATCAATTTTATATCATTTTTCTATATACCAGCCATTAAAAAAAATCACACAATTCTCTTGTGATTTTGAATTCATGGTGCTTATAATAACCCTATAAAAATGTTCACAAATGCATTTAAATACTACAAAGGCCTTATATTTGCACTAACTACCAGAAAGGCATTGTATTTTGAAATGTTACAGTAGCTGGTTTTCTACGCATGTACAGGTTCCTACCTCCTCCAGGACTTATGGGATTGAGGGGCGGGTCCTTATACACTGGCACTTCAATTGTTTCTGCAGGGGGCGGAGCTGTCACAGCTGGAGGTGTGTCCTGCTGTCTGGATCTCATCATCTTCCGTAAATCACCAACTGTCACATGTTTGGTGTCTGGATTACAATTCTGTAAAAATTTACAATGAAAATTAATATTACCATTAACAGAATATATCTACATAAATAAACTGATTTTTAAATGAATCTTTAAAAAGCAGTCCATATTTTCTATAGAAATAACTTTATTATTTGCTACTATTATATAGCACTGAAACAAGAAATGAATCATTAAATAAATAAGATTATCAACAATATAACATGTCAGTTAAATGTCATACCATAGTGAGTAAATGAAAATAACAAATTGAGCACAGCCTCTATGGCTGTGTGGTTAAGGTAACTGACTTCCCTTTCATAGTTCCCACAGGGACTTTGGCTTCCACAGCTTTCTTTCCTTCTGCTGCTTCCCCTCAGAAAAATTGTATAAAATCTTGCAGTTTTCCCTAAAATTTAATTTACATCATGGTTTTTCTTCCCCTTTTGCATAATGTAAGGTAAAGGTTTCCCCTAACTGTAAACTGCTTTTTTATGTTAGGAAGGCATCTGGCTGGCTTAAAAAAGATTAGTGGTTTTCTCAGGTCCCTTCTCATGCATAAAATGCATGGAGGGGCATCTGAAGCCTTCCTCCACCAGAAAACTAGCATGTTTGGCATGAATTATTGAACGAAAAACAAATACAAACAAACCTGTAGCATATTCTCTGTAAGGTAACCATATTGTGTAGTGTAAGGATTGCAGATTCCAGGCTGGCCAAGATTTACGACACCAGGTACCCCTTGTACCAGGGGTGGTGGTGCACCGCCCCAAACATTGATCTGTGTCCCTGAATAATTTGTTGGATTGAAAGGCCCGTCTGGTATTGGAGCTGCAGAAGACAAAAAGATCAATCAAATGATTTTATTTTCTAGCACAGATCGGGCTTTTGCCGTATGAATTCTTACTTTGTAATGTTAAAGATTGAGACCTACATTACCCAGATCTACATTACCCATTTAGTTCATTTTAGGCATATGGACCACAGTATGAGTGTGAGTCCTGTGTAAAGTAGTCTAGATGTTCATTATTATGAATTATAACAAGTTGACAGCAAGGTTTCATTTATCCTCTATAAATTTAAGAAGAAAAGTTAGCAGTTACTTTGATCTGACATAAAATCCAATAATACTCCACCAATTTGGCTATAACTATATTCATAAAACACTGTTAATTAAACCGGAAACAATTAAATAAGTGGGTAAAGTCTAAGAAGAATGATGATTACTTTAAGAATGCAATTAAAAATTTAAGGACAAATTTCCAACAATTAGAATATTATAATTATAGAGCATATTTGTTTACTTCAGTGAAAGATCAGAATATATATTTAACCGAGTGAGCACAAAAAGGTATATTTCAAGCGTGAAATATGAACATTTGGTGTTCATAAGGTGAAATATATTCCGATCTTACACTAAACTAAACAAATTTTCTTTTTATTATATGTAAAGAAATGTTTAAAAAGACATTTTAACTAATACTAAATGAAAAGGGCGCCAAATAATAATATGTGACGTCATTTACTACGTCACATCAGTAAGTTGGTTCCCTGTACTGTGCATAATTGTTTTTCCAAAGCGTTATGTTTTTGTACTTGTCTTAAAACATATTATGTCTGCACATGAATTGTCATATCAAACATTGAAATATCAATTTTATATTTTACTCATATACATGTATTTCTATAAACCACCAAAAAGCATGTAAAAAACATGCTTTTACATTTGTGCCAAGAATGTCAAAATAGAAAACTTACGATATTCTCCATCAGTTTCTGTGACAGTTCCACTTGCCCACGCATCTTTTGGTAAATATTGGCGAGTTGGCGATTTTGATCTAGATCTGGATCTTAAATTCCTAATAGGTGACTTGCTCTGCAAAATATTATATTTAAATACAACCTAAATATTTGATCAACAAATTTTACACAATTTTCAATTTAAATCTTGAGTATACATGTATTTCTTCATTATAATTTATATATCTTTTTGTTTTAAGCTACCCAGCTGATATAACTGTAAGAAAGTCATTTTTTACTCTTTTATACCTCATAGGAGCTCCTTTAATATACAATATACAGACTACTAATGTATGTACCTTCTTTTTAGTTTTGCCTTTACTAGATTTACTAGATTTGCTGCTTTTGAGAGTAGAGTCTGTGTAGTCTAAACCGTCTGAGTCAAAGAAATCTGTAGTGTCAAGGTCAGAGGAAGACGATGTAGGTATCGGACTAGAATTGATCTTTGCTATGTCATCAACAACAAATGATTTACTGAACACATCGCTTTCCTTTATACCATCTCTGTTTATATAAATAAAAATCATATGTTGTATACTAGTTATTGAAGAAAAATAGTAGAAAAGTTATACATTTCTAGAGTAAAAAATCAATTATTTATAAAACTGACATACACTGTAATCTTAGAACAATCAAAGTTTTGTAATATATTGATAAAATGGACGATTTCATCTTTGATTAGCTATAACACATCAGGTACCAGGTACTAAAACTGTAGACCAATAAAGAAGAAAAAGGAGATATTGTCACCTTGCTAGAGCAGGAACATGTTATCTTCTATTAAAATTCAATAGGAGTTAACCTGTTACTGCAGATAATGCACTAAGATGATAATTTTTCAGATTATCATAATGCTTCCAAAAAATGCCCAAAGTAATTAGTGGTGTTCAAGACAGTGTTATATATCTTTAAATTGAAATCAACACTTAATGTTCCTCTAATACACTGTTTAAATAAGATGTACTGTATCAGAAGTTCAACTATCCATCTATAGTAACTGTATGACAAGTATCCTATGAACAAGAATGTTAATTTATGCATTCTAACAATCAAATTTTGGAACACTACAAACTGAACACTGATTTATCTAATATATCTACTGATGTGGTGTTATCACAACATGTCATACCGGAAAAAATAGAAAAACTATGTAACATTGCAGAATATTCTCAGAGCAGAATACAAGATTTTTTTAACTTTTCTATTATATACACGTTTTATACATCAATATCATTTTCATATTTATATCAGGTAAAAACGACAACAAATAACCTTGTTACTGCTACAGCTTTTATTGTTCTTTTACCCTCCTTAAGTGTGAAGGGGGCAGTGTATCTATGAGTGACCTCATTTCCTCCTATCTTACGCTGGAAAGGTAACGGTTTTGTTCCATTTGCAGTGAAGTAAATTTTAGTGTCTGGTGTATCTATTAAAATAAATAAAGCAATAAATAAAAGCACACTTTAAAGTGTCACATCATAGTGATTTCTATAAATATTAACCATAAATATTAACCGTTAAGCTATTTTTATCTAAAGAAAATGCAAGGTATTTAAGCTTAAAATCAACACATATTTTCTCAGATATTATCTTCTATTCTATAGAGAAATTGTAAAATAAATTGACATATATTTTTTTTCCTATTCTGTAAATTATCATAGCACTAAATGTACTACAGATATTAAAAAATAGAGAAAACACAGTTAATTTGAGAAGAAAAAACAACAGATATGGCTGTGAAATAGAAGAATCTTACCACAGATTATTTCTATAAGTGTTGATGTATCAACACGTGATGTTGACTGGCCATAAACCTGTTTACGTATAGGTAGTATAACTGGAGGGCATACTGCACCTGCACTAGGCATTTTGAACCACTGTTAAAAGGAAAAAAGAACATTGATATCAATTGTACTAATATGGGGAAGTTAAAGGTGGGTTTGGTTTGCCCAGCTATAGACTACACATATATATTTAAATGGAATTCAAATAAAAAAATTAAATTAAAAAACACATAGATTTTTATACCGATCCTGAAATTTACAGTGCCATTTCTAGTAGGGCGATGCCATTTTAAATGTAAGTCAATGATAACCTGTGAGGCATTCCGATAATGGAATAATCGCAACTTTTCACTTAATAAATAATGTCAACATGTTCTGCTTAAAACTAAAGCAGTGCATGAGAAACCAATATATAAAAAAGAAATCATTTTTTTATTTGATTTTCCAATTCATAGGCTTTGCCCACTTTTTTATTATTTTCATTCTGTTGTCATTATGCATTACTGGTGAAAAATAAAGCATGCTACCATGCAATGACAGAATCATTTATTTTTTTTTTTTTTTTTTTTTTTTTGGCAGGTCAATGGGTCATTTATTAGCATTCGGGGAAATAACCAATACACATGATAGTTATATATTTAATATATGCAAGTATGCAATGTCTTAAGTTGATTTCATTCAAAGATAAGTAACTTTTGCTACATATATAAATTTGTATATTTTTATTAATTTACTGATTATAGAAATAGCTTATCTTTCTACAGCAAATGTATGAAAACTAAACTGAGTGACATATGATATGTCAAATTGTCATTGATTGAAAGTCTTTACAACTATCAAAATAAACATTTAATATGGCATGGAGCAAAACCATTTAACTGTTTAGTTAATTTTATTAGTTGGAACATGTTTTTCAATCAATTAGGACATTATTCTCAGCCTTAGTCTATTAAAAGTAAAAAAATAAATGAAAATTTGAGATAAAACCCTCCAATTAATTCAAAATATAAATTTCATACCTGTGTGACACACAGAGTAACTGTATGAATTAAACAGATATATTTATTGTTTATTTATCCACGAATGTTTTGTTGTTGTCAAGATGCCATTTTTAAAATCTCCTAATTGGAGAGTTAATAAGAGCACCTGCTAAAATTTGACACTTGTCACGTGACTGTATTTGGCAAAAGACCACTAAATGATTGTAAAAACCCTGTATAATTCCACCATATTAATTAAAGAGGATTGAAATATGAGTTAAATTTGTGAGGCTTTAATATCATGAGTATCATTGGATAAGGCCTAAACTGGTGTGGATGACCATTACCTAAAATTTCATTATAGTATTTTTTTGCCCATTTCACCGAAAAATACATCTTTGAGATACAGTATATAAAAAAACATTATGACTTTAAACAGCATATATATTTTTTATTTGTAAATACCGACCTCCAACCTCTGGGATGAACTTGAAAACTTCCTCAAATTACCTGGAAATTTAGTTGGTTGTGATAATTTTATTCTACATAATTACTTCAAATCATAAGTGCCACTCTATTAACAAAAGCATTTGAGAAGGTATCACACATACATTCAAAATGTAAATTCAAACACTATGGTTTTACATCTAATGCTCACAAATGAATAACAGACTTTCGCCATGGTAGAACCCACACTGTTGTCATTGGGGAAGAAACATAAAAAACGGAACAAGATACCTCAGGTGTCTTTCAGGTTACTGTCTTGGGTCCTATCATATCCTTACTTCACATCAATGAATGGCTGTGATATTTTTTCCTAAACTTTCAGAATTTCATGCCATGAGATTGGATTATAAAAATATTCCTTTAATACCAAAGAAGAAAATAAGATCTAATCAAAGTACCAATTATTTACATTTAAATTGCCATGCTTTAAAAATAAGTAAATAATATATCTATACAACGGGGTTCTAGGCTACAAAGTAAGTGGATGTATATACACGGAAAAAAGTGCAACCATGCTACAAAATGACACGCTTTTGGACGACATCATATATATAATGACGCGTTTCCGTTCCTCATATCATCTTTTTGGTTCCATATGACTAGCTAAACTTTCATCTTTTAATCTTTTTTATATCTTTTTCAAAGGAAGAAGACGCACGTTATACTCGTATCATCGAAATGCTTTAGCTGAACGTGAATTTTTAAATCATATGAATTATAAACAAAGACACATAAATTCTAAAACACTTTCATAGTTAACTGCTATAAACGTTTGCAAATCTTGTTTTAGTAAGTTAATACACCTGTCGTCAATATCATGCATGGACACCTACAATAGCTTTAAAACGGAGAGGCATTTGGCTCTTTCGTCTTGTGAATAATGGTAAAATTATCCTTAAATATCCCGTTTTTTAATCAAGAACAATGTTACTATCCTTCTTCTCCTTTTTCCAATACTGTACATAACCCGCTCTGGGTCATACGGTAACCGGCAGTAACTTCTGCCAGTTTGGAGTTATCAGTTTTACCAGGTAATTGTATTTAGGTATTACAGTCAACCCAGCCCCGAGTTAACCCGGCCTCAAGTAAATCCGGCCCCAAAATTAGTCAACCCGGTCCCAAAATTGGTCAATCCGGCCCCACAGTATGTCTAATTGGTCAATGCGGCCCCAAAATCGGTTAATCCGGCCCCGAAATCGGTAAATCCGGTCAAAAATTGGTCAATCCGGTCCCAAAATTGAATTTAGAGAATATTCTATTTCATTAAATTATTATGTTTTAGACGATATTTTGTTCTTTCATTTTCCCTTTTGTCTATAAATGATATATTTATTACACACATAAAAAAAAGATTTTCAAAATAAATATAAATAATTTCATATTTATGAAGCATATAATAAAGTTATTGAAAACATTATTAGGGTATAATTTGTCGGTAATTTAATTTCACCAGTTAAGGCTTATATACATAATAGTGATAATGAGATAATATAAACATCAATAATAATGTGTGAGCGTATGCATTTATTCAAACGTGATACATTTTTCAAACATAAAAATGCTTTAACTTATGATGTCTTTTTTGGTACCGTTACTAGTATACTATACTAGTATACTATACTAGTAAATCAAGAGAAAAAAAATTAAATTTATTTTTTAAATAACTAACTTTGGAAATATTTTTCTATTCAGGAAATAATGTGAATAATTATATATCAAGATAAACAGCACAAGAGAATGTATTAAAAAAAAGTTGTTAATTAAACAATAAAGCACATGAGTTAACTAGTTTTGATGACAACGGCTAATGTTATTCTAGATATTATTAATCTTTTTTTTATCTGGCAATAATAATTATTAACATAATTTCTTGAGTAGAAAAAGTTAATGAAGAAAAATTAGTGGCAAATAACTAATAATCTTGCAATAATAATTATTCACATTAGGCTATTTCTTCAGTAGAAAAGTTAATGAAGAAAAAGTAGTGGCAAACTTATAACTAATAATAAAAATAGGGCCGGGTTGACCAGATATCAGATTAACTTGGGGCCGGATTGACTAATTTGGGGCCAGATTCACTTGATATTGTTGAGGATTTTAGCTACTTAGGTGTTAAGTTTAATTATAATGGTAAGTTCAATAAAACTACTAAATACCTGTGTGACCAAGCTAGAAAAGCTATGTTTGCTGTACTTAAAAAATCCAGAACTCTTTGTCTTGATATAGATTTACAGTTACAACTTTTTGACTCCATGGTCACTCCTATTTTGTTATATGGTGTAGAAGTGTGGGGTGTAGGTAACATTGATATTGTAAAGCAATTTCAGTTGAAATATCTTAAACTCATAATGGATGTTAAAAAGTCCACTCCTATAGTGTTATGGTATTTGGGGAGCTTGGTACTCTTCCAATTGATTGTGTCATAAAATGTAGAGTCCTAAATTTTTGGTGCAAAGTCATTAATTCGAAACCTGATAAAGTATGTAATATTATGTACAAACTAATGTTTGAATTGGACCGTCAAAACGTATATCACTCCCCATGGATAGTTTATGTTAAAAAATCATTGCAAGAGCTTGGTTTTGCTGAATACTGGATAAACCAATCTGTGTTATCACCTTCTTATTTTAAAAGTATTGTCAAATCTAGAATCAAAGACCAATATGTTCAAATGTGGCATGAACAGGTGTTTAACTCTAGCAAATGTATCACTTACAGAATTTTTAAATCCTCATTTGAGTTAGAACCCTATTTTAAACTTTTACCTAGAAATCTAGCATTATCGCTGTGTAGGTTTAGATGTAGTAACCATAAACTCCCTATTGAAAAGGGTCGTTATATAGGTTTGGATCATGATTTAAGATATTGCCATCTCTGTCCAAATAATTCTTTATTAGGTGATGAGTTTCATTATATTTTTCAATGTCCTTATTTTAACATTTATCGTAGAAAGTACTTGCCCATTAATTTACGAAGAGGTAACATGTTTAATTTACAGCAATTATTTCAAAATACTGATAGAACTGTATTAATCAAACTGTCTGTTTTTACACAAAGAATAATGTCTATTGTGAAATAATGTTTACCACCTTCTAGTCAGTATCTATTGCCAAGTATTGTCTTTATTTTCATTATTTACTTTTATCTATTTTTATGTATTTTATTTAATTTTTTGTTATTTTTTCATCTTTAAGGTCTCATGACATTTGTAATCGCGTTGTGACACTTCCTATTTAATTTTTGTGGAACTAATTGTACCGGCATGGTGTGGTTGCAGTGTGGGGCTTCATGGGCCCCATGTTGTGGTTGCACCATGTCGCTGCATCACTTCATTTGCGTTTTGGTCAGGAATTTTCATTGTGCGGTTGCATTATGTCTCATTCTAGTCACTCATTTGTAAAGTCATTTATAATTTAAGTATCTCTAGTCTTATTTTTGTATTTATCATGCAAATTATTTTGTCTCAAGCTTTATTTACACATCTGTATTATTTTGTTAATGCTCATTTGTTTGTGAAATTTTACTGTTTATAAAACTTGAGGCCGGGTTGACGAGACCGGTATTTAGTGGTGTGATACCTTGGTAAAATACACACGCAATAACGAAACACAGAGACACCGTATGTGCCTTTTTCCGACATTGCCCAAAGAAGGAGAGACTACACATTAATATCAAGTAAGTATCCAAACTAATCGACTTGATCTACTGTACAAATTGTAACTTTTTACATCAATAATCAAACAAATATATTTATTGAATGATAAATTACTATGTAAGCAAGATTATTGCCCTAGATCATGAAGAAAATAGCATTTATAGGAAGACACTATTTGGCATTTTTCTTTTATTCTGGAGAACATGTGTAGTCACAAGCAAAAGTAATTTGTGATTCCTAGCTTATAATTAGTGTAAGCATTTGAGATCACCGTGCTATCTGCATCCGACCCCGCTGTAATTCCTATGGGGATAATGCAAGCTAAATGAACTATAATCAGATCTACTCCGGACAGGCTGTGCAAGAGACCAACCAGTTGGGGTTTATTCCACAGTGTACTAATAATGCAGGAACTTGAAGAAGTATGTAAATGTTGAAATATATAGTTTACTGAATTCTTAATTTTCAGAATGCCTACTGAAGCTGTTGAGAAGCCTCTGGTAGAGGATGCCAAGGATAACGACTCTGGTTCAGGCACTGAGTCTGATAGTGATGGTTCCATGCCAGATCTAGAAGATCAAGATGTAGCTCAACAAAGTCGGGTAATTTATATGATTTTGGTTTAATGTTACCTTTGGTAAATCTCGCCTTTCAGTGATAATAAAAATTGTTCTCTATAGCGATAAGTAAAATGTTATTAAAGACATTTTCTACAGTTTTATGAAAAATTAATCCTTTCATAAAATTTTCTAAATTTTTTGTATGATGAGTAAAATTTAATGACGAATTTAAAAATAAAAAGAAAAATATATGTTGACGTGTTGGATTTCTTGTAAAATGGCAGTTTCCATGGTAACCGTATATCTAAAAACTGTCAAAATAGCCTAACTGTGTTATAACAAATAGAAAATGTATAAGATAGCTTAAAACACACAACGAGCATTGTTTTATGCAAAGATAACCTTATCTAATGATTCTGTATGAAACAAATGATAATCTGAACATATTTCTTTAAAAAATGAGTTTTCCATGTTCCTCAACCGAACAAAAAATGAGTAAAATAAACATGAATTCTGAGAATAATTAGAGATATTGAAAAAATGGTTTCATAGAATTTTCTAATTTTTTTGTATGTTGTGTAAAATTTAATGACAAATTCAAAAAGAAAAAGAAAAATATATGTTGCCGTGTTGGATTTTTTGAAAAATGGCAGTTTCCATGGTAACCGTATATCTCAAAATTGTCAAAATAGCCTAACTGTGTTATAATAATGTATAAAATAGCTTTTTACACTCACAATAAACATAATTTTATACAAAGCTAGCTTTATCTTAGGGTTCTGTATAAAACAAACGATAATTGGAACATATTTCTTTAAAAAATGAGTTTTCATGCTTTTTAACTAAACAAAAAATGAGAAAAATAAACATGAATTCTGTAAAAAATTAAAGCTATCAAGAAATTTCTTTCATAGAATTTTCTACATTATTGATATATCAAGTATTATTTGATGGTGCATTCAAAAGTAGAAATAAAATATATATGTTGACGTGTTAGTTTTTTGTAAATATGCCGCATATGCCAACTGTCAAAATTACCACGCTTTCTTAAGAAATATCAGTGTTATACTAAATGTATTGTCAAATATACAACAAAAACATGTTGTAATAAAAATTTCTTTTTCTTTTGATGTTATATTAAGTAAATGATGCTGAATATCTTTTTAAAACATATCTAGGGCCATATTATTTTTTTCACTCGACTAACATACCCACCCGAACAGTAAGCAAGTATTCAGAAATTTACAAAGAAAATAATGAAATTCGGAACATTTCTTAGATATTAATTTGTTTTTTTATTCAACACTTTTAAAATATATCATTTTAAACTTCTTTGCCCAGTTGTCTGCCAGTAATCAAGTCGCGACGCACTTTCGTCACTATACCACAAGTGGGTGGGGTAACGCGCGCAGAATTATCATCAATGCTGTCTTACTAATGCTTGGAGAAATCCTTTATGTGATGTTGTCTAAACGACCTCTTATTCTTTTGAACCGATCTCCTTTTGAACATTTAGAAATATCTATTCTGTATTATTTACTCATTATTTGCTTATAGCCGAAATTTAAACACTTATCCGAATACTATTCAACTTGACCTTCATTTGAAGAGTAATTATCCGTGATTATCTTTCTTGGAAGCGCATAAGGATGCGCACAGAAAACTACCGAAAACGTCTTTAATTTCAAATTTATAGGACATAATGTAGAACCATGCATATGATAGTTAAATGACTTACCTATCTAGATGTCTGTATACCAGGTCTGGATGCACTAATATGCCTGTCTAATGAACGGATTAGTTTCACCTGGTCAATGTTGCCTGCAGCACCAATGGCTGCTTCTAGAGGAATCACCCAGAATCCCAATGGGCCCTGTTGCCGTCAGGGGTTACAGCCAATCAAGGTTATGAAGCATAATTATACTCGCGTACTCAACCTATCTCGTACCTAGGTCCGTGAGCACCACACTCCTCCCCATCCTATTTTAAGGTGTTGGTCCACCCTGACGACCTAACCAAACAGGCTCTAATTTCTGGGATGACTTTCCTGGTTCTAACCAGTACTGGTATTGCAACTACTTGCTTTTTACAATTAGCACTATAAGTTACAATACCCCTCCTAGTGATTAAGGTACCTATTCTACCAAAACCACAATTTGCAGATCACAGGTCCTATACCAATGAAACATTTAAATCTAAGATGTTTCGAGGCCTCTAACCACTGATCCAAAGTAATCACCTACGGCTTAATCAGACCTGTCCACTGAGAGCAACAGCCTCCCCTCAATGCACAGCCTCAGCGCGATAACCAGTCAGTTGGAAAACGCGCAACGTGACCCCACCGATCATATCCAGAGCTGCATCAGTACTGAGGGTGTAGTACTTAAGTACCAGTACCAGTACTTGGCAAATTATGCAGTACCATTACCAGTACCAGTACTAGATTTTAGCTCTGTACTGCAGTACCAGTACTTTTTTTGGTGAAGTAATTAAGTATCAGTCCATTTTATTATTCAAAAAAGTTTGAAAAATAAGTGTAAAAAAATTTGCAATAACCCAGCAAAAAACAAAATCAAATTTATTTAAAAGTTCATAACAAATTAAACTTTATATTTTTAAAATAACTTTTTACAAAACAATATTTACAACATATATATATTCATGTCATATCTAATGTTTTAGTAACCAGTCAACTGTATAAATACAATGCAACATCTTTCATTTAAATACAACAGTCTTTTGTTGCCTTTCATACCTTCACACCTCTGTTCAATTTATACCAAAGTAAATAACAACTTTTTATGGTGTTAACAATATCACTTTTTTTCACTTGAAATGGGATTAATTAGAATAGAAGAAATTAATTAGTGTTTATTTTGCGCTTTTACTAGTAAATACAAAGTAATAAAAGATTTTAATAAGGATCTTGTAGGGTAAAGAGTTATTGAGTCTGTTTATCTTAATTTAATTTTTACTTAGTCTTTGGTGCTTTTTATGATAAGTACTATGTTAACATTTGAAAGAATATTGCAGGGCAAATTATCTTTAGATTTGATAACTTACTTTTTCACAAAAAATAAAAATATAGTTAATTTAATTAACAGCTTTATTTTATGAGAAAAATTGATGCTATTTTTAATTTTTATCAAAACCAAAAGTACTGGGTAATGCAGTAGCAGTACCACTTTTTAAGACAGTAATGCAGTACCAGTACCAGTAGTAGCAAAATTTTGTAAGAGTAATTCAGTATCAGTACCAGTACTTGCAAAATCGCTGCAGTACGTACTGCAGTACCAGTACCAGTACCAGTAATGCAGCTCTGATCATATCTGGAGTAGAACTTCTACCTTTCGGCGGACTGAAACATGGAGCTTTGGTCTCCAGGAGTCTGGAATACTCACCTTAATGACCGTCTCCAAATGGTCGTTTGACCGGCAGCTCACAGCAGTGAACTCCACACACATGTTCTGGAACTTCTCCAGCCACCACTGACTGATCCCAAGAGGTATACATCCAACTCACCTAGTGAATTGATCCACCATCACAAGTACAATCCATGTACCCGTTCCATGGGGATTCTGCCTGGTAATCAATTGTCAAATGGCACTTCTCCTGCCAGTCAACTTACCTGCCTTACACTATGAAACAAGCAGTTTCACATCATGGCCAAAACCATACCAGGTATACTCCTCTTTAACTTGTTCCCTATTACATGTTACAACCTGATGACCTGAAGATGGCAGGCTATGATCATGAGAAATAGCCTCCTTTAGATCTTCGGCAATACTTATAGAACACCCTAGTGCTTAGGGTCATCAGATCCAGGCACTAACTTGCCTCAACCTTACAATTGTTGCTAGCCCAGTGATGACAATATACTTTAACATACACAATGTATCACAACTGGCAAGCTATATCAATTTACCCCTTGGTGACTGTTACACTCTTTGGTAAATTTCTCTCCATCAGAGACTTTTTGTTGCAAGGTATGGGCTTGCCATTCCCATTCATTGGTGTCAATGGCTTTAAAACCTTCAGCCCCGTAAACTTTTTGTGCTTTCGCCACCCCCCCCAGAATATGATTTAATGTAAATTTCTGGTCTGTTTTCCCTTTGTAGATGAAGTACTCAAACCCCTCAAAAAGGGCCCCTGGGCTTGTTATTAAATACCCCTTAAAAGCAATTCACCCCAGTTTTTCCCAGGATCGATCAATGCCCCGTGGGATTTTGTATGCCCCCTTTCCCCCATGTCAAAACCTGGACAGTGTTGCAAAAAATTTAAATAACCGAGACAGTCCTTCCCCCACCTTCCCCAATTGCCTTTGTGGCCCCCGGGCCCCCCATAAGCCCTCAAAATGATGTATTCCCTTACACCACAAACAGTCTATTTCCCAACCCTCGATCAGGACAATTTTTCTAAAATGCCCCCCCCCCACAAATTGAAACACAAATAAGGCCCCTTTCTTATGGTTTCCTAAACCAATAACCCTTATCAAATTCTGTTTACAACTGTTGGATCGCCTCATTACATAAGGTTATCCAGGGTGGAAGATGAGCTAACCGATGTAGCTTCAACCGCAAAAAACATCGCGATTTTCATCAATCGCGCCGCCTAGTATCCCTTCTTGCTTACCATGCATGGCTTGTACACCTGTTGGTACTTTCTTACAATTTGAATTGCCCCTTGGCACTAGACGGGGACTGCATACAAACATGATGCCCTGCATCTTTGTCAAGCAGCCCTTGGCAGAAACGACTAATAACTTGCTCTTCAATAAATGAGACTGGCAAGCCCTTGAATGCTCTTACCGCCAGAATCAATAAGTCTTTCTCCAAAATCTTCCAAAGACTCGTCAGGGTTTTGACAAGCCTGCTGGAATTGTGCCTGAAACGCAGCAGGTAAATCATGTTGCCATACCGCGCTTTCCAGCATTAAGCATAGACTCCTATATGAGTCTACCTCTTCTGTGTCATTCAAAATGACAAAGTACTCCATGGCCTTTCCTGTCAAACACCAGCAAAAGACCATTGAGCTTCTCCCCCTCTGACCAATTAGAGGCCTCGCAACCTTAAACTTTAAAATAAAAGCTTTCCAGGAGCCTACCCCATCAAACGTCAGATGCCTTGGTAATGATTTTAATGTATCGATTAACAAGCTGGGCCTACACCTTTCATGTTCAGCCCCATACCCCCTTGGGTATGATGGTTTACCAATGTCGGCCTCAACCATGACAACCCACATGTTGGATATTCTGTTCCTCTAGATTGTGCCAAGGATTTCGTTCCCTCCTAGAAGAGAAATCAATGTCCCTTGGGGTATACCTACTACTAAGATAAGGGTCCCCACAAGATGCATCCTCACCCGATGTAGGTTCCTGACCTTGGCTATCCATTTGTGGACCTTTTGCCATAAGCCGAGAAGCTACATCCATTTCACGCTTCAGGGAAAGCCCTTTACTGGCTTCTATCAACTCATCCTCTTTTCTCTTCAGCTGGCCAACACTTATTGGACGTAAAATCAATAAGTGCTAGCTCATCCTCCGTAAACTTTTTACGGCAAATAACTGACAAAATCTCTGGTGTGATATTGCCACTATTTTCCCTAACTGATAAAAGGGCTACAGCTAATTTCTTACCGATTCCAGGAAATAAGAATTAACTGGTCAATATCACAAAAAATTTAATGCTACAGGGCTATGGAGCCCTGTGACCGGCGCATCCTTTACTGATGAAGCGTCTGCCACGCCTGTCAAGTCATCTTGCTGTGACATGGTTCAATTACTTTGTGTACCAATTACAAGAAAACAACAAAACTTATTTATCAAAAAATAAACAAATTACTCTATTAAATTAATGTTAAATTTAATAAAATACGATGGCAGAACAAAAGCACAAAACTGACTTGGTGATTTCACACTCAACACCGGTAGGCTATTTTCCTTTGGTGTTTCCACGGGAAAAAAATCCGCCAAATTCGAATAATTATCTCAATTATCCAAAAATTACACGTAAAAGTGCCTTATGAAATAAATGCAATTGTCTTTAGACCAATTGCACCTGTTAACAGACACAAGGTTCGATTAGTTTAGGTTTACAAAAATGCCTCACCTAAAATCAGCTGTTTTGCAGATAGCGATTTTTTACTGGCAAAACTGGTACTCAAATTACCGCTGCCACCATTGTAGAACCATGCATATGATAGTTAAATGACTTACCTATCTAGATGTCTGTATACCAGGTCTGGGTGCACTAATATGCCTGTCTAATGAACGGATTAGTTTCACCTGGTCAATGTTGCCTGCAGCACCAATGGCTGCTTCTAGAGGAATCACCCAGAATCCCAATGGGCCCTATTGCCGTCAGGGGTTACAGCCAATCAAGGTTATGAAGCATAATTATACTCACGTACTCAACCTATCTCGTACCTAGGTCCGTGAGCACCACAATAACAATTAGTTTATAGTGAGTACTTTGGTAAATGTTTTTTATAAATTTTTCATTTGTTGCTAAAGCAGTCTTCGAAATTAGCGCCAGTCCGAGGCCCGAGGCCACTAAATTTAGCATCGGTCCGGTGATTATTGCAAGGTTGGTGGTCCGACGGACCAGTAGATTTTTTGTCATGAAAAAATATTATAAGAAAAATTCATCAAAATAATGAAGCAGGGTTCTCTAAAAGATTGATCTTTTTGCCTTTTTTTGCAAATGAAACCCACCAATTCTGTCCTAAATGTTCAAAACAAAGCGAGAGATGTCTAAATTGTATTGAGCAATGGAAGCCGCCATTTTTATGCCACCGCAGCATCTGCGATGCGGTGGCATATAGCGATTCACCTGTGTGTGTGTGTGTTTGTTTGTGTGTGTGTGTGTTATATAGATTATATAGTGAACTTAAAAAATCTTCTTGTGAAAAACCACTAGTCCAATTTCAACCAAACTTGGCAGGATTGATCCTTGGGTGAAGGGCTTCCAAAGTTGTTCAAAGAATTTCATTCCATGCAGAAATCTGGTTGCCATGGCAACCAAAAGGAATTATAAGACTAAATTTAAAAAATCTTCTTGGAAATACCCAAAAGGCCTAGAGCTTAGATATTTTGCATAAGGCATTGTCTGGTAGACCTCTACCAAGGTTGTTCAAATTATAGCCCTGGGGTCAAAATCGGCGCCGCCCCGGGGGTCATTAATTTTCACTATATGTAGATATAATAAAAACTTAAAATACCTTCTTGTAAAGACCCAAAAGGCCTAGAGCTTAGATATTTTACATAAGGCATTGTCTGGTAGACCCTAACCAAGATTGTTCAAATTATAGCCCTGGGGTCAAAATTGGCCCCGCCCGGGGGTCATTGATTTTCACTTTATGTACATATAGTAAAAACTTAAAATACCTTCTTGTAAAGACCAAAAGGCCTAGAGCTTAGATATTTTGCATAAGGCATTGTCTGGTAGACCTCTACCCAGATTGTTCAAATATAGCCCTGGGTCAAATCGGCCCGCCCTGGGGGTCATTGGTTTTCCTTATAGTAAAAAACTTATAGTAAAAACGTTTCTTCTAGCAATTGACAAATGCTAGAGGTTAGATATTTTGCATGAAACATTGTGAAGTAAACTTCTAGCAAGATTGTTCAAATTAGAGCCCTGGGGTCAAAATTGCCCCACCCGGGGGTCATTGATTTTCAATATATACATATAGTAAAAAATCAAAAAATCTTATTGTCTGAAGGTACAAGGCTTAGAGCTTTAATATTTGTTAAATGGTATCATCTTTAGGTACGCTACCAAAGTTGTTCAAATTTTGCCTCTAGTGTCAAAATTTGCCCCGCCCAAGGGCCATAGGTTTTCCTTATATGTATATAGTAAAAACTTTAAAAAATCCTCTTCTCTAAATTTACAAAGACAAGAGTTAAGATATTTTGCATGAAACATTATGTAGTGAACCTCTAGCAAGGTTGTACAAATTATAGCCCTGGGGTCAAAATTGGCCCCACCCCCCAGGGGTCATTGATTTTCACTATGTACATATATTAAAAAATTAAAAAAATCTTCTTGTCTGAAGGAACAAGGCTTAGAGCTTTGATAGTTGGTATATAATATCATCTATGGGTCCTGTACTAAAGTTGTTTTAATTATGCCCCTAGTGTTAAGATTGCCCTGCCCAAGAGGCGATAGTTTTCCTTATATGTATAAAGTAATAACTTAAAAAATCTTCTTCTCTGAATTGAAAAATCTTCTTCTCTGAATTGACAAAGGCTAGAGGTTAAATATATGGCATGAGACTTTGCAAAGTGAACCTTTACCTAGATTGTTCAAATTATAGCCCTGGGGTCATAATTGGTTTTGCCCCGGGTGTCATTGATTTTCATTATGTACATAAGCTACAGCTTAGATATTTGACTTGAAATGTTGTTTGGTGGACTGTATCAAGATTGTTTTGAATTAAACCCTTGGGTCCAAAATTTTGCCTTGCCCAATGGGACAGTGACCTACTTTCTTGTCGTTTGATGTACAGCTATGAAATTTGAACCATGTGCACAGATTAAATCATTAAGATGTAAAGTGAACTTTGATTTCAGCTGACCTAGATTTTGACAAAGTGTCTTACTGTGTTGTCCTTTGATGTAGTCATGAAATTTAGGCTGTGTGAAATATGACCTTCACCACCAAATTCACTAGACTCGAGTGCATTGATATATTCCTACTCTGATCTTTTATTGAGTTAACAACAGATTTAACCACTAATCTCATAATAAGAATAAGATTGGTCAGGGATCTATGCATTATGACAATCTTCAAAATTGTATAGAAACAAAAAAATCTGTTCCTACACTACTATTTAGTGTTGTATTAATGCGGTGGCATAGCATTTTTCTCAAATGCAATCTTGTTTTTTCTTGGATATTTTCCGTACCGCACTGTACAGTTACGGAAATTAAACCATTGTTTATTATGGTCATTATTTAGCTATGATTTTGTCATTATTGAGTTAAGTAAATATTTTGTGTGAAAGTAATTTGTTTGAAGCAAATTGCATTGTTCATGTTCAATTCTAGTCAATTTTGCCTAAACATTTGGTCCTTAAAGATTTTTCAAAGCTGTCAACCTATGGCCCAGAATACAAGACGTATTATGCTTCTTTCAAAATTATCAAGGGAAGCATGATAAAGTGTTTTCCTGTTCCCATCAATTAATTACCTATCTATGTATTTGGTCCGTCTAAAAATCACCAGGTCCAGTAAGATTTGATATTTTACTGGCCCGAATGTCCTGTGCCTTTTAAAGTTTTTCGTGAAGACTGCTAAAGCTGAAACTTTTGTATTGTATTTAAGGTTGCTGAAGCAGCTGGTTTACCAGAAGAACTTGTCAGCAAAGCTAAACAAAGTAGGAGTGAAAAGAAGGCCAGAAAAGCAATGTCAAAGCTTGGTAAATTTCATAACACTAGTGACTTGAATTATTTTCCGCTTCAGTTTTGAAGTGTAAATCCATCATGTGTGCTCTTTTTTACAGAGGAATAAGATATATTCATCTATATTTTGGTGAAAAAGTGGAAAGATATAATGTATTTGAATACACTAGTCTTGATGCCTAGATAATTTTAGAAGCTCGTTTGTTCAGATGTACAGGATAATACAATTTCAAACCTTTGTTATAAGGATAACCATTTTAAATTGTCATATAAGATTATAATGAGAAAGTATGGGGAAAAAAAGATTCGTAATTTAAAATCTAATCCCATCAGTTTGTTGGCTGGCTTGTAATGATGAGAATTTCTTTCCCCGTCTTATCGACATATGACGATTGAAGTAAAATTTGTCAAGCCAAGATTTTCTGATGCAAGCCCAAACTGTGTTTTCCCTTTTTGAGCAACATGTTGTATTCATTTATTTGTTGCAGTAATGATAATTTTGTTGAAAGATATATGTAAATATAACACTTGATGTTAGTTCAGGAGTACAGGATAATATAAATATTACAGGTTTGAAACAAGTTACTGGAGTGACCAGAGTGACTATCAGGAAATCCAAGAATATCTTATTTGTGATTGGACATCCAGATGTTTACAAGAGCCCAGCATCTGACACATACATTGTTTTTGGTGAAGCTAAGGTAACTAGTAAAAAGAGGCTTTTGATATTTCAGTTAGAACTTAGGAAAGCTTTGTTTTTCTGTTTTAAATTAATAATTATATTTACAATGCTTTGAAATATACATTTCACCCATTTTATCAAAGGCGCTACTTGTCCAGAGTTTTATCATTTTCAGAACTGTATTGATTATAATGAGATGAATAAACTTGCGTATTAGAGGGATTGGCACTACTCGGAGACGGATGATCAATTTTAATCATGAAATAAACTAAAAATGTATTTTACTTCAGATTGAAGATCTGAGTCAGCAAGCACAGATGGCAGCTGCTAAAGATTTCCAGAGACAAGATCACCCAGCTGGTCTTGGAGATCTGCCAAGTACAGTATCACAGCCAATACAAGAGGAATCTGAGGAAGAAGATGAGGTACATTTCTTTGTTTGTTCTATTTGTCATCTGTCTGGGAAAATTTCTGTTTCTTAAAATATTAATTGACCGAGATATAAGAAAGAATTGGACACAAGCTTGGTATTGACTTCTTATCATTCTGATACAGAATCCTGGTCGTGATTGACTTCAAGAAATGTTAATATTGTTATCATGAAAAATACAAGTCAGGCATCAAAAAATATTTTCAGATTTACTTGTCCTGCATGTTTTCTGAAATTCTGCTTGTAAATAGCAAGTGGAATTTTCTATCTCTGCAAGTTACATGAAATCATGAGGCCATTAAGTATAGTGAGCATGTGTATGATGAGAATTCTTTCCCCGTCTTATCGAAAAATGACGATTGAAATTGATTTTATGTCAAGCCAAGATTTTCTGATGCAAGCTCACTTGTCAGTTTATTTTGGAAAGAAAGTTTTGATTTGATAAGGTTATCTAGTATGGAAATAGAATAAAATATGAATATCTTCAGCATGGATGATAAGTGTTGAGTAACTTTCTTTGAGTGAACTTGAAAAACTTGTAATGATGAGAATTTCTTTCCCCGTCTTATCGACATATGACGATTGAAATTGATTTTATGTCAAGCCAAGATTTTCTGATGCAAGTTTTTCATAAGTTTTCAGGGCATTTTTTGTCAAAATTGTGAAGGGGCCTGCACCTGTTCATTTTGTGAAAAAAGCGCGATTTGTTATAAAATTGTGAAAAAAAATTACATAGCATTTGGTATTTAGTGACAATTTTAAACTAGAAAATCTGCTTCAAGTCGATACTTTAACCCGCTAAACATGTGCTAAAACCATTTAACTTGATTAAATCTACTATAACCGTGTTCTTGAGATTGGCGTAAATCATGTTTTACTGGAAGGTAATCAATGTATTTCAAAGACAAAGTCCCAATATTTTGTGAAATTTTTTTCCCGCCACTTTGTGAAAAAAAAGTGCAATTGTGAAGGGGCCTTATACCGGCCCCTGTTATAGAAGAAAAAAAAAAGCCCTGGTTTTTGTTTGGAATTGGATGTGATATATTTCCTATAAAGTTCTGAATATGCTGAAAAAACTATTTTAAGTGTCTTTATCGAGATTTTTTGAACATAGTTAAGTTATTGCATCTGTTGCAACAAAATGCACTTCATAGTTTCCAGTGATTATAGTTTATTATTTAATTCAGCATTACAAAATGTTTTTAGTAATCAGTGGTGTCTCCCACTTAATTGATTTTGGGGAGAAATGTTGTTAAAATTGCTTACTTGGGAAGTAAAAAAGCTGTGGTAAGTTCTAATTTTTGGGAAAACTTCATGATTTTAAAGAAAATTTCAATGGGGAAAAGGCCTTTTATATGAAAATTTCTTTCCCCGTCTTATCGACATATGACGATTGAAATTGATTTTATGTCAAGCCAAGATTTTCTGATGCAAGTTTTTTGTTTGGAATGGGATGTGATATATTTCTGAATGTGCTGAAAAAATTATTTAAGTGACTTCAGCAGCAAAATAAAATGTTAATTCAGGTTTATCTTGTCTTGATTCAGATTGTTTGAACATAGTAAAGTTATTGCATCTGTTGCAACAGAATGCACTTTATAGCTTCCAGTGATTACAGTTTATTATTTTATTCAGCATTATAAAATGTTTTTAGTAATCATTGATGTCTCTCACGATTTTGGGGGGAAATGTTGTTAAAATTGCTAATTTGGGAAGTAAAGAAGCTGTGGTAAGTTTAAAATTTTGGGAAAACTTCATGATTTTAAAGAAAATTTCAATAGGAAAGGCCTCTTATAAAGGGAGGAAAATCACTGGTTATAAGTCAGGAAAAAATCTTAATGCAACTTGATTGTGCTCAAATCAAGCAATATAATGGTCCTATTATGCTTAAACACCAAAATAAACTTAGGACTTTGTCACTTGAATTTTGTTACATGTGTTATGTTGGAATCGTTTAAAAATATGAATTCTTATGACTGCTTGCAATGATGAGATTTCTTTCCCCGTCTTATCGACACATGAAGATTGAAATTGATTTTATGTCAAGCCAAGATTTTCTGATGCAAGCTGTTCTTAGAATTTTTAGTTTCCACAGCAAGACAATGTATATTTGATAAATAAATTAATATATAAATTTTATCTCATACCAAAGTTATTTTGACTCAACTTCATTAATTTTGCAGTGAGTACTTCTCTAAAGATAATTATGAATTATGTTAGAAAGGATAAATAATATTGACTTCTTTCTTCTACATTGAAATTTCCTGCATATACATTTTACAATCCTTAGATTTCTTTGTTAGTTTTTTTTTTTAAAAAAATTATTCTACTATATTTTGTTTTCTGCTTGTAATGATGAAAATTTCTTTCCCCGTCTTATCGACACATGACGATTGAAATTGATTTTATGTCAAGCCAAGATTTTCTGATGGAAGCATTTGAAAACAAAAATTTGTGCTGAAATTGCTTTTTGTTCACAAATGTGGAGCATTTTAAAACATACATCTTTTTCTTAAATTTTCTTAATCTTTTGCTTATGAAACATTAAATGAAGATGAAAAGGTTTGACAGTTAAGAAAGATAAATTATAGGTAAAAATCTAAACTTTTGCTACCAGGATTATCTTTAAAAGAAGTATTTTCGAAAATGTAATTTCTGGTTAAACAGATTTTTGTGGTCCTATTAGTGTTATGATTGCTGGCTTGTAATGATGAGAATTTCTTTCCCCGTCTTAACGACAAATGACGATTGAAGTAAACTTTGTCAAGCCAAGATTTTCTGATGCAAGTCCATATTGTTTTACTTTGATGTTATTGTTACAGGGAATTACCAAACTGTCAAGTTTTATCTTGGATTGAATGAAGTGGATAATTTTGACGTGTTTTAATGATTTGTTAATTTTCTGATAATTTCTCACGCACTTTTTCTTCTGTAATGATTTGATTGGAGATTGTAAAAAAACACTTTTTATGAACTCAAGTTTTTTAGAGTTTGTAGATAGTAAGGGGAAAACTTGTTGCCTTCCATGTGGTTATGAAAACCTTTTCTCTATTTAATAGAATTTATCGTAAAACATGTCGAAACTAAACTTGCTATGATGAAAATTTCTTTCCCCGTCTTATCGATATATGACGATTGAAATTGATTTTATGTCAAGCCAAGATTTTCTGATGCAAGTTGTTATTGCCAATGCTTAATAGCCCAGAAAGATCATGGTTTATATAAATATTGGTTTCTGTTTTGGAAAATAAAAACAACCACACCAATTATAAAAGTAACTTTCACATGGAGGTGATACTTCTGACTTTAAGACGTCTTTAGAACCATGATCAAACATTAAAGTTTTTACAGTCTAACTAAATCACAAACTTCATGTATTTTAATGTATTAGCATTTTACAAATTATGATAATAGAAACCTTCCACTCACTACCTAATGTCAATGTCAGAAAAAATTAGGAATTAATATTAAATTCTGACACTGCTTGCAATGATGAGAATTTCTTTCCCCGTCTTATCGACATATGACGATTGAAATTGATTTTATGTCAAGCCAAGATTTTCTGATGCAAGCAGAGATGAAAAAATCAGCGTAAGGTTAGTTTTTCATAGATGACCAAGATTGATTATAATACCAGATTTGAAGATTATATTATAGCATATGCCACATCTGACAAAAGCTGTTTTGTAAAGACTGAATTGTAAATTTGTTTGTTGTATATTTCAGATTGATGATTCTGGCGTGGAGCCAAAGGACATTGAGCTCGTCATGTCACAAGCTAATGTTTCTCGGAACAAAGCTGTTAAAGCTCTCAAAAATAACGGAAATGATATCGTTAACGCTATAATGGTAAGTTTAATACATTAAGTCAGCTGTATTTCAGTTATATACACTGAACAACTTAAGCAGTGCTTTTGGAAACTGATGCTATTTGCTCATTAATATTGTGTATAAAATGAATAGAATTTTACAGTCTCGTTTGTTTTTGTTTTCAGAAAAGCAACAGTTGTACTTTTTCTAAGGTTATTAATAACTTTATGTCATAAGGGCTTGTAATGATGAGAATTTCTTTCCCCGTCTTATCGACACATGATGATTGAAATTGATTTTATGTCAAGCCAAGATTTTCTGATGCAAGCTCCTTTGTTGATAATCTAGTACACAATAATTGAATTTTGTCAGATTCTGTATACTCAAGAATTTGGATGCAATATTGTTCTAGTTGAAATATTCTTAAACCTTTTTGTAAGAAAGTTAATTCAATATGTTAGTGATATTTAAAAGAGTATTTCTTGATATCATATATCTGGAGAAATAAGATTCGAAATTATGTTTTTCTCCTGATGTTAATGTAAAATACATGTATATAATGAGAATTCATGTGTTCTATTTTCAGGAGTTAACGATGTAACATAGAACTTCCCTGTATGTGTGCGTGTGTCCGTGTATGTTCCTTCTTGATTGTCATTTGTACTGTTGCCATTATGAGCAAAAAGAAAATAAACTCCTATTTAAATCAATGTATTGTTTTGGATATTTCATTTACCAGAATATATACAAGATAAGATTCTATTTGGCAGTCTTTTTTGATGTCCTTAAAGCTGATTTTAGACTGAGAAAAAGTTATCCCACAATCCTTATTAAAAATGTCTAAAAAAATTGATTGCAAATTGTACCAGAACTGAGTCTGATACAATAAATTATTGGTCAGAAAGCACACTGAGATACCTCTTCAAATAAAGATGTATGCCTACCAGTTGCGAGACTGACGTAAATGTACTGAAAGGAACCCCTCCAGGAGTGAGTTTGTGTTTCCACTTTTAAGAAATGTTGCATATTGCTTTTTGTAAAAAACATTTTGCTGAATTTATATGAAATAATGGTGTTATTCAAATACAGGCATTCTAAGTTCTAACTGTTGAAGCATTTAATCTCAAAATTTGTGATGGAAAAAAAATTGGCTTTTTAGTGACCTTGACCACTAATGAAAAATGTATTGCAGTTTCACAAAGCACTGGATGACATGTTGAATTTTTAAAGTTTTTTTCCTGAGCCAAAACGCAGTTACTAGAAGTAAAGCCTTGCTCAGGATTGCTGGTTACTGGTTATTTTGTGCCATATACCAAATGCTATTCATTGTTGATGAAATTGTCTGTCCCAAGTCGTGATTTTAAATGCAATGACTGAATGAGAAGGTATTAGTGTGCACTGCTGTTGCCTAGAAGTGCAGTGTCCATATTTTTTGGAGTTCATCCCTTTACTTGATTCTTGCCCAAACATAATGAAGGTACAGGGTGAAAGTTAATACAAGGATTGATCTTGAGGCAACAAAAAAATAGTGAATTATTTACCTATATAACTTTGTAATCTTGTGGAAAACTTGGTTTCAATAGAAATATTCATAAATGGATAGACTTTGTTGAGAAGTGTAATGCCCAAAATCATCCCCTCAAACTGACTGACTTCATTTACTAATAATTTTGTATTAATTGAAATTAATTCACACTAAGGCCTTTTAAATAGAATTTCGTCAGCACAAAGCGCTCAAGGTAGGACGTTTTAGACCAGTTTGTCCTGGTGTCCACATTTTAGGGGTAGTCACAGTCCTGATGGATCTTATTGTTCCACTCGATTAAGTCTTGACAAGTTCAAACATGGTTCATCTGAAGTACAAAAACTAGATAACAAGCTTGAACTGAAAACTGTAATACATTTCTGATATTGTTCCTCTCGACAATATCTTGAACAATTTGGTCAAAACACTAGGTCACCTGGTGAACATCTGGGTCTGATATACAGATTTTATAATGCATTTATTCCAAGACCTAAAACGAACAATTACCAAGCCCTGACAAAATTGCGTGTACGTTCTTGATTGTCAAATATTGTAGATCCAATCTCATTAAAATCATACCATAACTGTCGCTCCAGTACCCTTTGTAGCTAATAATAACGGAGCAGAAACGATGATCTGATTTTAATGAGATTATTGTTTGTACCCTAATCACATTGACAAACATGAAAATCTAACAGTAAGTACTAAGAATTGCGATGAAACGAGGAAACTTACGTCGAATTTGAAGGGACCCGTGCAAAAAAAGTTATTAGCTTTTAAAAAACAAAACAAATGAGAGTTCAACTACACATTGTCGCAAAGTTGAGCTTCCCTGCATAAAGGGTCGAGTGCTTTAATCAAAATAATCGGATGAAAGACCGTGTGGCAGTGGTCTATATGAAACTTAGCCAGGTATAAAAATACCTGTATTTATATAGAGACCTATATTTATATGGAAACCTATTTGAGAAATACATGCATTGCTTGGTGTAAGCCAAATTATAACTGAAAAGGCAAAATCGTCTATATACATGTGTATAAAAACACCCGTGCTTATGAAAGAGACATTACACATTGATCTCGATTGATTATTTGTCTTTCCCAATTATGTAAAGTAGTTTTGGGGGAAAAATGAGGCAGTTCTTAAAATGCATAAAGGTACGCGCACCCTTTAATTATATTCATAGAATAGTAGCCATTACATGTCGGTACCAGCAGAAAACTGCTTCTTTGTTGTTGAGTGACAGTTGGGAAAACAGAGGAGGATGATGACAACAACTTCGATTATACAATATCAAAAATAGTGTTAAAGCCCCCAAAAAATTAAATACCAGAAATGCATCACTTATACAATTTCACATAATTTGAAACGGGCACACATTCAAAAGAAATGGGCAAACTATTTAATTACAATGTATTTTTTTTTTATTTAAACATATTTTATTGCTCTCTTTTTACACATTTATAACATAATAATATCATAATATAAATACAAAAGTAGCAAAAGAGTTGAACCACGAGTTCTTACAACATCAGCAAACGGTTCTTCCCTGGTATATGGAATTATGTAATAATAATAAGACAGTTACAAACCAAAATGTATGATAGTAGAGCAATTGGGGGGAAAATGCACAAGGATAAAGAAGAAGAAAACATTAAATAAAAAGAAAAGAAAAAAAGGGGGATAGAGTTCAGAATGTAGGGATATCAATTGAACGTGGCAAGTAGTATAGATAATATAAAATGTTAAGATTCATATCTACACGATAATTTAATAAATATTTGTACCTTATCAAAAATAAATGAGTTATTCTCATCAGAAAGAGATTCTTTTCCAAACAAAATGGTCTTTACGGTCAAAGGATTGAAACTGCGAGTTGAGCGGAATAATTGCTCTCTTATTTCGTTATATTTGGGATATTTAAAAATGTAATGTTCGGCATCTTCAATACAGGATCCCAGATAGCATTCTATATGGGACCCATGTGGGGCCCATATGGGCACCTATATGGGTCCCATTTGGGCTGCCCATATGGGCCCCATATAGGAAGTGCAACCGGGTTCCAAATGGGTCCCATCTGGGCAGCCCTTATACTCAATATGGGATTCACATGGGCCCCATCTGGGCAGCCCATGTACACAATATGGGCCCCACATGGGCCCCATATGGGCAGCCCTTGTACTAAATATGGGTTTCAAATGGGCAGCCCAGATACTTCCATTATGGGTAGATTTTGAATTCCGGGGTAGATCTATTTTCAATTACTTCAATTATAAGTTTGCTGAGCGTTTAGATAGCAACCGTTTGCTACAGAGCATGATTCTTGTACTTGCGTTAAATATTCAAGTGATGTTTTAACTCATTCTGTTTCCTGGAACAGACAGATTATGGCACAAAGCCTTTATGATCATGCAAGAAAACAATACACAATGTATATGCTTTAACAATGTAACTTTATTTAGTAATCTCACTTATGGTAAGTGTATATCATATATATACAGATTCTCAATACATTCTATGGACGCCTGATGTCAACAAAGAAACCTTTACTTATGTAAATAAACTTAGAAAAGTGTACAATATAAAAATCCAAGTAAACTGTACATATTTGTAAATCCACAGAATTTCATTTTGACTACATAGTTTTTAATTCAAAAATACAGAAATATTAATTATTATTCAAAAAGTCCCAGGTAGTAAATATTACTTTGGTACACTAAATAAGCAACATGTAATGGAAAACTGTTTATAATGTACGAACAAAATAATTAAAAATGCAGTTTTATAACATTAGATACCTTACAGATCACTATAAGGAAAAATGAAACTTATGCTAGACACTGGTAAAACTTTACAGAAGGTCTTTGGAACTCCAAGAAATATATGTGTATAATGTTTAAATTTCAGTAAATCAACAGTAAGACCCTAAATGTCTTTTTAACTTTCTACATAATTCATAGAAAAAGTATTATACATTTACTGTAATTCATTACAAATTTCTATCTACCAATTACTTTCATTTTCAAATGATATAGATCTACATCAATTAATATAAAAAGTTGTTCATAACAACCATGTATTACACTTTGGTATGATAGTGCTGAAGAAAAAAATGTTATGCAGCTCGTGAAAAGTAACAAATATAATAAAACAAAACCTTGGCACAGTTGTAATACTGTTCATAGATGTGTAAACAAAATATTATGCAGCTGATGAAAAAAAAAATTAATATAATTAACAAAACCTTGGCACGGTTGTAATACTGTTTATAGACGTGTGGCCAAAATATGCAGCTAATGAAAAGTAACAAATATAATACACAAAAGGTTGGCACTGTTGTAATTGTCAACAAAATATGCAGCTAATGAAAAGTAACAAAAAGTAATAAAAAAAAGGTTGGCACGGTTGTAATACTGTTTATATAGACGTGTTAACAAAATATGCAGCTAAAGTAACAAATATGATACACAAAAGGTTGGCACGGTTGTTACAAATTCTGTTAATAGACGTGTAAACAAAATATGCAGCTAATGAAAAGTAACAAATATAATACACAAAATCTTGGCACATTGAAATACTGTTTATAGACATGTAAACAAAATATGCAGCTGATGAAAAATAAAAAATAGTTTGTACAAGTTTGTAAAAATCAATAATAATTAAAATGTGATATTACACAAAGATCAAATTTGTTGTGAAGAAATTCATTAAAAAAATTGTCAGTAAAAATAGTTGGTTTCAGTAATTTCTCCGATATTATCAAAGTTTCAACAATAACAACAATAAAGATTACAAGAATCATCATTGTAAAGTATTCCAACTTTATTTTAAAGGTTAATACCATATCAATACATGTGTTCCCTGTTAGTGTCAAGTTTTGACAAGATGTTATAATTGTATTGATCAGTATCAAAAACATTCCCCAAGCATTTAATGTCTTGATTTAAATAGTAACAATGTTTTTTGTTTGTTTCATTTTGCGCCTTTTACGTCATATAGGCGGGTAGTTTCCTAACCATCGTTTCTGGAGAGTTACACCAGTACTAGACTACCTTCCTCCGTGCAGTAACAATGTTTAATGGAAAAAAACAACAGCATATAGACAACAGAAAAACAGCATATAATGTCAACAACAAACATAACATAGCAGCAGAATATACTGACTAGAAAGCAAAATTTGACTAGACAAGAATTTTGCATTTACAAGAAAGACATGCTATGCTGATGACCTCAAACATTAAAATTAGCAACAAAAAGTATAACAAGATAAACAAATGAGCCGCTTACTGTAGTTCTGACCCTTATCACATTTTAAAAATACCTTGATACATATTGACTTTCAATCAGTGGAATAACTTATATGCAGATGAAGTAAAGGTTTGAAAATGTAAAATAAGTCATTTATTTTATGCTTTTGAGTGTATTACTGATGTATCCGTGAAAAATATATTTGATAATTTCACAGTAAAATGATTAAAATTTCAAACTTTTTCTATGACGAGACTACTTTTTAAAGATTTTATCATCATTCAAATTTTTTGAATTCAATAAATAATATCATGGCTATTCAACGTTGATTGTCAAACTTATTTTTCAGCCCAAGACTTCCTGTATTTATGAGAAATGGGACTTAAATTTAACTAAAATTGATGTTAACAGTGGGGAAAACAGATTTAATATTAACGTTAATATTGAGGAAATTTCATTAGCATAAAATAAAAAGACACTTTATTGTTTGTTGTGTAAGATGTAATTTTATATCATTGAAGGAACTTTAAAAAACAGTGTTCTCACGAGCGCATAGCCACTCATGAGAATACTGTTTTTTAAAGCTCTCTTGATGATATAAAATTTCATCTTACACACAAACAAACAAATATCCTCTATAAATTTGCATTTTTAGATTAAAAACATGTCTAGTCACTTCCTTCATTTCTTCAGGTAAGGTCTCTGACACTTTGTTTCTTGCTTTTCTTCCCCATCGCGGTCCCGCGCGCCAGCCAGCCACTTTGAAACCTCTATTTCAACATCCTTCCTCGTTGCAGCCTTTGTCGGCAAGTTCCTTTGGACACATTCTACAAAACAAGCATTCTTATCCTTAAAGAATGAAATGAAGTGAAATGAAGGTATTGAAACCATTCAAAGGTCATAAGCCACCTTGTAGCATTTTGAGCAGTATAAATTGGAATATAAACTAATTCTGGTATGTTTTACCAAATATAGATGTTTGTTTCCTGGTTTTACATAGCTTTTAACAATATTCTGTGATATCGCTGCAGTCAGTTGTAAGCTGAGATCATCTTATCGGTGTAATCAGTAAAGAATGTTAAGGTAAGCAAATAACTTGCTTTACAAGAAGGTGATTTCTGTTTATATTATGCATCACAACACAATGCATGGGATCAAAACCACACAGCATGTAAAATATTCTCTCTTATTAATTTCCATAAAAGCTAGTCAAGCATTTTCCTTCATTAAAGCAATACCCGAAGACACAATAACAAGATCTTGGATAATATATCTATTTTGAAGACACCACTTTGCAAATTTGTAAAATATCACTTACTATACAAAACATTCAGTATCCAGAGGCCCACAAACTTTTCCTTCCCCTTCAGCCACTTCATATTGTACATTCTTGCCAGTTCATTTGACATGGTTTCTTTCATCAAGCGGTCAACAGTTTCCCGTACATCTGCCATACCAAACATTGAGAGGAACCGCACCTTAAATAAAGCAGAACATAAACTTTTTTAACGTTAATTTTAACACTACTAAGTGATGGGCTGCAAGTCACCAAATGACAAATAATTGTCAACTGGACCTCAAAAACATAATCTGCCGAGAAAACTGTTTGGATTGACAAATTAAAAGATCTTCCCTCATATATTTACAGCCTAGGACAACACCTTAGTGACTTGTGCCTTTATGTTTGTCCCCTCCACCGAGTAATAATGGGCACATTATCATTGTTTTTTTTATACAAGAGTTTATTCAATATCAACAGAATAATTGTTGATAATAAAAATAACAGCTCAATTCCTGGGATTTGTGGGTACTAGTCATTTTCCTGGTATTTTGAAAGCTGCCAGCATTTTGATTAATGAATTGACTGTCTTGTCCTAATTAATAATTAATGTTGAAAACGAGGCCAACTGCCCATGTCTTGTGCTCATGGCTATTATAGCATATATAAATAACAAAACTGTGTTCAATATGAATCAAAAAATTAAAACATGCCAGTTTTTAATTCTGAAATTAATGCAGCAAAGTGTTTGTCCACTGTGCAATATTTTCCAACATAAATATAGCAGAATGATTATACATTATCATCAAGTGCTCACCACAGACCATTATGTTATTTCGCTTTTAGGCCAGTGGATATGGGGTATACTTTTTCCAGTTACTAATGGAGCAACATACATGACTAACACTATGCTTACCACAGATGAGAGTATTGTCTGATCTCCCAGAAGCTTATCGAATGCTTCCATCTGCTCAGGATAACGAATAGGGAATGAGATATCTTTCGGAAGTTGCAGCGGTTGGTCATCTGCTGCTGACCTTAACAGCATTCGCTGCACCATCCTCTTAATTTCACGATTCTTCTCTCGCATTGTCTCAAAGACTCGGAGAATCTGTGTAACAGCAGCTGAAAAAAAGGATTAATAATTCTAGGCCATATAATTTTAGAGCTATGTGTGGTCTGGATCCATGCTGGTCGCAAACCCATTATGTTGGTTTTGTCATGACCCGGCTCAAATGAAAAAAATCCAGTATTTTTAAATTTTTCCTTGGCTTTAACAGTAATTAACGCTAAAATCTCAAAAAGGATTGTTGAGTGTGCAAGGTCACAAAATGTGAAAATGATATGAAATCATGAATTAAACTTAACATATTTTTGAGCCTAGGCATGTCATTTGGTGAAAATAAACATTCTTGACTCTTCCAGGGACCGTAACTTTGGATAACAGTAGTGGGGTCAGGCAAGAATATGCGCACAAATTCACATCATGATAAAGACTAACACAAGTAATCATCAATTTCTTTTGAATATTTTTTGAACTAGGGCGTCACAAGGTGAAACTTTCCATTTTTGGCTGTGTCACTCAATCCCGCTTGTTATTACATTTGTTGACTTGTTTTGAGAATATAACATTTAATAAGTATGTACTGTAATAATAAATATATTTATAGCTCCGAAGTTTATACTTACTGGGCCCAATAATCTGCCCACGGAAGGGTGTATCAGAAGCCTTGTATTGAAGAAGCACTTTGCACATCACTGCTGGCCTCTCGCAATGCCTGTGCAGATAAGCGAGGCGGAGATGAAAGTAGGCTTTGTGACTCTTTGGGCGTTGTTGCTTGGTCAATAACTTGTGGTGGCCTACTCTCTGTGTCTGTCTCATTCTCATCAGTGCCACTATCCGATTCATACAGCCTTTTTGATGCCTATTTACAATAAAATGAAAATACATTAATAAGTAATTATAAAATACATATACATTAAGTGAGTTATTGGCGCCAAGTGACAATATGACAATATGATTATGACCCATAATCAGCTGGCAAACATGTACTAGTCTATGTTTACGTACCGAATTGTTGTGCCGCAATTTTGTCTACCAAGGATTTTAGCATGAATGCGTTTGTTTCCCCGATAGATATTTTCATGAACGGGAAGGGCTAAAGACTTGGTCCTATTTGGAAGCTTAATACAAACGTGAAAGTGATAAAAAGATTTTTTTAATTGTCTGGACAATTGTTTTCACAACGGCCCCGGAAGTGAATCACTTGCTTGCAGGCTCGAATCTGGAGTTTCTAGCCTTCTCTTAACTTAAAGTATGTTTTTAAAGGGGGTATAATTTACAATTTTTTTTCGGTTTTTGACCTTTTAAAGATGAACACAGGTTTAATTATCTTTCGGGTCATATTTTTGTCATATCATATTTGTCCGATACTCGTGCCTGTGCAACATAGGGCTTGGTTGGTACTTGGAAAAAATACTTGAATACACCCATAAACACTTTTCATATGAACTACGTAAATAACCGAGGTATATCGAGTGAAAAAATACGAGTTGTTTCCCTTATCTTCGAGTAAAATCGATATCTCTTACGCAAAAACAATACAAATTAAGCCATTTTTAAACCACTAGTAGTTTGTGGTGATTAAATGTCTGATTTTAAAAATTATTACATCAATGGAAAGCTTGGGATCTTAGCTTTGCCACAGTATATAATTGTACATATTTTTGTCACCAAAGTATTTAAATTAACTGTTAAACCTACCATATGTCAGACCATTTTACATACGATTTATACAGCGAGATACGCAACCGGATATCTTTACTCGAAAAACCTACTGATAAGAATAGCCTGTCGTCTGCTAGTTGGGGGGAAAGTGTTTATTGGTGTATTTGTAATAATAAGTATTTGCATTTAATATTTTTAAAATGCTTATGAATGAAATATTGGTACAAAAATGGAAGGGGACTTCTAAGGCTAGGAGGGGTCACTGGATTTCAAATGATGTGTCCCTTAAAAAAGGATCTCTTAAAATTTAGTCTTGATAGAAAACAATATTATTAAAATGTTAGTGTCGACTCCGTCACAGTTAATTTATTCAACAATAACAACTATACACATCCATAGGTCAGCTAAAGTGTCTAATAGTGGGCGTAAATTCTAGAAAATGTCGCAAATTAAACTGACAAAAACTATCGCGAAATTACATGGCAAAGGCAAAAACAAAAAATAAATGACGTTTACACTTACCTACACACACAATAAATCTGTAAGGATATAATATGAAAGGTCGTTATACGAAATCGCCGTTAAATGTTCCGAATTGAAATGAAATATTGTTTTCGTGTACAATTTTACAATTTTAACGTTTCAATACACAATTTGATTTTAAGCGGCAGCGGAAATCACGTCTGCGCATGCTCGAAATAAATTTTTCATCAAATGCTGATTTTTATAAATTATTTCTGAATTAATAGTCTAAAAAACACATTTTTATATTAGATTATAAAAATTAAAACCAATATAAAAACTAAACAAATTAATTTCTCGCACCTGCTCAGGCATGCTAATATTTATTGGGTTGCCCGAATGGGACCCATATGGGTCCCTCATGGCTTGTATATATGTTAATGCTACGATTTTTATAAAAGATAATAGCAATTTATGCCAAGGTGGTCACACTATAGCTCAAAGTAAACAAGTTCTAAAGAAATAAATAAACGAAAAAATCGTTTTTTCCTTATAGTGCCTGTAATATGGGACCCATATGGGTCCAATATGGGCGTTACCCAAATGGACTTGCCCATATTGGTCCCATATAGGTCCAATATGGGCATACCCATATGGGCTTGCCTAGATATAGCCCATATGGGTCCCATATATGCATGTTTGCTGGGATGTACAGTAGCTACAAAACGAGTTATCTCACAAAGATCGCATTAAGATTACTACATTCGTTTCTAATACGTGCATGGTAAACAGATAAACTTCGATCTCCGTATAGAAAATATTTAGGAAACAGTATGTGGTTTACAATGTATATCTATTATTGTTCTAGTCTCAATATTTCGACTTTAAAAACGACCAAATTTACAATCTGATATTACATAGAAGGGCGACCATCGTCTATATAATAAAACGCCATAAAGCGCACAATTTGATAGGCTATTATTGTTCCTGAAAATAAGAATTCAAAAAAATCAACTTGCGTTAATTCTGCAAATAAACATCATAGCATAATCATTATCGGCATTTAAAATCATTGGTATGTCGTAATTCCAATTGTAGAAAGTGCAAAATAATATTAATATAAAAATATCAAATTTATCTGGCTAGTTTGTGGTACAATAACAATGTCCGAAGAGATTCATTTTTGTAGAGATGTATGAGTGTACATCTGTATTACTGAAACATTGAGGTGGTTTTGAGATGTCTGCAAGTTTAGATCATTTTCAAATGATGAAAATTTAAAACATCTGAATATTATTACACATTTTAAAAGTGTTCTTTATTTCTTTTTTATTTTGTACATATAACTGTTTTATTTGAGAAATACATTGACATAGAGGCCAGGGGACATTTTAATGTGAACTTACCCTTTAGCATGTAATAGCAGAGACATAGATCTATGTTATCTATGTCTCTGGTAATATAGTTACTTCGTGCGCACGTTATCAATATTTTCGGTCAAGTCCATATAAACGTATGTATGTTATATCTGTCCGCAGATATAGCTTCTTTGGAATTATATGTTTATAGCTTGTCAGTATTGCCAAACAACTGTTGTGGTGACACAGTTCTGGGGATCATCGGAAGTTATATAATTATCATGTTGAATAAATATGCAAGTACATGTTAGGGTTAGGCTGACCTTAACTTTGGTAGTTAACTCATGCGCACAAGTGAAATATATCGTGAGCACGTGCCAATTATCAGCTGGTTTAATGGTTAGTTTATACACGCGCAAGTAACAGCTAACACGTGCGTACGTGGTAACACGTGCTCACTTGATTTTTGTCTGTGCCATCGTATTCTAAAAGGAAAAAAAATGACCAAAAACAATAACAATTATCTAAAACTCTGAAATAATTAACATACGATCAGTGGTTCTAAATCAAAACTATACTGTACCAGCTTATCTTGTAAAAATGTTTAGCGCGCATCGTTTTCCGGATGACTGTAAGTTGTAATTTAGCAACGAAAACCGGCGAGGAGTACCGATTTCAATCTGGGGCGAAGCGATTTCCGGGTTTTCTCTGAAAGGTATTTTCTCAAAAATATTCGCTAGATGTTGTTCAATTTCAATTAAAAATAGACAAAACTTTTGAAAAAAATATGTATGCAAGTGTTCAGTAACTTTTTATTAGTTTCATTTCAGGTAATAGTTGTTCTTAAACAATGAAACGGATACTAAACTAGAGCAATATTCGGATATTAAAAAAATCGGATTAACAAAGTTGTCTGGTTACGGTAGATATTGATAATAAATTCAGTTTTGTGAAAATCAACAAGCATTTGCAAAACAAAAATTGATTGTTAAAAAGTGATAGTTTATTAAAGAGATGTCATTTGATGATTGTTTAGTTGTGTAAAATTTGGTTCAGTTCTCATTTGATTGAGAATGTTTTAAATACACTTTGTGTTTTTATGCCCCCGCCATGTAATGGCCGGGGCATATAGTGTTACCCTGTTCCGTCCTTCCGTCATTCCGTCCTTCCGTCCTTCCGTCATTCCGTCCTTCCGTCATTCTGTCATTCCGTCATCATCAGTTTCCGTTCATTATTTTAGTAACGGTTGCACACATTCAACTCAAATTTGACATATGGATATGTCATGAGAAAATACAGGTCAAGTTCGAATTTGGTCATGGTTCGATGATTTTTGGCAGAGTAATGCCCCTTTTACTTTGAAAATAATATGAAATTTTCAGTTTCCGTTCATTATCTCCATAATGATACAACACGTTCAACTCAAACTTGACATATGGATATGTCATGAGAAAATACAGGTCAAGTTCGAATTTGGTCATGGTTCGATGATTTTTGGCAGAGTTATGCCCCTTTTACTTTGAAAATAATATGAAATTTTCAGTTTCCGTTCATTATCTCCATAACGATACATCACGTTCAACTCAAACTTGACATATGGATATGTCATGAGAAAATACAGGTCAAGTTCGAATTTGGTCATGGTTCGATGATTTTTGGCAGAGTTATGCCCCTTTTACTTTGAAAATAATATGAAATTTTCAGTTTCCGTTCATTATCTCCATAACGATACAAAACGTTCAACTCAAACTTGACATATGGATATGTCATGGGAAAATACAGGTCAACTTCGAATTTGGTCATGGTTCAATGATTTTTGGCAGAGTTATGCCCCTTTCACTTTGAAAATAATATGAAATTTTCAGTCTCCGTTCATTATCTCCCCAACGGTACAACACATTCAACTCAAACTTGACATATGGATACATCAAAGGAATGCGCAGGTCAAGTTCAAATTTGGTTGTGGTTCAATGATTTTTGGCAGAGTTATGCCCCTTTCACTTTGAAAATAATATGAAATTTTCAGTTTCTGTTTATTATCTCCCCAACAGTACAACACATTCAACTCAAATTAGACATATGGATACGTTTTTGGAATGCGCAGGTCAAGTATAAATTTGGTCATGGTTCAATGATTTTTGGCAGAGTAATGCCCCTTTCACCTTGAAAATAATATGAAATTTACAGTTTCTGTTCATTATCTACCCAACAGTGTTACATATTCAACTCAAATTTGACATATGGATATGTCAAAGGAATGGGCAGGTTGGAATTTGGTCATGGTTATATCCCTTTCACTTTGAAAATAATATAGATACATCTTGGGAATAAGCAGTTTAAGTTTGAATTTGGTCGTGGTTCAATGATTTTGGACAAACTTATCTTTCTTGAATGTTGGAAAAATTTTGAACTTTCTGCTTCAGCACTCATACTTTTGTGGAAATGTATGGCTACAAATATGAAATATGCTATTTTCAAAAGGTCAAGACTGAATAATTTCAGTGCCTTGAACATTGTATGAAAATGGTTTGTGTTAACATTGAAAAGTTTTAAGGGCTTTGAACTGCAAATGAAAAAAATAATTTGTGCAAACAAATTTGGAACTAAATATTATAACATCTGAAATTTTGGCTGCATGCGGGGGCATCCGTGGCATGATGACACATTTCTAGTTTTTTCAGTGGTATTATAAAACAGTCATAATGAATGTTGAACATGAAGTGAGTCTGTTGGTAGAGGAGATCAAAAGAATGGGCAAACAAGGTTTGTTAATTTTGGTTATGTCACAGTGTAAGAAAAATGTACAGCCTGACTGGGACTGGGACTGGAACCTAGGACCCTAGGAATACTGTACCGTGGCTGTACCAACTGAACTATCCGGTTGCTTACACATCTCCTCTCCTACATAGTGAGCAGTTCTGCAGTTCTGAACCGTGACATACTCCCCTGCTATATTGAAATTTGTCCAAGGATTTTACAGAGTTACAGAGCAATGTAATTTAAACTCTGAGCTATATGCAGTTACAGTCTCCTGTTGGGCGCCAATGTCACAGGGTGAGAAATATCTGCAGTCTGACTGGGACTCGAACCCAGGACCCTCTGAATACCGTATGGCGGCTCTACGGACTGAGCTATCCAGCCACTAGCACATCTCCCCTAAATAATGAGCAGTAAAGTCTAACCATGATGGTTAAATTTGTGGTTTATTTATTTTGGAGTGAAGGTTTAAATTTCAAATAACTTTAATATTTTTGTTTCTGTAAAATTTTATATAGTATTCATAAATCTGTAATTTTACCAATTATAAAATCTTCAGCCTTGTCATTGGTCAAACTTACGGCCTTTCAAATAATAACATAATAGTTTGTAGTGTTGCTACCAAAACTAAGATGGTAGTATAATCATACTCTTATACTATGACTGTACCCACAAAGTACATAAATAAAAATTTAGAAAGTGTGCATGTCAGAGGTTCAATTTTGAGAGCCAAAAATAGTGTTATCCAGCAAGAACAGGTAGGATAAGTTGAAATTTTTGTATCTGTTTTGTCATTAATACAACAGTTTTCAGTTGTTAAAAGACATTTCCATTGGTTCTTACATTTGATATTCCTTGGTAAAATCAGAACTGTACGTATTTTAATGACCAACTCTCGGAATTGTGATGGCAATCACTCACTGTTTGAAATCATTGACCTTGAAAAGAACAATTTATTAGCCACTGTTTTTTGTTATACCGGTACTTGATAACACAACAAGAAAGCTTTCCTGTATTACATGCATTCTATACTTGGCATTACAATATGAAATTTGGATAAATGTTTTAGATGTCAGACATTAAAATTACTAGGTTGTATATTATTTTAAGGTATGGTTTGTGGCCTGTCTTTCCATTCTAATGTTTTGTCAGGAGCATTACTTTATAACTACAATGTATCTGAATATTGACTTGAAACTTAAGATATTAATAGGTATCGACTAGAAGTTCAGTGACCAAGTACCTGATATAGTCCAGTTTTTTAATTATCTCCCTTGTATTTAATTTCATAATAACTTTTTGCCCAAAGCACAAGTCCAGAATAGAACTTTAAAAGTGATTGACTATAAGTAAAATATGAGATGTCATAAAGGTTAAGAACCACAGATAAATTTGGTACCATTCTTGAAAAATTTTCCTTTTAATTTTTTGACCAGGTATTGATGAAGCAAAATGTTTTATAAAATTTATGATGATCAATTTTTATTTGTTTGGGTTGTCAGACCAAACAAATAATGGTAGCGAAATTTCAGACCCTGATGTTCTTATTTGCAAATGCCGAAAGTAGTCCAAACTCCTCGAAGGGGTTACTTCCCTTCATAAGTACATTAACGCCGAAAAATTAAGGGGAGATCACTGCGTAAAGATTGTCAAATGACAGGCGCATTAATTTTTGTAACGAAAAAAAAGTTCCCAATTGGTCGAAGATTTCTAATATTGTGTTATTCTTTTATACATGCTTATATTCAGCTCCATGATTATTTACTTCTGTGTTAAACAACAGGTTTACCGTGAACAAAATATATCGAAATTAATAATGGTTACAAACTCTAATTAAGAATAATATGGTATTCTTCATGCTGTTCTCCTATAAATCCCTGTGGTCCAGGGGTTTTCACGCTCGCTCTAGAAGCGAGAGGTCAGGAGTTCAAAACCCAGTTCAGGCAACTTTTTTTTTAAATTGATTAAGCCAAATAAACATTGAATTGAATATCAGTGTTGCAATTAGTCTTAGAGCCAATTTACTATAGTTATAACACTGGAAACAGAATTTGGTGACACTTAACAAACAAATTGGTTTATAATCTCACAAACTTCACCTTTCTGACATTCTGAGACCCAAACAAATTCAGCGCCTTCTGTGCTTTGATTTTTTACAGTTCTGTATTTTCAGTATTAAATTAGTAAAATATGCTGTCTTCTCTGGCAACTTCTTTGTATGACAGTCAGTAACCCTTTACATTTCTTTGTTTTCAGATGCTGATGGTAAATATGTGGTGACGTTTGGTGAATTATTTGAAGATGAAAGATGTGCCAACATATTCGAGGCCTTGGTAGGAACACTACGGGCAGCCAAGAGGAAGAAGATCATCACATTTGAAGGGGAGTTGTTACTACAAGGCGTTCACAATCACGTTGAAATCAAACTTCTATAGTTTTGTAGTTAGTCTAGAATTTTATCTTAACATTTAAACATAGTTATTATATACTCATGTCAATTTCTTTTTATTTTATTTTTTTTGGAAATTTAGCATGCAATATATGAAATATGCAATAATGTAGTGTCCCGATTATGTACACTTGTATGTTGATTATGCATACTTGTATGTTGCTAGATGTTTTACAGATTTAAATGTTTATGTTCAATTCATTGAACATAGTGCCGAGTGATTGGATAGTTTTTTTAATTTGACTGTTAGAAGGTTGACTTGTTTAAGTTTAAGGTATTGTGAATTGTATTGTTTTGTAATGATTTACAAGATGTTTTATGAATTTCATTGATCAATCTGTTTGTGTCACTCAAGGACAGTGCAATTATTTATCTTTAAATGATATTTCATTGACATTGTAATTTTTGCAGGAACATACATGACATGTTTTTTTTATATATTATATATATAATGATTTTGTATTATGATTTCTGTGACAATAAATGTACATCCAAGTTGGCATAAACCAACTCTTTAATTTTTATGAATTTTTAGCTCACCTGTCACAAAGTGACAGGGTGAGCTTTTGTGATCGCTTTTCGTCCGGCTTCCGTCCGTCCGTCGTCCGTAAACTTTTACTTTAAATGACATCTCCTCATAAACCACTAGGCCAATTTCATCCAAACTTCACAGGAATGTTCCTTTGGTGGTCACCTTTCAAAATTGTTCAAAGAATTTAATTCCATGCAGAACTCTGGTTGCCATGGCAACCGAAAGAAAAAACTTTAAATATCTTCTTTTGAAAAACCCTAAGAGCTAGAGCTTAGATATTTGGCATGAAACATCTTCTAGTGAGTGTCTACCAAGTTTGTTCAAATAAAAGCCCTGGGGTCAAAATTGGACCCGCCCCAGGGGGTCATTGATTTTCCCTATATGCATATAGTAAAAACTTAAAAATCTTCTTTTAAAGAACCCAAAGAGCTAGAGCTAAGATATTTAGCATGAAACATGTTCTAATGAGTGCCTACCAAGTTTGTTCAAATAAAAGCCCTGGGGTCAAAATTGGCCCTGCCCCAGGGGGTCATTGATTTTCCCTATATGCATATAGTAAAAACTTAAAAAATCTTCTTTTAAAGAACTCAAAGAGCTAGAGCTAAGATATTTAGCATCAAACATGTTCTAATAGGTGTCTACCAAATTTGTTCAAATAAAAGCCCTGGGGTCTAAATTGGCCCTGCCCCGGGGGTCATTGATTTTCCTTATATGTGTATAGCAAAAACTTAAAAAATCTTCTTTGAAAAAACCAAAATAGCTAGAGTTTAGATATTAAGCATGAAACATGTTCTAGTGAGTGTCTACAAAGTTTGTTCAAATAAAAGCCCTGGGGTCTAAATTGGCGCCGCCCCGGGGGTCATTGATTTTCCTTATATGTGTATAGCAAAAACTTAAAATCTCCTTTGAAAAAACCCAAATAACTTAGGTTAGATATTAAACATGAAATATCTTCTAGTAAGTGTCTACAAAGTTTGTTCAAATAAAAGCCCTGGGGTCAAAACTGGCCCCGCCCCAGGGGTGTCATTGTTTTTAACTATATGTGTATAGTAAAAACTTAAAAATCTTCTTTTAAAAAGCCCAAAGAGCTAGAGCTTAGATGTTTAGCATGAAACATCTTCTTATGGGTGTCTACCAAGTTTGTTCAAATAAAAGCCCTGGGGTCAAAATTGGCCCTGCCCCAGGGGGTCATTGATTTTCCCTATATGCATATAGTAAAAACTTAAAAAATCTTCTTTTAAAGAACTCAAAGAGCTAGAGCTAAGATATTTAGCATCAAACATGTTCTAATAGGTGTCTACCAAGTTTGTTCAAATAAAAGCCGTGGGGTCAAAATTGGCCCCGCCCCGGGGTCATTGATTTTCCTTATATGTGTATAGCAAAAACTTAAAAAATCTTCTTTGAAAAAACCCAAATAGCTAGAGTTTAGATATTAAGCATGAAACATCTTCTAGTAAGTGTCTACAAAGTTTGTTCAAATAAAAGCCCTGGGGTCAAAACTGGCCCCGCCCCAGGGGTGTCATTGTTTTTAACTATATGTGTATAGTAAAAACTTAAAAAAATCTTCTTTTAAAAAGCCCAATGAGCTAGAGCTTAGATGAAACATCTTCTTATGGGTGTGTGTGTGGGGGGGGGGGGGGGGCTATATACAGGTGAGCGACCTCAGGGCCATCATGGCCCTCTTGTTTTAGTAAAGGCATTTAAATTCTAACAAATAAATGATAATATTAACATAGACATAAAAACCTGTTTTGGTGCAAGTATTGAAGATTAAATTAACATACCTAAGCCTGGTATAAAATAGTTAATATCACATATCTAGTTATGTATATCATCCGCGCAAACTGATCAGAATCCATGCTGTTCGCTTACCAACTCTACAAGTAGAGAAACTGATAGCGAACAGCATGGATCCTGATGCGCAGGCTGGTCTGGATCCATGCTGGTCGCAAACACATTATGTTGGTTTTGTCATGACGCGGCTCATATCATTTTAGTCTTTAAAAATAAATGAAATAATTGTATACATGTTGGTGAGAACTTTCTGTAATATTTTCTGGAAACTTAGCAGGGAATTTATAACAAGTGCCTTGGCCTGTATTTATTATGGTTTAAAGTCAGAACTTTTGATTAACATCTTGATTGTTATGATTATCTACATCTCTTCTTATTTTCTCCTACATATGTGCTGAGATTAATTTAAGTATTTACATGAAATGTATGATTTTTGGAGATATTAGATTCTGGCTTTAAGGCTTGATAACTACAAGGCCTGATCATAATACAGTCAACATAATCTTGTACATCCATCTTTTTATTATTTTCAACACTAGTTATCAGTGTCATTTATTTTACTCTAATGTATTGTTCATTATTGTCTGTGATAAATGTGCTACGACCAATCTCATTAAAGTCAGACCTTACTGAAGCTCAACTACCTTATGTTAGGTAATGGAGTAAGTATTTCGAGCTGATTTTAATAAGATTGGTGCCATTTTCTTTTCTTTTTTTTTATTTATACACATATATATGGTTGGAGCTGAGCTCTTTGTTTTCATTAGAACGCTGGAATATTGACAATGTTCATGGCACATGTTAACTTTTTTCACACATCAATCAACTTTTGAACATATCTTATACATTCTACATGTACTGACTAATTTCTAATGCCAACACCGACAGTGTAGATTGGCTAAACTACTTAGGTTAGTATTTTGATATTGAAATTCAATAAAAATAATAAAGGACAAATTCCAAATTCAAAGGATGAAAAAAAATTAAGAGGAACATTTGTGTAAGAGAAAAAAAAGTGTTATTTTGTGTTTCATTTAGAAAATTTCTTTATTCAGGTGTTATTTACAAATTTGTTTAGTGTAAATGGTTTTGTTAAGTTAAAATAATTGATTTATATTTTTAAATGCAAAAAAAAGGGGAACAAAAAATTTTATTTTTGAGAATTTTTTTATTCATTTTCAATATTTTCTTCCCGAGCAGCCTGCAAGTGCTGACATATTCTTCCCCAGTGTGTACTTAAAGCCTGAAGTAATCCTATTGTTTTGAAGATGGTTGTAACTTGTTTATTCAAGTGTTAAACCAAACTTAAAAACAGCACACCTTCATTTATTTTTAATGAAAACTTAGTTGTCAATTAATTACAAATTGCAGATTTTTTTTTAAGTTTTGTTTCACTTTTCTGAAGGCATGCCTCCTTAAAGATTAATATGAAATACTTTTTGAATGTCTTGCATTGTCATCAAAATTTTATTAATAATGAATAATTGAATACTTTATATTAAAAACTGGTTCAGGATTAGAAAAAAGTTAAGACCTCTCACTAGTGTATGATGAAACATTACTAACCAGTATTTTTGCATGTATTTACCAGTATCTATATATATCCTAACATTTAGAATGATTTTTGCCTACCCTTAACCTGTTGAATTTCTTAAATGGACTTGCCTAGCTTTCATTTGGATATGCCCATTACCAGTTTTGGGGTTTTGAAAATTTTCTTAGCCAACAGTATGCTGGTCAGACTGCATGGATGTACAGGCTGGTCTTGCTCTGTACTGTTGGCTTAAGGTAAACACTTTTGTTTCAAGCATGTTAAGTTTTATATCATTGTAGTGCATGCATCTCGAGATTTTGTATACAATGTTGCTTTTTTCAATGTTGGGCTTCCAAAGTGATTGTTAATCATTATTTTGAAATAAATTTATGTTGCAGCAAAATTAGTGTTAATCTTTCATTATTTCATTTTGCAAATTTGAATTTGATTAGCTCAACAACACAAACCAGTTTATCGCTTTTCAACAGTTAAAGTATGATTTGATTTGTAATGGTAACAGATGAGCAAGATTTTTTTTAATTTTATGTCACACCAATAGTAAAGGTCAAATGGTGATTTTCCAGCTTTACTGGTAGAGGAAGACCTCAGTAGCTCCTCTGTTCATTATTTCTAGCACAGGCTAGAACATATCAACCATAACCTAGCTTGATAGCCTCCAGAGATTAGCAAGACGGGGAGTCTCAAAGTATGGCCATTTGTCAATATTTTTATCTTCTATGTGGTGGTTAAATTCTTGGCCAACGGATATGAGTAATGAACCTTAAACCATCAAATTTCTACCTGGTAAAGATTGTAGCATTCTTCCAAGCAAAAATCAAACTTTATCAGAGTATCTGTTCTTTAGTTTGGGTAACTATTGGTTGAAAATAAGTCACCAGGTCAATTCAAATAAAAACCACACTTTTCAACAAAGCTTAGTGTCTTGTTATTATGCAGGTCATCTGGGGTCAAAGCTTGGACACCTGGTTAAATGCACTGAACTTCCTATTTAATTTGGTTTGACATTTTAAAATAGCAATTTTGATCAAATTACACAAATGTTGCTTAGCGTTTGCTTTGATAATACCTAGGTAAAATTCTAATTAAAAAATAGGTCAATAACATATAACTAATGAGCATAACCCAACAGGATATTACAGTCTCAACTATGATAAGTAGTAACATGGACTTCATTGACCTGTTAAAACACTACCTATACCAGAAAAAGAGCACAACCTGAGCATATTATTAGTTATGATGAACTCCTGTTTCTTCTCCCTAAAGTTGTTCGTCACACAATTACATGACTGTATATCTTACAATAAAGTCTTATACCAGTAGGTTATTCTCTTTATGTTAAGGGCTGCTACAATGACAAAACAATATAGGTGTATAATGAAAGCTTGTAGGTGAACTGTGTTTAAATCATTCAAATGTGTTTCACAGGAAAAGAAGTCTGTGAATAGGAAGTGAAAGTATAAATGGGATAAAGGTCTATAAACAAGAGGGCCATGATGGCCCTAGATCGCTCACCTGAATTATCAAACTCATCCAAACAATTACCTAGACAAGCATTCTGACCAAGTCTCATGACAGGTGAGTCAAAAATGTGACCACTACAGTGTTAACAAGGATTATCCATATTTGAGCAGTGCGACCTAGTTTTTTACCCAGGTGACACATATTCAAACTTGACCTAGAAATCATCAAAACAAACTTTCAGACCAATTTCCAGGATACTTGGATCAAAACAGTAGCAACTAGAGTGTTAACAAGATTTTTCTATTTTTAGCTCCGGTGACCTAGTTTCACATGCGATTTCGAACTCATCCAAGCAATTACCTAGACAAGCATTCTGACCAAGTTTGATGATAATGGAGTCGAAAATGTGACCACTAGAATGTTAACAAGGTTTTTCCATATTTGGGCGGTGTGACCTAGTTTTTCATCCAAGATGACCCATGTTCGATCTTGACTTAGAAATCATCAAAACAAACTTTCAGACCAATTAACAGAATATTTGGATCACAACAGTAGCCACTAGAGTGTTAACAAGATTTTTCTATTTTTAGCTCCTGTGACCTAGTTTTTCATCCGAGATGTCCCATGTTCGATTTATTCCCAGCAATGACCTAGACAAGTTTCCTGACCAAGTTTGATGACAATTGAGTCAAAATTGTGACCACTAGAGTGTTAACAAGGTTTTTCTATTTTTAGCTCCTGTGACCTAGTTTTTCATCCGAGATGACCCATGTTCGAACTCATCCGAGTTATTACCTAGACAAGCATCTTGATCAAGTTTGATGATGATTGATGCAAAAATGTGACCGCTAAAGTGTTAACAAGGTTTTTCTATTTTTAGCTCCGGTGACCTACTTTTTCATCCGAGATGACCCATGTTCGAACTCATCCAAGCTATCAACTAGATAAGCATCCTGACCAAGTTTGATGATGATTGATGCAAAAATGTGACCGCTAGAGTGTTAACAAGGTTTTTCTATTTATAGCTCCGGTGACCTAGTTTTTCATCCGAGATGACCCATATTCGAACTCATCCGAGCTATTATCTAAACAAGCATCCTGACAAAGTTTGATGATGATTGGGTCAAAAATGTGACCACTAGAGTGGTCACAAGGTTTTTCTATTTTTAGCTCCTGTGACCTAGTTTTTCATCAGAGATGACCCATGTTCGAACTCATCCAAGCAATTGACTAGACAAGCATTCTGACCAAGTTTGATGATGATTGGTTCAAAAATGTGACCACTAGAGTGTTCACAAGGTTTTTCTATTTATAGCTCCTGTGACCTACTTTTTCATCCGAGATGACCCATGTTCGAACTCATCCGAGCTATCACCTAGACAAACATCCTGACCAAGTTTGATGAAGATTGGGTCAAAAATGTGACCTCTAGAGTGTTCACAAGGTTTTTCTATTTTTAGCTCTTGTGACCTAGTTTTTCATCTGAGATGACCCATGTTCGAACTCATCCGAGCTTTCAACTAGATAAGCATCCTGACCAAGTTTGATGATGATTGAGGCAAAAATGCGACCGCTAGAGTGTTCACAAGCAATTGTGGACGGCCGGACGGACGACAGACGACGGACGACGGACATTCATCGATCCTAAAAGCTCACCCTGAGCAAGCTCAGGTGAGCTAAAAAGTATACGAATCTTCATTGTAAACAGATAATGAAGATCTGTGAAAATAACGCTCAATTTACCTTACTAATAAGGCAGATTCTAAATGAACTTTCCTATGGACCTGGGGAAAATTTATAAACAAACACAATCGAGTAGAAATAAATATATTGTGAAAAAAATCTGATCTGTATAAATATAGTAAAACTTTACAAAATATACATATATATCCAATAATTTCAAGTTAGTAAGAACCTTAAACAAAATGTTCACTTTTAGTGAAAGTTTATGTAAATGGCAAACACATGAATTTAATTCCGATAGCACTATGCAATAAAGTCTATAAAGTTAATATTCTGATATATTCTACAGATGTGAGATGTATGTTTTCTAGGGACCATGTGGCACTTCAGGCGCAGGTAGTGTTACTCGATGTTCCAACTAAATTCAAAGCTTGCAAAGGATCATCTTTCAAAGGAGTACTGAAAATAGAAATAAATTAAAATATTTAAACAAGAGAGCCATGATGGACTTTTACATTGCTAACCTGACAACAATTATTACTTTAGTCATGTGTTATATGTGAATAATGTTTTAAGTTCTTACGATGCAAGTCTTTTGTTTTGTTTGGTTTTATGGCACACCAACACAATATAAGGTCATATGGCGCCGAAACAGGACAGATGATGTTGACTAACCTCGGGTGTATCAAACTTAAAGGGATACTCAGGTAAAATAATGGCAAAAATATAAAAATGATTTTCTGTACTCAAATCACCCTAAAATGACATTTCTTAAAGTCCCAACATGAATTTCTGTATAAATTCTATATATTTTGGGTTTGAAGTTTAAATATATCTATATATGTTGAACGAAATTTTGACGCGAACAGAATCACCGAATAGTTTAAAAACAAGTCATGCGATTTGAACAAACCCTGGAAGTTACAATAACAAATATTGTGGATATTGTATGATTGAAACAAGTCTAAGTAATTGATTTGACATGTTTTTTAACGTTTCCAGAGTACAGAGTGACAACTATTGTGACATTTTAGCACTCTAACCTGACCCACGCGGGTCAAGTTAGGAAAACACCATTTTATTCTTTATATGGAGAAAAGTTTTGTTCCTTTGACTGTTTAGTGTATTCATTTTGAGGACATTTACAGAATAATGAATGAAAATTTCAAAACTAAGAAATGAAAATTTTGCCTGTGTCTCCCTTTAAGGTCGAAACCATCACACCTGCTGGAGCTATGAGATGCATAGATTTCAGTAATTCTAAAGTAATTCGAACCCATTTATTAATTGCCTCTTATGATAATGCAGGGTTAAACAGTGGCTGTAATTCTTATGCCCCAACCTGTAAAGGCAACCCCTTGGCCTCAAGGGGCACAATTCAAGTCAATATAACAATCTAATGATCCTGAATAAAATGATGTAGCCAGAGTTTAAATAATCTTAACCCTTTCACAGCCTGGTGTTGGTAACTAAATATACCAATGTCACCATCCAGACAGCACAACTGAGTCATCTGAGCTTCATGGTCTGCTCTATTTGCTTTTCAGTACATGTACATACTTTTTCCCTATAAACGATGAATGATTTTGTTCTGACTGAAAGATGAACAAGTCCATTAAAGATATTTAGCATGATAAGGGTTAAACAGAACAGCTCGAGTATGACACATTTGATAATTATTTCATTGCAAATTGAAATTAACTATAATCTCCAAAATTAGTTACAACAATGTCATCTGTTTATATTTTATTTTCACTTAACCCTTAACACACTTAATATATTAAATGAACTTGTCCATCTTTCAATCTGGACAAAACAATCTTATCGTTTCTTAGGATATGAACTGATTGGATAGCAAACAGGCAACATGGTGGCATGTGTATAATCAGCTGCAGCAAGCAGCCTAAAGGTTAACAAGAGCACCGCTAGGCGGAGCATTATATGCCCAAGTGTTTTTTTTAAAGTAAGGATGAAGCATTTGCAAGACATGGGAATTAGCTGTTCATCCTAAAAATTTTTACAGCTGTAGGTTGATTAATACTTAAGTTATTAATAATGACCTTAACCTTTGACCTTGTGACCCCAAAATCAATAGGGGTCTTCTACCTTATATGGACAATCATCCTAAGAAGTTAGAATATTGTGGGCCAAATGGAACTTTAATTATGCTCTAGAAACTGTTTTCAGTATTAAGGTAAAAGTGACTTTGACCTTGTGACCCCAAAATCAATAGGGGTCTTCTACCCAATATGGACAATCATCCTATGAAGTTTGAACATTGTGGGTCAAATGGAACTTAAGTTATGCTCCTGAAACTGTTTTTGGTTTCAAGGTAATTGTGACCTTGACCTTTGACCTAGTGACCCGAAAATCAATAGGGGTCTTTTGCCCAATATGGACAATCACCCTATGAAGTTTGAATATTGTGGGCCAAATGGAACTTAAGTTATGCTCCGGAAACTGTTTTCAGTTTTAAGGATATAGTGCCCTTGACCTTTTGACCCCAAAATCATTAGGGGTCTTCTTTCCAATATGCACAATCATTCTATGAAGTTTGAACATTGTGGGTCAAATGGAACTTAAGTTATGCTCAGGAAACTGTTTTCAGTATCAAGGTAATATTGACTGACCTTGTGACCCCAAAATCAATAGGGGTCTTCTACCCAATATAGACAATCATCCTATGAAGTTTGAACATTGTCGGTCAAATGGAACTTAAGTTATGTTCCGGAAATTGTTTTTAGTTTTAAGGTAAAAGTGACCTTGACCCTTGACTTTTTGACCCCAATATCAATAGGGGTCTTCTACCTTATATGGACAATCATCCTATGAAGTTTGAACATTGTGGGCCAATTGGAACTTAAGTTATGCTCCGGAAACTGTTTTCAGTATCAAGGTAATAGTGACCTTGACCTTGTGACCCCAAAATCAATAGGGGTCTTCTACCCAATATTGACAATCATCCTATGAAGTTTGAACATTGTGGGTCAAATGGGGAACTTAAGTTATGCTCCGGAAACTGTTTTCAGTTTTAAGGTAATAGTGACCTTGACCTTTGACCCCAAAATCAATAGGGGTCTTCTACCCAATATTGACAATTATCCTATGAAGTTTGAACATTGTGGGCCAAATGGAACTTAAGTTATGCTCTGGAAACCAAATTGCTAATGGACGGACGGACAGACAGACACCAGGTGGTATAACATAATATGCCCTTTCGGGCATATAATAAAAATGAAACATCCGGTAAAATTTACTTATTTTTTATATAAAGCATAAACATAACAATTATTTAACTTACATATTCATGCCTTGGTATCGTTGAATTGTAGTAAAGGGGATTTGTTGGATCTGAAAAATACACAAAACTTTCTAAATAATGAGATATGAAATACATGTATTCGATATTATTTCATGTCATTAGAATAAAATTTAGTCAGTTAAAATAAATGTTTTTTTTTAAATCTATATAACATTGATCAGATACAAATTTATCAATTAATTTCTTTTTCCCAAACAAAGCAATTGCACTGTATTATAAACAAGAGCCCGGTTTGAACCGGGTGATGCTCCCCAAATAGGTTTTGGACACAGGAAAGTACACCTCTTGAGTAATGTCCCTGTGCAATAATTCCAAAATTAGGCAAGGCAGAGTTACTGTTCTTTGCACTGCACTATCAACCTACAATGTTTCTGGTTGATACCTCTAATATGAACAAAGTTCAAAATGTAAAAATGAACAAAGGGCAATAACTACAAAATTTGGCAAGGCGGAGTTCAAGTTCTTGTGCACTGCACATCTATTCATTGAGATCTATCTACCTACAAAGTTTCATGTTGATATCTCTTATAGTGTTAGAGTTATTTCCCGTACAATATTTTTTTTAAAAGGGGAGATAATTCAAATATGGGGCTTAACAGAGTTATGGTTTTTTCGTACTGCACTTTTACTCAATGACATCTATCTATCAACAAAGTTTCATGTTGATATCTCTTATAATTTAAGAGAAATGTCCCAGATAATTCAAGAGTAATGTCCCAGACAAAGTTCAAAAAGTGAAAATAAACAAAGGGCAATAACACCGAAATTAGGCAAAACAGTTACGATTCTTGTGCACTGCACATATACCCATTGAGGTCTATCTACCTACAAAGTTTCATGTAGATATCTTTTATAGTTTTACAGCTAAGTCCTTGACTGGATTTTTCTAAAAGGGGAGATAATTCAAAAATGGAGCTTATCAAAGTTATGGTTCTTTTTCACTGCACTTTTACTCAATGAAATTTATCTACCTACAATGTTTCATATTGATATCTCTTATCATCTAAGAGTTATGTTCCGGACAAAGTTCAAAGTGTTCAAATGAACAAAGGGCAATAACTCCAAACTTAGGCAAAAAGAGTTACGATTCTTGTGCACTGCACATCTTCCCATTGAGATCTATTTTCATATCTCTTATAGTTTTAAAGTTTTGTCTTGGACAAGATTTTTCTAAAAGGGGAGATAATTCAAAAACGGGGCAAAAGAGATTTATGGTTCTTTGACAATGCACTCCACCTCAATGCCCTCTACCACTGTGTGAAGTTTAAACAAATTATCTCCGAGGGTTTTCAAGTTATGCTCCGGACAAGACACTGGATGAACAGACAGACAAGGCGGAGACTATATGCTCTCCCTTTGGGGAGCATACAAACACAAGGGCAAGATTAACCCAATATACGCCCGTCACAGAAGCTTTTGACAGAGATGTGGGCATTATAGGTATGCTAATAGGAGATATGCTCTGGCCAATATCTGGATAATATCTTGATATATTATCATCTCTAGTGATTTTTTTACCAGAACTTTGACCTCCGTGTGACTTTGACCTTAGCCGCAGGGACCTAAATTTTGTGCTCGACACTCCGCCTCACAATAGTGAACATTTGTGCCAAGTTATATTGAAATCCCTCTATGCATGTAAAAGTTTTGCTCCGGACAAACGTTTTTCAATGACCTTTTAGTGTGACCTTGACCTTTGACCTAGAAATCTGGTTCATGCATGGGACACGGCTTCTCATAGTGGTAAAAATTTGTATGAAGTTCATTAGAATCTCTACCTATATGTAGGAGATATGCTCTGGACAAAATCTCTATATTTAATCATCTTTAGTGACCTTGGCAATCATATTTAGTGACCTTGACCATGCACATATTAATCTAAAAAACATGTGTCACACCCATAGTCATGATAATGACCATTTGTGTTTCAATCCCTCAATAAATGATGACTAAATGGTCCCAATACACATTTTCATATTTTTACTTAACTTTGACCCCTATGTGTGACCTTGACCTTGGCCATAGGGAACTAAATTTTGCATGCGACACTCCGCTTCACAATAGTGAACCTTTGTGTGTAAAAGTTTTGCTCCGGACAAACGTTTTTCAATGAGCTCTAAGAGTGACCTTGACCTTTGACCTAGAGGCCTGGTTCATGCGTGCGACATGGCTTCTCATAGTGGTGAACCTTTCTATGATGTTTCATTAAAATTCTTCCATGGAGATATGCTCCGGACAAAATTGGATGCCCGCCCGCCATGGGGGAAATTATAATACGACCCGTTTTTCAAACGGGCATATAAAAATGGTAATCAGAGGTTACATAGCTGTTAAATATAAATATAGAGGACTTCGAATAAATTTGTACATATCGCTTGTGCTTCAAGTATATATATATTTATTACATGCTTTTCGGTGGTTTAATGAAATATCAGTGAAATATAAAACTGATAATTTTACTGTTTTAAAACACTTACTCATGAAATATATCTTTTGGTGCTCACTTGGTGAAATATATTCTGATCTTACACTGAACTAAACAAATATCCTCTATATATCTAAATAATGCAGTGGAAAATAATGCAAAACGGAAGCATTCTTTATATTTTTTGTACTGTAACCCTTTCGGAAAATATTACGCCTCAGAAGTTGTTCTAAAAACTTTAGAGTAAGAACTAACTAAAATCAGAAGACAAAATTAATGTTGAATAGCTTCCTCACATGACAAATGCAAACCCACAGGTGTGACTGGCAAGAGGCTTGAAGTCAACAGCCGTAACCACTCAGCACAGATGCCCATCAAATTGCTATTTTTATACCCTAATTTGTGTAAATACCTCCATAGTCAGCTTTTCTTGACCTCCATGTACGTTTCCTCTCTGTATCCTCATCGACACCATCGTCCATGAGAGTAGGACCAGAATAATATGGTACTATCAATGGGCGACTTGTAGTCATCTTTACAGGAAGTGAAGGTGCCATCAAAGGTTGTGATAAGGTGTACACCCTACAATGTCAAGAGATAATACCGGTAGTCGTTTATGTATAAAAATGCAATAGAGACAACGCTTGAATGTTGTTGTTGTTGTTTTTTTGTTGTTTTTTTTGGGGGGGGGGGGGTTCATGTTTTTTCTGTAGATTACTGAAATGTTATAAAGGATTATATTTAATATTTTTACTGTAGCTGAGGAACATTTGTATGAAGAAGAATAAAAAGTATAGAAATATATATATTATACATAAATGGACAACTTGAGAAAAAAGTCCTTATAGATAAATAATGCAAATGATTACTGCAAGAACATCAATATTTTTGCCAGATGTTTAAAAATTATCATTTTAGCAGACCTTAAACTGAATGTTAACATTTTGCCATGTGTAATATCATTCTGACCATGGTTCTGGATGTTATCATTTAGCCAGATGTTATCATTTTTACTATGGTTTAACTGGATGTTATCATTCAGTCAGATGTTATCATTCTGACCATGGTTTAGCTGGGTGTAATCATTTAGTCAGATGTTATCATTCTGACCATGTTTTAGCTGGGTGTTATCATTTAGTCAGATGTTATCATTCTGACCATGTTTTAGCTGGGTGTTATCATTTTGTCAGATGTTATCATTTTACCATGGTGTAGCTGGATATTATCATTTAGTCAGTTGTTATCAATTTTATCATGGTGTAGCTGGATGTAATCATTTTTCCAGATGTTTAGCTAGATATTACCATTCTGCCAGATGTTATCATTATGGCATATGCTATCATCTTGGCCATGGTTTAGCTAGATATTATCATTTTGGCAGACTTTTTGCTGGATGTTATTATTTTGCCAGATGTTATATTGGCCATGGTTTGGCTTGATATTATTATTATTATGGCAGATGTTCTAAGCTGGATGTTATCATTTTGGCAGATGATTTTGCTTAAAAGAAACACAATTAAGTTACCTACTGTCTGATATATACCACCAGCAGACCAAGAGGACTGAATTATTGGAAAGTACTGACTTTTTTACATAACTGTTTAAAGCTTTACAAATTTAAAACTTGTTTATTCAAAATTTACTTGTTACCAGTTTATTTTGAAATGTAAGTGGTTTACTATTATTGACTAAAAATGATTTTGAATATTTAATTCTTAACCTGCTGAAACCAAAAGTATTTAGGCTATGCCACCAGAAATGCTTTCATTATTATTTCTCAAAAGCATTTTATTTTTGGTTTCCTGTTAAAGTTTTCAAAAAGTTACTTTCTGGCCAATTACCTTAACCATTGCTTTCTGGCATTTAAAGTACAGTCATAGCGATTTAGTATTTTGTATGGAAGTCAAAATACTACTTTGTTTACATTTTGCTTTTTTTTATGACAAGCAATTTCATATTCAGCATCACTTTTTTAGAGGATAAGCATCAAACATGCTCTAAAACAAATGACTTAAACGTAATAAAGCTTATATCTGCCCTTTTTTAAGAAGGTAAAATTTGTTTGTGAGGCATTTGTGCAACCTGACCTGCTGGTAGCTAAATGTGTTTGTGTTTTGATAAACTTTGAATCAGCCATTTCTAATTCAAAGCTGGACAAATCCATTATGCAAATAGACTTACTCTGTACTTAAGAATATTATGAGTTTTCGCTACTAACCCGGGGGTACAAACAAACTTTTAAAGTAGCAGCTCAAAAACTTGCGAAACAGGTTGACAAATCTATTCTAACTGGTAGGCATTGTGAAGCTATAACAAAGTTTGTTTGTAGCAGGGGATAAGCTTTGCCGAGTTCCGGATTACATCTATTCAGAGTTAATGACCTACATATTATTTAACTCACCTGGAAGGTTTTCTCAGATAACGTTTAGAACGATGATTCCGTCTATACAGTATCACTATAATCAGAACTATAGTTAATACAAGGATCACAAAACCTGTCAGACCAACTCCTAGACCCACAGCTAATGCAAACTCTCCTGTAATGTATTGAAACCAATTTTATTACATAAATATCTGTGTATTTTGTAGAATTTCTTGGTTGAGTCACAAGTACATTTAATGCTCTTCAATTGTTTGATTACGCAGCTTTAACATATATTTGATCATATTATGACAGTTGCCCAACCTATCTGGCATTCCTGAATAAATGACTTCTTTGGGTGAGCAACTCCTAATTCCACATGTTTTCTGGATCATTATACATGTATAAACTATATAAATATTACGCCAATTCTAGAAATTTCATAGAGATTTAAATGGTGATAATAATAATATGAACTGTACTTTTTCATACAAATTGAACATATAAAATATAATATCATCTTTGCTCACAGTGTGTCTGAACTTATATAAGTAATTGTATAAAAGTACATTTATGTTTGGTTTTAAGGTGCACCAACACAATTTAGGTCATATGGCACCAAAAACAGCAAAGATGGTTTTTGCTAACCTCGGGTGTTACAAACTTGAAGCACAAGAGGGCATATATTTAAATATAGATTTGTTTATAGCATAGAAAAAATTAGTAAATGTAATCAAAGAACCTACTAGAAGACTGGCAAGTAGGAGCGTTCCTGGACCATGTACCATTAGACAGACAAGTTCTCTTGTAATAGTCTTTCGTAGAGTAACCAGAGTTACATGTATATACAGCTGTAGCCCCAAATAATGTTCCATCTGGCATTTTAACCTCACCATTGGTCGGATTAGCTAATGTTCCACAATCTATAATAATAATAAATTTAAACTGTAGGCTATTGACCACTAGATATAAGAAATTTAAAAAGAAAATCATTTTTTTCTCATATAATTGAATAAGATTGTAGAAAGAAATATTTTGCTTTTTACACTTCGATATAACACTTACTGATAACATTTGCGTCATCTTCAATGTCAGTACAATCTTTATTGCTTCAGAGAGAATTTGAATACCTCTCCATACATTATCATATTGAAAATGTGGGCCATCTAATACAATGATGTGACAAAGTTTATTTTTAATGTGTCTTAAAATTAAAGGGTTTCTCCTCTGACCACATCAAAATGTGTAAAGATGGCCAGTGTAAGAGACACTATTCTCTAGTAATTACCTATAAACAGAATGATTTATTGATATAACAATATGAGCAAAAGATGTAAGTTAATCTTCCATTATGGGAGCCATGATAACGTACGTACATACAAATAAAACAGCTCTCTTTATAAGACAATGCGCTAGACTTTTCTCAGTGCTTGACAGTAACAAGAGGGCATAACTTGGATTTTTTTTTTGGACCTGCTACCATCAAGTTAGATAATCAAAGAGAACAAATGTATGAAGTTTCAACTTGTTCCCTTTTGTAGTTTTGGAGATGCCAACTTGAATGTTAAATCTTAACGTTACGCTTACGGCTTGGTGAATACAATAACTCTCACTATTCTTTGAAAAGTCAAGCTAAAACCCAGTTTGCTACACCCCAAAAAAACAAAAAATTATGCATACCAGAGACAGTACAGACAGGTTTAGTACCACTCCAAGTGCCGTCAGAGCTGCATGTTCTCTCTATAGTCCCAAATATAATGTAACCCTGTTTACATATATATGTGGCAGTGTGTCCAAATGACGTCTGATCAACTAGAACATCTCCAAACATTGGTGCCGATAATGAACCACAATCTGAAGATAAAGAAAATTGTATATTATTTTTGTCATGTTGTGTTCACAGCTTAGTATGGTTGCTTTGGTTGCAGACATGGTGATCAAATAAATACCAGACCTATCTCTGCAAAACAACTCATTGAGAGACAAAGAATTTGGATGTTGTTATAGAGAAGTACAGAGAAGTACAATTCATAGTGAATTCTTCCTTTAGGAAGAGAATTACAATACTCTTGTTGTAAAAGTGTTTATTGCTCGACAGAAGGCTGCTCTGAAAAGGTTGCATAGGTACTATGTATTTATCTTTTTCATTATTTTCCATGTACATAACTGGATGTAAAGAGCAATTATTTTAATACAGTAAGTGATATAACAATGGTAAATAATGCTTTACTTTAATAGTCATAGGTTCCTCAATGTATTTGGTAGCTCAATACAACAAAATAATGTAATGAAATCAAGCTGAAAATATTCTTTAAAATTTCTATTCAATTTATTCCAAACTTTGAAAACAACTGATGTCTGAATATTACATTTTAACTTTAAGGTTACTAAGGTACATTTGTCATCTTTAATCCTAAACCTTCTGGAACAAATATTGATTGACCTTTAACACCACAATATAGCCAGAACAACCTGATATTCCTCGCAGTATGACCAGGCACTATACTATTTGTAGCTGATTTTTTTTTTTTGTATTTTGGTACCAAAGCCTTTAGACTTTGAATGGACTGTTCCAAATTCAAAGCAAGGCAAATCCATTACTGAAATTTAGGAGATTAAGTGTTTAGAGGTCTCATTCTTACCAACAAATATACAGGCAGGTTGAGAAGCAGTCCAGTTTCCGTTCATCATACATGTTCTCTCTACGTTACTGGCAGGACTGATAACATAACCTGGGTTACAGGAGTATGTAGCGACAGAACCCACGCCTACACCACTTGGTACAGACACCAGACCATTCCCTGGATTACCTGGCATTACACACTCTAGAAAAATAACATACAAGTGAAAGATTTGTCCAAGCCAATAATAGCAGCGAAACAAATTCATTGGCACTGGATACACTGGCACAAGATATAACTGCAGCAAAACTATACAACATTACTTCAGCAGCACAAAAATAAAATTTCAGTGCCTGAAGTAACAACTTACCAGCTGCTAGACACCCTGACCCCTATGGTAAATAATGTTCAAGTTATAATAACAGGAATGGATCTATCCTTTTAACAACTTACCAATTGCAGTGAATGCAGTAAAGGAAATGGCACATGAACAACTTATTGATTGCTGAACATGAATAAGGAAATTGGTTCATGAACAACTCTTCTATTGCTGTACATGCAGTAAGAAAATTGGAACATAAACAACTTACTTATTGCTGTACAAATAGGAGGGGAATCTGTCCATGTCCCATCTACAGTACATTGTCTACTAGCTGCACCAGACAAGATGTAACCAGGTCTGCAGATGTAAGTTGCAGTCTGACCAAATGTTGTTCCAGATGGAATGTTCACCACTCCATTTGTGGGTGTAGCCAAAGGTCCACAATCTGAAACATTGAAGAAAACATTTAGGTAACATTGTTTAAGATTGGTCACATATATGATCACATTTCAAGATAAAAGCTTGAGCAATACCAAATGCGCCATTTCATTTATTATTTCAAGCACAACTGGCACCTGGAAAGAACATTACTGTATGTGTAGAAATATTCGCGGGCTTCAAATTTTCGCGATCTTCGCGGTGACATTAGATCCGCGAATTCATGTTTAGCGCGAATATTTCTACACCAATAATTTCTTAATAGTCATATTTTCGCACTTCTATAGAACAATGTATATCAGCGTGTGATATAGTTTCAGACTTTTTATTTAAATATTTACAGAGTAATTGTGTTTTGTTTTCCAAGTTATTCATTATTTAAAATCGTTTATGTTTGTGTTGTTTTTTAATAGTTTGTTCAGAAAAACCAAAACATGATCTGTTCAGATGTCAAGATGTTTATGACGAAAACTGTGAAAAATTATGTACGTTAACGGGCATTCTTTAGTTTGCTATGATCTGTCCGCTAGACAATGTATTTTTTCTGTACAATAGTGTATTGTTTGACACCTGGTATTGAAAATAACTGTGAACTCCCACGATGATTACAGTAATTTTCCCTTTTTTAATCTGAGTGGTCTACGTGAATTTATGATTTTCGACAGTCACCTCCGCGAATTCAAAATAGGGCGAATATTTGTATAGACCCCCAAAGTGGACCTTTCCGCGAAAATTTGCTCCCGCGAATTTAAATACACATACAGTAACCTTTTATAATCGGCTTAGTTGTTTCAAGCTCCCTCATGAGAAGAATAAACATGTATCTTAAAACAGACTTAATCAACACTATTAAATCATGAGCCAATTTAAAATATGAATGTACTAGGTTGCTGTTTTTTTATTGGTCATGGTTGTCATTTTTCTTTGCATCAACACTATAAGGTAATATGGCAACTTTCCAGCTTTACTTGAGGAGTAGACCTCAGGTGCCCCTTCCTGCATTATTTCAAACATATGGTGGCAACTTAGTAGAACCACTGATGTTCCATAACCTATGTGCATACTTATAAAATTGAAATAATTAAAATAGAAAGCATACTCTTTGCACTTAAAACTTAATAATTAAACAACCATAATATATGAAAATTTGATGCACCAATATAAAATATACAAAACAAAAACTTTTTATATACCAAAACACAAATAGTGAAAATATCAATAGAGGTACCTCTGACAGTACAAATTGGTTCCAAATTGTCCCAGAATCCTGTTGCTAGGCAGGTCCTGGCACTGACTCCCATTATATAAAAGCCTGGATTACATGTATATAGGGCGGTGTAACCAAAAGTGGTACCGGTCACAGTATCTACTATTCCATTTAATGGGTTGGGCAGGTTACCGCAATCTACAAATATTACCATGGAGATATAAATAATTTATTGTTATAACATTTAACAGCAATTAGTAATGCTTATTGGAACAACCCTTACCAGTTTGAATTTGTTAAATGGACATTTGAATTCACTCCTCACAGCCTATTGTTAAAACGCAAAGATGAGATAAGATGTTGCACACAAAGTAACAAGTAAAATTTTGGTCAAAGTGTTATGGTAATGCGGACATTGATGTTGAATCCAGGGTATGTAGGATAACCCCACTATTCTAAATGTCTATATCTTTGTGAGCAAGAGTAATTATGCTAGTGTGAATTCCATTTAATGAGGTAAAAAATTTGATGAGCTTGCATCGTATAGTTATGAAATAAAATATCTTAAAAGTTATATTCTTGCTTGTTGTATCACAACATGTCTAACTAGCCAGTATCAAATATAAAGGGAAAACAGAACATTTTGGTGGTGGTATTGGTAGTTTTCATTCCAGATCATGGCAGTAAACCATACTGAATTTACCAAAGCACCATTCACCCACCATATCATTCCTCAAGGCAGGCTGTCAAGCACTTAACCAGCACTAGTTGCCTTCACTTTGGCAAACACTGTATTTTCTGTACATTCAAGAGCATCAAACCCGTGTTGCCCAATTCACAGACCAACGCTCTACCTATTGAGCTATACGGATGGCTAAACAGAACATTGCCATGTCAATCATGATTTATATACTGGAAGCAGGGTAAAGAAATATATTTGTTTTTATACAGTTTAAACCTTATTCCAAAGCTACATTTTTTTTTCAAAAATAGCATAAACAAACAAATATAAACATTCACCTTTAGGTCTGCACACAGGTACATTAGACCATGATCCATTGTTCTGACAGGTGACGGAAGTTTGACCTATCAGATCATAGCCAGAATTACATGTGTATGTTGCCACCCTACCATATGTTGTCCCACTTCCATATGAAACTTGTCCTTCTCCAGGGCTAGGTGGCTGACCACAATCTAATAGCAAATAAAATATGCAAAAATTTAACATTTTAATTCCTGATAATTAATTTAAGCAAATTATTTCAGGTACGATTGGCAATAGAGTAGAACCACCAACCTTTCGTAAGCTAGCTTGACATCTTCCTCACATGAAAGAATTAAAAGTCTGTGGCAGGATTTTAACCCACAGCTATGAGGGTCAGTGGTTCTTAACTACAAATTATTTATAAGCAATGCCTAAAGCATTATTATAAAACAAAGGGGCTACGATATCAATAGCGCTGACCAATTTTTAAGATGAAAAAAAAGGCACCTTTTTCAAACAATCACAACAATGAATTTATCATACTTTTTCAAAGATATGTATGATAAGGATGAACAAATTTGAGCCAAAATACGTTTTCAATAGATTTTTGTTTTTCATTTTCAATTTTAACTTAAAACTTGTTTAAATCTTTAAACTTGTCAAAGATGGCACAAACATTCCCTCCATGAGGAACGTAATTATATCACTGTGTAAAGGAGAATCAATCGAGTAGCTACACTAGTGTGTATAAGGCACCTGCATCTAAGAAACATGCGTTAACAAAAAGCACCTGAATTAAATAAAGTGTAGATAATATTTTTCAGAGAAATAGATAATATATACTGACCAACATTGACACATGTCACAGATGACCCGCTCCACGTGTTATCAGCCTGACATTCTCGCTCGGCATTTCCTGTCAACTTATAGCCAATATAACATACATATGTAGCCTTGGAGAGATATGCCGTGCCAAGTGTGAATGTAATATAACCATATGTAGGATTTTGTAATGGCCCACAATCTCCTACAATATACAATAATATTTATCGAATTAATATATAAATTAAAGAACATAAAATCAAGGGCAATTTGTAAAACACAAACAGTGGGTAAAAAAATTGAAATAGGATACATTTGTGTCTAAAAAAAACCCATACTTTCTATTATAGCTTCATAGAAATGGCAGACATAGGAACAAGACTGCCATTGTCATAAACTTTAATATTCCAAATTGCAAAATAACTTTACTTCAATTAGAAATATTTTACTTAGCTATTTGCCTTCCATTTTTGGTTGAGCTATTTCATAACAGCAAAGATTCTGTTGGATGAATTATTTTATCATATAAAATTCAATATTCGAAACAGCCAGGTGAAAATAACTTGATTCCAAATAGAAATATTAACTTATAGTTTTTTGCCTTCTTTTCAATATAGTTATCATATAACAGCAAACACCCTGCTGGATGCTGGACAATTATATGAATCTCTTGTATTTAATTTGTAATTACCTTGTAATTTACAAGTGGGTGGAGAATTACTCCAGCCATTTTCTTCACACTTCAGTGTTGTAGCACCATCTAATATGTAACCTTGGTTACATGTATATGATACTGTCTGTCCGTATGTTTTCCCTGACATAACCATATTTCCATTTGGAAAGTCTGGTAAATCAGCACATTCTGAAAATAAAATGTGAAATTCTGATATAAGCATATATTGACAGTAGAGCTTATCTAAAATTCTAACAAGTAATATTTTAGATTGATAATTTCATAATCCTAAATTCAATAAATTATGTTAAGGCTGTAAAGAAACTTTCTTTTGCTTTAACTTTGTCTTATATTATTTATTACTGGTTATCAAGCTTTAGATAAATTTAATTCATATAAATTCAGTAGGTGAAGCATTTCATCTATAGAATTCCAATCCTATATTGTAGCAAACAATCTGTTGTCAGACAACAATATAATATAATTTATCCTTCTCTTTTGTGTATCAAATGATTCATCTACATAATAATGTAACTATTTCCAAACAAGAGGGCCATGATGGTCCTGAGGTCGCTCACCTGTATATAGGCCCCCAGAGCAGGGCCAGTTTAAACCCCAGTGCTTTTATTTGAACAAACTTGGAAGACACCCATTAGAAGATGTTTCATGATGTTAAGTTTTTACTACACACATATAATGAAAAACAATGACTTCTGCACCCCCCCCCCCCCCCCCGGCAGGGCCAATTTTAACACAAGGGCTTTTATTTGAACAAACTGGTAGACACCCACAAGAAGATGTTTCATGCTAAACATCTAACCTCTAGTTCATTGGGGTTTTTAAAAGAAGATTTTAAGTTTTTACTATATACACATATAAGGAAAACCAATGACCCCCGGGGCAGGGCCAATTTTGACCCCAGGGCTTTTATTTGAACAAACTTTGTAGACACTCACTAGAAGATGTTTCATGCTTAATATCTAAACTCTAGCTATTTGGGTTTTTCAAAAAAGATTTTTTAAGTTTTTGCTATACACATGTAAGGAGAATCAATGACCCCCAGGGCGGGGCCAATTTTGACCCCAGGGCTTCTATTTGAACAAACTTTGTAGACACTCACTAGAAGATGTTTCATGCATAATATCTAAATTCTAGCTATTTGGGTTTGTTCAAAAAAGATTTTTTAAGTTTTTGCTATACACACATAAGGAAAATCAATGACCCCCTGGGTAGGGCCAATTTTGACCCCAGGGCTTTTATTTGAACAAACTTTGTAGACACTCACTAGAAGATGTTTCATGCTTAATATCTAAACTCTAGCTATTTGGGTTTTTCAAAAAAGATTTTTTAAGTTTTTGCTATACACATGTAAGGAGAATCAATGACCCCCAGGGCGGGGCCAATTTTGACCCCAGGGCTTCTATTTGAACAAACTTTGTAGACACTCACTAGAAGATGTTTCATGCATAATATCTAAATTCTAGCTATTTGGGTTTGTTCAAAAAAGATTTTTTAAGTTTTTGCTATACACACATAAGGAAAATCAATGACCCCCTGGGTCGGGGCCAATTTTGACCCCAGGGCTTTTATTTGAACAAACTTTGTAGACACCCATTAGAACATGTTTCATGCTAATATCTTACCTCTAGCTCTTTGGGTTCTTTAAAAGAAGATTTTTTAAGTTTTTACTATACACACATAAGGAAAATCAATGACCCCCTGGGGTGGGGCCAATTTTGACCCCAGGGATTTTATTTGAAAAAAAAAAACAAAACAAACTTGATAGACACTCACTAGAAGATGCTTCATGCCAAATATCTAAGCTCTAGCTCTTTGGGTTCTTTAAAAGAAGATATTTAAAGTTTTTTCTTTTGGTTGCCATGGCAACCAGAGTTCTGCATGGAATTAAGTTCTTTGAACAATTTTTAAAGGTGACCACCAAAGGGACATTCCTGTGAAGTTTGGATGAAATTGACTTAGTGGTTTATGAGGAGATGTCATTTAAAGAAAAAGTTTACGGACGCCGGACGAACGCCGGACGAAAAGTGATCACAAAAGCTCACCCTGTCAATTTGTGACAGGTGAGCTAAAAACAGTTGCATGGATTTCAAATAAACATAATAGGCAATGGGCTGTTTGAAATACACAAATTTGCATGTACTATTAACCCTCAGTCTGCTGGCGTCAACTGAACATACCATGTGACCAATGCAGAACAAGGTCAACCAGCACATCCTTGCTGTCTGTCAAAGTCTGCACTGGTCACTTTACAGTCAGTACAAATTTTAAAATTATCCTAATAAGAGATGCATAGATTTGTCCAGATTTCAAGATAAACAAGTACATCCAAGACATTTCTTGTGGTAAAGATTTAAGTTGCATTAAACCAGACATAATTAACATAAGACTTACCAATGATATCACAGGTTGGAGCCCTAGCTGACCATTGGCCGTCATCAGAGCATTTCCTAGTATCTGTACCAGACAGTCTATACCCTGCCCTAGTACATCGATAGGTGGCAGTGTCATCAAATGATGTACCACTTAATGTTACACTACCATACTGTGGGTTTGGTAAGAGGGGACATACTGTAATCAATGAAATACATTTGTAAAACAAGCATGGTTGGAAATAATTATATTTAATTTTTGTACTGAGAATACAATGTATAAAAATTAATCACAATGACAGATTTATAGTGAAAACTTACATTGCAAGTGGTAAAAATGCCATATGTCCTTCTACACATTATTATTACCACAGAATGGCACCTGGTCAGTACCACCAACCCAGTATATTAGCTAAATCAATCATAATTTTAGGAAGAAAGATTTCAGTTATCGTTTTTTAGGAAAAAATATTTAAGTATTTTTTTTGGGAGATTTTGAAGTAACAGAGTGTAATCATTTAAGAGCTATAGAAGTTTATATGTTAATATAACATGTATATGCCACCAGTTAAGAGCTGTAGGTCAGTCTACATATTCATTCAGTCTGACCAGTGTCTCTATATTGTAAGCTACTCAATTTTAATGTTTTGATATTGAAATCCCTAAAGCTACTAGTGGATTGTTCTAAATTAAGGTTGATAACAAACCTCCAGCGGGATAATGATTAACATGCAGATGAATTGGGCAAAACAAACAGGTCTACTTTCAATAGGTTTAAATATAATCAAAGCTCAAAAGAGTTTTCAGCCTATATATATCATTATATCACTTTTAAACACCACACTTCCTTGAAAAGTCAGTAGTCAGATGCCATTTTCACAGGATGGTTCAGACTCATGATTAGAGGACCTGAAACGCAAAGAATCAACTCCCATCTTATAGATAATCAACAAAATCCAAGGCATTACAAATTTACTAAAATTCTCTTTATCAGTGGATGCTTCCCATTTATAAACACTTTCACTTCTCCTGACTGAAATATTATAAAGCATAACATTTTGTCCCATCATAATCAAAATAAAGTACCTATAACTTTGCAAGTTGGGGTGATTCCTGACCAAACATTAGAGGTAAGACAATTTCTGATTTCATCACCATTCAGTATATACCCTGTATCACATGAATACATAGCTGATCGGCTATCAAATGAAATTGAAACAAATCCATGTAAAGGACTTTGTAGACCACCACATCCTGAAAATATCAACATTCTTTACACCTGAGCAATGCAATAAGCAAATCATAAAACATAACTTGACATTTCTACAAGGTCCTAATTTCCTATAAGGTCTGTTAAAATTTTTACAGACTAGATCTAAAATTGTAGTCAAAGAGAACTAATTTAAAATAGTCATAAAGTCCTTACTAATGGTATGTATCCATTACTAAATTTTAAAAAATCTAAGAAGGGTGATCCCTTCATCAATCAACAGCATAACACCTTTTAGCCAGTGTTTAAAAAATTATAAAAATAATGACTAGAAAAGTTCGAAGTATAGACCATAACCATTTACATCTAGAATTTTAAACAAAGGCATTGAGAGAATAACCACCAAATAAATAGGTCTTTGAAATATATAGAACTACTGAATTTTTTAGTATTCTATTCCTAAAATTCCTCAATGATGTTTTCGGGAGTTTTCATATAGACAAAACAAATAAAAACAAGAATTCATTTAAAATTAAATTTCATACTTAAAATGTTTCTGTTATCATATTCTAATAACATGCCAAGTTTAAAGAAATTCTATTGAACAGTTTTAATTTTGCCTATATGTCTGTATCAAAAACGCCCAAAAACGTCTTTAACTATTAAAATCAACTGCCTTTACCCATGAAAGTAGTGCAGACCAAGATCAGCCAACACATTCCATGCCATCTGATCATGGTCTGCACTGTTCACTATTCACTAAGCAGTTATTTTGAAATTTCCCCTCAAAACCATGAAAGTTTTTGTACACATTTAAAGATGGACAAGGCCATTTGGGATATTCAGAATGGTAAGGGGCTAAACTACTATAGACCTATACTTAAGATTTAACTCTATACAGGACTGGAGCAGTGCCTCTAGACCCTTGCAAAAATCATGATCAATAAATAGCCAATATTTTTTTCGCCAATTCTTACATTTTTCATTCATTATCATACATAAATTGGTGTAAAAAGAAAAACAAGACCTTTTAAAGTTCATTCCGTTGAGTGAAAAGGCAAGATTTTAGCATTTAATCATTCAAGCGCTTAGTTTTGTATATACCGGAAGACGGTATCTAGTGTGGTGCTCCAATCCTTTTTTAAGTCTCACTCATTCATTATGGAAAATCAGGAGTATATTTGTCAACAATGGTTTGACGTTTTTTTTGTTTTTTTTTTAATTTATCTCAAGAATGTTTTAAGAAATAAGGTTTTAACAATATTACTGTACCTGTAATTGCACATGAAGGTGGTGGATTATTCCAGCTACCATCAAGCTGACATGTGATCACTGTAGCACCAATCAAACTATAGCCTGCGTCACAGCTAAAAAATGCTGTCTGTCCAATAACTGTGCCACCATATATTACCCTCCCATTGTCTGGACTATTCAAACTTCCACAATCTACAAAATAACATTATTCAAAGTTTGTTTTTTTAAAAATTAAAGATAATGGAATTGGTTGTTCCAACCATTTATTTTAGGAGAGAGTTTCATATAAAGCTTAAAGCTTTCTACTCAATCCTAAATGCAATTTATGTATTAAAATTTTGTTTGAAAATATGAAAGATTAAATAAATATTGTTTAAACCAACCAATTATTTTTGTTATTTTTTTCAAATAATTAAACGTTATCACAATCTACATAACAAAACTTTATTTCAAGCACAAACTGGACACCAGGATAGACTCGATACCTTTCTGTTAGCTCAGCTAGATAGTATCGTCACATGACACCAGGATAGACTCGATACCTTTCTGTTAGCTCAGCTAGATAGTATTGTCACATGACACTAGGATAGACTCGATACCTTTCTGTTAGCTCAGCTAGATAGTATCGTCACATGACACTAGGATAGACTCGATTGGACACACAGGATAGACTCGATACCTTTCTGTTACCTCAGCTAGATAGTATCATTACATGAAACAAATTCAACATGCTACATGAGATTAATCTCACAGCCAGTCATGACATTTCACCTAAATAACCATACATTTCTGCCACAACACTGCAATAACTGTAGATATATTTTTTATTTATTTTTTTTTTTTGGGGGGGGGGGGATGTTTACCTGATGCCAACACAGTAGAGGACTTTCTAGCTTTACTGTTAGATCAAGGACCCATCCATGCATTTTTTCAGACACTAGAGGGGCACCGAGTAGATCCTCTGACATTCCAAAAGCTAGCTGGATACCTTCCTCACATTACAGAATCCAAATTCCTTGGCAGGATTCAAACCCACAGTGGTGAGGGGCATGTGGTTTAAAGTATAAAATCTTGACCTACCCGTATCAAATATAAAAGGAAAATAAACATTTCACATTTAATATCACAGCATAGAAAATTAACCTGTTAGAGAACAAGTTGGAGCAGGTGGTTGCCAGCTCCCATCTACCTGGCAGGTACGTGTATTAGCGCCAGTCAGTGTATAGCCTGATATACATGTGTATATCACAGTCTCTCCATATAATGTACCACGAGCATAATCTAGTTCACCATTTAAGGGAATCGGTGGTATACCACAATCTGTGTAAAAAACATTATACTCAAATTTCAATATATTTTTAAATAATAATTAATCATTAAAACACAAAATGGACATCCTAACCTAAATACAATAACTTAAATACAATATCTTTACCCGATCAAGTATAATATCCTATCCACATACAATATCATACCAAAGAAAAATATCATATCAAAGAACAATATCTTATCCAAGTCCAATATCATATCAAAGTTCAATATCCTATCCAAGTCCAAAATCATTTCAAATTCAAATATCATATCCAAGTACAATATCCTATCCAAGTACGGTATCAAATCAAAGTTCAATATCCTATCAAAGTAATATATCATCTCAAAAGAACAATATAATATCCAAGTACAAAATCATATCTAGGTATAATGTCAAAGAACAATATCCTATTAAAGTTCAATATCATATCAAAGTTCAATATCCCATCAAAGTTCAATATCCTATCCAAGTGTAATATCCTATCCAAGAACAATATCCTATTAAAGTTCAATATCATATCCAAGTACAATATCCTATCAAAGTTCAATATCCTATCCAAGTACACTATCATATCAGAGTTCAATATCCTATCGAAGTTCAGTATCCTATCCAAGTCCAACATTATATTAAAGTTCAATATCCTATCAAAGTTAAATATCCTATTCAAGTATGATATCCTATCAAAGTTCAATATCCTATCAAAGTTCGGTATCCTATCCAAGTCCAATATTTTATCAAAGTTCAATATCCTATCAAAGTTCAATATCCTATCCAAGTACAATATCATATCAAAGTACAATCGGGAATCTAAACTTCTGCAGGTCAATCAATTGACAACTCAATTCTGAATGTCCTGCACATAACAATACTTGTAACTGTGCTGCTTGAATAAATTTGTAAGTTTTCTTATTTTATTAAATGAATAATGAATGTACTCAACACTCAACTGGACAAGGGCAAGTAAAAGACAACTGAAATATGATATGAGCTGCGTCACGACAAAGCCAACATAGTGGGTTTGCAACCAGCATGGATCCAGACCAGCCTGTGCATCCTAGCAGTCTGATCAGGATCCATGCTGTTCGTTTACAAACCCTATAGCAAGTAGAACTAGAAATGTGTCCATAGGACACGGATGCCCCCACACGCCACAGTTCTGTCAATCTTATGACTCTAGGTCAAATATTTTTTGGACTACATGTGCCACAAGTTGAAAACTAAAAAACAACAGGGCCACAATTCTGTTAAATTTGGTCGCAGCAAAAATTCCTTCCTTTACTGCCATCTACACATTAAGGTTGTTCATCCCTGGAAGTTTAAGCAAAATCTGCCATCCGGTTTAAGAGGAGTTGCATTCACAAAATTTCTACATAGTATATAGTGAAAAAATCAACAAAGGGCCATAATTCTGTAAAATTTGGTCGGAGCAAAAATTCCTTCCTTTACTACCATCTACACATTAAGGTTGTTCATCCCTGTAACTTTAAGCAAAATCTGCCATCCGGTTTAAGAGAAGTTGCGTTCACAAGATTTCGGGACGGACGGAAGGCCGTACCAAAATTTGATGTTTATGAGGCAAATGAGCTCATAAACACCACCTGGACCAACATCCATAAGCAAAAGAATTCAAAGTCCCTGGTGGAATTCCAACCTAAAATGGTTTGAAGCCACTCTGCCAAGGACACACTCAAGAAATGTAACATTTGAGGAAAAAAAAACATTGGATGTATTTGAGTTTTTCAAATTTTAATGCTCTATAGCAAGAATTTTAATTTTTTAATAACAATAGTATAAAAGGTGCGTTAGAAGTATCAGTGCATGTATATAAACTAGTGGTGCAAATCTTGTTTATTGTAAAAATTATTAGACTATTCACCTGTAATTAAAAAGTTATAATTCAAAGGACAGTTAAACTAACATAGAAAGAACAGTGTAAGATTTTCTTATCAGTTCACCAATTAGAAACTAAACAATATGTTTTGATATTATTATTACATGCAAATGCTAGTTATTTTCTAGATTGTGTCATAGTTTGTGTAAGAGAACAAGATAAAACTTTCCATATGTACCTATACTTGGATCTGGTCTGTAATATTGTAGTTTAAATTCATATAATTGGTAATTCAATGTTGATTGCATGCAGTGTAAAATTCTATCAAATTTTAACTGTACACTACAAAAAAATCACTTGAAAATAATCAGTTTGTCTTGATCTAACTAGAATTTCATCAGAAAGAAAAATAATCTTTTTCAGTTTTTTATTTAATTTTTACATAGTTGACATAAAAATATTCAAGATTACAAGTTAATTGAATCAGAATTAAATTGTGAAGGAAGACCTCAGGTGCCCTTCTGTGTATTATTTCAGGCACAAATAGGTACCTGTGTAGAACCATCAACCTTCCATAAGCTAGATGACTAGCTCAAGCACTTTCAGAGCTACATGTGACACAAAACATAGAGAGGACAGATCCACAAACCAGGGTTAATCTCAACCCCCATAAAAATCAATGTATGTTTTTCACAAACAGATAGATGATAAAACTACTTTCTCTAGATCATCAACACAAATATAACTAGCTTTAGTCAATTATCATTGGTCAAAGAAGCAAGATATCACATACCTACAATCTGGACTATCATTGACCAGTGTACAAACATAACCGGTCTGACATGGACCTAATAAGTCTAGGAATAATCTACACACTAGCTCATCTGACTGTAGTGACTTCAAATCCTCTGTAAAGAAATAAATCAAACTATATTTCCTCAAAGGTCAAGAAAATTTAAGAACGGTTGTCATTTATCGGAACATTTTAACAAAGCACAAAATTAATTTGTGTGCAATGGCACATCAAGGTTTTAGTTATCAAGCTGCATTATCCTAATTTCATGTTTTAAAGAGATTCACAAAAAGGAAACAAATCCCTATTCTCTACAAAACCAGGTTTTCTGTTTATCTTACATGAACTGAAATAACGGTCATAATTCTGCTGTTTGTAACAAAGAACAAAATCCTCACAATCACACAATTTGCACCAGGACATTAAATGCCTATCATTTTGTTTAAGTTTGGTTGAAATCCTTTGAGAAATATACAAGTTGTGCACAAAAGAAATTGTTAATCACCAGATCTCTTTCCACCGATAGTCCATCTGCTGCCATTCAACAATCTTAACAACCAGATTTTTCCCTTATTTTCCCTTAAGTAAACTTGGTCTATAAAACAATAACATACCTGGATCATTATTTGCTGTCATTTTATCAACCCCAAGATTTTGGTTGAACACTTCTATCGTTGATCCCTGGGCAAGTTCCATAGAGGCTTGAGAGAAATTTTTCACAGCTTCAGCTTTGTCTTTCATCACTACAGTGTAGTCAACAATCAAACTGCCTAAACTGTACAATATGAAATAAAATTTAACATAACCGTTAATTAATTGGTGTACAGTAAAACCTTGACTGATAACCATCTCATTAATAGACTACATATAGAAAACTAGTAGTTTCTGGCCATAATTTTACATTCCTGTTTAAAAGTAACTAAGGTGCCAAATTAAGCGAGTTTGTCAGACGAGACTGGCTGTAATCAAATCATATTATAAATACATATATTTTTTGGTGGGTTTTATGGGACCATGCTTCCTATAAAGGCAAGAGAGGAGCATTCTCAGGAAAATAACCCATCATTACTGTTAACAAATTGTTTTACAGTATAACTTAATTAGAAACTGTATTATTCCAATTATATCACAGCTTAAACTAGAAATGTGTCCATAGGACACGGATGCCCCCACACGCCACTGTTCTGTCAATCTTATGACTCTAGGTTAAATATTTTTTGGACTACATGTGCCACAAGTTGAAAACTAAAAATCAACAAAGGGCCATAATTCTGTTAAATTTGGTCGCAGCAAAAATTCCTTTCTTTACTACCATCTACACATGAAGGTTGTTCATCCCTAGAAGTTTAAGCAAAATCTGCCATCCGGTTTAAGAGGAGTTGCATTCACAAAATTTCTACATAGTATCTAGTGAAAAAATCAACAAAGGGCCATAATTCTGTAAAATTTGGTCGCAGCAAAAATTCCTTCCTTTACTACCATCTAAACCTGAAAGTTGTTCATCCCTGTAAGTTTAAGCAAAATCTGCCATCCGGTTTAAGAGGAGTTGCGTTCACAAAATTTCTACATAGTATATAGTGTAAAAATCAACAAAGGGCTATAATTCTGTTAAATTTGGTTGCTGCAAAAATTCCTTCCTTTACTACCATCTACACATGAAGGTTGTTCATCCCTGTAAGTTTAAGCAAAATCTGCCATCCGGTTTAAGAGGAGTTGCGTTCACAAAATTTCTACATAGTATCTAGTGAAAAAATCAACAAAGGGCCATAATTCTGTTAAATTTGGTCGCAGCAAAAATTCCTTCCTTTACTGCCATCTACACATTAAGGTTGTTCATCCCTGTAAGTTTAAGCAAAATCTGCCATCCGGTTTAAGAGGAGTTGCGTTCACAAAATTTCTACATAGCACCTAGTGAAAAAATCAACAAAGGGCCATAATTCTGTTAAATTTGGTCGCAGCAAAAATTCCTTCCTTTACTACCATCTACACATTAAGGTTGTTCATCCCTGTAAGTTTAAGCAAAATCTGCCATCCGGTTTAAGAGGAGTTGCGTTCACAAGATTTCGGGACGTACGGACTGACGGACGGACGGACAAGTGCAACGCTATATGCTCCCACATTGTGGGGGCATAAAAATGGAGAACTGTATTATATACATACATGTGAACTCTCCCACTTTTAGCCGGAGACTCCCACTTTCTGCAGCCACATGTTCAAAGATTTTTCTTAAAATGAGGGGTATTTTCACAAATTAAAGAAATCTCCCTATTTTTCATGTCAGAACTTCCTTCTTTGTTTATTGCAGATTCTAAAATCTCCCTCTTTTTGAAGAAAAATCTCCCACTTGATCATCAAAAACATTTCACATGTATGTATATATACTTGTACTAACCTCATAGAGTTAATGATAATGTCAATAATATTGTCCTTTAGTCTCAAACCATAATGTTGTTCCAACTGTAATATAAAACAGACAAAGTTAACATTCTTTCATTGCCTCTTTCTGTAATTGTAGATCAATTTCTAATACAATATTTGACTAGAGCTATCACTGAAGGTGATTAATACCCCCACAAGCAACCATTACGTTTGAAAAATAAGTGGTGTGAACAATAGTTTGAAGTTAAACTATAATTTTTGAAGATTGAAATGAGTACAAAGAATTGCAACATCAACCAGGTCTTCAAGAAAGCTTCTTTTATCTCATTCCTAGCTCAATTATCGTCCGGAAACCATTTTTCTATTTTTAGTAACGGTGACCTAGTCGTTGACCCCAGGGGGTCCATATGCAATACCAACCCAGGTATTCATACAAGCTTGCTGTACACCAAGTTTGATTGGAATATCTCATTCCTAGCTCAAGTTATCGTCCGGAAACCATTTTTCTATTTTTAGTAATGGTGACCTAGTCTTTGACCCCAGGTAGTCCATATGCGATACCAACCCAGGTATTCATACAAGCTTGCTGTACACTAAGTTTGATTGGAATATCTTATTCCTAGCTCAAGTTATCTTCCGGAAACCATTTTTCTATTTTTAGTAACGGTGACCTAGTCTTTGACCCCAGGGGGTCCATATGCAATACCAACCCAGGTATTCATACAAGCTTGCTGTACACTAAGTTTGATTGGAATATCTCATTCCTAGCTCAAGTTATCGTCCGGAAACCATTTTTCTATTTTTAGTAACGGTGACCTAGTCTTTGACCCCAGGGGGTCCATATGCAATACCAACCCAGGTATTCATACAAGCTTGCTGTACACCAAGTTTGATTGGAATATCTCATTCCTAGCTCAAGTTATCGTCCGGAAACCATTTTTCTATTTTTAGTAACGGTGACCTAGTCTTTGACCCCAGGGAGTCCATATGCAATACCAACCCAGGTATTCATACAAGCTTGCTGTACACCAAGTTTGATTGGAATATCTCATTCCTAGCTCAAGTTATCGTCCGGAAACCATTTTTCTATTTTTAGTAACGGTGACCTAGTCTTTGACCCCAGGGGGTCCATATGCAATACCAACCCAGGTATTCATACAAGCTTGCTGTACACCAAGTTTGCTTGGAATATCTCATTCCTAGCTCAAGTTATCGTCCGGAAACCATTTTTCTATTTTTAGTAACGGTGACCTAGTCTTTGACCCCATGGGGTCCATATGCAATACCAACCCAGGTATTCATACAAGCTTGCTGTACACCAAGTTTGATTGGAATATCTTATTCCTAGCTCAAGTTATCGTCCGGAAACCATTTTTCTATTTTTAGTAACGGTGACCTAGTCTTTGACCCCATGGGGTCCATATGCAATACCAACCCAGGTATTCATACAAGCTTGCTGTACACCAAGTTTGATTGGAATATCTCATTCCTAGCTCAAGTTATCGTCCGGAAACCATGAAGGTGGACCGACCGACGGACGGACGGACCGACCGACCGACAAGCTGACTCCTATATACCCCCCCTAAACTTCGTTTGTGGGGGTATAACAAGAGCGTTCAGTGATCACATGTGTCGCCTCATGATGACCAATTTCATGTTGGGACAAGTTTTGTGACAGACGGACAGAAAGACGGACAGTGCACAACCAGACTTGGTACTGATCATTCCTGTAAAGTTTGGATGAAATTGCACCAGTAGTTTATGAGGAGTAGTCCGGACAAGCTTTTGAGTATCTGGCAACACACAGAAAAAAACACCTTTTTTATCAAAGGGCCATAACTCTGCCAAAAAATATTGAACCAGAAAATCCTTGCAATATGCGCAAGGACTTGAGCTACAGATCAATCCTGTAAAGTTTCATTGAAATTGCATCAGTGGTATAAGAGAAGTAGTCTGGACAAACTTTAAAAATAAAAATTATTGAAGGGCCATAACTTGTGACAAAAATCATTGAACTGGAAAATTCTGACAATATGCACAACTAGACTTGGTACTGATCATTCCTGTAAAGTTTGGATGAAATTGCACCAGTAATTTATGAGGAGTAGTCCGAACAAGTTTTGTGACCGACAGACGGACGCACGGACGGACAGACAGAGGACGGAGAAGTGATCCCTATATGTCGCCACTACTCTGTAGAGGCGACACAAAAATCAATGTCACTAATGTCTACAGACTTAACAGAATGATAATATTCTGAACCTAAAAACTTATTTATGATAAAAGTTCTGTAATTTTCCATTTATATAAATATCATGCTCTTTACTGTGTTGCTCAAAATGTGAAAAGATATTTAGAAACATCACCATGTACATCCAGGAAATATACATAGAAAGAATCACAGAAACTGCAATAAATAATTTTGAATTATAGTACTTCAAAGATTATATTACCGCTACTTTAACTTCTTTTCTGTACGCCTCATATGTAAATGGATTAGAGAGTGTGAGCCCTGGTGGTGCCGTCATGTTTAATGTCACAATCAACTCTTTAGCAAGCAATCCCTCTGAAATAAAACACTGCATGAAAGAGTATACCATAAAGGATTTGTTCTGCATATGCAGTGGAAAGCAAACTTGTTAAGGATATTGACTACAAATTATTCTTTTGTCCACTGTCTAATTTCCAACAAGGAAAAGTTGTAAACCTTTATATCCAAATAAGCTCTACACTTAGGACATCAGTTCTCTGAAAACCTTTAATAAAGATCCAAGACAAGGCACATTTTTTTTTAACAATTGACTGAATTCAATTTGTCTCATTCCTTTTACAAGCCATACAAAAAAATGACATGTCACTTGCGGAAAAACAGGAAAAATTTGCAGAAGAACTCTTGTTATGTAATCTGTATAAAACTGTCAGATGGCCCTGAGCCCAGCATTACAAGCAAGAAAACATTTTTTTTAACTTACCTTGAAGAGAACATGCTGGTGGTTCAGCACTCCAGAAACCATCTGCTCTGCACACCAAAGTTGATAACCCTACCACATTATACCCTGTATTACAGGTGAATGTAGCGACATTTCCATACTTAGTTCCTGAGAGAGTAACATTACCACCAGCTGGGGCAGTCAATGTCCCACAATCTGTAATGGATAAGTTAATAGACAGCAACTTGCAGTTAATTCATTCTTAACAGACAGATATATCAAAATTAAAATCAAAACCATGACTTGGGTTATCAGTATATATGCTTACAACTGTTATTGTTTTGTTATTTTTGGCTATATAACCTGTAGAAAATCTTTATAACCTCTATTAAAATACTGCATATTTGTAATGCAACTTTTCGTTGGATAATAGTGATGTTTATATAGTTTTATATACATGGCTGCTGTCAATTTATGAAGAAATCTTTGTTTTTTTCTATCAAAAAGCAAGTTTGCAGTATCATTAATTTGTAATAGATTCCTGACAGGTTATATGCCCGTATATAAATGGTTGTTTACAATATTACCCTTGTCTAGCAGCTCAGGTTATATATGCCAACATCTGTTGATATATGGCCATATAACCAGTCATAAATCATTATAACTCATAATAACTGATGATATACAAAAGCTCTTTCTTAGAAGTGATAACATGCTATACAGCTGATATCTGACTAAGATATCCTAGCCCTAAAGATAACATAACATTCTATCCAATGGTATACAAAAATACCTCTAATTTTACAAGAGGGTTGGGAACCACTCCATTCTGCTGTTTCCTGGCACAGCCTGCTTGGGGAACCAGTAATCTGGTGTCCGGCATCACATACATATGTGACGTAGTCTCCAAAACTGGTACCACTCAATGTCACCGCACCATTAGCTGGATCATTGAGAATCCCACAATCTGTAATTCAAACATTTTGAAATAAACATTTATGTCAAGATATATTAAAATCTAGCAATCAGCATTCAGCTCATTTAAATTCATAAAGGGTCAAATTCTCCATTTTTTGATAGTTTTTTTATGGGCATCATTTCCTCATAACAATATACACCCATGCTGAGTTTCTTAAAAATATAAAATGGATCACCTATTAGTCCACAAAGCATGGCTTATTACTTCTCAAATTGTTGATCAGGCATGGCTTTTACTCAATATGTAATCATGTTTAACACAAAGTTTATCAATGTGACCTTGAACTTTTAACTTTATGAATTTAAAAATCAATAGGGGCTACCCACTAGCCATGGGAAATGTTCCTATTATGTTTTATAAACTTAATTAAGCTAATTACTTCTCATGCTATTGATTGGACATTAATGTATTACACAGTTTCACTGTGACTTTGACCTTTGATCTAATGACCTCAAAGTAAATAGTGGTCATCTACCAGCAAAGTATTGTTTAAACCAGATATATTATTGAAAACTGATCAAGATTCAGATATCTTTACAAAAAGTAGTGAAGAAAATATAAACCTGCAATCCGACAAGTGGGTGGAGTGCCACTCCAGAAACCATCTTGTAAACACTGTAGTTGTGTTGATCCAGATAGAATATAACCAGTCTTACAGGTAAATACGGCTGTCTGACCATATGTTGTTCCTTGAGGTAATGATAACAACCCATTCTCCGGTTCAGTCAATTCTCCACAGTCTGTTGTTGAAGTATAAAAAATAAAATTTCATCATCAACATACAAGGAAACACTACTGAATAAATGGATATTTTCATGTGTCGAAATGTTGGTGAATTAAAAAAATTACTGACATTTCGCACGATGAAATTGTGCATATGTAGAATGTAATGACAGGGTGGTTGATATTTATTCAATAGGAAAGTTTAGCGATTTTCGTCAATTTGCGAAATTTGCCAATATTTCTACATCACTAACAAATTAACCACTCAGTGTGAAGACTGGCCTAATGAAAAATATAATTTATGTTTTCAATTCATTCAACATTCATTTATATTGACAACACAACAGAATAATAAAACAAGATTGCATTTGAGAAAAATGCTATGCCACCGCATTAATACAGCACTAAATAGTAGTGTGCATTAATACAACACTAAATAGTAGTGTAGGAACGGATATTTTTGTTTCTATACAATTGAAGATTGTCATAATGCATAGATCCCTGACCTATCTAATTCTTATCAACAGATTAGTGGTTGAATCTATTGTTAATCCAACAAAAGATCAGAGTAGGAATATATCAATGCACTTGAGTCTTGTTAATTTGGTGGTGAAGGTCATATTTCTCACAGCCTAAATTTCATGACTATATCAAAGGACAACACAGTAAGACACTTTGTTAAAATCTAAGTCAGCTAATATCAAAGTTCACTTTACATCTTAATCTGTGCACATGGTTCAAATTTCATAGCTGTACATCAAAGGGCAAGAGAGTAAGTCACATCATCAAAATCTAGATCACCTGATATCAAAGTTCAATTTTACAACTTAAACTGTGCACATGGTCAAAATTTCATTGCTGTACATCAAAGGATAAGAAAGTAGGTCACTTTCCCCTTGGGCAAGGCAAAATTTTGACCCAAGGGTTTTATTCAAACAATCTTGATACAGGTCCACCAAACAACAACATTTCAAGTCAAATATCTAAGCTGTAGCTTTCTCCCATTCAGAAAACATTTGTTTTATTTTCTGTTTTTACTATGTGTTCATAATGAGAATCACTGCCCCTGGGCAGGGCCAATTTTGACACCAAGGGAAAAATTTGAACAACTTTGGTAGAGGACCTATAGATGATATTATATAGCAAACATCAAAGCTCTATGCCTTGTACCTTCAAACAAAAATACTTTTTTTTTTTACTATATGTACATAATGAAAATCAATGACCCCCGGGTCGGAACCAATTTTGACCCAAGGACTATAATTTGAACAATCTTGGTAGAAGTTCACTTAGCAAAGTCTCATGCCATATATTTAACCTCTAGCCTTTGTCAATTCAGAGAAGAAATTTTTCAAGTTTTAACTTTATTTTTTTTGTTTGTTTTGGGTTTTACGTCACATCAACACAGTATAGGTCATATCGCGACGTTCCAGCTTTACTGGTGGAGGAAGACCTCAGGTGCCCCTCCGTGCATTATTTCAGGCACGAACGGGCACCTGAGTAGAACCACCAACGTCCCGTAAGCTAGCTGGATAGCTTCCTCACATGAAAGAATCCAAAGTCCCTGTCGGGATTCGAACCCACAGCGGTGAGGGGCAAGTGGTTTGAAGTCAACGACCTTAACCACTCGGCCACGGACGACCCAACATTTTAACTTTATACATATAAGGAAAACTATCGCCTCTGGGGCAGGGCAATTTTAACTCTAGGGGCATACTTAAAACAACTTTAGTAGAGGACCCATGATATTACATACCCAATATAAAATCTCTTAAGCCTTAAAGTACCTTCAGACAAGACATTTTTTTTACTATAGTTACATAGTGAAAATCAATGACCCCTAGGGGTGGAGCCAATTTTGACCCCAGGGCTATAATTTGTACAATCTTGCTAGAGGTTCACTACACAATGTTTCATGCAAAATATCTTAACTCCAGCCTTAATAAATTTAGAGAAGATGATTTTTAAATTTTACTATATACATATAAGGAAAACCTATGGCCCCCGGGGCGGGGCTAATTTTGACACTAGAGGCAAAATCTGAACAAATTTGGTAGAGTACCTATAGATTATATCATTTAACAAATATTAAAGCTCTAAGCCTTGTACCTTCAGACAATAAGATTTTTTACTATATGTATATATTGAAAATCAATGACCCCCGGGGTGAGGCCGATTTTGACCCCAGGGCTATAATTTGAACAATCTTGCTAGAGGTTCACTACACAATGTTTCATGCAAAATATCTAACCTCTATCATTTGTCAATTGTTTTTACTATAACTTTTACTTTATACATCTAAGGAAAACCAATGACCCCCGGGGCAGGGCCGATTTTGACCCCAGGGCTATAATTTGAACAATCTGGGTAGAAGTCTACCAGACAATGCCTTATGCAAAAATATCTAACCTCTAGGCCTTTGGGTCTTTACAAGAAGGTATTTTAAGTTTTTACTATATGTACATATAGTGAAAACCAATGACCCCCGGGGCGGGGCTGATTTTGACCCCAGGGCTATCATTTGAACAATCTTGGTAAGGGTCTACCAGACAATGCTTTATGCAAAATATCAAAGCTCTAGGCCTTTTGGGTCTTTACAAGAGGGTATTTTACGTTTTTACTATATGTCATATAGAGAAATTCAATGACCCCCAGGGCGGGGCCGATTTTGACCCCAGGGCTATAATTTGAACAATCTTGGTAGATGTCTACCAGACAATGCTTTGTGCAAAATATCTAAGCTCTAGGCCTTTTGGGTCTTTACAAGAAGATTTTTTAAATTTATTCTTATAATTCCTTTTGGTTGCCATGGCAACCAGATTTCTGCATGGAATGAAATTCTTTGAACAACTTTGGAAGCCCTTCACACAAGGATCAATCCTGCCAAGTTTGGTTGAAATTGGACCAGTGGTTTTTCACAAGAAGATTTTTGAAGTTCACTATATAATCTATATAACACACACACACACAAACAAACAAACAAACACACACACACACGCACACACACACAGGTGAATCGCTATATGCCACCGCATCGCAGATGCTGCGGTGGCATAAAAATATTTGGTTGCTTCTTAAGATGTACCAACACTGTCAAAGTTGAATGGTGACATGCCAGTTTTTTTCAAAGTTATAATTTGTACACAATATTTTCATTTCAGTTTCATCAATAGCATCAATTGGTATCAATTTCACTCTGTTTCAGACACAAGGAGACAACCAAGAAATACGTCCTACTTCCTTAACCTAGCTTTATAGCTTCTTCACAAGAATAAAACAAGAGGGCCATGATGGCCCTGAGGTCGCTCACCTGTATATAGCTCCCCCCTCCCCCACACACACACCCATAAGAAGATGTTACATGCTAAACATCTAAGCTCTAGCTCATTGGGCTTTTAAAAGAAGATTTTTTTAAAGTTTTTACTATAAACATATAGTTAAAAACAATGACACCCTGGGGCGGGGCCAGTTTTGACCCCAGGGCTTTTATTTGAACAAACTTTGTAGACACTAACTAGAAGATGTTTCATGCTTAATATCTAAACTCTAGCTATTTGGGTTTTTTCAAAGAAGATTTTATATTTTACTATACACATATAAGGAAAATCAATGACCCCCTGGGGCGGGGCCAATTTTGACCCCAGGGCTTTTATTTGAACAAACTTGGTAAACACCCATAAGAAGATGTTTCATGCTAAACATCTAAGCTCTAGCTCATTGGGCTTTTTAAAAGAAATTTTTTTAAGTTTTTACTATACACATATAGTTAAAAACAATGACACCCCTGGGGCAGGGCCAGTTTTGACCCCAGGGCTTTTATTTGAACAAACTTTGTAGACACTTACTAGAAGATGTTTCATGCTTAATATCTAAACTCTAGCTATTTGGGTTTTTTCAAAGAAGATTTTAAGTTTTTGCTATACACATATAAGGAAAATCAATGGCCCCGGGGCGGGGCCAATTTTGACCCCAGGTCTTTTATTTGAACAAACTTTGTAGACACTCACTAGAAGATGTTTCATGCTTTATATCTAAACTCTGGCTATTTGGGTTTTTTCAAAGAAGATTTTTTAAGTTTTTGCTATACACATATAAGGAAAATCAATGACCCCCTGGGCGGGGCCAATTTTGACCCCAGGGCTTTTATTTGAACAAACTTGGTAGACACCCATAAGAAAATGTTCATGCTAAACATCTAAGCTCTAGCTCATTGGGCTTTTTAAAAGAATATTTTTTCAAGTTTTTACTATACACATATAGTTAAAAACAATGACACCCCTGGGGCGGGGCCAGTTTTGAGCCCAGGGCTTTTATTTGAACAAACTTTGTAGACACTTACTAGAAGATGTTTCATGCTTAATATCTAAACTCTAGCTATTTGGGTTTTTTCAAAGAAGATTTTAAGTTTTTGCTATACACATATAAGGAAAATCAATGACCCCCGGGGCGGGGCCAATTTTGACCCCAGGGCTTTTATTTGAACAAACTTGGTAGATACCTATAAGAACATGTTTGATGCTAAATATCTTAGCTCTAGCTCTTTGAGTTCTTTAAAAGAAGATTTTTTAAGATTTTATACATGCATATAGGGAAAATCAATGACCCCCTGGGGCGGGGCCAATTTTGACCCCAGGGCTTTTATTTGAACAAACTTGGTAGACACTCATTAGAACATGTTTCATGCTAAATATCTTAGCTCTAGCTCTTTGGGATCTTTAAAAGAAGATTTTTTAAGTTTTTACTATATGCATATAGGGAAAATCAATGACCCCCTGGGGCGGGGCCAATTTTGACCCCAGGGCTTTTATTTGAACAAACTTGGTAGACACTCACTAGAAGATGTTTCATGCCAAATATCTAAGCTCTAGCTGTTAAGGTTTTGTAAAAGAAGATATTTAAAGTTTTTTCTTTTGGTTGCCATGGCAACCAGAGTTCTGCATGGAATTAAATTCTTTGAACAAGTTTTAAAGGTGACCACCAAAGGAACATTCCTGTGAAGTTTGGATGAAATTGGCCTTGTGGTTTATGAGGAGATGTCATTTAAAGTAAAAGTTTACGGACGACGGACGGACGACGGACGGACGACGGACGGAAAGCGATCACAAAAGCTCACCCTGTCACAAAGTGACAGGTGAGCTAAAAAGGCTTTTTACCCACAGCAACAAGGGGTATTTTAACCACTCGGCTAAAAAATATCTCTAACAGACAAATAAATGTAACATAACTGACCTCTTATTGTACATGTTGGTAATGGACTCCACTGACCGGTTTCCAGACATGTGACTGTAGCATTACCATTCAGCTGGTACCCTGTATTACAGCTGACTATTACAGCAGTGTTATAGGTGTTTCTCTGTGGTGGTGTGTAGGAACCAGACACTACTGATGATAATGAACCACAATCTGTAAAACATACCAATCCAAATCTAATATGACCTTAAGGCACTTGCTTGCAACATTATTTTATTCCAATATTCATAACCTGTTACCTAAAATGTTTCTGGATCAATGTATCCATATAGTAATCTTTTAAGTTGATGTTCAAGTTGGTAAGGTAGAAAACCAAAACTATTCTCCAATTGTTCAGTCTTAAACTTTTTCAGACATTAACAGAACTGAACAAGGGGAATGGAAGTACAACAATACAACTATATTCAGAAGAAATTTGTCAAAATATATAAAATATATATAACAAGATATCAATCTAAGTCTTATCTTTAATTAGGCACTATAAGTAGTTTTGGGATAATATGAAAACAATTTCACTAATGGATTGTCCAACTCTGAATTGGAAGAGTCAATATACACTTTTAGGGAATGCAGCATTATAATAATAATAAAATAATGTTTTATTTCAATTACATCATAATTGATCAACAAATAGTACACAGCAACACACATATAAGATTGCATGGGTAGGCAAGCTGGCTTACATGTACTTATACACTAGTGGTATAAACAAGTCCTTAAAGCTGCTAGCACTAAAGGGTTTACAATAAATATTTATACTACAAACAAACATCAAAGCAAACAAACATCAAAGATGTTGAGCGGTCAACTTTGTAAACTTGGTAGCTCGAGTACTCACCAATGATCGTACAAGTTGGTGTTACACCGGACCAGTTCCTGTCTGCCTCACATTTTCTGGTGGTTAAACCTTGTATACTGTATCCAATATTACATCTGTAGACTGCTTCACTACCATAAACTGTGCTGGTATATTCAACCTTTCCAAATGCTGGATCAGGGAGTGATCCACAATCTACAATGTATTGTAACCTTGGTGCAATAAGTGATTAACTCCTATTTAATCTAGAAGGACTTAGCCCGTTACTGCACTAAGGTGATGGTATGTGTAAAAACAAAATACATGTGCACAGGATAAGCTATTGCTGTAACTAAACTGGTTTTGTAACAAAACCAACAGAATAACAACTTAACAATAAACACATTGCACTACAGGAACAATGATATACATGTATATAACAAGATATCTCTGTAAGACATCCTGTTTGACTATTCTCAGTGCTTCACAGTATGAAAAGGGGCATAACTCTATACAAAGGTAACTCAGAAAAGTGTGTTAAGTTTCAAAGTGTGTGAAGTTTCAACGCATTCCCAAAGTAGTTTTAGAGATACCAACTTGCACACAAAAACTGAACCAAAGTGTGATGGTGAAGCTGACACTGACATGAAAACAATAGCTCTCCTCAGCTAAAAACAGAAAAGGTTCAACACAACATCCTCATATCTGTAATGAGCCCAAATGCTATATTCCTTGACATTTATTCAACTATTATAAGATGGTTTCATACAGTTTGTACAAGAAAACAGAAGCATTCTATAGGCTAGTTACTTTTGCAATAGTCATCAAAAAACAATTTTGTCCTCAATATAAAAATGTAAAAACCTACAAAATGAAATAATGTAAGAGTTCAAATCAGAACTATTTCCCGGTAAAACTTTAATGGTTTACTTTATCATTATGCAGTAAATGCAATTGTCTGTAACGAGTGTGCACAGAATAACAACTAAAATTGATGACAGTTTTTCTATTTGAAGAAATCACAAACTCAAGTCCATTCCTTCAAACTACAGTATGGTTTTAGGATCGTTTTTAGTTTGTTTTTGATAAAAAGTTGGATTTTACGTCACTTGAAAACTATAAAGGTCATACAGCAACTTTCCAGCTTTAATAGTGGAGGTAGATCTCAGTTGCCCATCTATGCATGATTTCAGACATCAACAGGCAATTGAGCAGAACCACAGACATTCTATATTAGCTAGCTGAATAGCTTTCTCACAAGAAAGTCCCTAGCAGGATTTGAACCCGCATTGGTGAGGGGCAAGTGTTAAAATCTCTCAGCCACGATGGTTTAAGATGATATACATAAACATTAGTGAATCAGTAAAGCAAGTATTAAGATTAAAGTAATAAATTACTAGTAGTGCTTGGTCTTCTTACTATTGAATTTGATTAAAAAATATTAAACAGAATGATCTAAGTAAAATATTTTTTACCTATCAAGAATACACAGATTTATACTGAATTATTTTATTACATATTTGTATTTAAATGGTCATTAAATAAATGTTTAAAATCTAAACACAATTTGCATTATGCTAAAAGGTATCAACAAACTGTTTGGTATCCCATTATTCACAAACCTTTCACCAAACATGTTGGTGTTGACCCGGACCAGGAACCATCTGGTTGACAAAAACGACTACTGGTTCCCTGTAATGTGAAGCCCTCATTACAAGTATAGGAAGCCACCTGACCGAACGTTGTCTCACTAGCTGATACTGTACCATTATCAGGGTAAGGTAGACCTTTACAATCTGAAAGTACACTCTAACATAGCAAGCAAACAATATACAGTCATGAACAGCAACATATTTGCATTTATTTGTTTCAGAAAACTTGCAATCTTTACTTTTTAGATTGATCAAACTTAAAGTTAGTGTCTTGTGGTCTCAAAAACATCAAGACATCAAGACTTATAATTTAATTTAATACATAAGCAAGTAGTATGTTTGTAGATTAACCTTTCTTCAGAATCTGAAAATCACCCAAAATATTTCTAAAAGAGCCAAGTGCTTTGTCTATTGTAGCAGTCATTTAAAAACAAAAGAAAGACAAAGGAAACCCATGTTGCAATCAATATTTCATTTGTATTTTATTTCATTTGTACTTTAAATAATGATCATTTCATGCTCTTCAATGCCAAATTTTGAATTTTACTTCAAGTGTAATTCAAACCAGCAGGTAGATAAGAAACTGGCCAAAGCTACACATTATTACGATTGAACAAGAGCATTTTTGTTTTTACAGGTCTGCAATAATGACCAATACAAACACTGTGCAATGCTATGAATAAAGAACAAGTTCAATGATTATCCATGACAATTTGGGAATTCTCATACCTGTTATTCTACAAACTGGTGCTGCATGACTCCATTGTCCATCTGCCTTACAAGTAGCCTGCTTACTTCCAAATATTTCATACCCTACACTGCAGTTAAAATGTACAGTACGTCCATAAGTAGTTCCTGATGACTGATCTACATTACCGTTCACTGGATTCTGTATTCTTCCACAGTCTGTAACATAGAAATTTATGTAGCACATTTGTCAACATAGTAAAATAGTGCTAAAGAAGTAGGTAACCTTTCAACCACTTCATCAATGAGGCTCCATTCTTCCTTCCCTACTTTTAAACCTAAGAGTGACCTGAAGTTACCAATATAGTCCAAGAGTTTACAGCTCTATTTCTTCATGACATACAACCAGTTTACAAATTGCTGCTTTTTATAGACTCTTTGCATACTCAAGAACTTTGTACAACATAAATACATGTAATTTTTTGTAAATGGTTCAACTAACTTTCTTTAACATCTGTTGGGAACTAAAGTCCAGATTTTCATTTCTATTGAAAAGATATCCTAAAGCAACAAAGAAAACCCGGTGATTTTCTTTTGACCAGAAATCCTGCATTGAAATAACTAAAACATTAAAGAGATTCCTGCATACTGTAACTTTAAATTTTGTTTATAGAACAATAATTATTGTCATACCTTGCAAAGAGCAAGAAGATGCTTGATTAGGTTCCCAGTTACCAGAAATGGAACATGTTCTTGAGATAGGACCAGACAACTTGTACCCATTGTTGCATGTAAACTGAGCAACGCTCTGGTATACAGTGTTGTTTGTAAGAGAGACAGATCCATCCATTGGCTGTGAAATTGAACCACAGTCTGAAAGATAAGTTAAAAAGTGCAGAAAAAAAAACAACATTTATTTTAAACAACTCACAATATTTTTTTCTTTTTATATTTGGAAATAAATATGTACTTCTGAGGGTATATGTACATAAAAATAAACTGTTTTGTTTTCTAAAGGACCTTGGTAGAATTATGTGATAACTAGAAATGTGTCATCACGCCACGGATCCCATGCATGCAGCGAAATTTCAGATGTTTTAATATTTAGTTCCAAATTTTTTGCACAAATTTATTTTTTTTCATTTTAAGTTCAAAGCCTTTAAAACTAATTAATGTTAAGACAAACCATTTTTATACAAAGTTCAAGGCACTGAAACTATTCAGTGTTAACCTTTTGTAAATTGCATATTTGTAGCAAAAATAATCCTTACATACATTTCCTCAAAAGTACGAGTGCTGAAACTGAAAATTCAAAATGTTTCCAACATTCAAGAAAGATAACTTTGTCCAAAATCATTGAACCACTACCAAATTCAAACTTGAACTGCTTATTCCTAAGATATATCTATATGTCAAATTTGAGTTGAATGTGTACGACCATTGGGGAAATAATGAACAGAAACTTAAAATTTCTGATTTTTTTTCAAAGTTCAAGAGGGATAACTCTGTCAGCTATTATCAAACCATAACCAAATTTGAAATTGACCAATGCATTCGTATGACATATCCATATCTTTAATTTGAGTTGAATATGTACAACTGTTGGGGAGATAATGAATGGGAACTGAAAATTTCTTATTATTTTCATAGTGAAGGGGCATAACTCTGCCAAAATCATTGAACCATGACAAAATTCAAACTTGAACTGCGCATTCCTTTGACATATACATATGTCAAGTTTGAGTTAAATGTGTAATACTGTTAGGAAGATAATGAACGGAAACTGAAAATCTTATATTATTTTCAAAGTAAAAGGGGCATAACTCTGCCAAAAATCATCAAACCATGACCAAATTCAAACTTATTTTCTCATTACTAAGATAATGAACGGAACTGATGATGATGGAATGACAGAATGACGGAACAGGGTAACACTATATGCCCCAGCCATTATATGGCAGGTGCATAACAATCAAAGATAAACTAGAAATGCATATATCAGACATAGATGCCTCAACTTTCAACTGTTTTGTAAGTCTACAATGAGATAGACGCATGAATGGACAATTAGGTAAATCTGTATGTCCCCTAGAAGTGGGAACAAATCATGTTTTGCTGCTGGAATATTTATGTTATTTATGTTTGTTTTGTTTACCAATAATACTACAGGATGTTTGTTGCTGTTTGTTACTCCATTCCTCTGTATAGAGACACTCCCTTGTAGTTGGTCCTTTCAGGATATAGCCTGTATCACATTGGTATGTGGCGACACTCTGGTACCTGGTACCCTTTGATAATGTCACACGTCCATACTGTAGATCCTGCAATTGGCCACAGTCTGAAAAAGTGCAAAAATTATAAATTATTTACCTGCAATCAACTGGTCATGAAAAGCAAATAAATTTTGAATATTTTGTCTGCAGCATTATTTATGGTCAAAGTCGACTACTATTGAAGATTTTCTGCAAGACTCTTTCTAGGTGTATGACACTATTTTTGTTCTTGTTTGTCTCTTTTTTAATGACAATTTTACAATATTGGTCATATCTCTACAGTTGGTCCACCTATCCAATTTTCTTGGACAACTAATAAGTACTACTAATTTCAACACAATAGATCAACTACTAATCCCAAGTGTTTTCTGAATCAGTGTTGAGAGACAAAATTAATGACCATTACATTTGATGTCCCTAATTGGTTGTCGTGGAGAATTTTTGCCTTTCCCAAAGATTGAACCAGCAACCCCTTAAATCTACCTTTCTATAATATGTGCTTCCAATATTTCAACATCTTGACTTACTGCCATATTCAACAATCTCTCTGATTTGATATCTTTTGTCTATGCCTCTAGAGATATTTTTTGTCTTCTGGTTTCATTTCTGTTAAAACTTTTGTTAAAATGTCTCTAGAAAATCTTATAAAATTATTTCATTAAATTACCGATGATGTCACATTTGGGGGCCACTGATGGGTTCCAGATGCCAGTATCTGCACATTCTGTAACAGCCTGTCCTTCAAGTTTGTAGCCTTCATTACAACTGTAGGTTGCTAGGTTACCAAATGTTGTACCCGAAGTTGTATTTACAATACCATTGTTAGGGTCAAACAGAGCACCACAATCTAAAACATATGTAGATTATACTATATAAGAGGCAAAGCTCAAATGGAGAAAAGCTAGTGATATCAGCAAATTAATTAGAATTATAAAAATATTAGCCAGACTAAACTTCATCACTATAAATGGTATATTTCTACCTCAATTACTTGCTACAGGTACTTGTAAAATAAGGAAAACTATATTTCAAATTCATTGAATTTTACCAATATACAGTGCATTTAAACTTTAAAACACAAACAGACAAGCAGTTTGAAACTAAAAATGTGTCCATAAGACATGGATATCGCCACATTCACTTATTCAAAGTGTAGAAGTGCACAGAGTGGTATGGATAAAATATGAAAATCTATATCTTAGCTGGGGGCATAAAATATCCTAAATTCCTATTATTTTATAACATGCATTTTGGTTATAATTGTAAACATCTTTACTATGCAACAATATTCAAGCAATTACATAATTATGTTTTCTAAATTTGATTTTTATTTCGTTTCAGTCAAATTAGTGAAAATGATTCAAACCCACACATGCAAGTCAATAGATTTAGAGCAACTTGGCGACTAAGACAGTATCAAATACCTAGAGGAAGACAGGTGGGTTCCCTAACAGACCAGGAACCATCTGGCTGGCAGGTACGAGTACTGATACCCTGTATCTTGTATCCAGGGTTACATACGTATGTGGCTCTCTGACCAAATGTTGTCTGACTGGCGGACACCAAACCATTGGCTGGGTTAGATAATCCTCCACAGTCTGAAATAAAGTCATATAAGTTTTGTTTAAAGAAATTCATTTTTAGCTGAAAGCTTTAACTATCATCAAGTATGCTTCCTGGAACTAACTAGTACCAGATATAAATAGACATGGTCACGGCCCCTGAAGGACTCATAATCTACATGTACGATCCCTTGGTTGAGGCACACACCAACAAGACCACCTCTCCTCTTATAATATTCAACTGGTTATAGTGTTGCACCAACTGAAATTACCAAACTAATCCATGATGCATAAATCAAATGGTACATGTATATACGGTTAAACTTGTGTTTTAGACCACCATCAAAAATATAGACCAACCTGTAAATAACGGTCACACTTAAACAACCCTTCATTGATTAAATAGAACATAGTAACCTCAAAATAAAGACCACTTGTCTATAACAGTCATGTTTGGGCCATCCTTTCGAGTGGCCTTTGGTTCCAGGTTTGACTGTAATATATCAAATATAGCAACACTGTTTCAAACTCATTGTTTCTTAATTATACCACTGTAGTAAACTTTATTATCAATGAACATAAAAGTCACATGGTTGACATTTTACACAACATACTTGTTATCTGACATTCTGGTGGGGTAGCACTCCAGTTTCCATCTGCCATACATGTAGCTTGATCTGCACCAAATAGCTTGTATCCCACACTGCATGAGAAGACAACTGTTTGTCCAAAGGTAGTACCAGATGACTGGTCTACACTGCCATTTAATGGATTACGGAGGATTCCACAATCTATAAATATATTGAAACCATATGGTGAAAAACTGATTAAAAACTTTTCTCATCAAAAACATAGCATCTGAAACACACTTTGTAAAAGCCACACAGCAACATTACAGCTTCCCTGATGAAGGCAGACTACTTGGACCCTATCTCAATTTAAGGTACTCATGCATAAAGCACTAAATTAGTACAGAAGGTAGTTGAATATCTTTTGTTCTTTCCTAAATTTACCTTTTGAATTGGAAAGAAATTACCTTTACAGTCAAAAAATAGATGTGTATATCATATGCCAGTGTTATATTCCCAAGGACCAAATATTACGAAAAGCAAGAGCTGCCACTGTGATACAAAAATAATTTACAGGAATTGTATGAATAAATACCCTACCATTAAAATAATCAGCAGGGGATGACTTTTATTTAAACTGACCATTCTTCAATATGCTTTAACATTCTACCTTTTATTATACATTTGGTGTCTTGTACTGGTTCCCAGTTTGTGTTGCCAGAACAAACTTTGGTACCAGGTCCTTCCATTCTATAGCCATTGTTACATATAAAGGTTGCTGTGCTGTTTATCCTTGAGAGGTCAGTTGTCCAGACAGACCCATGCTGGGGATCTAACACTGCTCCACAATAATCATCTGGTAAACGTAAAAACAAGTCCAGGAAATATGATATGGTCTATACAAAAAAGTACACAGAAATAATCAATCAATCAATTTCAAGTAAGATTTGTTCATTAATCTTTCTTTCTTTTTGTTGTTTTTTTTTAAGTCACATCGGCACTATAGTCATTTGGCAACTTTCCAGCTTTACTGGTGGAGGAAGAAAAAAGGGCACCAGATAAAGTACCAATGATGTTCAGTAAGCTAAGGTAGATACCTTTGCTTTCTCACAAGAAAGAATTAGAAGTTCCTGGCAGGACTGGATCTTACAAAGGTGAGGGTCAAGTAGTTTGAAGTCAACAACTTTAACCTCGAAGCCAGACTAAGGGTTTATAACAGATGAAACAAAAACATTCAATGTTTTCTCAAATGAAACTAGAAATGTGTCCATAGGACACGGATGCCCCCACACGCCACTGTTCTGTCAATCTTAAGACTCTAGGTCAAATATTTTTTGGACTACATGTGCCACAAGTTGAAAAGTAAAAATCAACAAAGGGCCATAATTCTGTTAAATTTGGTCGCAGCAAAAATTCCTTTCTTTACTACCATCTACACATTAAGGTTGTTAATCCCTGGAAGTTTAAGCAAAATCTGCCATCCGGTTTAAGAGGAGTTGCATTCACAAAATTTCTACATAGTATATAGTGAAAAAATCAACAAAGGACCATAATTCTGTAAAATTTGGTCGCAGCGAAAATTCCTTCCTTTACTGCCATCTACACATTAAGGTTGTTTATCCCTGGAAGTTTAAGCAAAATCTGCCATCCGGTTTAAGAGGAGTTGCATTCACAAAATTTCTACATAGTATATAGTGAAAAAATCAACAAAGGGCCATATTTCTGTTAAATTTGGCCGCAGCAAAAATTCCTTCCTTTACTACCATCTACACATTAAGGTTGTTCATCCCTGTAAGTTTAAGCAAAATCTGCCATCCGGTTTAAGAGAAGTTGCGTTCACAAGATTTCGGGACGTACGGACGGACTGACGGACAAGTGCAACGCTATATGCTCCTGCATTGTGGGGGCATAAAAATCCCACCACTGCATAATTGAATTCCATAAGGTAAAGGCAACAGATTCAAAGACAAACATTTTAAAAGGTTAGACTTGAAAAAAATTGAAATTTACATGATCACCTTGTCAATCAAGCATAAATCTTACCATCGATCTGACATGTAGGTGCTATACCACTCCATTTACTGCCCTCGTTACACAATAACTCTGCCTGGCCAACTAATGTATATCCAGGATAACAGGAGAAATTTGCAGGCTGTCTATACCCTGTTCCTCCAGGTAGATCCACCATACCATTTTCAGGACTAGTCAAGTTCCCACAATCTGTAACATTAAATAAAGAACAAGATTGGGTTGTAAAAAAATGAATGGCCATCTTGATCAAAATAAATACATGTACTTAAATGCTAATATTTATCGAAAAGAATTTTTAAATTTCGACAGCATTATCAAGGCCAAGGTCATATAACAAGACATCAAAATTAGAGACATGGATATTTTATTAGCAGGAGGTAATAATTAGAATTTGCTAATATATTATTGAATGCTGCATATATTTATTTAGAATCATTTACCATGTTTAAAGATATTACAAGTATTTTTTCTTTTCCTTTCCAATATTAAGACTAATATCAAAGGGTCTACAACATTCAAATTGATATATCCTAAAACAGAAAGACACAAAAAATTGTCTATGTACAAAACTTCCTATTGTTTATACAAACCTATATAAGTGCATGTTGGGACTTCTGGTACCCAGAATCCTGATGGCATACAGATGAGAGTACGATTGCCCTCTAGCCTGTATCCATAGTTACATGAGAAGGTAGCACTTTCACCATACAGGGTACCATCCACTGTTAACACTTTACCATTCAAAGTACTACCAGGAAATCCACAATCTAGAACAAAGATCGAATCCTTAATTATCACTTCAAAGCACAATTACAGTTATACAGTAATCAGAGTACCACTTAATTAGTACAATTAAGAAACATCTAAAACGCGGGTAATCAGATATATCAATGACATGATTATGTCCAGCACAATACAGTTTCATTCACAACCGTATTTTTTTTTAGCTTTGAAGATGAAAAAGCTTCCATAACTAAGATACATGTATCTAATTCAAATGAAAGTGATTTAACAAACACTGTACCTTTTACAAAAAAACAAGTCTGGTTAATTGATAAATTTCGAATTGATGGAATCAGGAGACAGTAGAAGTATTAACCAAGGTAGTAAACAAGTGGTGTTAAAGAGCATACAGATTAACAACAACTATAACCTGTATATTATTAAAGTTAGAATACATGGCTATTAAAGTTGGGGGCGGGGGCGGGGGGGGGGGGGGGGGGGGGGGCGGGGAACTGATAAGACATTTGTATCTTACCTGTATCTGGATCTGGTCTGAAAAATATATACATTTTTTTTACCATAAGTACAGGAAAATGCCATGACAAAACCAACATAATAGGTTGGCAACCAGCATGGATCCAGACCAGCCTGCGCATCCGCGCAGTCTGATTAGGATCCATGTTCGCTATCAGTTTCTCTACTTGTTATACGGTTTGTAAGCAAACAGTATGGATCCTGATCAGACTGCGTGGATCCATGCTGGTCCCAAACACATTATGTTGGTTTTGTCATGGCACGACTCATATATAATAATTATTATTTCACATGTTATAAAATATAACCAATGTTCTTGAAGCATTGCACCATGTGATGTTCAAACAGAAATCATTAGCAGATCAAATCAAATCCTATCAATTTCACCTCAATTTCATTCCGGAGTCTAAAATGTCCTTTTCAAATCCACATTACACCCCATATAGTCTTGTTTTCATTTTTAGAGTCTTAATTTAAATGAGCCGCGTCACGACAAAACCAACATAATGGGTTTGCAACCAGCATGGATCCAGACCAGCCTGCGCATCCACACAAACTAATCAGGATCCATTCTGTTTGCTATCAGTTCCTCTACTTGTTTTTGGGTTTGTAAGTGAACAGCATGGATCCTGATCTTACTGCGTGGACCAGGCTGGTCTGGATCCATGTTAGTCGCGAACCCATTATGTTGGTTTTGTCATGACGCCGCTCAAATATCTTTATTGAAAGCATATCATACTCTATTTAGCCTTGTTTTCATCTTAATCTCCAAAATCCATATCAAATTCAAGTAACAAAGTTCTGTTAAATGTCAAAAAAATGTTGATGTGAAAGAGGTCATTTAAACATGGTTGAGAACAATATTGATTCTACAGTGAACTCGTGCACAGCTTCAAAACCTTTATTGCACTTGACTAGCACTGGTCAAATATAGTTTTGACAGCTGTGAACTTGTCCAATAAAATTCAGTACTGCTCAACGATGTATAATAACCTCATAATACAACACCCCATCCTGTACCTTGCTGGTAATTAACAAAAATATGGGCCAAGTCGCTGAATTTGTGAATTTGACCTTAAAAGTAAAAGTCATTTTGGGATCAAGATATTTAATACATTTCAATGAAAGTATATTTTGTCTATGTATGAAGTAGTCATAAAATTTAATAATACAGTGTTTGATCCGTCGCAAAAAAATAACAGGTTGTCGGTTGATAATCTCATACTTACACACAGTTTGGAACATCATCCACAAGTTGACAGATATAACCAAGATCACATGGTCCATTTGCCTCTATAAATACCATACAGGTCAGTGCTTCCTCCGTCAGTGTTACAATGTTCACTGATAAATAAACAAAATATATTTATGTTCCAAGTTTTAAAAGTAACCCAAATAAATATAATTCTTGACAATGATAGTAATCATTAAAGATAATAAAATCTTTAATGACAAATTGTAAACCGACTCTGTTATAGATCAGTTTAGTTACAAAAATTACAGACCATTCCTTTGAAGAGACATTTGAAGGGTGATAATTTGCATACAATGAAATATTGGATCATAGCACCAAAGAACACTAATAGTGTATGCCAGTTTTGGTACTGTGTACAATTTCAATAGAAAATATGTGTGCATTTCATTATGCATAATCTTAAATAAATAAGAATCTGATCCATCAATTTTTTCATATAATAATTGAGCAAGAAAATCTAAACATCATTGCCTGATGACTCTCTGTATGATAAGCTCACAATCTTATTGAGAAATTTGCAAGTTAAGTGAGAAATACTTCAATAAAGAACTATGTCACTTTAATAGTACAATAAATTTTAATTTTTTGACTTTAAGTGCTCCAAAACTATATTAGGATACAGTTGTATAACTAACTAACTATACCTGAATTTTCTCCTACACTCATATTAGTCACTGCCAGACTTTCATTTAGTACTTCAATAGAAACACCTTTCGCTAGATTAACAGTTGATTTGGTGAAGTTTTCAACTGACTCTGCTGTATTAGATATAACTATAGTGAAGTTCACATTTAAACTGCCAAAACTGAAATCAGATATGGAAATATATGTGCTTTTTTCAAGCAAAGATTGATGTAAAATTTATTAACTAAAAGATAACACATATTTTTCCCAAATAAGCATTTTCATGAGGCAAAATTTCCAAAACTGGGCAAGGTACTTTTTCCCAAAATGGCAAGGAAAAAGCCTGCCAAAAACACGACAAATAAGTACACAAAGTAACAAATCAATGCTGTAAAGACAATGGGTTAACCTCTCTCTCAAATACATTATTCAGACTAGTTCTTTATTCAAACTGTTTATATAAATTTTGATAATAAAACACAGCAGAATATTATCAATAAACCACATGGCCGATAATGAAAATTTCTGATCACATATTACAGCATAAATTACCTTAATCCATTGATAATTATTGTTACATTATCATCCTTCAGCAAGTCTCTGTAATGTTTCTCAAGCTAAAATAAAAATGATACAACTTCAGTAGATTCAAACTTGAGAGTCTACTAGTTTCCTTATTATTCAATTCAAACCATGTGTTTTGAGTTACTTTAAAACTAAACTTGATTTCTTTCAAAGGCTGATGAATATATCAAGGACAATTCATGAATTGAAACCAGTGAAATTAAAGGAACTCCACTGAGTCTAATAGCGTAAAATTATAAAATTTGAAACTGTGGGACACCACTAAGGTTTTTTACATGAAGTTTGAAACTGACAATAATTGTTTTCATCTGTTTTGCAGCCAATTAGAGCAAAAAGCATTGCAATTTAGTGTCAATTTGTGCAATGACATTGATTATGCTTTAGGTGCATAGTGAGCCAATGATCCGAAAATTTGTACACAAGTAATTGGTCCAGACCTTAATCCAGTTATAAGTCTTGAAAAATATTTTCTTCCCTTATGTCAAACTAGAATTGTGTCCATAGGACACGGATGCCCCCACACGCCACTGTTCTGTCAATCTGATGACTCTAGGTCAAATATTTTTTGGACTACATGTGCCACAAGTTGAAAACTAAAAATCAACACAGGGCCATAATTCTGTTAAATTTGGTCGCAGCAAAAATTCCTTCCTTTCATACCATCTACACATTAAGGTTGTTCATCCCTGGAAGTTTAAGCAAAATCTGCCATCCGGTTTAAGAGGAGTTGTGTTCACAAAAATTCTACATAGTATATAGTGAAAAAATCAACAAAGGGCCATAATTCTGTTAAATTTGGTGGCAGCAAAAATTCCTTCCTTTACTACCATCTACACATTAAGGTTGTTCATCCCTGGAAGTTTAAGCAAAATTTGCCATCCCGTTTAAGAGGAGTTGCGTTCACAAAATTTATACATACAGTCAACTATCGTTATCTCGACATCGCTTTTCTCGATATTTCGTTATCTCGATGAAATTTTGAAAGTCCCGATTTTCTTCCTTCTTTATCTATATTGGAAATATTTGTTTATCTTGATATTTCTATTTCGATATTTTCAGTATCTCGATGTAAATTTTCAGCCCCAACAGTTATTTTCACACTATTATCCTTTGTTTATCTCGACTAATAGTTTTCTTTCGTCTGTTCCCTTCAGACGTGTGAAAAACACAATCTAGATGATAATTGCTCAATAAATAGCGCATGTCATAATGACAATTATGTTTGTAACAAGTTTAGCTGTTTTTATAAAAAGAAATCTATTTAGCGTGTTGATTGACTTATGGCCAAAATGAATGGACTTTACATTCTTTTTAAATATTCGAACACAGTGTATCAATTCATTATGACTTTAAATGTAAATGAAATAGTGAAAGTATAGAAACGCTATCGTTGCAATATTGTTTCACAACATCACCACCAAATCAATCAGCGGTCGAACAATCTCGAGAAAGACCCGATAAATAACCCGGGATGATATCCGAATCAACCATATCCGATATCCGATTCACTATATTAGTGTATTACTGAGTAAACCTCACTATGTGTTTTTATCACGGACACCCGTATTCCCGCTGGTAAACAAACGCTAATGTTACTTTGTTAAATATTGACTAGGCATATGAAAACAAGACATAGGGATATTATGGTTTATTTGACATAAGGTATGCACATGTCTTTTGTAAAAATCAGTTTCGCCTTGTTCTAACCCTAATATGTTTATCTCGACATTTCGTTATCTCGATATTTTTTGGACGGTCCCAATGACTTCGAGATAACGAGAGTCGACTGTAGTATATAGTGAAAAAATCAACAAAGGGTCATAATTCTGTTAAATTTGGTCCCAGCAAAATATCTTTCCTTTACTACCATCTACACATTAAGGTTGTTCATCCCTGGAAGTTTAAGCAAAATCTGCTATCTGGTTTAAGAGGAGTTACGCTCACAAGATTTCGGGACGGACGGACAAGTGCAACGCTATATGCTCCCACTTTGTAGGGGCATAAAAACCTTAGTGGTTTTAGTTAATTGATAGAATATGTTAACGTATATAAAACTTACAGCAAGTTTGACAGCTTCCTTGTATGTATTGTAGGTATCATTCTTTTTCAGGTCAACATCTGCCTGTGTCGTCATATTTAAGCTTATAAGTACATCTACTTCTTTCTTAGAACCTATTTAAGATATCAACTGATAAAAAGTATTTATGACCTATGCAAATTTTTGAAAAAAAAAATGATATAAGCAATGTAAGTGTGTTCGACTGTTCTCCTCAGTACTTGATAGTGTAACAAGAGCCTGAATAATGAAGAATTTTTTTAGTTCAAAAAGTGCTATAATTTTGTCAAAATACATGTTAAGAGTAATAGACCTTGAACAGTGACCTTCAATCATGCTCTCAAATAAGTGTGGTAAGTTTCAACCCATTCCTATGAGTAGTTTTAGAGGTACCAATGTGTAAGCAAAAATAGATTTTTACTTCACACAAACTGTATGAAAGTTAAATCCTTTAAAATTACATTTTTTTTTCAGAGGAAAAAGAATATGAAATGTAATCTTTATGTTACCTTTGGGCACACATACAGGAGGAGAACCACTCCAAACTCCTCTATTTTTACACACAAGCTGCTGGGAACCAACCATAGCGTAACCTTGGTTACAGGAAAAGGCAGCAACATCCAGGAAGTATGTATCATCATACACAACTTTACCATTGTCAGGACTTTGTAGATCACTACAGTCTAAAACAAAACAAAAGTAAAGTTTAAATGCAATCAACAGTTCTTTAAAATTTGCTTTCATAAAATAATCACAAGAAATGATAAATATCTCTCTTGCCATCAATGAAATATGTAAAAATTTTGAAACACAGGTTATGGATGCATCCACATTCCACTGCTATGACAATCTACAGATGGTATGCATGACAGACAGACAGGGGCAAATCTATATTCCCCCCTCCCCCTTAGTGGGGGCATGAAAAAATTCAGTTGATGAAAACATAAATAAATTCATTATTTTTATGAATATGATAAGAACTGTATCTCAAAAGCAGATTATTCTGTGCACAAAGAGAAAGAAACTTAACAAAACAATGTATGAGTTGAACTTACTGCATTCGGAACTTCTGAAAAGCAATCTTGCAGTAACAGCCATCTCAGTAGTGTCAAAACTATCTACTTCTTCAACATGTGCAAACTTGTGTAGTTCCGAGGAATGATCCAATCCTACTGCTATAAAATCTACATGAATATCTGCCGCTCTGAGCTGTTCTACAATCTCTGACGCACCTTCTATATCTACAGAGTGATCCATAATCATGTACAAATAATCTGGTGCTCCTGCATCATTGGTCAAAGATGAGAACATGTTCCTTGCTATGTTAAGTCCAGTTGATAGTGATACTTGATTATTATCCTTCTGATATTTAAAACTATCTAGGGCAGAAAAAATGTCAGAGCGGGTCATATATTCACCCAATGCAACCTTCATCAGTGTCACTCCATTGGCATATATAAAGAAGCCAAGCTGAGCAGAACCCATTTCTATGTTAGCATGGTCTATTCCTATCTTTATAAGATTTTTGATGTTTTCAAAATCTGTTTCACTGATGTCACTGGATAATCCCACACCATATACCACATCAATATTTTGCAACCCACACTCTGAAAAAAAAAATTCAAAATCAAGCAACAAACTTTTGTACATTTACTTGTACATACAAAGTCAACATGTCACTTTTCAAACACATTTTCGTGAAGAAATCTAAATCTAGTAATCAAACAGATAAATTGTAAATTTGTAAATTTTGCAGTGGTTTTTTTTTTTTAAATGGAAAGTAACAATTCTTTCCTTTAACTACTGTACAGAAGATTTGACAGTAGATTTACTTACCTTTATCCGTCACTAGCTGACCAGGTGTAGTTGGTTTGACAGATGTGAAAGCTGTGACTCCTGAAACCAACCATGTGACTACTTTAAAGTTTGAAAACTTTTGAGTGACAAAATTATGACTTTATTTACTGTAGCTAGAAGAAATCCATACAAGCCACTGGCTCTCAAGTTCATAAATTTCAAAGTTAAGTGTAAAAGAGTACCAAGATAATCTTATGCAGATAAAAGCTCCACTTTCCCCCCTTTCAAACAGTGTAGCTTAAACTAGCTTTAAAAAGATAATGAAAATATATTGTAGATGTTTGAAAACACTTGTGTCAAGCAATACCACCAAACATATAATCTCCTTTGTTTTGGTCATTTAAATGAATTTTAATATCTGATATGAAGTCCATATTGCAACCTAACTAATATGGCAGGAAAATCAGTATTATAATTTGCTGTAATAACAAAACAAGTTAACCTGAAAAGAATAAAATATGTAAAAACATAATTTTCACAGTTAATTTTTATGAACATATATTAATCATCAATACAAAGAGTACCTTGTGATCTGCATGTTGGTACAGTGCCTGCCCAATTTCCGCCATCTTGACACACTAGCTGGGGGGAACCAACAAGCTGGAACCCTGCATCACATGTGAACGTAGCAACATCGAGATAAAATGTAGACACTTCACCATTTTCTGCTTGCTTATAATTCACTGAACCATTGCCAGGACCAAAAACCTCTCCACAATCTACTTAACACAATTTATACAACCCATTGCAGGCATTTTATGACAAACGCAATATGACTACATCAAGTAATTAATACAACACATTATAGTAAGAAGACAAACAGGCAGTAACACATATTTGCTAGCCACACTGTTTCTGGGCAGGGTGTCAAGCAGTTAACCAGTAATAGTTCTTTCTCTTTTGCAACGAACTGATAACTTCTGTCCATGCTGGAGCAAAGGTACGGTGTGAATGACCATAGAAAGGATTATAAGATCATTATAGAAGTCTGATTAAAAGTCCAATGTTCTTCCTATTGAGCCAACTTTGTCAAAAACAGTGACATTGTAACAAAACTGTAATTACCAGTCCTGGTATTTTATAATAAAGATAGTTTTAAAACCACATGCCCCCAGATTCATCCTAATTTTCTTAAAGTTGAAAATGTATTAAAAAGTAAAATATTGTCAAGTAAGATACAATACATTGAAAATTACCAAAAATAGGTCAGAATATTTGCTTATAGTCACCTGGTAGAATATGGTGATTAATACTGCAAAATCAGTCATTAAACATGTAAATTATTTCTTGAATTGTAAATATTTTACTGTACTAAAAATCTTTTTGGCTCATCTGGAGACTAGCTTAAAACTATAACATAAACAAGAACACAATAGGATAACTTACTACATTTTGAATGTCTGAACAGTTTTTGTGCAATAAAAGCTTCCCTGTCTAATGCTGGTAATTCTATAAAATGTCCGTCTGCTCCAAACACCAATGATGACAACACAGGATTATACCCATCTGCTATAATATGAAGCATGATTCCAGAATCTCTGATCTGATTGGCTGCTGAGAAAACATCATAATACAAGACATCTGTTCCCGTCAGGATGAAAACATGATCCGGTACATCTGCCCTATTTCTACCTACCTTGGCCGAGAACATTTCCAGAACCTGGTTTAGACCAAGCTCAAATCTGGTTTTACTTCTATAAGGTGTATAAGGAATGTTATTCACTTCTGCTAACAAATCAGCTGTTATGTTGATTTCTCCCAAATCAATAACATTGTCAGTGTAAACTAGGGCATCAAACATGAAAAATCCAAATTGAGTTGACCCAGAGTCTATATCAGAGAGCATTATAAAAGTCTTCACTAGAGAAATCAGGTCTATGAATTCTGTTTCCGTTGTCAGGGACGATGTTGCTATGCCGACAACAACATCAGCATTTGAAAACCCGCAAGCTGAAGTTAAGATAGAAGACAAGTGTTACATAATTTCAATCTATTTGACTAATACAACTGCAAAATTATGTTATTGACTACTTAGAGATGGTAAACACAAGTAAAGATATATTCATGTCTAACATTTGTCAACCATCATTTATACTGTCCAGATAATACAGATGTAAAGGTTTTAAAGTATTCAAAACACCAAGCAATACCTTTTGATATGTTACACAAGTCTGTGCCTTCAGCAGCTTGTCTTTTTCAATGTACTTTTTCCTTATTACATCTAACAATATACCCAATGTATAACATCAAACATTGGGGTTTACTTTCATAATAATATGATCCAATAAGTTTACCTTCCTCCAAAAAAGAACAACAAAAAACCATTAACAACTGCAATTAAAAAGCCTAAATATATAGATTATATAGATAAATAAAGACATGTGTACCTGTTTTAGGGTTGATATGTGATCCTGGTGGACTGACAACACCTGTAAAAGAACAAAAAGCATGAATCAAACTATTTGCTTTTAATTAAATGACCTAAACTGTAGACATTTTTAACAAGGGCATGCACAACTATTACCAAAACCATACAGTAAAACTCAAAAAATTGAGATAATTTTTATTGTAATTATGAAAGAAATGGCATATAAAACCTTTACAACATATTTTTGCAAGTTTACTGAATGGTGTAATCAGTTAAATCCATGCAAGGGTAATGGGTATTGATTTGTCACTGAAAAACATGTGAACAAAGATAAGTGTCAAGCTTCTGCAATTGTGGAAAGAGAACTTGCATATAAAACAAGAACCAAGAGTTTTCTAAGCTTTGCAAAGTTGAATAATTCCGTAAAGATTTATGCTAGGATAAAAAGTATTTAAGCATTTTTTACTTACTGAAATGTGTTGAATTGCAAGTAGATTCATTCATTGGTAATAAGATACAAGTCCAACAACACAGGGCGACAAGGGTAGTTTTTTTTCTATACTAAAATTGCTTATTCTGCCATTATTCAGCTATTGATATTCCCTTAAAAATATTTATGTAAATGTACCTGTTCTAGTACAAGTGGGTGGGGTACCACTCCAAACATGATCATACTGACATACAAGCTGCTTGGAACCAATAAGTTCATAGCCATCAATACAGCTGAATGAGGCAACATCAAGGAAATAGGAACCAGTAACTACTACAGAGCCAAAATCAGGATTCTCTATCCCTCCACAACCTACAAAATAACAATATACACATATTTATTTGAAATTAATTTTCATTTACATATGCATACTTTTTTAGTATCTAAGACCAAAAGAAATGCTTGAAGCCTTTGTGCATCTCTTCTTTTTGGTTGGGTTTTATATCACACCAACACAGCATTGGTCAAATAGCTACATTTTGTACTTTCTTGCTTTTACTGGTAGAGGAAGTCCTCAGTACATTATTTATGGCACAAATGGGCATCTGAGTGGAACTACCAACGTCCTGTAAGCTAGCTGGATTGCTTTCTCAAATGTAGAATCTGACGATGCTTGTAAAATTTGAACCTACAGCAGTGGAAGGCAAGTGGCTTAAAGTCAATGACCATAACCACTTGTCTACAGACGCATTTCATATGTTCGACATCATTCAATGTTTAAAGCAAGATCAGTGTTAAATGATACTTGTATTTGTCTTTTATAAGCTCACATAAATTTAGTTTATCGGCTGGGATTTTCTTTGTCAAGATTAGATCAAACTAGCATCAATGTGTCACCATAACAAATATTAACCTTTCATTCAGCAACAAAATGCATTATTTTACTATCTATTTTGATAAAAATAAATCTTCATATTAATCATCTGAAATCTGAAACTATATCATAGTATACTTACTGCAAATTTCATCTCTGTAAATGCCATTTTCCACAATCCATTCTAGAAATCCATACGAGTTAGCATTCGAAACAGAAGTTTCACCACTACCCATATTCTCTAATTGTGTAACATTTTGATAACCAACAGTCATAAACTGTAGCGATATTCTGCTGACCTTCAGCTGACTAGCTATACTTGAGCTATTACTAATGTCCACATTATTGTCTAACATGATTACAGCCATGTTTGATATTCCAGTTCGAGCCCCATTAATTGCCGTGAACATGGTCAAAAGATACTGTAACCCAACGGCAAGATATGCCGGACCCGATGATGGTTCGAATGGTATACTATCTATGGCAAGGATTAAGTCTGCTCGGGTCCTATATTGTTTCAGATGAATCACAGATTCTGTAACAACTTCCTTGTTGAATAGGAAGAAACCAAATCTTGTTATTCCAAAGTCTATATTGGATCTGTGTATTGCATTAAACACAAAGTTTTTCAATGACGAGAATTCAGACTCTGTCATTATATCACTAACACCAATGCCAAATACAACATCTAAGCTGTCCAATCCACAAGCTGAAATAGTGAACTTGATTCGTAAATAAAAGTAAAGTCAATTATTTTATTTATAATAACAATTGAAAGACATCCCACAAGTATAAAGGCATCAGAGGCCACAACATAGCACCATCTGCCTATTTTCTTATAACAGCTGAGGCTGTATAATTGATAAGCCCTGTTTTAAATTTGGAAAAGAACAGTTATTTATTAGTTTTAGGGACTGAAGTTTTTTGTTGTTGTTTGGGTTTGGTTTAAAGTCACATCAACACTGTGAACGTCATATGGCAACTATCCTGCTTTTGTGAAGAGCCAATCTGTGCATTATTTCAGGCACAAGCGGGCACCAGAGTACAACCACCAACTACCTTGAACAGTAAACAGGAAAAATATCCTTCTTTGTGGCATGGATGAACTTTACTGAAATTTACATTACTGAAATTTTCCAGACACTAAAATTTTGCCCTTAACAAAGTAGACATGTTTTTGTATCACCAATTTCATCTGTTTCTGGCATGTCCTGATAATAGGAGAAGCAGGGATTAGTATACAGTACATGATTGTATTGTAAACATTTTTGTAAAGAAATGTCTTATAAATCTTTAAAGTAACTAACTTGTGTCAATGTCTGGTGTTGGATTTGGTGTAGTCGAAACTGTTACTTCTGAAAATATAAAGCACTAAATTATATATGAGTCTATAAATGACAAGTTCATGCTGTTTAACGATATCTGCTACACCACAACATTAACATTTCAAAAACAAATCTCACAAAGCACATAAAACAAGAGCCATGTCAACATGGCCATCCCCCGCCGAATGTGTTTGCTCATTGGAAGAATGTATATGTAGTACAGCAGAATAATTCCATTTTAAGAGGTCTTTTGGTAATGAAAACTGATGGCTATAGTGATTACAGATTTGAAACCTATGTGAATACTGATGGCTGAAAATAACTAGAAATGTGTCCATACGACACGGATGCCCCCACACGCCATTGCTCTATCAATCTTATAACTCTAGGTCAAATATTTTTTGGACTACATGTGCAACAAGTTGAAAACTAAAAATCAACAAAGGGCCATAATTCTGTTAAATTTGGTCACAGCAAAAATTCCTTCCTTTACTACTATCTACACATTAAGGTTGTTCATCCCTAAAAGTTTAAGCAAAATCTGCCATCCGGTTAAAGAGGAGTTGCGTTCACAAAATTTCTACATAGTATATAGTGAAAAAATCAACAAAGGGCCATAATTCTGTTAAATTTGGTCGCAGCAAAAATTCCTCCCTTTACTACCATCTACACATTAAGGTTGTTCATCCCTGGAAGTTTAAGCAAAATCTGCCATCCGGTTAAAGAGGAGTTGCGTTCACAAAATTTCTACATAGTATAAAGTGAAAAAATCAACAAAGGGCCATAATTCTCTTAAATTTGGTCGCAGCAAAAATTCCTTCCTTTACTTACATCTACACATTAAGGTTGTTCATCCCTAAAAGTTTAAGCAAAATCTGCCATCTGGTTAAAGAGGAGTTGCGTTCACAAAATTTCTACATAGTATATAGTGAAAAAATCAACAAAGGGCCATAATTCTCTTAAATTTGGTCGCAGCAAAAATTCTTCCCTTTACTACCATCTACACATTAAGGTTGTTCATCCCTGGAAGCTTAAGCAAAATCTGCCATCAGGTTAAAGAAGAGTTGCGTTCACAAAATTTCTACATAGTATATAGTGAAAAAATCAACAAAGGGCCATAATTCTGTAAAATTTGGTCGCAGCGAAAATTCCTTCCTTTACTACCATCTACACATTAAGGTTGTTCATCCCTGGTAGTTTAAGCAAAATCTGCCATCCGGTTTAAGAGGAGTTGAGTTCACAAGATTTCGGGACGTACAGACGGACGTACGGACGGACACTCGGACGGACAAGTGCAACGCTATATGCTCCCACTCTGTGGGGGCATAACAAAGGGCAATAACTGAAAAATAATGCAGGGTAGGTTATCATTCTTGTGTGCTGCATCCCTCCTCAGTAAAATCTATCCACTTATGAAGTTTCAAGTTGATACCTCAAATACTTTTTGAGAAAAAAATTGAATTGAAAAATTAAGTATGAAAAATAACAAAGGGCAATAACTCAAAAATTATAAAAGGTAGAGTTATCATTCTTGTGCACTGCACACCTCCTGAGTTAGATCTATGCACCTATGAAGTTTCATGTTGATATCTCAAAGGCCTTTGGAGTTATGCTCTGGACAAAAATTAATTTAGAAAAATAAAAAAGGCCAATAACTAAACGATTATGCAGGGTAGAGTTATCATTCTTGTGCACTGCACTCTTCCTCAATGAGATCCATCCACCTATGAAGTTTCAAGTTGATACCTCAAATACTTTTTGATATAAGCTCCGGACAAAATAGTATGAAAAAGAACAAAAGGCAATAACTCAAAAATTGTACAGGGAAGAGTTATCATTCTTGTGCACAGCATTCCTCCTCAATAAAATCTATCCTCCTATGACATTTCATGTTGATATGTCAAACACTTTTTGAGTTATGCTCCACTCAGGTGAAAAATTAAGTATGAAAAATAACAAAGGGCAATAACTCAAAAATTATGAAAGGTAGAGTTATCATTCTTGTGCACTGCACACCTCCTGAGTGAGATCTATGCACCTATGAAGTTTCATGTTGATATCTCATAGGCTTTTGGAGTTATGCTCTGGACAAAAATCAATTTTGAAAAATAACAAAGGGCAATAACTCAAAAATTATGCAGGGTAGGGTTATCATTCTTATGCACTGCACTCCTCCTCAATGAGGTCTATCCACCTATGAAGTTTCAAGTTGATTACTCAAATACTTTTAGAGATATGCTCCGGACAAAAATGTCGGACGGAAGGACGGACGGATGGACGGACGGAGACTATTTCTATATCCCCCGCCGCCTTTTCGGCGGTGGATAACAAATTATTGCTGTCCAGCATACTGAAATATAACTCTGTATTAATGTTTCCTTAACTGCTGTTCACTGACCCAAATATTACTTCTTAAATATATATCAATACACCTTTCCTCGTGCATTAACATCTGCATAAGCATGAATACTATTTAAAACCTGAGCCTGCAGGACAAGGGATTTAATAATCTAAGGACTTCTGCTGATGTTAATGCACAAAATTTAATAAAGGTGCATGAGCAATATTCTTACATTAGAATAAACATCCAAATCGATTATGCTGCATTTTGTTATTTGTATTTAGTATAAAGAAATCACTGCTTGTTGATGCTTTTTCTGTCATTGCATTCAGCTGTTTTTAATGGCACCCTGAGTCACATATACCAAAACAAGCAACAATGGTGCGTGGTCATTATAATCTGTCTGTTTTGTCCTCCATTAAATGTATACCTACATAGGCAGTTTTTTTATGCAAGAATAATGTTCTAATAAAGAAAAATAAAATCAGTATCTACTCACTGGGTGAGCATGTAGGATAGGAACCATTCCACATGCCTCCATTCTCACACATCAGCTGCCGGGAACCAACCAGGTCATAACCTACTTCACATGAGAATGTGGCAACATCGAGAAAATATGTTCCTGTTACTGTGACAGATCCTTGCAATGGTATGCTTGGTAACCCACAATCTGTAAAATTTCAACAAAGTCAAAAACTTCACAACAATTAAAATATAAAGAACCACGAACAAAGGCATCTACAAAAACTTATCTGTATAAATTCAAAACATGGCCTTTTGTTGAAAGGCAGTCATGAAGGAAAAGTAATTTTGCACCTTAACCCTTTCCCTCATGAGCATATTGTGAAAAATGGCCGTTTTCATTGAAAAGCCTCCTGTTACAAGTTCAAACTGATATGAAACTATGAAAAATGCTTCAATGCTAATCAAACTTGGCACAAATGTTGACTGGACCATTGCCTTTGTAACGACATGCTCAGTTTTAAATTTCCTGTTACCATGGCAACGAGGGGACATCTCAAAATTGCAAAAAATCACTATTTTGCCTTGATTTTTTCCATCAAAATTTATTTCAAAGTGCTGCCACTTCTCAAGGGATTGAGATAGAGTCTAAGGCTTTTCAGTGTTGGTTACATGTTACCTTATGATCGATCTGGGGTCATTTTAAGCCTCTCACAAGTCCAAAATTTTCTTGGCAATGAGAGGGACTACTGCCCCCCTTTAAATCCCCTAAACACATCCCCCTTCTGGCAACCCCCTGATGTATCTTTTGGATGGGGGCCGGCGCCGAAAAAGTGCTCACTTTTTTTTAGCAACATTTCTCAAACAAAAGCATGTGTTTGGGCCCCATATAGGACATTTTTTCACCATTTGAGGCCTAAAGGGGGGGGGGGGTCGAAAGTGCGTTGTTTCGCGTATATATGAGGTAAAGGGTTAAAGGCCTATTATGTCCCACAACTACTTCTATTTTCATTTCTCAAAAGCTTTTTATTTTTTAGTGTCTAATTTTGCTTCCAAAAGTTTATACATTGGCCAATTACATGTACCATCAGTTGCTTCTGTTGCATTTTGGCAATAAGTCAACGGATGGTGATTTAATGTTTTTCACAGAATTTAAAATTCTATATTGTTTCCCTTTCTAAAAAATGAAAAATTTATTTGTTTCTGAGGCACAATGTGCCTTAAACTTATCAAAAGGGAAATTTTAATGTTAGCTATTAGCAGAAGCATTTATATTTTGTTTTCATATGGATGTGTCTTCAACATAGGTTTTATAGAATTTGTACAGTTTGTACAATTTGTACAGTTCCATTGGTGTAAACATGAACAAAACAAAACTGTACAAATTGAAGGAATTTGTGAATATTCTGAATATGTAACTCACTGAAAAATTTTGTATGAAACTTACTACATGTCTCATCTTTAAAACTGGACTGGGATAGTACTTCTGCCCGTATCAGTAATTTGGAAATTTCCATAATGTTTTCCATCATTGGAAACAAAAGCTAGTAAATTTCAGTGTATCAGTGTTTTAAGTGAATCCAATAGCCATGAATGATTACTATTATCCCCATTTCTCTCAGTTGGTCTGCAAGAGTCTGTGAACCAGTGTACGAGACATCGTCGTCAAGGATGACGTAGGTAAGAAGAAGAGTTCCATTCCACCTATCAGCTGATAAAGTTTTGATTTGTTGCAGAGCAGGCGACAACACCAAAATATTTTCAGATTTTCTGTACTGCAATTTATTTACTTCATCAAGTAGATCAGCCCTAGTGTCAAAGTCATTCAAGCCAATCAATGTGTCCCTCCTCACTAAGCTATCAAACACAAACAAGCCAATTCTTGTGCTACCTCGGTCAATATCTGAGTGATCTATAATATTTTTTACTAAAGTCTTTGTTTGTTTGAATTCCTCTTCATCTACTGTTCTAGATACTCCAATAGCAATAATCATATCACCATTCATATAACCACAAACTGAAATATAACCCAACTTTTCTCATATAATGAAACATGTTACTCAAATAATCATAGATTTCAAACATATGATTTGTGCTATTGTCACAAAATATGCCAATTACACAAATGCTCAGTGTCATGATGGTGAACAATCACATTACAATCCCTCAATTTTAATGACTAAATAGTCCATCTATTTAGTTTCATTTACTTTTTATCTGACATCTTAACTTTGGCTATAGGAAACGGAATATTTTGTTTTATACCCCACCTCACAATGGTGAACATTTGTGCCAAGTAATATTTCTATCCCTCAATGAATGTAGAAGATTCACAATGGACAAGTGCTTTTGTCTGACCTTTAATCGTGATTCTGACCTTTGGCATTTGCATCGAGTAAATCTAAAATCCATCAATAAATGTAGATGTGCTTTGTAAAATTCTCAACATTTCACAATCTCTGGTGACCTTGACCTTGCAGGTACTGACCTGTTTTATGTTGATAATATTCAGTCTCATGATTGTGAACATTTTTTGATACAAGTACTATCAATTAATTCATGACTACTTTATATGGTTTTTATCTGACCTTTGACCTCTGTACGAGACCTTGACCTTCCCTACACAGACTTGAATATTGTGTGCCACTCAAACATTTTTGCCAAGTTGTAATAAAATTCAGGAAGTTTTGCACTGGACAAGTGTTTTACTCTGACCATAACTTTATTTGATAAAAATTATTTCTTAAAAATCTTTACAGAATACATGGCAATGTAAAATATATATGCATTAATCTATGTCATATATACAGAATAAAAGGTATTTCAATGCAACAAATGACCCAAGATTCCTATATGTGTCTTATTTCAGGCACCAAAAGGTATCTTGGTTGACCTCTAGCTAACTGAAAGACACAAAAAGCATGCATTTAATTAAACATTATCAAACACAATTTCCAAAATTATTGTCGGACAAACTTAATTACCCAGTGCTATGCTTACAAATACATGATGCTGCAAAATTATTTAACAAGATAATTTTGTGAAGATATTTAGGACTTTAAACTTACATCCTTGATCTGGTTCTGTTGTGTTGTGTGGTCTCTGTGTTGTCTCTGAAAATATAGAATTATTTTTTCTAAATTGCCAAATCATCAAACTAAACCATCCTCACAACCAAAACAATCATTAACTTATACAGCAAATCTCAGATGTATAAACATCTCAGAACCTAGAAAAGGACAAAGGATAAACAGCAAAAGCTATCAGTATGACATCATGCCGGACTATTTTCAGAGCTTAATAACGACAATATCCTGGATATTTTTTAAATTACATGATACAGTTTTATTATGTATATTTCTGAAAAATGATCATGTCAACTGAGGGAGAATGTGGGTTTTGAATGCAACCAATCATCATAATGTGCTCAAATATTTTGCCAAAATAAAAACCTAGCCTAGAAAAAATTCCGAGTTAATGTCAATATACTGAATTATAATGAGTTGAAAATACGCCAAATTAAAAATAACCAGTTACCAGAACCTCCCCATATACATGTAGGAGGGGAACCATTCCATGAACCTCCATATTGGCAAGTGAGTGTTTGGGAACCAGTCAAATTGTAACCCTGCTCACAGACGAATGTTGCTGTATCTAGATAAAATGATCCTGTCATGGACACATCCCCATCGACTGGTGCTGTCAATGTTCCACAATCTGTAAACAGAGAAGTCAACAATATCCACCATAGTAGCACATTAGTCATGCATTAAAGAAAATTAGTAGTTCCCGAATCCGGTCTTCATCTTCCGTCTTTTTCAAGTACCCACACGGGACTTTTGGTTGCTATGACATCACAATAAATAATAACATTATAATAATTTAAAATTTTACTACGGGAGGAACATCTCAAATACATTTTTTCTGCAATATTTTAGGTACATACAGAGATTAGAGTTGAACTATCAATCTTTCAAAAGCCAAATCAGTAGCTTATTCATCAGAGTTTAAAAAAATTCCTGGCTCAATCAAAATTCACAGCAGTGAAGTAGAAGTGACCAAAACAGTCAATTATGGGCCCTCAGAAAAGATAATCAAATTATTACTGATTGATAATGAAGCTTGAAAAAATAAACCAATAGTTAGAGGACTTGTTTACATTTCTTGTAATTGCTTTGTTTCATTTGTTTCCCTCTAAAAGAGTGTGTTTTATTTAATTCAAGCTGTTAATGCTAACAATACTCAACAAGCTGACAATACTAAATAATTAATTAATTAATTAAATACTTGCATACTTACCACATCTGCTGTTCTTCCACAAGACAAACTGTACATACAGCTTCATAATATCATATGTTTGTATGGGAAATATATGACCGTTTGGCTTGAATGCAATATCTGCTAGTTGGCTGGCATTCGAGAATCCTATTGCAAAAATATCTAGATGTATCCCTGCCTCCCTGATCTCATCTGCTACAGGAATACTGCCAGTCATGTCCACACTATCATCCATTATCAAAAACACATAGTTCAACTTTTCCGGTCTATCTCCCACACTTGTGTTAAACATGACAGGTATCTGTGCCAGTCCTACACTCAGTTGTGACGAGGACTCATCACTAGCATTGTATGGTATAGCATTTACCGCCTGTATAAGCTGATCACTGGTAGTGTGGGCGTCTAGATGTATAACATGATCTATATGACTACTGTATACAAAAACACCAATTTGCATGTCACCCGGGTCAATGTCAGATCTATATATAGCATTTATTACAAGATTCTTCATCTGTGTGAAATCGTCCTCTGTCGTCATGGCAGATACAGCTATACCAAACACTAGGTCCTCATTCCTATGTCCACACACTGAAAGTTAAAGTGATTTTCTTCAGAACAAACCTCACATGTTGAAGAAAAGCTATCTTTTAATTTATATCATTCATATTAAGCTATCTTTTAATTTATATCATTCATATTGTCCTGTAAAATATCTTTAAGTTTACGTTTTATCTTCCTCAGTCTTTATTTTCTGTTTACAGCAAGACAAGAAATTTTTATAGAAATTATATCTTTTAAAGTATATAAATCTGTTTTTTATCTGATATCTATTAGCAAAAAGTAAGTCTCATCCAATAAAGGTTCGGCAGCTGTGTACTTATCCTACAGAGTACAGTATTGTACAATGTATAAATACCTCCTAATATACGGGTGATTCAGATATGAAAATATTTTATTAATATTATCTTGTATTTATTTACCCATATCCATTTCATCTCCTACACTTGGATCAGGTGTTGTCTCTGTAAAAGATACTTGTCAACACTTTAATGTTGCATTGTTAACATATAATATCCATGATAATAAAGAAAGCATATCATATCAGTAATAAAGAGGAAATCAATTTTTCCGTACATGCACAAAATCACATAAAAACCATCAACATAATTGTTTAGTAACCAATCCTATGAATGCTTCTGTTTTCTTTCAGATTTAGACAACATACATGTACTAAAAGAAAGAAAAGAGAGAAGTTTCTATTGTACCATCCTGACAAATATTCTTGCTAATATTACTACAAATAATAACAAAGAACCTAAAGAAAGTAAATAAAATAAAATAAACTTTTTAACAAAGTTTTTCAACTAAGTCATGAACACAAGGTTTCAAGCCAACAATCAAAACTCCATATGTAGCCATCATAAGTTCCACAAACAAGAGCTGTCGGTAGGACAGCATGCTTGACTATTCTTAGTGCTTGATAGTAAAAAAAATGCCTGATACAGATACCTCCTCCTGTTTACAGGTTGGGGTCATGATGGTGAACAAGTGTGCAAAGTTTCAAAGCCATATGTCAATGGACTTTGAAAATATTTGAACTATTACAAAAACTTTAACGTAAATTCTAAGTCGAAAAAGGGGCATAATTCTGTCAAAATGCTTGATAGAGTTACCTCCTCCTGTTTACAGGTTGTGGTCATGATGTTGAACAAGTGTGCAAAGTTTCAAAGCCATATGTCAATGGACTTTGAAAATATTTGAACTATTACAAAAACTTTAACGTAAATTCTAAGTCGAAAAAGGGGCATAATTCTGTCAAAAATGCTTAATAGAGTTACCTCCTGCTGTTTACAGGTTGGGGTCATGATGTTGAACAAGTGTGCAAAGTTTCAAAGCCATATGTCTATGGACTTTGAAAATATTTGAACTATTACAAAAACTTTAACGTAAATTCTAAGTCGAAAAAGGGGCATAATTCTGTCAAAATGCTTGATAGAGTTACCTCCTCCTGTCTACAGGTTGGGGTCATGATGGTGAACAAGTGTGCAAAGTTTCAAAGCCATATGTCAATGGACTTTGAAAATATTTGAACTATTACAAAAACTTTAACGTAAATTCTAAGTCGAAAAAGGTGCATAATTCTGTCAAAATACTTGATAGAGTTACCTCCTCCTGTCTACAGGTTGGGGTCATGATGGTGAACAAGTGTGCAAAGTTTCAAAGCCATATGTCAATGGACTTTGAAAATATTTGAACTATTACAACTAGAACTGCCACTATCATGGCGTGAATACCCCCGCATACCACTTTGTCAGAATCAACAGTGGCCATTTAGAGCTCAAGGACAACCTCCCTGCCAAATCTGAGGTTACTAAGCCAGTGCATTGCTAAGTTATGTATTCTACATGCTTCAAATGTGAAAATGTCAAAATCAATACACTGCAGACAGGACATTCTTTAGCAATTAAGAAGAAAAGCTTTTTTTGTCAAGGTCCCTGTGACCTTGACTTTTGACCCAGTGACCTCAAAATCAATAGGGGTCACCTTATAGTCATGATCAACATCCATGCCAAATATGAAGACTGTGGGTCAAAGGAATCTTAAGTTAATGGGTGGACAAACTTTTTGAAGTGAAAGTCCCTATGACCTTGACCTTTGATCCAGTGACCTCAAAATCAAAAGGGGTCATCTACTAATCACGATCAACATCCATGCCAAATATGAAGACTGTGGGTCAAAGGAATCTAAAGTTATTGGGCAGACAAACTTTTTGAAGTCAAAGTCCCTGTGACCTTGACCTTTGACCTGGTGACCTCAAAATCAATAGGGGTCATCTACTTATCATGACTAACCTCCATGCCAAATATGAAGACTGTGGGTCAAAGGAATCTTAAGTTATAGGGTGGACAAGCTTTTTGAAGTCAAGGCCCCTGTGACCTTGACCTTTGACCTGGTGACCTCAAAGTCAATAGGGGTCATCTTCTAATCATGAATTGCCTCCATGCTAAATATGAAGACTGTGGGTCAAAGGAATCTTAAGTTATTGGGCGGACAAGCTTTTTGAAGTCAAGGCCCCTGTGACCTTGACCTTTGACCTGGTGACCTCAAAATCAATAGGGGTCATCTACAAATCATGACTTACCTCCATGCCAAATATGAAGACTGTGGGTCAAAGGAATCTTAAGTTATTGGGCGGACAAGCTTTTTGAAGTCAAGGCCCCTGTGACCTTGACCTTTGACCTGGTGACCTCAAAATCAATAGGGGTCATCTACAAATCATGACTTACCTCCATGCCAAATATGAAGACTGAGGGTCAAAGGAATCTTAAGTTATTGGGCGGACAAGCTTTTTGAAGTCAAGGCCCCTGTGACCTTGACCTTTGACCTGGTGACCTCAAAATCAATAGGGGTCATCTACTAATCATGACTTACCTCCATGCCAAATATGAAGACTGTGGGTCAAAGGAATCTTAAGTTATTGGGCGGACAAGCTTTTTGAAGTCAAGGCCCCTGTGACCTTGACCTTTGACCTAGTGACCTCAAAGTCAATAGGGGTCATCAACTTATCATGACTAACCTCCATGCCAAATATGACGACTGTAGGTCAAAGGAATCTTACGTTATTGGGCGGACAAGCTTTTTGAAGTCAAGGCCCCTGTGACCTTGACCTTTGACCTAGTGACCTCAAAATCAATAGGGGTCATCTACTAATCATGACTAACCTCCATGCCAAATATGAAGACTAAGGGTCAAAGGAATCTTAAGTTATTGGGCGGACAAGAAAAAACCGACGGACAAGCTGATTCCAGTATACCCCCCTTACAACTTTGTTGTGCGGGGGTATAAAAACTTTAACGTAAATTCTAAGTCGAAAAAGGGGCATAATTCTGTCAAAATGCTTGATAGAGTTACCTCCTCCTGTCTACAGGTTGGGGTCATGATGGTGAACAAGTGTGCAAAGTTTCAAAGCCATATGTCAATGGACTTTGAAAATATTTGAACTATTACAAAAACTTTAACATAAGTGGTTACGCCGACGCCGACGCCGACGCTCGGGTAACTGCAATAGCTCTACTTATTCTAATCGAATAGTCGAGCTAAAAATCGTGAAAAATGTCTTTCTATCAAAATAAAATTTTAATTTGGTTAATCACTCACCAATGCTCTTTGTGCACACTGGTTCAGCACCATCCCAGACAGCACTTGACCTACACGACCTTGTTTGGTTTCCAGCACTGATATAGTAGCCGTTGTTACAAGTGTATGTAGCAGTTTCCTGGTATGTTGTACCAGATAAAGTCACTACTCCATTAGTTGGGTTATCAAGAGTTCCACAGTCTACAATATATATGATGATTCTTTTTAAATTGATTTATATAGATAGTAATGAAGTAATACTGGGAAAATTCTTTATGGTGCCCATCTTTGCCTTAAAAACATTTCTGAGAGTAATGAAGATAACTTAAAACTTTCCCATAAAAGTGTCCCCTATTTTTATCAATTTGTTTCAATTATGAGTCCCTCATTGATGCGAAGTTTAAAAAAAAAGTCTTGCAAGTGGTGTCTACTCAATGCAATAATAAGGTAGCTTCTTAAATAATTTTTATGTAGTCTAAGTACTTACCTGATTTTGAGCAATATGTTGCAAACTTGGCATAGTTCATGAATTGGTTGGATTTTGAATCACACTGATGCTATCCTGGCTTTAATGGTACAGAAAGACCTAAGGTAGCCCTCAATGCATTACTTCACAACTCAGTAGAACCATTGACTTTAACATAAAGCTTTTATGGCATTATAAACATTGCCTTCAAATAAAGTGTCAAGTTAAATCATATCTGGATTAATACTTGAAAATATGTACACCTAAAACCCGCTCAATGCTGAGGTAAGTGGAAGAATAAGGAAAGCATAACTATGTAATCACCTTTAATGATACAGGCTGGTTCCTGACCTTCCCAGATATTAGATGGTTGACATGCCCTCACATTTTTGCCTTCAAGTCTATATCCTTTGTTACAAGTATAAGCAGCCATGTCTTTAAGTCCAGTACCTTGACTCAAATCTACCTTACCATTAGCAGGACTTTGTAATATACCACAATCTGTAATACAAGAGTACAAGTAACTTTAAGAAAAAGAACATTTGTTTTTAGCCACTTTATCCTTGACCAAAATATCAAGAAATCCCTCCAACTTTTATCCTTAACCTGTTCAATTTTGTTATGAATTTGCCAAGATTTGATTTTGGAACTGTTCATTCTAAGTTGAAGGAATTTCAATATTAAAATGCTAAAATTGAGCTAAAATTGAACAGTATAGAGCATGGTTAGACTTCATGGATGATGTGCAGGCTGGCCTGGCTCTATACTGGTGGCAAAGGCTTAACACGTTCAGTTCCAGCAGGTTAACCATTTTTATTGAAAAGAAATAGAAACAGATCATCATATTGCAATACTATATCCTGCTATGTTGAGACACAGACCTATGCTTAGTAAAACACAAAACAAAACAACACATACCAACTAAGAAGCAGGTTGGAAGCTGACCACTCCATTTTCCACCTTCCTCACACACCCTCTGTACAGTGTTTGTTTCTGTTCCATTGATCAGATAGCCCTCATTACATATGTATGTAGCTTTATCATTATACTGTGTTCCTATAGCAACCACACCACCATTCTCCAAGCTACCAGCTGAACCACAATCTTAAATAAGATGAAGATACAATGTAAAATCACAATCTTCAATAAATTTTAATAATAATAGCATAACATTTCTAATAAACAATGAAGCACATTTTCTAAATTTTATCAATGTTAAGAATTAAGTTAATGAATTATAAAATAAAACACATATTTTTCAGCATGTCCGTCAGTATGCATCAGTATTTTTTAAACTTTTGCAAAGATCTAAAACAAAGAGGGATAACATCCCCTATGGAAGCCAAAGGATAAATATTTGTGACCAGTAACCCATATCTTTACAAGTACATTTTATGAATTTTAAAGCAACTTCTAGAAATATTTTGATATTTGACATGAAGCATTGAAATTGATGGTGCCCTAAGCATGAAGGCAAACACTCTGCCACTTAGGTGGTGCTGCAGTTTGAATTCTATAAACTAGATAATAAAACAATAAAATAAGTGTATACTGACTATATATTGTGCAGACAGGTTGAGATCCAGTCCAGAATTCTCTACAAGTTCTTGTTTGGTCACCAGAGCTTATAAAGTAACCAGTCTTACATTTGTATGAAGCAGTTTCATTGTAAGTGGTACCAGTCAATGTTACATTACCATGTGTGATATCAAATAAATAGCCACAGTCTAAAAACAAACAGAAAAACAAATTTCTCATCAACTTCACTATCAAATAAAGTTTGATCAAAAAGTTAAAAATTTCCAGTTTAATGTTGTATTTTTCTTTATTCAATTTAATAATAATGATTCATTCATTTAATTTTTTTATCACAAATTTGTACAACAATTTTCCTTTAACTATATGCCATCTGTTAAATTAACAAACCTTCACATATATTTTATCCTGAAGGTTTATGAATATAATCTTAATACACATTCTTTACATCACACCTCAAGCAAAACAACATGTTCAGTTTTGGTCCAAAAATGTTGTATGAATATTACCTTGAGGTGCAAAACTATGTGTACATCCAAAAAGGCCCAGAAAAGCTCTTATCACCCTTTATGATACAGCAAAATGATAATGAAACCACTAATTTAAAAAAAATTATCTACTAACAGTTCCCAGAATAGTCATAATAACAGGTGAATGGGAAAATAGCACAGAAAAATAGTCAACTTACCATGAATAGCACAAACTAAAGGTTCGCCAGACCATGTCCCATCTGCTTCACATTTTTGTGAATCGTCTCCACTTTTAGTGTAATAACCAGTGTCACATGTATACGTAGCAACTTGCATGTATGTTGTACCATTAGTTGTTAACACCTGTCCATTTTCTGGATTTCTCAACTGACCGCAATCTGCATAATCATACAAAATAAACATTAACAAATATTTCTCCTTACAAAAGTAGAAAACAAATTTATTTACTTTGCCTAAATTGCATCCGTTACTTTATACATCCAACTTCTATCGAATATGATTCAGCCTAAAATATACCCCAACAACTAAATGCTGTGAATTGTGGCCAGGTGGTTAATGCATTAGACTTGTAATCTAAGGATTGCTAGGTTGTTTCCTAGAGCAAGAAACTTGACAGTGATCATTTCTTAGAACTGACTGGTTCCAGGAACAAATTTGAAAGTGTCTATAAGCTTATACCTTCCTTCATAATGAAACAGTTATTTTTGGAATAAATTAATTAAATACGAGCCAACTGGACATTCAAATGATAAACTAACTTTTGGTGTTTGCCAGCTTTTACTTAAGTCAAACAACATGCTACTGGTGAAAAAGAAATACAGATGCTATATAGCACACTATTTTGGAAATTAATAATTATTCATCTTTGTGGATTTTGCATTCTTTCAAAGCAAGATATCTATGTATGATGCTTTAAATTTAATACCAATTTTATCATCAGTGCCTTGCCAAGACCTTTAACACAATAAATCAAAATCTTTAAGACAATGAGCTCAAAAAAGTAAGCTGAAGACACACTTATATCACCTCTGATTGTGCATGTCGGCTCCTGTCCACCCCATGTGCCATCACCACAAGTTCTATTTCCATCACCAGCTGTTATATTATAACCTTTATCACAATTATAAACAGCTGTATCACCGTATTTCTGTCCTTTTGATGTCACAGTGCCATTCCCAGGATTGGATAATGAACCACAATCTGAAAACAAATATTATCATATGACATAACTTGTTTTCCATGTCATATATTCCATATAACACTTCTGTACCTTTTTCTGTTCAATATTAATAGATGAAAGTGCCATTTTTTGTTAAACATTACAGCTTTAATATATCAATATCATGTGACAAAAGAATTAGGCAGTTATCAGATCATCAAGACTTACATTGAACTTGTATAAGAAATATCATAAAGTTCGGCACACACTCAATTCATGATTCTTTCCTAAATAAGACACCTCATGGAAGATCTTATGTCTCTATTTTACCTGCTTTTGTGCAAGATATTTTCTTTCATTTTATTTGCCAAATTTTTTTTTGCTATTACAATTGCATAAATCACTTGGCTGGCTTTGAATTTGGAATAGACATTTGCAAAGCTACGGGCTTTATATGTTCAGTACAAAATCATTTGGTCTGACTACATAAATGTACATATTATTGAATGGACCTGCTTTTAATGAAGCTAAGTCTAAAAGTGTGAACTGTTTGCACAAGTCCATATAAACTAGAACTCCGCGAGTCGGATGTGTCGCCTTGTGAGCAATGTAGTTTAGGGGAAATGGCCAGGACAAAAATGAAATATGAAAAATAACAAAGGGCAATAACTAAAACAAGATTGCATTTGAGAAAAATGCTATGCCACCGCATGGTTCAAATTTCATAGCTGTACACCAAAGGACAAGAAAGTAGGTCACATCATCAAAATCTAGGTCACCTGATATCAAAGTTCAATTTTACAAATAAAACTGTGCACATGGTCAAAATGTCATTGCTGTACATCAAAGGACAAGAAAGTAGGTCACTGTCCCCTTGGGCAAGGCATAATTTTGACCCAAGGGTTCAATTCAAAACAATTTTGATACAGGTCCACCAAACAACATTTCAAGTCAAATATCTAAGCTATAGCTTTCTCCATTCAGAAAAACATTTGTTTTATTTTCTGTTTTTACTATGTGTACATAATGAGAATCACTGCCCCCGGGCAGGGCCAATTTTGACACCAGGGGAAAATTTTGAACAACTTTGGTAGAGGACCTATAAATGATATTATATATCAAACATCAAAAGCTCTATGCCTTGTACCTTCAGACAAAAATACTTTTTATTTTTTCACTATATGTACATAATGAAAATCAATGACCCCGGGGCGGAACCAATTTTGACCCCAGGGCTTATAATTTGAACAATCTTGCAAGAGGTTCACTACACAATGTTTCATGCAAAATATCTTAACTCTAGCCTTTGTAAATTTAGAGAAGATGATTTTTTAAGTTTTTACTATATATATATAAGGAAAACCTATGGCCACCGGGGCGGGGCTAATTTTGACACAAGAGGCAAAATTTGAATAACTTTTTTAGAGTACCTTTAGATGATATTATTTTAACAAATATTAAAGCTCTAAGCCTTGTACCTTCAGACAATAAGATTTATTTATTTTTTACTATATGTATATATTGAAATCAATGACCCCAAGGGCGGGGGCAATTTTGACCCTAGGACTATAATTTGAACAATCTTGCTAGAGGTTTACTACACAATGTTTCATGCAAAATATCTAACCTCTAGCATTTGTCAATTGCTAGAAGAATTTTTTTTGAAGATTTTACTATAAGTTTTTACTATATACATATAAGGAAAACCAATGACCCCCGGGGCGGGGCCAATTTTGACCCCAGGGCTATAATTTGAACAATCTTGGTAGAGGTCTACCAGACAATGCCTTATGCAAAATATCTAAGCTCTAGGCCTTTTGGGTCTTTACAAGAAGATTTTTTAAATTTATTCTTATAATTCCTTTTGGTTGCCATGGCAACCAGATTTCTGCATGGAATTAAATTCTATGAACAACTTTGGAAGCCCTTCACCCAAGGAACAATCCTGCCAAGTTTGGTTGAAATTGGACTCGTGGTTTTTCACAAGAAGATTTTTTAAGTTCACTATATAATCTATATAACACACACACAAACACACGCACACACACACAGGTGAATCGCTATATGCCACCGCATCGCAGATGCTGCGGTGGCATAAAAATAATAAGTGCAGAGCAGCAGTTTCTGTGACCTGCACTTCTTATCAATAAGATCTATCATTCTATGATGTTTCAAGTCCATAGCCTTCATACTTGAGGAGAAATGACCAGGACAAAAATAAAGTAAGAAAATCAACAAAGGGCAATAACTCAAAAAATAAGAAATGCAGAGTATCAGTTCTTATGCACTGCACTTTTTCTTAATGAGATCTATCATCCTATGAAGTTTCAAGTCCATGGCTTTTATACATTAGGAGAAATGGCCCGGACAAAAATAAAGCATGAAAATTAACAAAGGGCAATAACTCAAAAATTAGGAAGTGCAGAGTACCGGTTCTTACGCACTGCACTTCTTCTTAATGAGATCTATCATCCTATGAAGTTTCAAGTCCATAGCTTTTTTAGTTGATGAGAAATGGCCCGGACAAAATTAGTATGAAAATTAAGAAAGGGCAATAACTCAAAAAATAAGAACTGCAGAGTACCGGTTCTTGTGCACTGCACTTCGGGTTATTGAAAGAAGCATGCATACCAAGTTTGAAGTCAATCAGACTTATAGTGACTGAGTTATGCTCCGGACAAGCTTTAGGGGACGCCGACGCCGACAACGACACAGACGCCGACACAGTCGCCACCGACAAAAGTAACCCCCATATAATTCACCTTTTCAAGGCGACACAAAAACTGTGTATAAAACTGTATTATTCTCAAATTTAAGTACCAAAAGATAATAAAATTTGTTTTCCTTTACAAATAGAAACTAGAACTGCCACTATGTTGGCGTGAATACCCCCGCATACCACTTTGTCAGAATCAACAGTGGCCATTTAGAGCTCAAGGACAACCTCCCTGCCAAATCTGAGGTTACTAAGCCAGTGCATTGCTAAGTTATGTATTCTACAAGCTTCAAATGTGAAAATGTCAAAATCAATACATTGCGGACAGGACATTCTTAAGCAATTGAGAAGAAAAGCTTTTTTTTGTCAAGGTCCCTGTGACCTTTGACCCAGTGACCTCAAAGTCAATAGGGGTCACCTTATAGTCATGATCAACATCCATGCCAAATATGAAGACTGTGGGTCAAAGGAATCTTAAGTAAATGGGTGGACAAACTTTTTAAAGTCAAGGCCCCTGTGACCTTGACCTTTGACCTGGTGACCTCAAAGTCAATAGGGGTCATCTACTAATCATGACTAACCTCCATGCCAAATATGACGACTGTAGGTCAAAGGAATCTTAAGTTATTGGGCGGACAAGCTTTTTGAAGTCAAGGCCCCTGTGACCTTGACCTTTGACCTGGTGACCTCAAAATCAATAGAGGTCATCTACTAATCATGACTAACCTCCATGCCAAATATGAAAACTGTAGGTCAAAGGAATCTTAAGTTATTGGGCGGACAAGCTTTTTGAAGTCAAGGCCCCTGTGACCTTGACCTTTGACCTAGTGACCTCAAAATCAATAGGGGTCATCTACTAATCATGACTAACCTCCATGCCAAATATGAAGACTAAGGGTCAAAGATATCTTAAGTTATTGGGCGGACAAGAAAAAACCGACGGACGGCCGGACGGCCGGACAGACAAGCTGATTCCAGTATACCCCCCTTACAACTTTGTTGTGCGGGGGTATAAAAACATAGAAATACAAAAGCATACACATCAAAATGCATAATTATGGCTAACCATATAATGTACATGTTGGCAGTGTGCCATTCCAGGAGCCACCATGGTCACATGTTCTTACTTCATTCCCTGAACTTAGGTTGAATCCTGTGTTGCATGTATATGTCACAGTTGCAGAAAATGTTGTCACATTAACAGAGAGCGTACCATTGGCTACATCTGGTGGCGATTTACAATCTGAAACACAATTATTACATAAAACATGTATTGTTTAATTGTACATAATATATGAAACAAGAGGGCCATGATGGCCCTGGATCGCTCACCTGACACAACCGCATCCAAGCAATGTCTTAAACAAGCATCATGACCAAGTTTGATGCGACTGAGTCAAACATGTGACCTCTAGTGTGTTATAAAGATTTTTCCATATTTGGGCAATGTGACCTAATTTTTCACTGGACACGACCCATATTCAAACTTGACCTAGAAATCATCAAAACAACCTTCCTGACCAATTTCCAGGAAATTTGGATCAAAACTGCAGCCACTAGAGGGTTAAAAAGATTTTTCTATTTTTAGCTCCTGTGACCTAGTTTTTGACCGAACATGACCAATCTTAGCACTTGACCCAGAAAACATCAAAAGAACATTCTTGACAAATTTCCAGAATATTTGAATAAAAACTGCAGCCACTAGAGTGTAAACAAGCTTTTTCTATTTTTAACTCCTGTGACCTAGTTTTTGACCTGAGATGACCCATCTTCGAACTTGACCTAGAAATCATCAAAACAACCTTCCTGACAAATTTCCAGAATATTTGAATCAATACTGCAGCCACTAGAGTGTTAACAAGCTTTTTCTATGTTTAGCTCCTGTGACCTAGTTTTTGACCGGAGATGACCCATCTTCGAACTTGACCTAGACATCATCAAAACAACCTTCCTGACAAATTTCAAGAATATTTGCATGAAAACTGCAGCCCCTAATGTGTTAACAAGCTTTTCTATTTTTAGCTCCTGTGACCTAGTTTTTGACCGGAGATGACCCATCTTCCAACTTGACTTAGATATCATCAAAACAACCTTCTTGACAAATTTCCAGAAAATTTAGATGAACACTGCAGCCATTAGAGTGTTAACAAACTTTTTTAATTTTTAGCTCCTGTGACTTAGTTTTTGACCTGAGATGACCCATCTTTAAACTTGACCTAGAAATCATCAAAACAACCTTTCTGACAAATTTCCAGAATGTTTGGATGAAAACTGCAACCATTAGAGTGTTAACAAGCTTTTTCTATTTTTAGCTCCTGTGACCTAGTTTTTGACCAGACATGACCCATCTTCGAACTTGGCCTACAAATCATTAAAACAACCTTCCTGACAAATTTCCAGAATATTTTAATCAAAACTGCAGCCACTAGAGTGTTAACAAGCTTTTTCTATTTTAAGCTCCTGTGACCTAGTTTTTGACCGACAATAACCCATCTTCGAACTTGACCTGAAAATCATCAAAGCAACCTTCCTGACAAATTTCCAAAATATTTGGATGAAAACTGCAGCCACTAGAGTGTTAACAAGCTTTTCTATTTTTAGCACCTGTGACCTAGTTTTTGACCGGACATGACCCATCTTCCAACTTGACCTAGATATCATCAAAACAATCTTCCTCACAAATTTCCAGAATATTTGGATGAAAACTGCAGCCACTAGAGTGTTAACAAGCTTTTTCTATTTTTAGCTCCTGTGACCTAGTTTTTGACCGGACATTACCTATCTTCCAACTTGACCTAGATATCATCAAAACAACCTTCCTGACAAATTTCCAGAATATTTGGATGAAAACTGCAGCCACTAGAGTGTTAACAAACTTTTTCTATTTTTAGCTCCTGTGACCTAGTTTTTGACCGGAGATGACCCATCTTCGAACTTGACCTAGATATTATCTAAGCAACCTTCCTGACAAATTTCCAGAATATTTGGATGAAAACTGCAGCCACTAGAGTGTTAACAAGCTTTTTCTATTTTTAGCTCCTGTGACCTAGTTTTTGACCGGAGATGACCCATCTTCGAACTTGACCTAGATATCATCAAAACAACCTTCCTGACAAATTTCCAAAATATTTGGATGAAAACTGCAGCCACTAGAGTGTTAACAAGCTTTTTCTATTTTTAGCTCCTATGACCTAGTTTTTGACCAGACATGATCCATCTTCAAACTTGACCTAGATATCATCTAAACAACCTTCTTGACAAATTTCCAGAGTATTTGGATGAAAACTGCAGCCACTAGAGTGTTAACAAGCTTTTTCTATTTTTAGCTCCTGTGACCTAGTTTTTGACCGGAGATGACCCATCTTCAAACTTGACCTAGATATCATCAAAACAACCTTCCTGACAAATTTCCAAAATATTTGGATGAAAACTGCAGCCACTAGAGTGTTAACAAGCTTTTTCTATTTTTAGCTCCTGTGACCTAGTTTTTGACCGGAAATGACCCATCTTCGAACTTGACCTAGATATCATTAAAACAACCTTCCTGACAAATTTCCAGAATATTTGGATGAAAACTGCAGCCTCTAGAGTGTTAACAAGCTTTTTCTATTTTTAGCTCCTGTGACCTAGTTTTTGACCCGAGATAACCCATCTTTGAACTCGATCTGTATTTCATTGAGACAAACATTCTGACAAAGTTTGATGATGATCCAATCAAAACTGTGACTGCTAGATTGTTAACAACCCAATTATAAGAGTGTTAACAAGCTTTTTCTATTTTTAGCTCTTGTGACCTAGTTTTTGACCGGAAATGACCCATCTTCGAACTTGACCTAGATATCATTAAAACAACCTTCCTGACAAATTTCCAGAATATTTGGATGAAAACTGCAGCCTCTAGAGTGTTAACAAGCTTTTTCTATTTTTAGCTCCTGTGACCTAGTTTTTGACCCGAGATAACCCATCTTTGAACTCGATCTGTATTTCATTGAGACAAACATTCTGACAAAGTTTGATGATGATCCAATCAAAACTGTGACTGCTAGATTGTTAACAACCCAATTATTAGAGTGTTAACAAGCTTTTTCTATTTTTAGCTCGTGACCTAGTTTTTGACCAGAGATGACCCATCTTCGAACTTGACCTAGATATCATCAAAACAACCTTCCTGAAAAATTTCCCGAATATTTGGATGAAAACTGCAGCCTCTAGAGTGTTAACAAGCTTTTTCTATTTTTAGCTCCTGTGACCTAGTTTTTGACCCAAGATAACCCATCTTCAAACTCAATCTGTATTTCATTGAGACAAACATTCTGACAAAGTTTGATGATGATCCAATCAAAACTGATTGACTGTTAACAACCCAATTGTTGACGACGAACGACGCACAACGCACGACGACGGACGCCGGACATAGCCCCATCACTATACCTCACCATGACCACTTCGTGGTCAGGTGAGCTAAAAAAACTAAGAACATGTAAGTTTCAATAAAATATTTTGTCCCATTATCCTTCCCTCCTCCCCACACATGGAAATCTCAATGCATGTAAATTATACTCAAAATTATCGAAAAAAGAAAAAAGTTTATTCCGCAAGACTTTTGGTTTGAATTAGGTTCAAAGAATGAGGGGATGGAGACCCATCACAATAACTGCTGCTGGCTTACAATAAATTTTGTTGTTTTAAATTTAGTTCATTATGTTTAAAAGAGATGGGATTGTGTAATGGGATTATGCAAACTTTACCATATATCATGCATACAGGTGGTTTATCAGTAAATCTATGCCAACTTTACCATATATCATGCATACAGGTGGTTTATCAGTAAATCTATGCAAACTTTACCATATATCATGCATACAGGTGGTTTATCACTCCAATTATCATCAGCTTGGCAAGTGCGTATATTGAAGCCTTCCAATCTATAACCTTTGTTACATGTGTAGGCAGCCACATGCAGATATCCCGTTCCTTTACTTGTATCAACATCACCATTCAATGGTGCATCCAATCTTCCACAATCTACAGACAAAACTCAAAACTTATATCCCATTTATTATCTTTTTGGAATGTTCATAATTTTAAGTTTAAAGGTGCACTGCAGATCACTCGAAAACAATCTAAATGAGACGATAACACCAAATCAATTTTTTTTTACTTAAAATGTTTCTGTTATCATATTCTAAGACCATGTCTAGGATCAAAGTCTAAATAAATCTGTTTTTATTCTACGTATCTGCCTGTATGTTACTTTAAAAGTTTCATTAGTAGATTAGAAAACAAAGCGTAAAGCATAATTATGAAAAACCTTTTTCTGCTACTTTGACAAGAATGCATTTCCAGGTTTTTTTTCAAAAGTCTTCTGCATTATAACAAGCGTAAGCAAATACCAGGGTAAAACCATAAACCATTCCAAGGTTGGTTAAATAAATAAGCAGTACTATTCAAAACTGAAATAAAATGTATCCTAACATTCAAAGACAAGATATTAATCCCCGAAAAGAATCTCCAATGCACTTTGAAGTAAATAATTATATCATCTACTGCAACTCAAAAAGGTGAACAAATCTGCTTTTTGCAACATTAATATATGCTTAATAAAAGAGATAACATGAAATTCTTCACAAAATTTAATATAATGTAATTCTACTTACCAACAGGTACACAAGTTGGAACAGAGTCATCCCAATTACCGCCTGTTACACAAGTCAAGGTCATATTTTTGCTGCGTGACTTCTGTATAAGGAAGCCATCATTACATGTATATACAGCAGTCTCGTTGTATGTTGTTCCAGAGAAAACAGCAGATCCATTAACAACAACAGACGATAGATCCCCACAATCTAAATATATGAAGCATAAAATACAGTGTTAGAATTGCACTTGTATGTCAAGGTTCAGAACTTATCACTATTTAGGGGAGAAGATGTGTTAGAAGCCTGATAGCTCAGTTGGTAGAGTTGCTGCATGGTATTCTGCGGGTCCCGAGTTTGAGTCCAAGTGAGGCCGCACATTTTCCTCACACTGTGACATTTTGCGCCCAAAGTGCAGAGCTCAATACTTTGCAACAGGATTTTAAAAGCAACTGATAAGATTTTTTTTTTCTTTTTGATATATACATTCATGCCAAGTTTATTTAAAAGCCTAACATATGAAAAACTCAAAAACAAGGGCCCAGTCTGAAATGGGATTAATATAAGACAAAACATCCCTTACATTTAGATGCTTTAATAAGGACCATTCACATTATTAAATATCTTGCCTGAAAGAAAACATTAGTACTTGAATCACATTACTTTTTTTCTACTTATGATATTACCATAGATAGTACACACAGGTACAGAACCATCCCAAACCCCGTTTCCACAGGTAACTGTCACAGTATCCTTGGTATAAAAACCTTCATTACAGCTATATGTTGCACTGGAACCAAATGTTGTACTTGTGTAACTAACTGTACCATTTCCAGTGTCAGATGGAACAGAACAATCTGAAATATACAACATAATTTTAATGTTACTTACTTATTAAAGAATTTCAATTTTGCCATTTTGGGTGTTCCTTAGGGATTCCTTTTCTGTACTTTTTCTATAAAGCCGAGGAAAACTGATCGACATTATTATATAAGTGTAACTTTTTACTTTAATAGATTCTTTGATATCCTCCTTAATCTTGATGACCGTGATAACAATGACATTATCATCTTTCTGATCAGACTTTTTTAATTTTGGTTGGGTTTTAAGTAGCACCAACACAGAATGACATATGGCAGCTTTCTAGCTTAACTGGTGGAGGAAGACCTCAGGTGCCATTCAGTGAATTATTTAGACACAAAAGGCATCTGAGTAGAACCACCGACTTCTGTAATCTAGCTGGATAGCTCCGTCACATTAAAGAATCCAAAGTCCCTGTTGGGTTTCACCCACAGTAGTGAGCGATGAGGGGAGAGTGTTTTGAAGTAGCAACCTTAACCACTTAACCACGAATGCCTGAGACTGACCAGATTTAATTCTATTAGATTAAACATAGAATTTCTAGCTCAAATGTGATAAAAGCATTAAGTTTATTCGAATCAAAATTCAGCTTCCTGGAACTATCCTGTACTGGTGTCATACGAGGACACATAGTTGAGACCCTATTAAGTTTCAATTTCATGACGCCTTGGTTGAGGGCCAGATGTCTCAACCACAAGACATGTTCAATTCTGTTTGTTGCTGAATTATAGCATTATTTTTTTTGATAATCCATTCATGGAACAAACTTAAACAATGTACAATTCAAACTCATAGCAGGAAATACATTTTAGTCAAGAAGGAGTCCATATTACTGTCATAACAACTTTCATTTCTCCTAAATAACAATCAACTATATAGTCTACAGAGTGTAAAATAGGACCCAGGTGTAGCTTCAAGTTTGTAACACCGAGGTTAGCCAAAATCATCTTTCATGTTTCGGCGCCATATGACCTTTACTGTGTTGGTGCGCTGTAAAACCAACCAAACAAAAATAAGCATGACTGTAAACAAACTGAATGTAAGATTTTAGCAGTAACTTCAATTACTGGAGAAACAAAAAACAATCACATGGGTGCATGTTGAAAATTTGGAAAAACCTAAAAACTTTAATTCATAATCATTTTCCTACATAATGTAATAGTAAAACATGATGAAATTTGTCACAAACAAGAACCGGTTGAACCGGGTGATGCTCCCCGAGAAGGTTCTGGACACAGGAAAGTATAAAAACAAGAGCTGTCGGTAGGACAGCATGCTCGACTATTCTTAGTGCTTGATAGTAAAAAAAATGCCTGATACAGTTACCTCCTCCTGTTTACAGGTTGGGGTCATGATGGTGAACAAGTGTGCAAAGTTTCAAAGCCATATGTCAATGGACTTTGAAAATATTTGAACTATTACAAAAACTTTAACGTAAATTCTAAGTCGAAAAAGGGGCATAATTCTGTCAAAATGCTTGATAGAGTTACCTCCTCCTGTTTACAGGTTGGGGTCATGATGTTGAACAAGTGTGCAAAGTTTCAAAGCCATATGTCAATGGACTTTGAAAATATTTGAACTATTACAAAAACTTTAACGTAAATTCTAAGTCGAAAAAGGGGCATAATTCTGTCAAAATGCTTGATAGAGTTACCTCCTCCTGTCTACAGGTTGGGTCATGATGTTGAACAAGTGTGCAAAGTTTCAAAGCCATTATGTCTATGGACTTTGAAAATATTTGAACTATTACAAAAAACTTTAACGGAAAATTCTAAGTCGAAAAAGGGGCATAATTCTGTCAAAATGCTTGATAGAGTTACCTCCTCCTGTCTACAGGTTGGGGTCATGTGATGGTGAACAAGTGTGCAAAGTTTCAAAGCCATATGTCAATAGACTTTGAAAATATTTGAACTATTACAAAAACTTTAACGTAAATTCTAAGTCGAAAAAGGGGCATAATTCTGTCAAAATACTTGATAGAGTTACCTCCTCCTGTCTACAGGTTGGGGTCATGATGTTGAACAAGTGTGCAAAGTTTCAAAGCCATATGTCAATGGACTTTGAAAATATTTGAACTATTACAAAAACTTTAACGTAAGTTCTAAGTCGAAAAAGGGGCATAATTCTGTCAAAATGCTTGATAGAGTTACCTCCTCCTGTCTACAGGTTGGGGTCATGATGGTGAACAAGTGTGCAAAGTTTCAAAGCCATATGTCAATGGACTTTGAAAATATTTGAACTATTACAAAAACTTTAACATAAGTGGTTACGCCGACGCCGACGCCTACGCCGACGCCGACGCTCGGGTGACTGCAATAGCTCTACTTATTCTTATCGAATAGTCGAGCTAAAAATGAACAAAGGGCAAAAACTCCAAAATTAGGCAAGGCGGAGTTATGTTTTTTTGCACTGCACTTCTATTCAATGAGATCTATCAATCTATAAAGTTTCCTGATGATATCAGAGTTATGTCCCGGGTAAAATTCAAAGTGTTAAAATGAACAAAGGGCAATAACTCCAAAAATTAGACCAGGCTTTGTTTAGGTTCTTTAAGCATTGCAGTTCTATCCAATTATATCTAGCTACCTACAAAGTTTCATGTTGATATCTATAATAGTTTTAAAGTTATGTCCCGGACAAAAGTCAAAAAGTAAAAATAAACAAAGGGCAATAACTTCAAAATAAGGCAAGGCAGAGTAATGATTCTTAAGCACTGCACTTCCACCCAATGAGACCTATCTATCTACAAAGTTTCATGTTGATATCTCATATAATTTTAGAGTAATGTCCCGGACAAAGTTCAAAGTGTCAAAATGAACAAAGGGCAATAACTCCAAAAGTAGGTAAGACAGTGTTACAGTTCTTGTGCACTGCAAACCTACTTAATGAGATCTATCTACCTACAAAGTTTCATGTTGATACCTCTTATAGTTTTAGAGTTATGTCCTGGACAAAGTTCAAAGTGTGAAAATAAACAAAGGGGGATAATTCAAAAATTAGGCAAGGCAGAGTTACGGTTCTTGTACACTGCACACCTACTCAATGAGATCTATCTACCTACAAAGTTTCATGTTGATACCTCTTATAGTTTTACAGTTATGTCCTGGACAAAGTTCAAAGTGTAAAAATAAACAAAGGGGAATAATTCAAAAATTAGGCAAGGCAGAGTTACGGTTTTTGTGCACTGCACACCTACTCAATAAGATCTATCTACCTACAAAGTTTCATGTTGATACCTCTTGTTGTTTCAAAGTTATGTCCTGGACAAGAAAAGGGGACGGACGGACAGACGTTCTAAGAGGAGAGTAATTATGTGGCTACTCTATTGTTCTCTCTATTGTTCTTTTTAGCCACACAAAAGAAAATAGCCACATAAAAGCATTACGGAATGAATGACATCAAAGAGAAAGAACAGTTACCTATTGTCCCTCTAGCCACATAATTACTCTCCTGTGAGTGCGGATAGACGGACGGACAAGGCGGCGACTATATGCTCCCCCGAAATTTTTCAGGGAGCATAAATAACCTGAGCTTCAGTCATATGCCTGAAACTTGCAGCCATGCAATAATGACTTTTTCTTGTCCAAAACTTAAATCATTTTTTATGAAATACATTTTAACATATCTACCATATATTAAACACTGTAGTTCTGTTCCACTCCATGTTCCATCAGCCTGGCATGTTCTCTGCCAGTCTCCACTAGAGTTGTAAAATCCTGTCTTACATTTATAGTCTGCTACTGACAGGTATGTTGTCAAGGTCACAGTAACTGTTCCATTTTCAGGGTTACTCAGTTTCCCACAATCTGATGGAACAATGAATGAATATTTCTAGACATCGAAATCTTCTTGAAATTTCCCTCACAGTATCAAAATATATTTCTGACAATATTACCAAAAATCGTTTAAGATTGGTATGCCATAAAATAACAACTTGAAAAGCTCTTCCACTTTCTTTTGTACAAAAATTATAACATTAAAGAATTAATTATAAGCCCTAGATCACTCTAAAATTATTTTAAACTCTGAAAGATTCAAACTAAAGAGGTTACCAAGTAGTAATATTTTACCTCCTTAATGATAAATGTTTGTTCAAGAGAACCAGAAATACTCAAATACAAAAAATTATGATCAACAAATAAAGGCAACATTTACTGCAAGCAGCTCCCAACATAACAAGCATTACAGTATTTACGGCAACCCAGAAGACAGAATCGTTCCTGCGCAGGTTGTCAAGCATTTTACCAGTACTAGTTGCCTTCACTTCTGCTCAGAAATGTAACTTCTGTACATGCCAGAGCAGAGGTACAGTGCGAATGACCGTAGAAAGGATTCCATGATCAATCACAACAAAGGTGACTTGCACCATCCGAGAATCGAACCCCAGTCGCCCAATTCACAGTCCAACTACCTAATGAGCTAACTGGACAGAATAGCATGCTCCATCATACCTCTTATTGTACAGGTAGGTGAAGTCCCACTCCAGTTGCCATTACCACAGGTTCTAGTGAGGTTTCCATCAGTCACATAGTAGCCTGTATTACAGGTATACACTGCTGTACTGTTATATGTGGTGCCTGACAATACAACACTATCAAAGCTTCCGCCTTTTAGAGTTCCACAATCTGAAAAAGACAAAATCATATTATTTTTAATAAATCTATCAAGATTTAAGTAGAAACCCTGGTTTAAGTTGACCACCAGATAATTAAGATAGCTCAGCCATTAAGACCAATTTTCAAAAGAAAGGAATTTGCTGTTCTTATTCCCACTAAAACAATCTAACCATAAAAAGACTCATTAGTGGTCTTCATAGAGTTACAACTGCCATTCTATTGAATTAGAGACACTTTCATGGCTGTTAAAATGCTCTGTGTATAGATAGTGCTCAATTAGGAACAATTGCAATTTTCCTTCTTTGTTTGTTGACGAGCAGAGACATTCCTGTTAAAAATTTTCATGAAAATTTGTATGAATCTGCAGGCATGCTGCTTTAATTCCACAAAATAATTTTTAAAAAAATTACCATAGATAGAACACACAGGTACAGAACCATCCCATGCCCCATTGCCACAGGTAACTGTCACATTATCCTTGGTATAGAAACCTTCATTACACCTGTATGTTGCACTAGAACCAAATGTTGTACTTGTGTATCTTACTGTACCATTTCCAGTGTCAGATGGAACAGAACAATCTAAAATATACAATTTAGAATAAAATAAGATATGTTTGTAAAACATGTATGCCCCCTATCAGCAGCCAATTAGTCATGTGATAAGATTATTATGCATGACTTCTGACCCAGTGATTAAACAATTAATAAGGGTTATCAAATATCTACTGGTCATGACCTTAACCTTTGATCCCTTGACCCAAAACTCAATAAGGGTCATCTGCTGGTCACGACCAATCATCATACAAAGTTTGAAGTTCCTAGGCCTAAGCGTTTTCAGTTAATTGATCGGAAACCGTTTTAACCTACAAAGTCAATGTGACCTTGACCTTTCACCCCTTGACCCCAAAATCAATAGGTCATCTGCTGGTCATGACAAATCACCATACCAAGTTTGAAGTTCCTAGGCCTAAGGTTTCTTTAGTTATTGATCAGAAACCGTTTTAACAGACAAGGTCAATGTGACCTTGACCTTTGACCCCAAAATCAATAGGGGTCAGCTGCTGGTCATGACCAATCACCATGCCAAGTTTGAAGTTCCTAGGCCGAAGAGTTCTTTAGTTATTGATCAGAAACTGTTTTTACTTACAATGTCAATGTGACCTTGACCTTTGGCCCCTTGATCCCAAAATCAATAGGGGTTATCTGCTGGTCATGACAAATCACCCTACCAAGTTTGAAGTTCCTAGGCCTAAGCATTCTTAAGTTATTGATCAGAAACCATTTTTACTTACAAAGTCAATGTGACCTTGACCTTTGACCCAAAACCCAATAGGGGTCATTTGTGGTCACGACCAATCTTCATACAAAGTTTGAAGATCCTAGTCCTAAGCGTTTTTAGTTAATTGATCGGAAACCGTTTTTACCTACAAGGTCAATGTGACCTTGACCTTTGACCCCTTGACCCCAAAATCAATAGGTCATCTGCTGGTCATGACCAAGTCACCATACCAAGTTTGAAGTTCCTAGGCCTAAGGGTTCTTAAGTTATTGATTTGGAAAGCATTTTTTTACCTACAAGGTCAATGTGACCTTGCCCTTTGACCCCTTAACCCAATATCAATAGGAAGTCATCTGCTGGTCATGACAAATCACCATACCAAGTTTGAAGTTCCTAGGCCTAAGGGTTCTTTAGTTATTGATCGGAAACCGTTTTCACCTAAGAGGTCAATGTGACCTTAACCTTTGACCCCTTGACCCCAAAATCAACAGGGGTCATTTACGGATTATGACCAATCACCATATAAAGTTTGAAGTCCCTAGGCCTAAGGGTTCTTTCGTTATTGATCGGAAACTGTTTTTACCTACAAGGTCAATGTGACCTTGACCTTTGACCCCTTAACCCCAAAATCAATAGGGGTCATCTGCTGGTCATAACCAATCACCATACCAAGTTTGAAGTTCCTAGGCCTAAAAGTTCTTTTGTTATTGATCAGAAACCGTTTTTACCCAAGAGGTCGATGTGACCTTGACCTTTGACCCCTTGACCCTAAATCATTAGGGGTCATCTACTGATCATGACCAATCACCATACCAAGTTTGAAGTTCCTAGGCCTGAAAGTTCTTTAGTTATTGATCTGAAACCGTTTTTACCTAAGAGGTCAATGTGACCTTAACTTTTGACCCCTTGACCCCAAAATCAATAGGGGTCATCTACTGATCATGACCAATCACCATACCAAGTTTGAAGTTCCTAGGTCTTAAGGTTCTTTAGTTATTGATCGGAAACAGTTTTTTCTTACAAGGTCAATGTGACTTTGACCTTTGACCCCTTGACCCCAAAATCAATAGGGGTCATCTACTGGTCATGACCAATCACCATACCAAGTTTGAAGTTCCTAGGCCTAAGGGTTCTTTAGATATCACTCGGAAACCATTTGGTCTACGGACCGACAAGTGCAAAGCAATATACCCCCTTTGCTTCGAAATTGGGGCTTAATAATAAAATCAAAACATTAATTTTACAAAGTTTGAAGAATACTATCAGAATTATTTGCAGAAAAGCTTAAAACTTAAATCAAGTCAATTTAACTCTGAGCATATCAAAAATAATTTTCTTTAATTTGTCTTTTGATTAGAAATTTTAGTTACATCAACAAAGTATCTACCATATATTAAACACTGTAGTTCTGTTCCACTCCACATTCCATCAGCCTGACATGTTCTCTGCCAGTCCCCACTGGAGTTGTAAAATCCTGTCTCACATTTATAGTCTGCTACTGACAGGTATGTTGTCAAGATCACAGATACTGTTCCATTTTCAGGGTTACTAAGTTTCCCACAATCTGTACAATTATAGAACATTACAATTTCAAAAGTGGATAATGACTGAGCAATAGTAAGTAAGTATTTATGTCCAATCCTCTAAATGTCTTGTAATGTTACAAGTCTTATCAACATAGTTTTTGTTATGTAAGAATTACCAGATTTTTTTTTTGTGGCTTTTACTTCTAAGGGAATTTGGTTGGGTGTAGATCAAAATGAACAAAAATCTACATAGTAAACATTTTTCCATATCCTAAATTGGTCCTTAACCCATAGCCTGCAACTTCATCTACTCTTTCAACCAGTAAAGACCAAGATATGCTGAAACATCTGTTAAGTCACACAGACACTCCATATCACAATATTCCTCCTACACTGGTTAAGGAAGATCTCAGATGCCCCTTCTTGTATTACTGAACACTTAAGTGGGCACTTAAAGCCACCACTGATGTTCAGAAAGCTAACTGGATGGTGCTCTCACATGAAAGAATCCAACATTGGATTCGAACACAAGGCAGTGAAGGGCATGTGGTCAATGAACTTTCCCACTAGGCCATGGATTATGTCTTTCTAGGTGAGCTAATAAAAACTGCTTCATGGCATAAAACTGTGTAAATATTAAAACAAATTAAAATGTTGCAAATTACAATTAATTTAATTAAAATACTGTTCTTCTGAAGAATAAGTTGTTTGAGAAGTTTAAACAGATAAATTTTAGCTTGAAAAAAATTCTTGAAGCTTTCTTCTCAATGGATCTCAATTTTTTTCTGTAACCAAACAGTAGCAGTGTTGCTGAAGACACATGGTAAAGATCACAGTAGGCCTTAGATACACAATCGCTGGGTTGAGAAGCAGAGGTTACCTCTCCCAGATTGCTATTTTATTACATTAAACAAGTTTAGTTCTTGAAGCTTATCAGATAAGAAAGATGAATAAAAACACATTGTCTATAATACATCTTTTTAACATGTTATCAAGCTTTTTGAATAATGAGATGTTAGACTTTAATTAACACTTCATAAGTAATTTGGCAACTTTCCAGCTTTACTGGTGGAGAAAGACAACAAGTGTCCTTCTTTGCATTACTTTAGACAGGCAGGCACCAGAGTAAAATCACCAACATTCAAGATGCTAGCATCCAAAGTTCCAGGCAGGATTCTAGCCCACAACAATGATGTGGAAGAGGTTTGAAGTTCATGACCTTAACCACTGGACCATGGATATCTCTGTAACAACAATCATACCTCTTATTGTACAGGTAGGTGGAGTCCCACTCCAGTTGCCATCACCACAGGTTCTAGTGAGGTTTCCATCAGTCACATAGTAGCCTGTATTACAGGTATACACTGCTGTACTGTTATATGTTGTGCCTGACAATACAACACTGTTAAATTTTCCACCTTTTAGAGTTCCACAATCTGAATAAGACAAACACCTAGTTACACAACTGTCAAATGTCTATCATTAAGAAATGTGGTTTTAACCCTTACACTTGTGAATTTTTTAAAAGGACATGTCCAGCATCCTTTTCTTGGGACTATTCATTATCAATTTTTGGGATATCAATATGAAAATTTGAAAATTTAAGCTTAAACTTGTCACATTATAATTTAAAAGAGAACAAGATCTGTACAGGTTGCTAAGATGTACAAGCTAGTCTGGCATACAGGTTTTCAATGGGTATTATGAAGTAAATTAAAAGAAGTTTCTATACATGACAATGATATCAAGTTGTAGAAAAACTCTCAGTCTCTTCCTGAACAACATAAAAAGGGAAATTTTTTAAAATTAAACTTTTTTTTCCCCTTTTTAATGTACATAAAATTCTCCAAAACCTTGGCAAAAAAATTTTAAATTAAATCATATGGAAGTCAAATTTACTAAAGGGTAACGTTCCCCGGAAAACATGATTTTAGCCAGATTATTCATTTTATCAACAGATTAACAAATTCCCTTCATAATTATAAACAAACTGAGCCCTAGATGTCCTTCATATCAAATATCTATTTAATATTGTATATACCATATAGATCACAAGTAGGTTTAGTTCCTTCCCACTGTCCACTCTCATTACACTTGCGGGATTGTGACCCTGTTGCTATGTAGTAACCAAGGTCACATGTATACAATGCTGCCTGTCCGAAAGTTGTTACTGGTGCAGAAACACTGCCATTGCCAATATCTTTCAGTTCACCACAGTCTAAAAATACATCACCATACCATATATCTTTACATTAAAATACATAAGCCAATATGGTTTTAACTATACATTTAGCAGGTTAACTGAAAAATGGACTGGGCTTATCTTCAGAAGGACAATATTCATTTAGTGGGTTAATTTATTGGCAGGATAGATTATTCATTGCACTGGATTTCATTAATTTTATTTACTTGGATTGATCAATCATTTGGCTGGTTAATTGTTTAGGTGGATGGATATATCATTGAGTTAATTGTTTAGGTGGATGGTCATATATCAATGAGCTACAATGCAGATTGACATTTGTTTAGTTAGATGAGTCTATTATTTTCCTGGATAACTGTTGAGCTGGCTGCGTTTATCATTCCAGTGACTCCTGAATTACTTTTCAAATGCTCTCCCTGTTGAACATTGTGGGCTGACTGGATGTCAATTATTAAGCTGAGAAATTGTGCTGTAGGATGCATCAACTATTCAACTTGATTTAATAAATGTTAGTTAAATGAAACAGTTGAATGAATATTAGAATTGTCAAGTAACTTCCCTGGATAATTTGGTTGGATGGATCAATTATTTAGCTGGATAACTGTTAAGTAGAATGTATCTATCAAGATGGTGCATAGCCATGATACACATACCTTTAATCACACATTCAGGTTCACTGTTATCCCAGAATCCATCTGCAACACATGTTCGTACATTTGTTCCATTCAAGTCATGTCCTGGGTTACATGTGTATGAAGCCCTTGTGTTATAAAATGTATTCTTATACATTATTTGTCCTCCACTAGGAGCTGTAAGGTCCTTGCAATCTACAATCAAAACACATCATGGTATTTAGCATCACTTCATTCAATAAATAAAAGATAATATTTTATCAACCTTTACTATGCTTAATATCACTCCGTTAATGGACTTGTCCATCTTTCAATAAAACAAAACCATTAATCATTTTTAGTGGAAATTTCAAAATAAATACTGATTGAAAAGCAAACAGTGCAGACCATGATCATACTGCACAGATGTGCTGGCTGGTTTTGGTCTGTGTTAATTGTATTTACAATAGGTATATTCAGCTACCACCAGAAGGCCAAGAAATGAAGTGATCTATTCATTAAGTTTACAAAAGTTTTAATGTTTTCTTTCCAGATAATATTGTATCCATTTAAAAGCCAAATGGTCATTGTTCAGCTTTGATGGTGGATGAAAGCCTCAGATGTCTGTCTTAGTATTATTTTCAGGCCAGAATTTAACCGCAAACCATATAAAGCTTGTTAATTTACTACTTTACATGACAGACTGCAAAGTTCCTGTCAAAATGCCGCACCTATGAGGGACATGAGGTTTAAAGTCAATGAACTTAACCACTAGGTAATGGAGACCCAAGATTATGATGAAAAAGCCAGTCTCTGCCGAAATTACATTTCAGCTTTCAGGACATCTATTATTATCATGCAATATTCTACTGACTCTTTAATATTATTTCCTTGTCTGAAGCCCCTACATTTCACAATGGTTAGCTTCAAAAGGCAAAGCATTAAACTATAAATTTTGAAACATAAAAGAACTGAAAGAATATATACAAGTTGTTTTTCTAGGAATAGAGCAATTTAAGTATCCCTTCCACTTATAATCATTAAAATAAATTTTAATTTCTACCAGTCTTCTGGTTTGTTTGTTTGTTGGATTGGGATTTACAAATCCTGTCGGGATTCAAACACACAATAGTGAGGGGCAACTGGTTTAAATTCAACAACCTTAACCACTCAGCCACGGACTCCCCACCATTCTTCTTGACCAAATCACATGGTTTAGTGGTTTTAGGTGAAGACTATAATCATATTTCAGACACACAATAAATTGTTCACTTACCAACAGGTATGCACTTAACTGCAGTTCCATTCCATTTCCCCGTGTCCAAGCACGTAACAGTCTGTGTGACAACTCCTTGACTTATATAATGCCCAGTGTTACATGTATACACTGTTGTGTCCTCGTACAATGTGCCGGACTGAGAAGCTTTTCCATTAGAGATAACTGTTGATAAACTGCCACAGTCTGTAGAAAATCATCAATAACCATTTAAAACAAAGTAAATAAGAAAATTTGGTTTTCTTTCATGAATAGTCAATATACTTTAAAGTGTTCTATGTAAATATTGTCCAAATGCATAGAGTGTGTACTTTTAAGTAAGTAAACCATTCAGTTATTTAAATGGCATTTTGTGGGCCTTTCCTATTTATATATACATGTGTCAATTTAATACAATTTGACCTTAAAAATTGTAAGACATGGGTCCAGACAAAGGTACAGACTTTGCCATTTTCAATTATAAGATGGTATTGTGAAAAAACAAACAAATCTTTTTCATTAGCAAATGCTAACTATTATGGGATCTTATTTGCATTTTGTTGGAATAAGCTATGTTAAATGATCTTGTTGTTTTAAACACAACAAATTCAATAAAGTGCTTAAAAAGTTCCATTAATAAAATTCCAGAAAAATCCACATCAAAAATGGAATTCCCTATAACTTCATCACAAATAAATTTGTAAAAAAATTTCATTTTACTTTTTTTTGAGCAACTTGGCTCTGTTCCATTCCAATTTCCATCCAGTTGACATGAACGACTTGAGGTGTCGGACAATTCATACCCTGTGTCACACGAGTAAGACGCCACTTGGAAGAAAGTAGTTCCTGATGATGTATCCACTAAACCATTCTTTGGATTTGTTAGATTGCCACAATCTGTGTAAAACAGGATAATGATATTCTATTTGTTTATTTCAAAGTATTTCATCTTTGTTTTATCTGGTTATCAAATGGAGTTGTCAATTAAATTATAAATGAGCCGGGTCACGACAAAACCAACATAATGGGTTTGCGACCAGCATGGATCCAGACCAGCCTGCACATCCATGCAGTCTGATCAGGATCCATGCTGTTCGCTTACAGAGCCTATAACAAGTAAAGAAACTGATAGCGAACAGCATGGATCCTGATCAGACTGCGCGGATGCGCAGGCTGGTCTGGATCCATACTGGTCGCAAACCCATTTTGTTGGTTTTGTCGTGACGCAGCTCAAATGTGAACTAGAAATGTGTCATCATGCCACGGATGCCCCCGCATGCAGCCAAAATTTCAGATGGTGCATTAATTTTTTTTTTTTCATTTTAAGTTCAAAGCCCTTAAAATTATTCAATGCTAACACAAACCATTTTCATACAATGTTCAAGACACTGAAATTATTCAATCTTAACCTTTTAAAAATAGCATATTTCATATTTGTAGCCAAAATAATGGCTAAAAGTATGAGTGCTGAAACTGAAAGTACAAAATTTTTCCAACATTCAGGAAAGATAAGTTTGTCTAAAATCATTGAACCACAACCAAATTCAAACATAAACTGCTTATTCCTAAGATGTATCTATATTATTTTCAAAGTGAAAGGGACATTACTGTGCAAAAAAATCATCAAACCATGACCAAATTCCAACTTGACCTGCCCATTCCTTTGACATATCCATATGTCAAATTTAAGTTGAATATGTAACACTGTTGGGTAGATAATGAACAGAAACTGTAAATTTCATATTATTTTCAAAGTGAAAGGGGCATTACTCTGCCAAAAATCATTGAACCATGACCAAATTCCAACTTGACCTGGGCATTCCAAAAACATATCCATATGTCAAATTTGAGTTGAATTTGGGAGATAATAAACGGAAACTGAAAATTTCATATTATTTTCGAAGTGAAAGGGGCATAACTCTGCCAAAAATCATTGAACCATGACCAAATTTGAACTTGACCTGCGCATTCTTTTGACGCATCCATATGTCAAGTTTGAGTTGAATGTGTTGTACCGTTGGGGAGATAATGAACGGAAACTGAAAATTTCATATTATTTTCAAAGTAAAAGGGGCATAACTCTGCCAAAAATCATCGAACCATGACCAAATTCGAACTTGACCTGTATTTTCTCATGACATATCCATATGTCAAGTTTAGGTTGAATGTGTTGTACCGTAGGGGAGATAATGAACGGAAACTGAAAATTTCATATTATTTTCAAAGTAAAAGGGGCATAACTCTGCCAAAAATCATCGAACCATGACCAAATTCGAACTTGACCTGTATTTTGTCATGACATATCCATATGTCAAGTTTGAGTTGAATGTGTTGTACCGTTGGGGAGATAATGAACGGAAACTGAAATTTCATATTATTTTCAAAGTAAAAGGGGCATAACTCTGTCAAAAATCATCGAACCATGACCAAATTCGAACTTGACCTGTATTTTGTCATGACATATTCATATGTCAAATTTCAGTTGAATGTGTGCAACCGTTCTTAAGATAATGAACGGAAACTGATGATGACGGAATGACAGAATGACGGAATGACGGAAGGACGGAAGGACGGAATGACGGAACAGGGTAACACTATATGCCCCGGCCATTACATGGCGGGGGCATAAAAATGTTTAATTAAGAATAAGATCTGATACATCATTGTCCATATTTGGATGACCTTTTTGGTTTTTAAAACTACCACCACTAGTGTAAATATCTATTTTTATCGTCTTACAATTATTTGCAGGAAATGCCCATCAATCAGGTAAGAAATTAACCTAGGAAATTTAAGCAAGACTTTATTTAGCATGCAATTTATAAGATGAAATCATACAATTCTTATTTTATCGGGTCTTACGGCATAACAACACAGCAAAGGTCATATGGGTAACTTTCCAATTTAACTGGTTGAGGAGGACCTCAGGTGCCCTTCTGTGCATTATTTCAGTAACCTGAGTAAAACCTCCGAAGTTCCATAAGCTACCTTGATAGCTTTCTAACAATAAAGAATTCAAAGTCCCTAGCTGGTTTTTGAACCACACTATTAAGGTGCAAGTGGTTTGAAGTAAACAACCTTAACCATGCCCTTTAAATCAGATATGGAAATTATATAGGGCTGTTGACATCATGGCATTCTATATCAAATCTGAGTAAAACATGTATACAAATATACAAAATGGTAATATTACACTAAACTGAGTAACATCATGTGATAAAAACCAAGGAATATTTTTTGCTTCTGCAAGTAAGTGTGATAGTATCCTACCAATGATTTGACAAGTTGGTTTTGCACCATCCCAATACCCATTAGCTTGGCATTCTCTTACGTTGGTACCATTTAGATTGTAGCCTTGGTTACAAGTGTAGGAAGCTAACTTCAGGTATGTCGTCCCTGGTTGAGTGTTCACTTGCCCATTTTCTGGCTTAGATAAACTGCCACAGTCTAAAAATAGACACAAGTTTGACCTTTGACAAATTAAATTACAATTACAGGACAACAAACATATACTAATGAGAAATATTTATAAGTAAAATATGAAGTCACTGTTGACATTTAAATTAACAGAGAATTTACATATAGATTTATATGAAACAATGTTATATCTCATCATGTTAAAATACATCACTCTGTTAAAAATGATCATTTTAAGACTTAACCTGCTGAATATCTCATAATTTGACTTGTCCAGCTTCCATTAATAAAATGGTCCATTATCTATTATGGGGATAGGAAGATGAAAATTTAAAGGTTTAGTCAGTCAACATGGCAAAAATCAATCATTTTCAGTTCCAGCAGGTTTAAGGATTTTAAAAGCCAGTATTTACCAGTCTGGATACATGTTGGTACACTGTCACTCCAGTTTCCATCTGACTGACATGTTACCATCAGAGAAACGTTCCCAACACCGATCATAAAACCAGTATCACATGTGTACACTGTTGTATCTAAATATTTAGTGCCGGATTGTGTAACATTTGCGTCTGCTAGCTTTGTTGACAATGCCCCACAGTCTGAAATATAAATCATACACAATCAGAAGTATGTTTTTTTCCATTAAATTTCAAATTGTCTGTAAAAATTGCTGACTACTACCATAACTGAAGTACTTAAGTATTGATGGAAAGTGATTTTCAAATTTTGGCCAAGACCACCACAATGCCATATTAATGCTCATCTGTTGGAAATTCTAAGTTCAAAAAGGGCTTAACTTCAAAAATACAGCTTTCAGAATGATGCTCCTTGTCTAACTACTGTCTCTTGTCATGATAAGCAAGTATTCCAAGTTTCATATTGATACCTTTAAAATTATTAGAGAAATTGGACAACATTAAAATTTTTATGGTTATAACATACATTCCATCTATTTCGTCTTCAAAAAGTGGAGTTAAAAAGTCAATTTATAATGCAAAGTTCATATGTGAGAAAGATGCTCAATGCTTTATGACCAGCCTGTACACTTTAACTTTTGTCAAGTAAAATAATCTAATTGGAGAATGTAAATATATAGCATTATAAGTCAATTTAGTAAAGCAAAGTAAAAACTAGAAATGTGTCCATAGGACACGGATGCCCCCACACGCCACTGTTCTGTCAATCTTATGACTCTAGGTCAACTATTTTTTGGACTACATGTGCCACAAGTTGAAAACTTAAAATCAACAAAGGGCTATAATTCTGTTAAATTTGGTCGCAGCAAAAATTCCTTCCTTTACTGCCATCTACACATTAAGGTTGTTCATCCCTGGAAGTTTAAGCAAAATCTGCCATCCGGTTTAAGAGGAGTTGCGTTCACAAAATTTCTACAGAGTATATAGTGAAAAAATCAACAAAGGGCCATAATTCTGTTAAATTTGGTTGCAGCAAAAATTCCTTCCTTTACTACCATCTACACATTAAGGTTGTTCATCCCTGGAAGTTTAAGCAAAATCTGCCATCCGGTTTAAGAGGAGTTGCGTTCACAAAATTTCTACGTAGTATATAGTGAAAAAATCAACAAAGGGCCATAACTCTGTTAAATTTGGTCGCAGCAAAGATTCCTTCCTTTACTACCATCTACACATTAAGGTTGTTCATCCCTGGAAGTTTAAGCAAAATCTGCCATCTGGTTTAAGAGGAGTTGCGTTCAAAAAATTTCTACAGAGTATATAGTGAAAAAATCAACAAAGGGCCATAATTCTGTTAAATTTGGTTGCAGCAAAAATTCCTTCCTTAACTACCATCTACACATTAAGGTTGTTCATCCCTGGAAGTTTAAGCAAAATCTGCCATCCGGTTTAAGAGGAGTTGCGTTCACAAAATTTCTACAGAGTATATATTGAAAAAATCAACAAAGGGCCATAATTCTGTTAAATTTGGTCGCAGCAAAAATTCCTTCCTTTACTACCATCTACACATTAAGGTTGTTCATCCCGGAAGTTTAAGCAATCTGCCATCTGGTTTAAGAGGAGTTGCGTTCACAAGATTTTGGGACGTACGGACAGACGGATGGAGGGACACTCGGACGGACAAGTGCAACGCTATATGCTCCCACTCTGTGGGGGCATAACAAGAGCCGGTTGTACCTGGTGATGCTCCTTGACTAGGATTTGGACACAGAAAAGTGTATCTTTTGTAGTTTCAGAGTTATGTCCCAGACAAAGTTCAAAGTGTGATAATTCCAAACTTAGGCAATGCAGAGTTACTGTTCTTTGCACTGCACTTCTACTCAATTAGATCTATTTACCGACTTGCGTGCGACACTTCGTCTCAATATGTTGATCATTTCAGTGAAATAGTTGTGAAATTTTTCAGGGAGCATAAAAATCTCAATATTTAAGCAATTCAATATCAAGCTTTACTTGATCTTTCATATATTAGTATATAACCTACCTTTTTTGACACATGTAGGAAAATTACTGTCCCAGGTGCCTAATCCACAGGTTAAAGTACTGTTCCCATCTAAATCAAACCCTGAATCACAACTAAAAGTGGCATTCTCCCCATATGTATAACCAGTTGCTACTACTGTACCGTTTGTGGGATCAGTTGCATTTGGACAAGCTGCAAATAATCACCAGAAAAATTTTGTGATACTGAGTATATAAACCATTATCATGTATGCTGTTTATTTCTTTGTCTGGTTTAAAATTTTCTACACAATTAGGTCATATTTTGGTGGCACGTCAACCTAACTGGCTTTCCTCGATAATGAATCGGTTGTTACCAATTTCTCAGCTAGTGAAGTAAAAGAGACCTAATCAATGTCATTTCAGAAGTACAAAGGTAATCTTAAAATTAGATTGAAATCGAAGTTCTTCACAAATAAAGGCTTTTTAGCTGTATGCAGTCATTAAGCATGTTTTGCTCTGGTGCATACAAGAGGTATATGGTATGCAAGCAAAAGGTGTCTCATAAGTCAGAAATGGTTGGCCCTTTCAGTATGGGCAACACTATAATAAACAAGAGCTTTACCTTTTAAAACATAAATTCTAACGTAATTTGCAATGCATTTTAAGTATTATTTTTTTCACACCTCAAAAATATATTTCATTAATGTTTAAACAAATTTCTTACTGTAAATCTGACAGACAATTTCCGTTCCATTCCAAACTCCACCTTGCACACAGGTACGAGTAGCCTCCCCTCCTGTCTGCTGGTAACCTGTGTTACACGAGTAGGTAGCTATCTCTCCATATGTAGAATCTTTATAACTAACTGACCCTCCTGATGGTGTTGTCAAATTTCCACAGTCTGGGGACAAATAAATATTTTTTAAACTTTAAAACTATATTTTCTATTGTTTTTTGTTTTCTTTTGGTAAAGTTAAAGTCAAACATTTCTGGAATCATACAGCAACTTTTTAGCTTTAGACTTGCAGGTAAGGTGTGACCCTCAAACATTTCACACCTATTTAGTATCAGAAAGAAAAGGGGCTTAACTCTTTAAAAAGGTAACTTGAGTGTTATGGGACCTGTGCCCTCCCATTATGTTACATAATTACAGAGAACAAGTGCGTAAAGTTTCAAACAATTCCCTTCTTAAGAATTTGAGATGCCAACTTGCATGTAAGAACACCAAAGTGTGACAGCATTGGCAATGCCAGGGTGAGAACAATAGCTCTCCCTATTCTTGGAATAGCCATCCTTAAACTAACTAGAACATTACACACCTTCAATAGTGCATACAACTTCGGTACCATTCCATGAACCATCAGCCTGACATACCCGCAACAGATCTCCTCCTGTATTCTCGTACCCTTCATTACAAACATATATTGTCTGTTCATTATATGTGGTTCCTGTCTGATTAACTGATCCATTTGCCGGATCATTTAATTTCCCACAATCTGTAAAAGAAAGCATATCTCTAAAGGTGATGGGGCTATCTGAACCTGTAAATCTGTCTTTGTAATGCAAACCATTGGTCAATTAATAAATCATTGGTTATTAAATAAATCATTAGTCAATAAATATAGGCAGGGCTGCAGATAACATGCGTTTTTGCGTTATTACCCAATTAAAATGTCTAAAAACCCAATAGAAATAATAACTAAGGGTAAGAAAAAGTAAATGAATTCTTATTTATGCAAACTACATTTGAACTGGTGCATAATGACGTAAATTATTACTTAACGTCTACATCAGGCAGATCATACTGTTTCAGACTGTTTTAACCTTTAAATTATATCAGCAGCTTGGAAATCTCCTAGGCCAATAAACCATAAAGCATACTAGTAAGTAGCTTAATTATAACCATACAAAACCTACAACAGTCTACAATGAAGGTCAGAAATTTTGGGTAAAATACATGCACTCGTGCTTTATAACCCAAATTGGTTTAAGGGTGTAGGGTAAAATATACAGAAATAACTCAAAGAAAATAGAAGAAACCCAATAGATCACAAAACAAGGGGTAATTACCCAATATACACAAAATGTTATCTGTAGCCCTGTATAGGCTCTGTGAGCAAAGTGTAAAAATGTGTTTTGTACAGAGTAAGGGGTCTCTTTGGTCAAGTTTATCCTACAAAAGTAAGAGGATCACCCAAAGTATAAACCTATAAAATATAAAAGATATTGGTCAATAAATAAAGACTGTACGGGCAAATGAGTCAAACTCTTTTTTAGCACAGGATATTAATGGCTCTGACCTTGACCAACTCCATGCAAAGGTATGTAACTTCCATATATGGAAGATATCAGTCAAAGAATGTAAGCTTATGTGCAACAGAAAAAATCTGTGTAGTCTGACCAGGCTTAATTTTTATAAAGCTGGGTAAATCTATTATACAAAACCAGCAGGTTAGGGTATTTAAAAGGATTACATAAAAGAATGACAGGTTTCTGCCACCAGGATCTTAGCTAAAAGCATTAGAGAGCAAGTGAGCAGAAGTTGGTGGGCAGAATTTGTTATGCATTTCACACAAAATTTCATCATTCAGCCATAATAATGTCACACATACAACATTATGACCAGATTTTTTTTTTTAAATACAAATTTTTTGGTAAATGAAGAAACCCTATAGATTTCATAACTTTGTAAAGAATACAATGCATCTGACTGGAACCAAAGATCATAACTATCAGATATGTTCAACTGACATACATGATTCAATTGCATGTAATATAGGGTTAAAGAATCTGCCTTCAAGTATCAAAGTTTGTTAGCTTGAATGCTTGAAATCAAAGACTTGTTACTGTATGACAAATTTTTAATTGGTTCACAATTTCAATGAGATATATGTTAATTGGACAGGGATGCCCAAATATTCCAATGTTTTGTCACTCTTCTGACTGGCACTATGACAGATGAACAAAAAGCTATATGCCCTTCTGCCCCTAAGGTGGGGGGGGGGGGCAGATTAAAAGACTTTTGAGTAAGCAAGGATGTACATATTGACCTGGCACTAAACCAGTACATATATGGTAGATATATACAAGTCATCTCAGCAGCCAGAGTTGAGGTAGTCTAGTCCTTACAACTCACCTTGGCAAGAAGTACCATTTCCTGAATAACCCTGGTTACAGACACAGGTAAAACTCCCAGCAGTGTTTGTACATGCTGCATTGGTATCACAGTTATGTGTCCCTGCTGTACATTCATTGATATCTATAATGAAGTAGACAAAAGATTTAATCGCATATTCGATTTGAAAATTCAAGTAAATTTCATTTAGCGATGAGACTTATAAATGAAACACTATTATTTTTCATATTTGAACTGCAACAGATTGTAGAAAAATAAATAGTTTAACAAAAAAATTATCATATGGCTGAAGTATAATATATATATTAAACCCATATTGCTTTTGTGACTCTCTAAAAATGGTTTTGTAGGGCCATGCCTAAATTTCACTACAACATCATTTTTTTTTTTACAAAAAAAGTGTAGAAATGTGCTAAATGTGAATGTTATACTATAGGCTCGCCAATGAAAAATGGTTCTTTTGCATTTTAAACAGTCTTTATTTTAGGTATGTGTTAATACTAAATTTATTGAACTCGTCCAATAAAATATTTCGGTATTTCTATATACCCCTCTTTTTTCTTAGAAATGGCTGGGGACAATAACAAGAGCTGTCGGTAGGACAGCAACGCTCGACTATTCTTAGTGCTTGATAGTAAAAAAAATGCTTGATACAGTTACCTCCTCCTGTTTACAGGTTGGGGTCATGATGGTGAACAAGTGTGCAAAGTTTCAAAGCCATATGTCAATGGACTTTGAAAATATTTGAACTATTACAAAAACTTTAACGTAAATTCTAAGTCGAAAAAGGGGCATAATTCTGTCAAAATGCTTGATAGAGTTACCTCCTCCTGTTTACAGGTTTTGGTCATGATGTTGAACAAGTGTGCAATGTTTCAAAGCCATATGTCAATGGACTTTGAAAATATTTGAACTATTACAAAAAGTTTAACGTAAATTCTAAGTCGAAAAAGGGGCATAATTCTGTCAAAATGCTTGATAGAGTTACCTCCTCCTGTTTACAGGTTGGGGTCATGATGTTGAACAAGTGTGCAAAGTTTCAAAGCCATATGTCCATGGACTTTGAAAATATTTGAACTATTACAAAAAGTTTAACGTAAATTCTAAGTCGAAAAAGGGGCATAATTCTGTCAAAATGCTTGATAGAGTTACCTCCTCCTGTCTACAGGTTGGGGTCATGATGGTAAACAAGTGTGCAAAGTTTCAAAGCCATATGTCAATGGACTTTGAAAATATTTGAACTATTACAAAAACTTTAACGTAAATTCTAAGTCGAAAAAGGGGCATAATTCTGTCAAAATGCTTGATAGAGTTACCTCCTCCTGTCTTCAGGTTGGGGTCATGATGGTGAACAAGTGTGCAAAGTTTCAAAGCCATATGTCAATGGACTTTGAAAATATTTGAACTATTACAAAAACTTTAACGTAAATTCTAAGTCGAAAAAGGGGCATAATTCTGTCAAAATGCTTGATAGAGTTACCTCCTCCTGTCTACAGGTTGGGGTCATGATGGTGAACAAGTGTGCAAAGTTTCAAAGCCATATGTCTATGGACTTTGAAAATATTTGATCTATTACAAAAACTTTAACATAAGTGGTTACGCTGACGCTGACGCCGACGCCGACGCTCGGGTGACTGCAATAGCTCTACTTATTCTTATCGAATAGTCGCGCTAAAAACATGTTAAGAATGTACCTGTACATGTTGTACCATCACCTTTATAGCCTGTATTACAGGCACAGGTAAAACTTCCAGCTGTGTTTGTACATGCTGCATTTGTGTCACAGTTATCTGTCCCTGCTGTACATTCATCAATATCTGAAATGAGGCAAACGAAAAACATATGACTTGTACACATTATATTTGAACATCTGAGTAATTTTCATTTAGCAAAGCCTTTTAAGTTACAAGCAATTACATTGGAAACTCTTGAAATCCAAACAGGCCATAATCCTAATAATTTCCTAAATTTCGCTACTGTAAAACCAGACATTTTCAGGAAGGATTAAATTTTTGATAGTTTTGTAAATTGAATATTTTTTCAAAAACAAATATTCATGAAGTATCATATAAATTTTATACCAAAACTGAGAGTAGTAATTTGCTAATATTTAACCTTGCCAATTGGTCCAAATGTTGATTTAGCAAAAAAAAATGCTGATTCCCAAAATTTTGGCCTCATGAAAATATCAGATATTACAGTAAATGAAAGCAAGTTAAAGTGATAACATGCATCTTCCTACAAATTACAGTCAGCAGCCTTTTCATATATTTTTCAACAATATGATATTGAAATCCCTCAAATACATAGAAGACAGTTCAAAATTACTACAGTTGTAAGTCTGCTGTTTTAAATTTATTAAGTTAAACGTTGAACAACACCTCATTATTAATATGCCTAGAACGCAATAGTTTGAATTTTTCATCAAATCTATGTTGTCTAATCTATAGTAGTCTTTTCCTCCATTCAAGTTTCATAACAGTTCCATGTATCTTTTCAAGCTTACTCTTCAGATTCAAAATGTAATTTCAAATTTTCTAGAATCTTACCTGTACATGATGTACCATCCCCATTATAGCCTGTATTACAGGCACAGGTGAAACTTCCAACAGTGTTTGTACATGCTGCATTTGTGTCACAGTTATCTGTCCCTGCTGTACATTCATTTATATCTAAAAATGGAAGAATATGAAACTGATTCCATTTTGTTTGTTTGCTTGGTTGGTTTGGTTTTATGGCATATCAACATTACTTAGGTCATATGGCGCCAAAACAGGCAAAATGATTTTGGCAAACTTGGTTGTTACAAACTTAAAGCAACACCAGGGAAGCAACACCAGGGGTCAATACCACCTCACCTGCTGGAGCTTAGAGATGCATAGACTTAAGTATTTCAAACCCATTTAGGCACATGTTACAATAACACAGGTATAAATCATTGCTGCAATTCTGATGCCACAACCCTTAAAGAGCAATCCCTCAGACACAAGGGGAAATTTCATTTCGTATTCTGTTCTTAGCAAATCTATTTATTTTGAAATTCTGCAAGAAGCACTTGATGGGACCAATGTTTTCCCTACTTCTGATTATATAGGTGCTTATTCAATTTATATTAGACATGAATAGTGGTTAAATATTCTATACTTTCGTCTGCTTATTTTTTATGTATTACTTATGTATTTCACTCCAACTAAAAAATACTCTTCTCTCATGGATGTTTTGGCAATTATAACCTTTTACTAGGCTACCATAATATATTGGGCAGATTAACATTCAAAATGGCCACCAAAATCATGTACATCATCTTTGCTTATATCATTCAACAGAGGTAGTGCTACCGGATGTAAGAAATCTTGTACTCATAAACATAATCAATAAGACAAAGCCTGTCATTTCTTAACTATCTTTTTTGTTTACATTGCTGTCAAGGAATGCCTCTTAGCATAATATCAATGAAATTATAACAAGAATGTTTTGTAACTCTTACCTGTACATGAAGTACCATCCCCATTATAGCCTGTATTACAAGCACAGGTAAAATTTCCAGCTGTGTTTGTACATGCTGCATTGGTATCACAGTTATCTGTCCCTGCTGTACATTCATCAATATCTAAAATAACAATAGTGACAATTGAGGTAGAGTAAAAGATCCTTAAATACAATTTGCATTTAGAGGATTTTTTTGTTGTAAAATTTTAAATTCATATACCAACACTTATATAATGGTTATATGGCAACTTTCCAAGCTTCATTGATAGAGTACAACTTTAGGTGCCCCTGAGACTATGCATTATTTCAGGCACAATATGCACAAGAGTAGTATCACTGATGTCGACATTCAGGAAGCTTGAGGTTTTACATTCAGTCTAAAATTCAGAATAACTTAAAATCACAATTTTTGAGGGAAAGAAAACCCTTATAATTATGTTTCAACTGCACAATCTTATTCTTGCATTCTCTTTTACGGTTTGCTTATAATCCTGAAAAACTTTATAAATTTAGGAAAATTCTGAAGTATAAATTTTGATCGTGATTATGATTTCTAGGGCCAAAATTAATGGTAAACAGAAGCATATATTTAACATAACTCTATTTTTTAGTTTATACAGAATCCATTGAAGTTTTGTTTTGTGTAGGAATTAAGCTGTAAGCTTTAACTTATAAACCAATCAGTACCCCAAAATAAGTGTAAAGGAAAAGAAAGGCTTGCCCCTGTTGGGGATTTTAGCGCAAATAGCCAGCAATCCTTCAATTACTGGTCCAATGAGTTAACTTCACACTGATACTTGCTGTCAAACTCCTCACACTGATTTCCTCCCTTGGCAGAATTGTTATCACTGCCTTCACAGACATCACATGATGATGAAAGTCACATGACGTAACGTCGAAATTCAAATGTAAATATCGACCATAACATAGAAAATCAATGTCATTTTTCTCTTTCTGTTTTATTTTTAACTTTTTGTACCTATGTCCGTTATATTTTATCAAAAAAATTATCAAAAGTATACAAAATAATGAAAAATAAATTAAAATGCTAAAAAATGTAAATATCCAAATATTGATATTTCAATGTTTGTGATGGCAGAGATTTCTGTACTGATAAGGGGAGATCTTTGCGTAGGAGATTGACTTGCTGAGCACACAAGAAGTATGACAGATATCGCACATTTACCAGCTTTATGTAATTTATGATCAAACAAGATATGTTTGTAAAACATGTATGCCCCCTATCAGCAGCCAATTAGTCATGTGATAAGGTTATTATGCATGACTTCTGACCCAGTGATCAAACAATTAATAAGGGTTATCAAGTATCTACTGGTCATGACCTTGACCTTTGACCCCTTGACCCAAAACTCAATAGGGGTCACCTGGTGGTCACGACCAATCATCATACAAAGTTTGAAGTTCCTAGGCCCAAGCGTTTTTAGTTAATTGATCAACCTACAAGGTCAATGTGACCTTGACCTTTGACCCCTTGACCCCAAAATCAATAGGGGTCATCTGCTGGTCATGACCAATCACCATGCCAAGTTTGAAGTTCCTAGGCCTAAGGGTTCTTTAATTATTGATCCGAAACCATTTTAACATACAAGGTCAATGTGACCTTGACCTTTGGCCCCAAAATCAATAGGGGTCATCTGCTGGTCATGACCAATCACCATGCCAAGTTTGAAGTTCCTAGGCTGAAGCGTTCTTTAGTTATTGATCAGAAACCGTTTTTACTTACAAGGTCAATGTGACCATGACCTTTGGCCCCTTGATCCCAAAATCAATAGGGGTAATTTGCTGGTCATGACAAATCACCATACAAAGTTTAAAGTTCCAAGGCCTAAGCGTTCTTAAGTTAATGATCAGAAACCGTTTTTACTTACAAGGTCAATGTGACCTTGACCTTTGACCCCTTGACCCCAAAATCAATAGGGGTCATCTACTGATCATGACCAATCACCATACCAAGTTTGAAGTTCCTAGGCCTTAATGGTCTTAAGTTATTGATCGGAAACCGTTTTTGCTTACAAGGTCAATGTGACCTTGACCTTTGACCCCTTGACCCCAAAATCAATAGGGGTCATCTACTGATCATGACCAATCACCATACCAAGTTTGAAGTTCCTAGGCCTTAATGTTCTTTAGTTATTGATCGGAAACCGTTTTTGCTTATAAGGTCAATGTGACCTTGACCTTTGACCCCTTGACCCCAAAATCAATAGGGGTCATCTACTGGTCATGACCAATCACCATACCAAGTTTGAAGTTCCTAGGCCTAAGGGTTCTTTAGTTATCACTCGGAAACCATTTGGTCTACGGACCGAGGGACCGACAAGTGCAAAGCAATATACCCCCTTTTCTTCGAAATGGGGGCATAATAATTGAAGAAGAATAAAGTCCTTTATCTTAATTTCTTTTAATGCATGATGGCGGTCAGATGAAATTATAAAATTGTAATAACATAATGGCTTATCTCTGTAAGTTTTCCTTACCTGTACATGATGTACCATCACCATTATAGCCTGTATAACAAGCACAGGTGAAATTGCCAACAGTGTTTGTACATGCTGCATTGGTATCACAATTATGTGTCCCTGCTGTACATTCATTTATATCTAAATAGAAAAAGGTCAGAAAACTTTAAATCAAAGAAAAGTGTTAGTTAAAACATGATGTAACTATGCCAACCATCTATTCAAAACATCTTTGAAGAAGAAAAATTAATACCAGTGAGAAATCAATGATTTACATTAAGTTAGTTTTTTCTGGTTTTCACAATGCTTTTAACACATGTTTTTGGTCATAACTTTGCAGTCAAAATCCACCCACAGGTTTTTATGGATAACTAACGAGTAATTATACGAATTTCTCCACAAGTAACCCACTTATTAATTTATCGCAACTCATGTATCAGGTGTGAGAGACAAATGACCATTAAACTTAATGACCAAGATCAAATGGCTCTAAGAAATCAAACCACCAACCAGTGTTTACCTAATCTAGAGCTCTCCCTATTGATTTAATCAGGTGTACATCAAAAACCTTACAAAACATATAAGTTGAACAATATAGCAATATACATTGTATACATGTACAAAAGAGGGTGCACATATACAAAAGGGGTCCGATGTACACGAGAGGGTGCAAGTTTAGGATAAAACATGTTGAAAATTTTTTAATTGCAATGCAAATACAACCACATATTTGAACAAAGGAGGAATGATAGGAGACTGTAGAAAAAAACTGTAATTTATACACTGTATATAGACCAACTAAATCCAATGCGTAGGACAAATGGTTTTATATTTCTAAACTAGGGATGGCACGGTTAACAAAATTGATATTCGATTACTCGGAAAAAAATGCATATTAATTTCTATTTTATTTGCTATTTAGACAGTTTGGTGTATCCAATTAGTTAAAAAATTCGAAGAAGTGCATATACCTTCATAAATACCTGTTAAATGCAATCACAACTTCCTTGCACAGGTGCGAAAATGATACCATAAATTTAATGAGGCGATCAACAGTTTGACACGCGCACATGTGTTGCTTACGTCGTCCGGCCTCTTATGATATTTAGTAACCTTTAATTGTGTAACACAATGCAGTTTGTACCCGAATCTTCTTTTAAGGTAACATTTTTGAAAACAACAAAGGGCCGTATTGCTATAACGATATAATAATTAAGGTCACAAGTATTTAGACCCGGTTATATTTGATGTTTCAACTGCTAAATATGTTTTAAACTTGATATTGCATTAATTAAAATGTTCTAAAGTATATGTCGTTGATTTAATTTTAATTAATTTGTCTCCTTTGCAGTCCTATCTATAGTTACGAATTCTATGAACGTAAATAGAAAAGGAAAGTAGCATGCGGACGGTGTTGATATTGTGTGATAAACTTTGAAGATCATTGGAAATCATCCGAGTAACCGATTACTCTATCGGAAAAATGACCGTGTACTCGAGTCTTAATTTTGGTATTCGTTGCCATCTCTATTCTAAACCAAACAAAGTTGGAAACAAAGGTCAGGCAGACAAACAAGAATTTAAAATTAAACATCAAATTTCCTTTACAAGTTTTCACTCCTTACCTGTACATGTTGTACCATCACCATTATAGCCTGTATTACAAGCACAGGTAAAATTTCCAGCAGTGTTTGTACATGCTGCATTTGTGTCGCAGTTATCTGTCCCTGCTGTACATTCATCGATATCTACAAAATGTAAAGATGGTAAAGTAAGAATGCCAATTTTTTCACAAAATAAACCCGTCTCACAATATTGCTTTTCCATTAAATTCCTAAAACTAAATGATAAATACTGGCATTTTGCAATGTTTTCATCTGACCTTGGACCTCTGCATGTGACCTTGACCTTGGTGAAATGGACTTGTATTTTACTCATAACATTGTGCTTCAGTCAAAATGTTAAATACTTCTTCCAAATTATAAGACAATCCCTAAATGCATGTTTAAAGTCTCCCTATGGTCAATGTTTTCTTCTCATTTCTATTTGACCTTGACCTTTGACAGAGACCGGATTCATGTGTGCAACAATACATCTCATGGTGGTGAAAATTGCTGTGTTGTAATATACAAAGATTCCTCCATGTATGTAGAAGATATAGTCTGAAGATAACCTTTACATTTAATCTTGACCTTGAGCTTTCATATATTGACCTGGATCATGCTGATAATACTTAGCCTAATGTTTGTAAACATTTTGTATATAAAGATCCTTCAATTCAAGACTACTAAATTGTCAATACACACACTTTCATATTTTTATCAAACCTCTTGGTAAACATTTGTGATGTTACATTATTTATCTACTTTCTTATGATCACAGTGTGACCTTTACCTTTGACCTAGAGACCTACTTTACACATCCAACATTATGTCTTACAATGGAAGCAATATTTAAATCCCCTCATGAATGTAGATATGCTCTGGACAAATTCTTGACCTTTTTCATCTCTGGTGACCTTTAACTTGTATAATTGACCTATATTATGCTGACATGACTTTTGATTGTGAACATTTGTGATGTAATTTCTCAAATCAAGCCTACAAAATTGTCCATATACATATTTTCATATTACCTGACCTTTGACTTCTGGTGTCACTTGTTCTTCAAATTAGGGAAATATCAAGAAATCCCTATATAAAAATGTATGAAAGACAGGATAAATATTCTGTTTTTTTAAACCAACAGAATACAACAAGAGCTGTTGGTAGGACAGCAACGCTCGACTATTCTTAGTGCTTCATAGTAAAAAAAAAAATGCTTGACACAATTACCTCCTCCTGTTTACAGGTTGGGGTAATGATGGTGAACAAGTGTGCAAAGTTTGAAAGCCATTATTATGTCAATGGACTTTGAAAATATTTGAACTATTACAAAAACTTTAAACGTAAATTCTATGTCGAAAAAGGGGCATAATTCTGTCAAAATGCTTGATACAGTTACCTCCTCCTGTCTACAGGTTGGGGTAATGATGGTGAACAAGTGTGCAAAGTTTCAAAGCCATATGTCAATGGACTTTGAAAATATTTGAACTATTACAAAAACTTTAACATAAGTGGTTACGCTGACGCCTACGCTCGGGTGACTACAATAGCTCTACTTATTCTTATCGAATAGTCGAGCTGAAAACAGAAAATGTTTCTTATGACAATAATAATTTCAGCAAACTGTTTTTTAGTTAATAAAAGCAAATAGTATGTATATTAACACCAAACAATGATCTTTAAACTTTACTCCTTATTTTGGTGTTTTACAAATGAAACAATATGGTATAAATTTTTACTCCTCACCTGTACATGATGTACCATCCCCATTATAGCCTGTATTACAGGCACAGGTGAAAGTTCCAACAGTGTTTGTACATGCTGCATTTGTGGCACAGTAATCTGTCCCTGCTGTACATTCATCAGTATCTAAAAAATACAAGAAATCATATAATATAAATCTTTAGAGCAGGATGGTGGCTTTGGCAATATCGTTACAGTCAAACGTGTATTAAGCGACCGCGCAAGGGAAACAACCAAAACGGTCGCTTAAAGAAACAGTCTCTTAACCCTTTCCCCCATGAGCATATTGTGAAAAATGGCCGTTTTCACTGAAAAGCCTCCTGTTACAAGTTCAAACTGCTATGAAACTATGAAAAATAATTCAATACTAATCAAACTTGGCACAAATGATGACTGGACCATTGCCTTAGTAACGACATGCTCAGTCTTAAATTTCCTGTTACCATGGCAACGAGGGAACATCTCAAAATTGCCAAAAATCACTATTTTGCCTCGATTTTTTTCATCAAAATTTATTTCAAAGTGCTGCAACTTCTCAAGGGATTGAGATAGAGTCAAAGGCTTTGACTTATCATAATGTAAGCGTTGGTTACACGTTACATTATGATAGACCTGGGGTCATTTTTAGCCTCTCACAAGTCCAAAATTTTCTTGGCGATGAGGGGGACTCCGCCCCCCTTCAAACCCCCCTAACAGAAGGGGGCACATCCCCCTTCTGGCAACCCCCTGATGTATCTTTTGGATGGGGGGCGGCGTCGAAAAAGTGCTAAATTTTTTTAGCAACATTTCTCAAACGAAAACATGTGTTTAGGGCCCAAATAGGACATTTTTTTACTATTTGAGGCCTAAAAGGGGGGGGGGTCGAAAGTGCGTTGTTTCGCTTATATATGAGGTAAAGGGTTAAGACAAAGCATGATATAAAAGTGAAAAATTATAAATGACATCTTTCTTTTGCAGTGGGAATGTTTTACAACTGCGTTTATATAAATGTTGAATAATTAGTACGCTCTGATAATCTAAATGGATGCTTATGTAAAATATAACTTTCAGATATTTAAACAGTTTTGATCCATTACGTACATGTTTGACAATTTTCCAGAATTTTTTAATTTCTCCATTGTTTTTCCTTGTCTCCAACATAAAAAAACCCTATTAGTGAAGATGTTTTCTGTTGTGCATTTCCTCATTTGAAATAAACAAACTACATCTAATTGTTACGATTAATTTAATTGCTGATCATGTTCAAGGTCAATTCAATGCAGTCTAAATGTCTTCAAGCAAAGTGTATACACCATGTCAGTAGGGGCGGATCGTTACATTGTTTATTCAATATTATTGGGTAATTCACGTCACGCGTATACTTAACTCTATTTGCATACACTAAAACGGTTTGGGAAATAGAGTTTTTCACACATTTATTTGTTGTGTTTTGATTGTTGCCACTTGTGACATTATGAGGTGGCGTTCCCTTAAAACATAATTACTTGACAGGTAAAAGTGGTCGTTTAAAGAAAAGATTTATCTGAATTAGCTGACCAATTACAGTACAGATATCGAGGAATATGCAAAATCCTCGGAGGATCGAGGAAAACACTCGCAACTCGCGAGAGTATTTGTCCATAAAAACGAGTGACTCCGCGTGAGAAACGTGTGATGAGAGTGACTCCGAGACGAAAATAAAAGCGCGTGACTCCGAGAGAGAATTAACGCGTAACTCCGTGTCGGTGTCTAGCTAGTGTAAATAAATGCAAGTGCAATTTAATTTTTTTTCGAAAATAATAAAGATGATTTTTACCGTTGTTGTTTTCAATTTACCCTGAAACAGTTGAAAGGTACATTTGATTAGAAAAAATCACTACCGCAAGCGTCATCAGTTCTCAAGTTTATTTTTATCCCGATTAATTAGGTCAGTAGCAATAACCACAGGAACCCGAAATTTATTCAAAAACAAAAAACGATTAAAAAAATCCATATAATAACGGCCCAGCTTTTTTTATACTTCTTTAAGAATTGAATTAATTATATAAACTTCATTAATCTTAAATGTCTGTCTTGTCCAATTAAATCACGGCGACAGTTCCTCGAGAGAAAAACCTACAACTTCCTTTTGACGAAAATAATCTATGTAGTTATAATTTATGAAATTTCTATATTTTTTGTATGTTTATTAATATTTATACATCATCGAATTTTTGTTTAGATGTAAATGTTTCTAAATGCATCAAATACCGATAACGTGCCGTTCTAATTTATTTCAGGTGCCACATATTGTATTGTGTTTTTTTTTTTTTTCAATGTGGAAAATGAGTTTCGATCTTCATAATATTTTAATCATTGATAACATGTGCACATAAAAAAATTGACTTTCCCAACTTTTATATTGGTTTGTATAGTTTTAAAAATTGTCATGATGCATGTACGTTCCTTCATACATCCATTGTTTACATGTATTTTAGTTACGTGTCAACCTGTCACGTCCGCCGTTTTTAACATTAATTTTAATTAGAAGACACTTGATTTATATATAATTTTTGAGAATTAACATTAACCTAATCGTTTCTAAATAAAGCTGCATGTTAGTAATATATTGTTGTAATTTTATTCCAAGAATAGCTCCGAAAATCTGTCGATCTCATTCTGTTATCAAAGTCATATGTAGATGTATGTTGATATTGGAATCAAAAGTAAATTGTCTTGTGATGATCATTAATAAATTAAGATTTTTGTTGTTTTTTTATTTCAGGCATTATGGAGGAATTCAAGTTATAGAGGAGTTAACAAGTTGACAGAGGCCGTTCAACTTACCTAGTGCACTGCTCCCGTAATTCATTCACCTGTAATCAGCTTTACAAAGATTGACAAAAAATAAAAACAGCAAAGAATAAAATGATCATTTTATTTGCTTGTTTTCTTTTTCTTTTTGCTTTATTTGTTTATGGTGTGTTTATGGTGTGTACATCATCTATATCATGTCATTTTATAAAATTTAAAAAAAAAACAACAAAAAACAAAACAGTTTTGACAAAGATTATTCTACTTCCGATTTCACGTACATGTACTGTTCATAGACGATAAAACAATATTTTATTATAGCATATGAACATATTTGACCGTCACAGAAAGCGGGCATGCATTGTACATGTACGTATGTGGATTTAAAAAGACCGGGATGCCTTTAAAAATCACTGCCAATCTCAATTTTCTTGTTGCTGTTTTATAATTCATGGTTTTATGTTTGAGACGACGCAGTGCCTGTTGTTTTCCCCCTGCAAACATCGGTAGAATTTCATAAATGAATTCCTTAATGATGTCCTTTCTTGTGCTGCCAACATCGGTAGAATTGCTTAGCAGATCGAACTTCTTAACTCTGTTCTGAAAGCAATAGTAAAATAAATTAATACATTAATATTAAAAGCAGGACTGTACATGCCGACATAGGGTGTCGCTGTTTTGGCTAGTGCATTGTATGGAATGATGTATTACATCTCGTATTTCACGGATTTTTTATCAACCAACAATTAAAAGGAGACGTACATGTACTTCACATGGAAATCAGTTTGGTATCATTTATGTAACTGGTACCAATTTATCTAAAAGCCTGACTTAAAAGTATAAAATTACCTTTTTCAGAAGTTTACTTTCCAAGGCAGATGCATTTCACTGAAGAATAATTTGTAAACTGTCTTAAAGAAAATGTTGTTTTTTTATTCAGTTCTGGTACAAAGTATAATTTCCCTTACGATAGTATGTCAATGGAATGAATCGACCTAAGCACGTGGTTGTTTTGCCATGTATTTCCTTTTTTTTCTTCTTCTTTTTTTGCTTACATAATAATTATAAATTTGTATAAACAATGCAAAAAAGAAGCTCATCTATATTTTCTTATTTTAGAATACTAAATTAAATAGGTTTTTGACACTGCGCGTTACGGGAATTGCGGGAAATCATCGATTATTCTTTCCTTAAATTAATTAATGAATCAAGTGTGTCTACTTTCGTTTTCACTTGTGATACTTTACATCAACGAAGGACATTATTGTTATTTTGAATAAATAATACATGCGTTGAAGGATTTTATTTTAGAGGTAGAGCATTATATTAATTAATAAATAAATAAAGCATACGTGTACCAAATCAGTCTTATTTTCTCGGAGTCACTCTTTTTGACTCTGAGATTCACGGAGTCCCGCGGACAAAATTGTCACTCGTTTTTGTCTCGGAGTCACTCTTTTTCACCCGAGAAATTTATAATCCACACGGAGTCACGCTTTTTGAGATTACTCGATACTCGCAGGAATTTGCATATTCCTCGATATCTGTACTGTAGCGGTCGCTGGTCGCGTTGAGCAAAAGTCGCTTAATACATTAAAGATATATAGATAAAATGATCGGGGGAATTTAAAGTGGTTGTTTAAGACAAAAGTCGCTTAATACACGTGGGCAAGTTAGACTGTACCTCCAAAAAGGTAATTTTGATATCTTTATTACAAAATTAAGGGTAATCTCCAGGTCATAATTTATTTATCTCTCTAACAAATCTGAGGATTGAAAGCCATAGATACAGATCCAATTTTGGAATACCAAAGTATTCTGTAAAAAAAAATTTACAGTAACACTGACCAAAAACTTTGACCCACTGACCTCAATATAAAAAGGGGTCATTTATGCTCATGATCAATCAACTTTCTCACAAAATCAGTAAACTACAGGCAAAAGCATTCTTCATTAATATTGTTTTGACAAAATTTTTAAGGTCACACATACTAACCTTTGACCAAATGACTAAAATCAATATAAGTCGTCTCAAGTTCTTACCCAACCTCTCAAATAAATATAAGGTTTTTTGGCCCAATTGTTATTCTCTTTTTGATTGGACATGCTTGTAGTAACCTGGAACTTTGGACTTACTGACCACGAAATCTAGTCATCTACTAGTCATAATCAACAAAAGTATTCTCTAGTTTTTTTGTAGGATAAGGTCTGGTCTACAGACAAATCAACAGACAGACCAACAGACAACATGCACAGCAATACTAAACTTTAACTTCTTTGAAGAGGGAAGAAAAATACTAAAGGGCCTTACTCAAGATTAAGTCATCTTTGTTCCACTAGCTCAGAATCAACCTTGTTAAGTTTTATCAAAATCCTGATATATATTATAATTTACTTAACCCATTACTTCATATACACGCCTTTTAACGCCTTTTTCACCCCCCCCCCCCCTTTTTGTTGTCTCAAATGATGAAAAAATGCCTTATCCAGGCCCTAAACACTTGTTTTTGTTTGAGAAATGTTGTTAAAAAAATTGACCTCTTTTTCGGCGCGGCCCCCCAACCAAAAGATACATCAGGGGGTTGCCAGAAGGGGGATGTGCCCCCTTCTGTTTTGGGGGGTTCGAAGGGGGGCGGAGTCCCCCTCATCGCCAAGAAAATTTTGGACTTGTGAGAGGCTGTAAATGACCCCAGATTGATCATAAGGTAACGTGTAACCAACGCTGAAAAGCATTTGACTCTATCTCAATCCATTGAGAAGTTGCAGCACTTTGAAATCAATTTTGATGGAAAAAATCAACGCAAAATAGTGATTTTTGGCAATTTTGAGATGTCCCCTCGTTGCCATGGTAACAGAAAATTTAAGTCTGAGCATGTTGTTGCAAGGACAATGGTCCAGTCAACATTTGTGCCAAGTTTGATTAGTGTTGAAGCAGTTTTTATAGTATTATAGCAATTTGAACTTGTAACTGGAGACTTTTCAATGAAAACAGCCATTTTTCACAAAATGCTCATGAAGCAATGGGTTAATGAAAAAAATAAAAAAATCTACAAAACAACAATTTTTCTTCAAATTTATATGACAGGCCATGTTTAAACATGAAAAAACGCGATTTAGGGTAATTTCAAGTATTTTCATCATTTTCAGTTAACCCATTACTTCATATACACGCCTTTTAACGCCTTTTTCACCCCCCCCCCCTTTTTGTTGTCTCAAATGATGAAAAAATGCCTTATCCAGGCCCTAAACACTTGTTTTTGTTTGAGAAATGTTGTTAAAAAAATTGACCTCTTTTTCGGCGCGGCCCCCCAACCAAAAGATACATCAGGGGGTTGCCAGAAGGGGGATGTGCCCCCTTCTGTTTTGGGGGGTTTGAAGGGGGCGGAGTCCCCCTCATCGCCAAGAAAATTTTGGACTTGTGAGAGGCTGTAAATGACTCCAGATTGATCATAAGGTAACGTGTAACCAACGCTGAAAAGCATTTGACTCTATCTCAATCCATTGATAAGTTGCAGCACTTTGAAATCAATTTTGATGGAAAAAATCAACGCAAAATAGTGATTTTTGGCAATTTTGAGATGTCCCCTCGTTGCCATGGTAACAGAAAATTTAAGTCTGAGCATGTTGTTGCAAGGACAATGGTCCAGTCAACATTTGTGCCAAGTTTGATTAGTGTTGAAGCAGTTTTTATAGTATTATAGCAATTTGAACTTGTAACGGGAGACTTTTCAATGAAAACAGCCATTTTTCACAAAATGCTCATGAAGCAATGGGTTAATGAAAAAAATAAAAAAATCTACAAAACAACAATTTTTCTTCAAATTTATATGACAGGCCATGTTTAAACATGAAAAAACGCGATTTAGGGTAATTTCAAGTATTTTCATCATTTTCAGTTAACCCATTACTTCATATACACGCCTTTTAACGCCTTTTTCCCCCCCCCCCCCTTTTTGTTGTCTCAAATGATGAAAAAATGCCTTATCCAGGCCCTAAACACTTGTTTTTGTTTGAGAAATGTTGTTAAAAAAATTGACCTCTTTTTCGGCGCGGCCCCCCAACCAAAAGATACATCAGGGGGTTGCCAGAAGGGGGATGTGCCCCCTTCTGTTTTGGGGGGTTTGAAGGGGGGCGGAGTCCCCCTCATCGCCAAGAAAATTTTGGACTTGTGAGAGGCTGTAAATGACCCCAGATTGATCATAAGGTAACGTGTAACCAACGCTGAAAAGCATTTGACTCTATCTCAATCCATTGATAAGTTGCAGCACTTGGAAATCAATTTTGATGGAAAAAATCAACGCAAAATAGTGATTTTTGGCAATTTTGAGATGTCCCCTCGTTGCCATGGTAACAGAAAATTTAAGTCTGAGCATGTTGTTGCAAGGACAATGGTTCAGTCAACATTTGTGCCAAGTTTGATTAGTGTTGAAGCAGTTTTTATAGTATTATAGCAATTTGAACTTGTAACGGGAGACTTTTCAATGAAAACAGCCATTTTTCACAAAATGCTCATGAAGCAATGGGTTAATGAAAAAAATAAAAAAATCTACAAAACAACAATTTTTCTTCAAATTTATATGACAGGCCATGTTTAAACATGAAAAAACGCGATTTAGGGTAATTTCAAGTATTTTCATCATTTTCAGTTAACCCATTACTTCATATACACGCCTTTTAACGCCTTTTTCACCCCCCCCCCTTTTTGTTGTCTCAAATGATGAAAAAATGCCTTATCCAGGCCCTAAACACTTGTTTTTGTTTGAGAAATGTTGTTAAAAAAAATTGACCTCTTTTTCGGCGCGGCCCCCCAACCAAAAGATACATCAGGGGGTTGCCAGAAGGGGGATGTGCCCCCTTCTGTTTTGGGGGGTTTGAAGGGGGGCGGAGTCCCCCTCATCGCCAAGAAAATTTTGGACTTGTGAGAGGCTGTAAATGACCCCAGATTGATCATAAGGTAACGTGTAACCAACGCTGAAAAGCATTTGACTCTATCTCAATCCATTGATAAGTTGCAGCACTTGGAAATCAATTTTGATGGAAAAAATCAACGCAAAATAGTGATTTTTGGCAATTTTGAGATGTCCCCTCGTTGCCATGGTAACAGAAAATTTAAGTCTGAGCATGTTGTTGCAAGGACAATGGTTCAGTCAACATTTGTGCCAAGTTTGATTAGTGTTGAAGCAGTTTTTATAGTATTATAGCAATTTGAACTTGTAACGGGAGACTTTTCAATGAAAACAGCCATTTTTCACAAAATGCTCATGAAGCAATGGGTTAAGGACAAATTGGTTTTTATTTTGCTGAAGAGAACATATACAAAAGGAGACGGTTGATTTAGTGGTGAACTTGTTAGCCTCTCAACCCAGGGATCCTGAGTTTTAACCCTATAACTACTACTACTGGCTGTAGATGCATATCCTCATATGAAACCATAACTTGTTCATTCCAAGAAACAATCTCAGGTGTGGTTTAAACTAGAAATGTGTCCATAGGATAGGTATGCCCCCACACGCCACTGTTCTGTCAATCTTATGACTATAGGTCAAATATTTTTTTGACTACGGACTACTAAAATAAATAATGTTTAAATTAACATATAAAAACACATTAGGGGAAAAAGAGTATAAAGCAAAATAATCAAAAACATGTATCATTTCAGTTTTAACTCCTCACCTGTACATGTTGTACCATCACCATCATACCCTGTATTACAAGCACAGGTAAAACTTCCAGCTGTGTTTGTACATGCTGCATTGATATCACAATTACCTGTCCCTGCTGTACATTCATCTACATCTAAAATAAAGAAATAGCAATAATATTCATCTTAAATTAAACAGAAGCAATGAAAGTAATGAGTTGTCTTATGCCACACATTTATAGTTCCTTATGGCAGAGAAATCTATATATATTTGAACAAGTATACCAAGTTTAAAGCGCTGGAGTTTTTGAGAACAGATTACCTATTACAAATACCAGTGACCTTTGACCTAAAAATGGGTGTGACAAGTTGAAATTATCAAGGTGCATCATTATTTAAGGTTTCAACATCATAGTCTTGTTAGTAAAAATGGATGACAAAAGCAGCTGCCAACAGGTAAAAATTACTTTTTTTTCGGAAAGCAGAGCTAAAAATTGGGCTTACTTGTCTTATAAAATCTTTTGACACTTATTTACTTTCGGGAATCATGTTTAAATACAAAATGAAATCATTGTAAACCTATGCTAATGACACACATAGTTGTCAACAAGATGAGATCCACACTCTAATGGATTTTAATCCTACCTGTACATGATGTACCATCCCCATTATAGCCAGTATTACAAGCACAGGTAAAAGTTCCAATAGTGTTTGTACATGCTGCATTTGTGTCACAGTTATCTGTCCCTGCTGTACATTCATCTTTATCTAAAAGGTAACAAGACGAAATTAATACACAGATTCTATATGGCAACAAGTGCCATTATAACGGAAAGATTAAACGAGACTTACCTTCGTAGAGGGGAAGTTGAAGTTTGATCAATATTTTATCAACCACAAGCCTCTTTTGTAACAATTCCGTCACAAGAATGTTCCAAACAGTGCCATTTCTCAAGGGCAAATTTGGAGTCTCAGTTTTCGACATTTATATGCAAAACTTGCTCCAGCATATTCGATCTTCTTATATAACAAATTTGGAGTACACATTTACATGCAAAATTCCATATTATATGACAAACATAGTTTTTGACATTTCTATGCAAAACTTGCTCCAGCATTATTCCCTACTATATAGATAACTATTTCTGTGCGAAAATATAATTTCTACAGTACGCCCAAAACAGCAAAATGAAAATGTTGCAGGCTTTGTTTGACTGAGCCTATTCAAAGATGATTCTGGAAAATGCAAGTTCACTTTTCACATCCAAAGCATCAGCTCAAAATCTTGTTAAATCAAATAATAGTTATTTAAACTTATCATACAGTTACCAAAATTAAAACAATTGATATCATCAAATTACATTTTCTGAGCAAGGGCTGATACTTTCTTAAATCTTTCTTAAATTAGACTTAAGACAGTGAGATACTGAAAATCTTTTGACTTAATTGCATTTTACCTGATTTGTCACGCCTTTTTATTTCAGTCCTTTTTTAAAACAGCTTTGCAATGCCCTGTGTGTTACACAAATTTCCAAAGCACTATAAATCACTAATAGAATAAGAGTCTGATGAAATTTGAAAAATTACTACAAATTTTCACAGCAGTAAATGTTTTATAGTTTGACACTATACATAAATCACTGTTATAAACACAACCCGCGTAAGGGTCAGCATTATGGTTGCCGCTATTTTAATGAAAGTAAATCTATGGATTTCCAAAAAACATAATATTTGTATCTATATTTGTTCCTCCGTAAGAGGTTTCGGTTTATTTTCTAGATTATAAAATCTCCGTAAGAGAATAATTACCTTGTAGGAAATTTTCACCTTCGTACAAGACTAGGGTTCAATATTTTCTAGGTAATAAGATCACCGTAAGAGAATAATTACTTCACAGAAAATTTTCACCTCCGTAAGAGACTAGGGTTTATTTTCTAGATAATAAGATCTCAATAAGAGAATAATTACTTTGTAGAAAATTTTTACCTCTGTAAGAGGTTTAATAATAATGCTATCTCAGGTCAGTGTATGACACTGTTCCATTCGCTTTAATTCAACTGAACTGTTTGAAGACAAAGCTTATTGTCTTTCCACATGTTTTATTTCAGGCTGTGTTCTTCTGAGAACTATTCATGTTTCATTACCTAGCAAGATAGTATCCCAACATAAAATGATTAAATAACCCAACCATAAACTATATCCACAGATTTTTGGGGCTAAGTTGGAGACAATACAATCATATGAGCTGCTAATAGGGGCATGATGACATTATCCATCAATTGCCTTATACAAAAAATCTTAATCCTTACCTGTACATGATGTACCATCACCAGTATAGCCTGTATTACAAGCACAGGTAAAACTGCCACCAGTGTTTGTACATGCTGCATTTGAGTCACAATTATTTGTCCCTGCTGTACATTCATCAACATCTGAAATGCAAAAGATATATAGATATACTTTGTTAATATCTTTAATTATACACATGAATTGTATTCATATTTAAAATCTCAGAGAAATCAAATGAAACATGAGCTGAGTAGCGGCTTGGGCAATAAGCACAGGAAAGCCAAAACTTGCGACTCCATCATTATAATCCAGTCATACTAACCATTAGTCTATCTAGCTGTCATTATATTAGAAAGTACTTTTTGCTATATTATCATTAAAAACCAATTGTTCAAATCATTATAAATCTAAGAAACTAACGGAAAACCTTTCAAAAATCAGTCTAAGATCAATATTGCCAAACAATTGCTATTTTCTTGTTTGCAGCTGAATGAATAACAATGAACATTCCTGTGTTAGTTCCATCACTATTGGCATAGAAAGTAAGGTGGAGATATTGGTAAAATAAAAAGAAATGACGTCTGATGGAGTATCACAAAAGCTCACCTTGAGCACTTTGTGCTCTTAAGTGAGTTTTACCCAAAGGCTTCTATAAATCACAAGAAAAATTGCCTGGAAATGAAGCAAAAAGCAAAATACAAAAAATAAACAAGGACTTCAAAATATCAAAATTATATGTATGTTTTAAATCAATAATAAATCATTGCTAAATGTCAACATTGACAAAACATATAAGTATGAGATCAAACTCTTAAGTTCTTAACTTACCTTTACATGATGTACCATCACCATTGTACCCTGTATTACAAGCACAGGTAAAACTTCCAGCAGTGTTTGTACATGCTGCATTGGCATCACAATTACCTGTCCCTGCTGTACATTCATTTATATCTAGATGGAAAGAAAACATTTAAGAACATTTTTGATACTTTCTTTAAATTTTTTGGCATAAATGTCACACCAACACAGTATAGATCATATGGCAGCTTTCCAGCTTTACTGGTGTAGGAAGACCAGAGGTGCCCCTTTATACATTATTTCAGGCACAAGCAAGCTGAAAATTTAAATAACCTTGTAATTGTTCTAAATAATTATTGTAACAACATCCAATTCACATGCTGCAAATAACAGCATATTCTCTACAAAGAAGCTATAGTATAACTACTGCAGAGCAAACAACATTTAGAAGACAAAGGTTTTGATTGCTGGTGAAAGGTTTTGCTCTTGAAAAGTTAAATTTACAGTGCTATTTTACTTTGGGAAGACTTAACTTGTTGTTAAGGAGTTATCTCTGTCAAGTGAGATTTTGTAAAGTGCAGTAATGTACAGTATAATAAACATTGTTAGTGACAGGAGCATGCATGTTTCAATAAAACATTCAAAATCAACATTAAAGGGACACCACAGAGTCATTTCAGTAAAATGGGAGTTTTCATACCCTTGTGTACCATTTCTTGGCCCAATAACTCACATGCATTTTTTTTTTATCATTTGCTCACTCATTTATTATCATTTGAATTGAGCAAAATGACCAATAAAATGAAAAGAATGAAAAGGTTTTTAACTCAGCTGTGGCTAAACTTGCACCAAAAAATCCATTTTCAAATTATTTCTGAGTAACTTTATTCATTATTGTTTGCATTTTCCACTTTAGGTGTCACAGTTGATTTACCAGTATGTAAGAATATAAGTTTTTTCATTAATTTTAAGTCTTTGGACCTCAATGGAGATCAAACAATGCTCCTTACCTGTACATGATGTACCATCACCATTATATCCTGTATTACAAGCACAGGTAAAACTTCCAACAGTGTTCGTACATGCTGCATTGATATCACAATTACCTGTCCCTGCTGTACATTCATCAATGTCTAAAATGTAATGGGAACAAAATTAAATGTAACATCACAACAAAATCAAATAAACAATCATGCCTCCCATGTGGCTTAAATGTACCCAAATATAATGCTCTTTCATATGAAATAACACTTAACTTTAATAATTTACTTTTAAAAGAATGTGACTCTAAAGAGGGCAGAATGATGGCATGTTTGCAATTATTTTTTTTTGGTTAACAAATATTTTTCAAGACATCATTTCATAAGTGAATTCAAATTATTTTACAAATATCAATAAACATTGGACTTTAATTTTAAAATGTTCAAAATTATAATGAATACCTTCACAAGTCGGCAGAGACCCTGACCATGTGCCTTTACCACATGTTGTTGTCGCAGTTCCATTGATAACATAACCAGTGTTACATGAATACGTGGCTTCTTTACCATAAGTTGTCAATGTTGAAGATACATTGCCATTTGTAGGAGATGTAGGAGTCCCACAATCTAAATATAGAAAAATATGTCATTCAAACTGAGTTTACAAAGAAATAATGTGTAAGCACATTATGAAATTATTTAAATAACACATACCATATATCTCACTAAAAATACCATAATCTCACAACACCTACCATATATCTCACAACACATACCATATCTCTTGCAACACATATTATATACCTCGCAACACATACCATACATTTCACAACACATTTCATGTAACTCATAGCACATACCATATATCTCATAGCACATACCATATATCTCATAACACATACCATATATCTCATAACACATTCCATATATCTCACAACACATACCATATATCTCCCAACACATACCATATATCTCACAACACATACCATATATCTCACAGCACATACCATATATCTCCCAACACATACCATATATCTCACAACACATACCATATATCTCCCAACACATACCATATATCTCATAACGCATACCATATATCTCCCAACACATACCATATATCTCACAACACATACCATATATATCTCCCAACACATACCATATATATCATAACACATACCATATATCTCATAACACATACCATATATCTCGCATGTGGGTGGTGATGAGCTCCACTGGCCGTCAGCTTCACATTTTCTAATATTGCTACCCTTCAGGTCATGACTTGTAATACAAGTATAAGATGCTATCTTTCCATATGTTGTCCCTGGGTCAAAGTTTACATTACCATTATCTGGTTTCTTCAATACTCCACAATCTGCAAGAAATCAAGCAAAACTCTGTCTTTATTTGACATAATTTTGGTACTTATTTTTTAAACTTTTAGCCTGTTTGGAGGCAACAGATTATACCCATTAACCAGTGCAGCCAGCACAACCGTGATGTCTGATCATGGTCTGCTCTGTTAGCTATTCAGGCAGTACATTTTTTTTTTAATTTTCACAAAAATTTATCAAATTTGTTTTATCAAGATTGAAAGATGGTCAAATCTATTTAAGATATTAAGCAGAGTAAAATACTATAAACCAACATTTAACACGCCATTACATGCAAATTTCAATAACAACATTTTTCTATTCCTAAAATTAACCCTTGCTCCACAATTTTGAACACATAAGACTACAATAAACTTTTACTATCTCTATAGTAACCGACACTGTACCATTCTATATAAAAAGTTTATTTGTTATTGGTATCTGAAAATTTTACCCTTGGTTTACCTGTCTATTACAAGAATTAATTAACTTTGGCTATCTGAAAATAATTTTGGCTGATTTGTTACATTCATGTTTTCGCCCCGCACCGCCTAGCGAAAAGTCAAGAATTAACAAGTTAAAATGGAGGGATCGCGGGACGAAAACATGCTAATTATTGAGAATGCGGGCAAAGTTTTAATAAATAAAATTTCGCCCGATGCGGACGCGGGACAAGATTTATGAAATAAAACCCCGGGGTCCAGGGCAAAAAAACGCTAAATAGCACCCCCACTAATCAGCGCGTTTCACTCCGTGCCCTCACCATTTTAACTTCTTTATTATAGACTTATTTTTTAAAATTCGTCCCGCGCCCATGCTAATTAGCATGTTTTTGTCCCGTTACCCCACTGTTTTATTTCTTAAATCTTGCTCCGCGCCTCCGCGGGACAAACTTTTATTTATTTAACTTTGCCCTGAGCCCTCGCAAATTAGCGTGTTTTCGCCCCGCCATTTTAACTTGTTAATTTTAGACTTTTCGAATTAATTTGAATTATGTCTTTATAAAACTGTGCTGAAATACATTTATTTACACATAGCATACAGTGGCATTATAGTATTCTCTAGACCTTGTAACAACTAACCCACTATGGTACAATTTGGTGCACTTCTCTAGACCTTGTAACAACTTACCCACTATGGTACAATTGGGTACACTTCTCTAGACCCTGTAACAACTTACCCACTATGGTACAATTTGGTGCACTTCTCTAGACCCTGTAACAACTTACCCACTATGGTACAATTGGGTACACTTCTCTAGACCCTGTAACAACTTATCCACTATGGTACAATTGGGTACACTTCTCTAGACCTTGTAACAACTTACCGACTATGGTACAATTTGGTACACTTCTCTAGACCCTGTAACAACTTACCCACTATGGTACAACTAGGAGCACTATCACTCCATGTGCTAGTATTTGTACAAGTTGTATTGATCGCTCCTGTCAGATTATAGCCTGTATCACAACTGAAGGTTGCAACAGAGTTGTATACACTAGATTGATATGTCACTTTACCGCCAACAGGTGCAGTCAAGTTTCCACAATCTGAAATATTTCAAAAATAAAAAATGGTAAAAGAACTAATAGTAAAAGATGCATTAAACTAACGCTACCAATGTTATCTCATTACAGAGCTGTGAGTAGAACGCTCGACTATTCCCATGGCTTGATAGTCATTTGGCACAATATTGTAAAAAAGCTTGATAAAGGGACCAGTCCTCCTGTACACAGGTTGAAATAATGGTGAAAAAGTGTGCCATATGTCAATGGACTTTGAAAATATTTGAGGTGGAACACAAACTTTAACTTAAGTGATTAAGCAGCAGGGGGGGGCGGGGGGGGGTGCTAGATAGCTCTCCTTATTCTTCCTATATTATAGACGAGGAGCTAAAAATGGGATACAAAAAGCTGAATATAGAGATTTGATACAACATAATATATAAACCTTTGATATCACAGGTTGGTGAAGTCTCCCATTTTCCGTTTGCCTGGCATGTTATTGTTGCTTTACCGTTTATCTCATAGCCGTCATTGCAGGAAAATGTTGCTTTAGAGTTGTATGTTGTCGTACCTACATCAACACTACCATCAGATGGTGCACTTAATGACTTACAATCTACAAAGGATAAACAAGATATGTTTGTAAAACATGTATGCCCCCTATCAGCAGCCAATTAGTCATGTGATAAGGTTATTATGCATGACTTCTGACCCTGAGTGATCAAACAATTAATAAGGGTTTATCAAGTATCTATTGGTCATGACCTTAACCTTTGACCCCTTGACCCAAAACTCAATAGGGGTCATCTGCTGGTCACGAACAATCATCATACAAAGTTTGAAGTTCCTAGGCTAAAGTGTTTTTAGTTAATTGATCAGAAACCGTTTTTACCTACAAGGTCAATGTGACCTAGACCTTTGACCCCTTAACCCCAAAATCAATAGGTCATCTGCTGGTCATGACCAATCACCATACCAAGTTTGAAGTTCCTAGGCCTAAGGGTTCTTTAGTTATTGATCGGAAACCGTTTTAACATACAAGGTCAATGTGACCTTGACCTTTGACCCCAAAATCAAAAGGGGTCATCTGCTGCTCATGACCAATCACCATGCCAAGTTTGAAGTTCCTAGGCCGAAGCGTTCTTTAGTTATTGATCAGAAACCGTTTTTACTTACAATGTCAATGTGACCTTGACCTTTGACCCCTTGATCCCAAAATCAATAGGGGTAATCTGCTGGTCATGACAAATCACCATACCAAGTTTAAAGTTCCTAGGCCTAAGCGTTCTTAAGTTATTGATCAGAAACTGTTTTTACTTACAAAGTCAATGTGACCTTGACCTTTGACCCCTTGACCCAAAACTTAATAGGGGTCATCTGCTGGTCACGACCAATCATCATACAAAGTTTGAAGTTCCTAGGCCTAAGCGTTTTTAGTAAATTGATCGGAAACTGTTTTTACCTACAAGGTCAATGTGACCTTGACCTTTGACCCCTTGACCCCAAAATCAATAGGGGTCATCTACTGATCATGACCAATCACCATACCAAGTTTGAAGTTCCTAGGCATAAGGGTTCTTTAGTTATTGATCGGAAACCGTTTTTGCTTACAAGGTCAATGTGACCTTGACCTTTGACCCCTTGACCCCAAAATCAATAGGGGTCATCTACTGGTCATGACCAATCACCATATCAAGTTTGAAGTTCCTAGGCCTAAGGGTTCTTTAGTTATCACTCAGAAACCATTTGGTCTACGGACCAACGGACCGACAAGTGCAAAGCAATATACCCCCTTTTCTTCGAAATGGGGGCATAAAAAAAATATTTAAGAAATGTTATATCAAAATGCCAGTATCTCTCTGTATTCTAAAAATAATGTTCCAACAAAAGCTTATACAGAAGCTCAATGATGCCATTATGCAACAATTTTTGGAAACATTTGATTTTCATGTATGGGCTTCATGTCAGGTCTTATAACACTTGAGTCAAATGGGATATCCCAAACCTTTTTGGTTGAGGAAAATCTCGGGTGCTCCTTTGTTCATTATATCAATTGAGTAGAACTGAACTTTTGTGTTTTAGCTAGCTCGATGATTACATGAAAGGATCGAAAGTACTTAAAGAATTTGACCATCTTTTTTCCTTCTTTTATTTGTATTTTAGCTGGATAATTAAATGAAATAATCATAAGTCTTGGGCAATTAAAACCCACAGTAGTGATGAGCCATTAGACTTTAAGAATTTGACCATCTTAACAAAGCATTGCAAGAAGATTGGGCGTAAGTATTTTCTACAGTTTTCTTCAATGTTGTTGAAAGTTCTATGTGATCCTTTTTTTTTTTCTTTTTTATTTGATTGGGTTTTAGTTGCACAAACACAGTATTACTGGTGGACGAAGACCTCGGGTTCCTTTATCTACTTTATTTCAGGCACAAACGGAAACCACCAATGTTATGTAAGCTAACTGGATAGTTAAGTAATCTAAAACTAGTAAAATCTCTATTACAACTCTACAAAAAAGACTATGATTACAAATGTCTAAAACAGAAATAGTTTTGTAATATTATAATGTTATTTATCACTTTTATTTTCAGGAAAATGGTTTCCCATTATCCTTTTTCATATCAGTGTTATACATTGTAGTATCTAATTTTACCATGAATTGTACAAACAGGTTCGGTGCCATTCCATGAGCCGCCAGCTTGACAGGTGCGAGTCTCGTCGCCAGACGATATATAGTATCCAGTGCTACATGTGTATGTTGCCGTAGCACCAAACGTGGTTACAGGTGCAGATACAGTTCCGTCTGTTATATTATTTAAACCCTGACAATCTGAAATGATACCACAAGGGTGTAATAAAATGATATGATCAAAATAATGAGGTTGATCCGCTTGAATAAAACAGGTGTATCTGTGACATTGATTAAATTAAATGTTCCTTTGATAAAACTTCTAACAATTGTCTTTTTGGCACCAGATTAAATCAGTGTTTCATTTTTTCCCCCATTTTTTTTTTTAACTCTGGAGATGTTAACTTAAACACAGACTTATACCAAACCCAAAAGTCGAGATTTTTTACGTACCGACATGTACGAAATTTCTAAGATATTGGTAAATTTCTTAAGAAACACCATGAAAAAATATTCAGACAAACTGACAACTTATTATCTATTCTATTGTGGTTTTGTTTAGGTGGGTTTGGATGGTATTTAAAGTCAGATACTAATATCATCTTATGGTCCCTTTCCAGCTTAGCTGGTGTAAAGAGGTCATTATGAGATCTCTCAATTTTTTAACCCTACACCAACAGAAGTTTCCAAAATTCCATACAATACACTCAAACATGAATACTGAGCTTTCTTTCTGAAAAGAATTCAATCGCCCTTGTGGAATTCAAACCATAAAAGATGATGGGAAAGTGATAAGAAGTAAGCAACCAATCAATCCGTCAACCAATATGTCCCTCAAGGATTTTCTAATACTGCTACATTACAAAATTCAACATTAGTTTTACAAAATAAAACATATTCATAAGGTAAATATATGTGCATTATATAAAAAATAGTGTGAGAAAAAAAATAGTGTGAGAAAATTATCTTTTACCATCAATAGTACATGTAGGAGGACTATCACTCCAGACATCTCCAGTACAATTTGCTGTTGAAGATCCGGCTGTGATTGTGTAACCTGTGTTGCACGAGTATGTCAGGACAGAGCTGTATGTTGTGGTGGTGTAGACAGCTGTTCCACCTTCTGGGTCTGTTGGTGTACCACAATCTGCATAACAGAAATAAATGAAAATTAAACATCATATTATTGACAATTTGATAATTATTTAACCCTGCTTGTGGCTTGTTTCTGTCTTGTCAGAGTTTTATTGTTGAGTTATTGCCCTTGACTTAGTAAAATTTGCAATTTTCAACTTGTGTCGCACATTTTGTTTGTTTGTTTGTTTTATTTTACGCCTTTTCCCCAACAGTATTTCAGTCATACAGGCAGGTAGTTTCCCAACTATCGTTCCTGGAGCACACAGCTCAAAAGTATTTGACCAAGAGTCATGAAACTTTACAGAAATGTTGCACAGTATGTGAAGTTGTGCACCTTGGGTTTTGCTTGTGGATTTATTCTGTTCTGCCTGCAAAAGCATCTAAATCATAAATACAACAGACAAACTACAAACCGAAATTCCAAATAAACCCATGAGGTCACAATCACTAAACTTTTATTAGCTAGTTTGATAGCTCCACACAGAAGAATTCATTGGGGAGTCTATGGCGGAGTGGTTAATGTTGTTGACTTTCAACCACTTGCCTCTCACCCCTGTTAGTTCAAATCCTGCCAGTGACTTTGGATTGTTTAATGTGAGGGAGCTATCTAGCTTACTGAATTCTTACCCAACAATTTCACTTAAAACAAGATTCTGGTTTGAGCTTGGTGATGATCCCTGAATAGGTTTAAGACAAAGAAAAGTACACCTCTTGTAGTTTCAGAGTTATGTCCCTGGAAAAAGTTCAAATTGCAATAATTCCAAAATTAGGCAAGGCAGAGTTACTGTTCTTTGCACTGCACTTCAAATCAATGTGATCTATCAACCTACAATTTTTCTTGATTATTTCTCTTATGATATCCGAGTTATGTCCTGGACAACTTCAAAAAGTAAAAAGAAACAAAGGGCAATAACTCCAGAATTAGGCAAGGCAGAGTTATGATTCTTGTGCACTGCACATCTTCCCATTGAGATATATCTACCTACAAATTGTCATATTGATATCTCTTATAGTTTTACAGCAATGTCCTGGACAAGATTTTTCTTAAAGGGGAGATAATTAAAAAATGAGGCTTAACAGAGTTATGGTTCTTTTGCACTGCACCTCTACTCAATGAGATCTATCTACATACAATGTTTCATCTTGATATCTCTTATAGTATTAGTGTTATGTTCTGGACAAAGTTCAAAGTCTTAAAATTAACAAAGGGCAATAACTCCAAAATTCGGACAAAAACAGTTATTGTTCTTATGCACTGCGCATCTACCCATTGAGATCTATTCACCTACAAAGTTTCATATTGATATCTCTTATAGTTGTAGAGTTATGCCCCGGACAAGATTTTTCTATAAGGGGAGATAATTAAAGAACCGGGAAAAAAGACTTATGGTTCTTTGACACTGCACTCCCTCTTAATGCCCTCTACCACTATATGAAGTTTCAACAAATTATCTCAAAGTATTTTCAAGTTATGCTCCGGACAAGACAACGGACGGACGGAGGGATAGACGGACAAGGCGCTGACTATATGCTCCCCGAAATTTTTCAGGGAGCATAAAAAGTACTGCAAGTTTTATTTTTAGCACCATTATTGGCTGAAAAAAAAAGAGACTGAGTTAATATAATGGCAACATAAATGTTAAAATACTCACCTTTGATAACACAGTTAGGTGCCGAATCTGACCAGGAATTATCAGCCTGACATGTTCTAAAATTTGTTCCATTGAGAGAAAATCCATCCGAACATGTGTAAGACGCAGTATCATTTTCATTAACTCCGGCCACATTAACACTGCCATTTTCTGGGGCAGTAAGATCAGGACATGCTGCTTCAACTACTGAAAAAGAAAATCAAACAGAATCTAAAACAATGTGTTTTTTTTAACTTTTCCTCTGCCCAATTGGGAAATTCGGAAAATCAAGAAAAACTAAATTGCAGCACTAGTGGCATAGAGAACCCATGTCAAGAGTGGGATTTCAATTCCAAAAACAGCCCCAAAACTAATGACACCACTTTGGGAGAAAATAGGAATTTCAAGCATTTTGGAATAGGTCCATTTACAGAATTTGTCCAATAAATTATCAAATTTTGAATTTTACAACTTATGAAAATACATAAATTAACAGCCAGCGGTGTAAAAGTCTGGTCAGATTAGACACAGGGTTGATTCCCAGATGGTGCAGATCATGTTTATTGTGATTAATTTTGAAATCCTTTCTACTGTTATTCACACTGTACCTCTGCTGATGAAATAGCTGTTCCTTGTGAAAGTGCATCTAGTACAGGTAAACTGCTTGACAGCCTGTCCTAGGAATAATATGGTGGCTGAACTGTGCTATAGTGAATTCAATGTGACTTACCACAATGATATAGAAGGTAAACACTAAAACCTACCATCACAGAATGATATTCAGACCAGCCGAAGCAAATCTTGTGTTGCTGTTTGCATTGTAGTGTTAAAACTCCAAAATAAAAACATCACAACAAAGAAATAGCTTACCTCCATTTGACTGCAACACAGCTATACAAAACCAAATCAAAATCTGAAAAAGAAAAAAAAATCCATTCAAAGTGTTTTAACTGGAAATTGACTGATCAACAGGTTTCACAGTATATAAACGATTTGAACCCCAACCGGATCTTGTGAGAAGATTTTAGTGTCAGCCATATTCTGCCACTTCACTTGTTTACGATATTGGTATTTATATTGATACTGATGAACGTTAGGTTAGTAAATCTATATTTATATTGCGAGAGAGAAACTTTATTAAACGTCTAAGTTATGCAAAACATAAACGTTAGCACGAAGGCTATAAAATAATCTAAACTCACGAACAGCTTTCAGGTGATCAACACTGAACACGAACAAAAATCCGTCTTATTCCAATGTTGATTTAGTTAAACATTGAATTGTGATAACGAACTACTAAAGTAATCAATAACAAACGATAATTTAGTCATATGCATAACATATTGCTGTATCTTGAACATAAATTTAAGAGTTTTACCAAGGAGGTCATTTCCGTAAACTGAACGTTACTTGCTGGTGATTGTGAACCCTACTTGTGAGTTTACGAATTTTATCTGTACCCTGACTTGTGAGTATTTTTAAAGATTTATTGGAGAAAAAGTTTACGTTCATTGTGATTTTGTATCAATTATTGCCAGAAAATATAAATGATTGTAATAGAATTTTAGTATATAAGGTGGGATCTAAGATATTTACCGGGAATTGGTTTAACTGATAATATTGTTAATCATTTGTTTAATAAAATATATAATGCTATGTATATTTTTCTTTCGGATCACCATGGAAGAATACAACTGCATATACTGTTCAGTAAAGACTACGAATTTCAATGACATCATCACATAATTATTCGCCATCCAGACTGCAACTTGAAAATAATAAATAATGATCAGAATAAAATTTCCTATTTAAAAAATTTCAACGTCACAGCCAATAACGTAAACGAAAAAAAAGAAGTTTATAACACCAATAGCTGAAACACTGACAATTAAAATTTCAAAAATTTCCCAGATATTCTCCGTTTAAAAAAAATGCCAAAATTGTCGACGTCTATGAAAGATATACAAAATAAAAAGTCGTACATGTCAGAAAAAGAAAGTCAATGAATTTCTGAGAATATAAAACAGTGTTTAAAAAAGCAGAATGAAATCAACGGTAGGTGTAAAGCTTTCAACATGTTGAAATAAGTAATCTGCAAAAAAATCTTGTAATGATATTTCGAGGTTTTTTGATATGTGACGTTATATAACGGTCACGTCAAAACTAACAACAATGCCGTTGAACTAAATGTAAACAATTTATAGTACATATGTAATATTTTAGCTTTATATCTTTTGCAAAGAAAAATGAATGGTAAGTGAAGGTGAGGTTTGTTAGTTAATTATTCCTATCAAGAAATAATTGACTTTCTGATTCGTATAAACAGCCACTTCATACCGGTATTTTCGTAGACAGTGAAAACATGACGAAGCTCCTCCATTCATATGCAGTTTTAGTTACTTACATAGAACTAAAATATGTACCCTTCTCTTTTGACACAATAACTTCATATTCTGCTCATTAAAATTTGGAACATACGACAAAAACACAATAAAAATCATCAAAAGTGACTCGCAAGTAATGGTTCAGTGAAAACACAAGTAGGGTACAGATCATTAAAATTGTTTTAGCAAGACGGGTACAGTTATCAGAAATGTCGCCTCTATTATTTACTATGTTTTATCAATATTCAAAGATATTTTCACAAGTGTCTGTCCGGTAACATGAGGTTAAGACAATAAAGTTAAGATTCAGATATGAGTTATAGTGAAATAAAACAATTTTAGGCATACATTTGCTTGTGTAATCGGCGTGTGTTGACATAAACAAAATGTGAGGCGAAGAGCACAGCGTTTTATGCGCATATATTTTACGAAGAAGGTTATGGATGTATATTTAAGCAAAGATAAATTATTTCTTAATATGATTCAAATGTTAACATACCGTAACATATTAAATTCAAGCAGATTTTTAATAGTTTAATGTGTCATCCCGCCTGATTGTACGTTTAGATGCTGAATTCTTCTCACAAGATCCGGTTGGGGTTCAAATCGTTTATATACTGTGGGTTTGGTTGAAAATCAAACTTGTGGTTTTTGAGGGTTTGAGGTTTCTACTTTACATTCTACTATGTATGATCTATATTACAGACACACAAACGTGCACAATTACAGACACACAAACGAGCACAAAAACAGATGAAAATCACACAAACGAGCACAAATACAGACGAAAATATTCACACGATATTTCATTTTCAAAACAAACGGTTACTTTGGAGAGATGATGTGAAAAAAGACCCCAAAGAAAAAAAGGGAAAAAACCCAGAAAGGGTTTAGCTAAAACATCACGCCCCCTGACAAATTATTCCCGGGCCGGGGAACCCTGAACTTCCCCTAACCACCCCCTGATGCCACAAATATCTGGCGGTGACATTAAAAATTTCCCTCAAAAAAACCCAGACAAATAAAAAAATGGAAAGAAATCTTGGGGCACTTTTGCTGCTTTAAAAAACACTTTAAGTTAAAAAGATGGAGGCTATATTTGGGAAGTGCTACATAGTGTTGTTAATATTATTTACCCCTATCTCTGGAAAAATAAACCGCATTCTTGTATGTGCTTTCATCACGGATGGCGCCTTCGTCTCCAGTAATATGCACGAGAATTTCGTTTCCGGTGCGCATAACAGAACAATTCCTTTTTTAATCGAACACAAAATTGCTGAAGGAGCGTTTTGTCGACTTCCATGTGTTCATGGTTTTCACGTGTCTTTAAACATTAATACATTTTTTACACAATCCAGACATTTAGTACTTTTATATCCGTGTTTTATTTACAGTCATCAAAAAACACCGAATGATCGACGTATAAAAATCGTCGTTGTTTTCAAAATTATGTGTGTGTACATTTTATGGCACAGTTTATAACGCAAATTATGCCAATAGCTCAAATTTTGCAAAACAAACTTTGCATAAAAACGTCATGGGCGAGTTGCCCATTGTATGTATATGTTCCTTCACCATCCCATGCCAGTACCGCCAGCCCAGCATGATTGGTATGTTTCGTAACGGCTGTACGGCTGGGAATCAGACCTATTTCCTTTTCATTCATCATATCAAATTTTCTTTGCTAGGTATTAACTGTTATTTTCTTTTGGCTGATTTTTGTATTGTTCACGTGTCCCTTAATGTATGTCCTCTGTGAGTAACTAAACTAATGAAATTTGTGTCCAGTAAAAAGGAGAAATTTCATTGTAAGCACCATATGGTCATTATAAAGCCATAATTGCCCCATCGTCGGATACCCACGGCCGAGCCATTATCATTCATCAGATTGCATGTTATGTGACATGTTTATCAATCGTGGGTATCCGACGATGTAATTGCCCTGCAAAATAGATCAAATGTATATTACGATGTTCCGTTTTGACAATCGTGATTTTCTATTTCGATGGTGAAAGCGCGATGGTATGAAAACATTGTGGAAAGATGGTGAAAACGCGATGTTGTATCTGGTACATATACTTCGAAAATTTTATAAAAGTAACATTAAAAATATCAAAGTTAACTTATGAAAGATCTAAAACACACATATATAAAACACTACACGAAGCACACTGAATTTACATACCGACGCCACGTCATGAGGCCTTAAAGCAAGTTGCACAAAAAAAAATCCTTAAAACTTTAAATTTTTCAACAAATTTTATATGAACTTGCACACAGCATACCAGGGTCATCATGTAATTTGTTCAAAACAGTTTCATATGTGATTCCTGAAGCTCATTTGATACTCGCCACTGGTTGCTCATATTGGCGATTCCTCCAGAAGATTTTTCAGATTTTTGGAGGATAATACAGAAAGATGCCCCAATTCCAGAAACGTCTACTGGTTCTTCAGCTCCTGCAATATCACTCATAATGCGAAGACGGTCTTCTTCGTTGTAATCCGTCATATTTCGCTGATCTTTGAAACATTTTTTTTATCACTTGAAGACTATTGATCTCTTCATTATAGGTGTAAATGCAACTTTTTGAAAATTTTCTCACGTGAACATTGCAGACTATGCTAAGCAGATACAAAACTGTAACTTTGCCAGCCTTATTTGATGTACCCCGTTTCAGTTGTTTTTCCTTTTGTGTGAAAAAAATACGTTTTTTCCCTAAAAGGCTGATCCATTCGTCTTGTTACAGTATTGAAAAGGTGGTCTTTAAATAAACAAGAGCGATCAATAATCACATGTGTCGCCTCATGATGGCCAATTTCATGTTGGGACAAATTTTGTGACAGACGGACAGACAGACGGACAGTGCACAACTAGACTTGGTACTGATCATTCCTGTAAAGTTTGGATAAAATTGCACCAGTAGTTTATGAGGAGTAGTCCGGACAAGCTTTTGCGTATCTGGCAACACACAGAAAAAAACACCTTTTTATCAAAGGGCCATAACTTGGCCAAAAATCATTCAACCGGAAAACCTGCGCAATATGCGCAAGGACTTGAGCTACAGATCAATCCTGTAAAGTTTCATTGAAATTGCATTAGTGGTATAAGAGAAGAAGTCCGGACAAACTTTAAAAATAAAAATTATAAAAGGTCCATAACTCTGACAAAAATCATTGAACCGGAAAATGCTGACAATATGCACAACTAGACTTGGTACTGATCATTCCTGTAAAGTTTGGATGAAATTGCACCAGTAGTTTATGAGGAGTAGTCCGGACAAGCTTTTGTGTATCTGGCAACACACAGAAAAAAACACCTTTTTATCAAAGGGCCATAACTCGGCCAAAAATCATTCAACCGAAAAACCCGTGCAATATGCGCAAGGACTTGAGCTACAGATCAATCCTATAAAGTTTCATTGAAATTGCATTAGTGGTATAAGAGAAGTAGTCCGGACAAACTTTAAAATTAAAAATTATTAAAGGGCCATAACTCTGACAAAAATCATTGAACCGGAAAATGCTGGCAATATGCACAACTAGACTTGGTACTGATCATTCCTGTAAAGTTTGGATGAAAATGCACCAGTAGTTTATGAGTAGTAGTCAGGACAAGTTTTGTGACGGACGGACGGACAGACGACGGAGAAGTGATCCCTATGTTGCCACTACTCTGTAGAGGCGACACAAAAACTCCTTTAAATGGCTGCTCTTTTTAACATGAAAGGAACTTTCAGCAAGCAAACGATTACAGTACGGTAGACAGGTATTTTAAAACGTATTCTAGCAGTGCATAGTTCTATGTCTATATCAGAAATATTGATTCAACGAAGCCAAGGCATGTCACAATTTCCAACTTTTTCTGGGTGTCATATTATTAAGCTCCGATCTGGTTCTAAAGAATTGTGGTTTTGTTTAACTTGCAGAATTCTCTTAAAATACGACTCCTGCTGATGAGCAACAGCAACCATATGCGGAGAATTTGTTAGTACTTCTGATTCAGAATTCATGGACACTGTTGTAAACTGGTAAAACATTGGAATTAAGCTGTACATAGGCACCAAACTTATACCAAAGTATTGCTGAATGCGATTCATTGCACAGGTCATAGCATGGCTTTAATTAAAGCGAATAAATATTGTTTCTTTCTTTTTTGAGAGATATTAAAGTGAATATTTTCTAGGTAAAAAGTGGGACATAAATATGTCAAAACGCAACTTGGTATGATGAACTTGATGATATCTCTCTCTATATATTACAAATTTCAAGCTATTATCTCAATGAATAAGATATGACCTAATGACTAAGATATGAGCAGGCGCAACCATCGGCGTACATTATTTTGACACCCAATTTCAAGCTGCCGTTTGAGATTGACAAGTGTTCTTAATATGCCACAATATTAGGCCCGGTTATTTCAAACCTATTCATTAATAAAATAATTGATGACCAGACGCGACCACCAATGTAACTTCTGGGTTTTTACCTTAAAAGTATAAATGTGACAATGGTTCTCACTAATCACACATTGTTTTAAAATATCAGATATACATATATGGGCAAAGTCAAAGATACGGAATGAACATAACTATCAATGTACTATCATATCACGACTAGAAATTCTAGCTGCTAAACTTCCGTCTTCGAAAGCTGTTAAGCATAATAATTCAAAACAAAGTTACCGACTGGTAAAAAATCGGACATTTAAAAAATGATTTGTTCATGAGGGCATAAAAAGGAGAATAACTTTGTTAAATGCAATGAAGCATATAAAAATTGGCCTACTTCATTCAAATGTTAATGTTTCAGCTAGTTCTAGAGATATTATGTATAGGATATCGACCGAGTACGAGGTCTTTCTGTTTGGGAAAGACCTGGTCACGAATTTCATGTGACACCGAGAGCGCGTAGCGCTCGAGGTGTTTCATGAAATTCGTGGCCAGGTCTTTCCTTAACAGAAAGATCGATGTACGAGACCGATATCCAACTTACACACCGTTAAAACTATATTGGTTCGAAGCATTTGATGAAATGCACAACTATTATTTTTAACACGACGCATATACAGGTAAGCTTTTATCAACGTTCTGCTTAATACAATATATACTTAATTTGCTTTCCCCTTTAAAATAAAAAATGCTAAATGTACATTTTGTCAATAATATAAAATGAATAGATCTGTAATAGAAGGTATGTTAAAGAATGAATAATTATGTTCATAGTATTATGTATCAGACAATGCAGATTCTAGGACATTTGCCAACGGACAGTTGCCCCCCTCCCCCCGGGACGTATGCCCCCTTTTTGCCGTTGTGACTTGAGACTTGTCATCTCGTGTATAGATTTTATGTATGCAAATGGAAACATTTTAGTTTTATTTATTTATGGATGCTATTTGGACTTTCACAAATTTCCGCGAGAGTTTTTGAAATGTGTATTTAAGCACAATGAAATTTAGACAATAGGCGATGAATTATGGTAGCAAATAATTCAACAATAAAATATTTTTCAGGGAGTGGGGAGGGGGTACAAATGTCCGCCCCTTCCAAAGATATGAGGGTGCAAATGACCGCCATTGCAAAAAGGGGGCAAACTTCCGAGGGGGGCAACTTTCCGATCGGCAATGTGTGGATACCCAACAGACCACAAAAGTATGGAAAGCCAAAGAACAATATCAGACAGCCATGGCTTTTCATACAAAAGACTTACATCTGCATATTGTTGGCAAGTGTGAAATATATGAACTGAAACTATATTTTACAAAGCATATTATAAAGTGTTCTAGAATAAAATATGATCGTTCATCATAAAATGTTTTAAACTAAATCACTTATAGCTTTATTTACATTTTAAAATCGTAATGAGTATGCTGTGATTTCTGCTATATAGTTTCATAGATATGAACTTAAAGCATCCATTTTGTTATATTATGAACTTAATGACAGAATAACTATTACTTTAAAAAATGACGCGATTAAATAAATGTTAAATTTGTGCTAACTTTGCCATGCTACCCATTATTTTTATTGAAAGATCTAATATAGGGATGCTGGAATAATTGCTTAGTTAAAAGGGTTTTAATTTTTTATTGCATTTCATGTTTTCTTTGTCTGCGCATTGGCAGGTTTATTTTTTCACGTGTATTTCATGACCGGGTCTGTCTGACCAGAACAGACCTGTGCACGTGCAAAAGATAGACCTCATAACGGACTTTTTTGTTTAAACAGGTCTATCCGAAAAATATAGACCTGTCACAAACAATAGAGAAGGTGTGTAAAAAGTAGAACAAACATGAAAGGATGGGACAAAATGATACCTACATGTATATAGTGTCCACCTCCACACAGAATGGAGGGCAATAAAAATATACCTTACACAATGAGGTCAACACAGAAATGGTCATATGGGTGACTTTCCAGCTTAACTGGTGGAGGAAGACCTCAGGTGTCCCTCTGTACATTGTTTCAGGCACCTAAGTAGAACCACCCATGTTCCATAAACTAGCTTCCTCACATGAAATAATCCCCAACGGGATTCCAACCCACAGTGGTGAGGGACAAGTGATTTGAAGTTGGTGACCTTAACCATTTGGCCATGGAGACCCTACACAGGAAGCGAACTCAAACATGATTCATATAGGGTGCCTGAACTTCTTTCTTAATATAGCTTAAATAACTATTTTCCACCTAAAATGAGGAAACAAACACAACAAATATTAGTGATTTTTGTTTTTAATTTGTCGATTTGCATTTTCATATACAAGTAACAATATTTTACATAATACATATATAACATCTAAACACATGTAACTCTACATCAGGTATAAATAGATGCTCTCAGCTGACAAATGAAGAACCTTGATACACAAACAAATAGATAGGGGGGCACTAGAAATGCTGAGATTTTAAACACATGTGCATACATACATATCAACTCCTTCGTTATCATAGACCATAATTTTAATGTTAAATTACAACACATTTTAAGTAAAATTAAAAAATCAACAAGAATTTTCTTAAAAGTTAATATTCTAGTTTATATTATTTAAAGTTCTCAGTAAAATGCCCATGAGTCAACGTGATCGAGAATCTCTGGCTCTAAACTGGTAGCATAATGTAAGTTATCGTCCCATATATCATACTTAAGGGTTAAAATCTGAGAGATACACATGTCGGACAATATTGCTTAAAGACCTTCATATAGATATTTTCAACATAGAGATATTTTCGATATGTTGAGACGACCCTTTGACCTGTTAAGGTAATACTTATATCTGTTTAAGATTATCTTTTGAACAGGTAAGGTAAGCTTTAGATTGTTGTGGCTACCCAAAATCTAAAAACTCAATGCAACAATTATTAAGAATTTTTAAAATCTTCCGAACTTAAGCACCCCTCTAACACCTTAACCAAGCTTTACAAGCATGGTTTACTGGAGAAACAAAGAAAAAAATTCAATAGTCAACAATCAGTTCAAAAGAAACAACCTAGTAAACTTTTTCGAAAAACAACCTAAAATACAAGTAAAAATTCCTGACAAAGATATTGCAGATTTTTCTTAAGAACTTTCACAAGAATAATTATGTTTATATAAAACATCAGTGAAGAGAATCTGCTTCACGTTTAGTAAGGTAAGGGTTAACTTAACTCTGAAGGTGTGCTGCTTTAAAAAGATGAAACAGGAATACTGATAACTAACATAGCCAAAATCATGATGACATTTGAAGTATTGGACCTTTATTGGCAAACAAGTAAACAACCTAATAAAATTTCAGCAAGATTTTACTGAGTTGGATATAAATTCTACATGATTAAAGTCATAGTGAAGTAGATACTGTATACAGGAAATAACAAGTCAGTAAAAATGTTTAGTATATTAAAGTAATAAAATAATTCAACACTGATGGTTTGTCCGATTATAAGCTAAAATATTCTACTAAGTTATATCACTAACTTATCGGGGATATCTTTATCCCTTATAGCTGCATGCCTCCAGACGTGCCAAAATATTAAAAGAAAATTCAACTTGAGAAAAATATACTTAGATTTTAAGAAAAAGTAAAACGATTCAACTAATAATTTACACGTTATGTGCTATTAATAACCTATTTTAGAGTATTAATCACCATATTTCTACTGCAATACTAATGCAGTAAGGGCTAATTTTGCATATTTTGACCTCATTTTGGTAATTTCTTGGACTGAAAGTGTCACTTGCAGCGTGTAAATTTCATAATATTTTACTTTTAAATACAATTTCAAGATTTTCATGAAAATTAGCATAAATCTGGAGGCATGCTGCTTTAACCTGCTAAATTTATATAATGGATTTGCCCTTCTTTCAATTCCAGAACAATCCATTAGCAAACAATTATAGGATCTCAAAATAAATTGAAAAACAAAAATTTGAGCTACCAACAGTATAGAGCCTGTTCAGACAGCACAGATATACAGGCTGTCCTGACTCTATACTAATGGTAAAGGCTTACTCTAATTCCTACAGGTTAAGGGTCACACAATCTTTTTTCCAAAAAACTTTTTTCAGTTTTTCACAACTTAAAAATTGGATATATAAGCTATTCAAATGCATATTACAATAAATCACTGACCAAATTTAGGAACTAATACTGTATTTTCATGTAATGATCTCTTAAATTTCATGTAATGATCTCTTAAATTTCATGTAATGAAGTCTTAAATTTCATGTAATGAAGTCTTAAATTTCATGGAATTTTAATGCTATCTGACCTTTAGTAATAATAAATACGATGTAGTTGTTATTATAATCATAAATAAAGTGATCGTTATACACAATGTGGGTAATTTTCTAGTGATTTATACAAATTATTATAAAATACGTCCTCTTGTACATGGCTATGAACAATACCTTTAATGTAAAGATGGTTTCTGGGAAAAGAAGCAAAAAACTTAAAAACACTGCTGTAAAATGAAAAGATTAAATGGTCATTCATACACATGGTCCCCATGAAAAAAAAAATGAAGAAAAAAAAATGGCAACAAAAATCTGATGTTAAACATATCAGCTTTTTTTATTATAAAAAATAAAAATTAAAAACAACCACAGAATCAGAACTTTAAAATGCAGATCTAATATTTCCAGTCAGGTAGATAAACATTCAAATATAATGCAGGCTATATGTCTTAACTCTTAACTTGCTGGAATTTGTATAATGGAATTGCCCTGCTTTGAATTTGGAACAGTCCATTTAAAATTATAGGGATTTAAATTTAAAAATTTGAGTTACCAACAGTATTGAACCTGGTCAGACTGCATGGAAGTGCAGGCCGGCCTGGCTCTATACTGGTGGCAAAGGCTGACCAATATTTGGTTCCAGCAAGTTAAGGTTTAACACAGATGTAGGACAATCTCTATGTTGCAACAGGGGAAAGGTGAAACATGGAGAGCAAAAATCAGCACTTATATGCTGACATGTACGTGATTGTAGTTACCATAGCAACCATCTACATCACATCAGCTTATTAAAGGTAAAGATAAATATATATATATAGATATATAGCTACAGTTAAAAACCACTATCTTGCAAAGCACTTTTTGTATCTCTAGAAATCTGAACACATGTTGTTGTTGTTATTTTTTAATTGGAAAAAAAAAGTTTCTATATTTCTGTCAGAGAGATTTATTGGTTATATTTTTCTTCGCAATAGCGATTTATAGTTAAAATCTTTAATAAGTTACAATTTTTTTTTCTCAAGACATCAAAAACTGGCCTAAATTTTTTTCACATTTATATATCTATCAATAATTCATTTTTATCACTATTAGTTAGAACCAATTACCAAATAAATCAGTTATCATTTAGCGTTCAGATTCTGCACTAAAGGGCTTGCTACTGCCTTTGCGTATATCTATTTACATTTAAATGCTAAATATAGCCCTTTATTGCACTTTAATTCCATTAAATTCAAATAAATACATTTCATATATAACAATTACTAAAATCACTAAATACTTAACATGGATAAAGAGTGTTACCACGGATAAACGAGTGTACACTCTTAAAATGTTATTGAGACACATTCACACAAATAAATCCACACACAGTATCAACTTATGCCGGATTCATTTATGATGAATCCACACAGAGCATCAACTTATGTAAGATTCATTTAGCATAAATCCACACAGCATTTTAACTTATGCAGGATTCATATAGCATAAATCCACACAAGGTATCAACATATGCAGGATTTATTTTGCATAAATCCACACAGAGTATCAACTTATGCAGGATTCATTAGCATAAATCCACACAGTGTTTGTAGGATTCATATAGCATAAATCCATACAGAGTATGCAGGACTTCTTTTTCTCATATCCACACAGTTCTTTAACACATGCATGATTCATATACCATAAATCCACATATGTTATCGACATGTGCATGATTATATGTCTTTGATCCACAGTTGGCAAAATTCTGGAGGATTCCTACAGCTAGAATCCACACAGATTATCAATGTATGCAGAATTTGTAAAGCTTATAGCCACATAGTTCATCAACATATAATGGACTGGTATAAACTTAAATCCACAAAGAATAAAATAAACGCTGGAGGATTCATCCGTCTGCAATACAAATAGCCCTTGAACGTGGAGTATTTCCTTTGCTGCATGTAATTATACTGTTTCACAACACTAGATTCTGCATGCTTGAAACTAAAAGAATGAGCATTTCAGACTAAAATTAAAAAGTCAATGTCAATTTTCCTCCGTATTAACTCCTGTCGGTGTATTTCCGATGTTTCAAGGCAAGAATTCAAGCGCGAAATTCCACATCCAGGAATTCTCATTCCCATTAAATCTTGAACCCTTTTAATAATTAACTTTGCATGCAAATAAAAGCCTTTTTGCCACTACTGTACTGTTTCTATATAACACTGGCGGGTAACTTCTCAAAAACGTCCGTTTTTCCTCCACTTCCACCACTCTGATGAGAACTGCCACGTCTCCGTGGTAACGTGGGATGCTCCGGACAACCACTGTTCATTAGCAGATCTACACACTCCTGTGAGCCGGAACTCTTTGCATACCATAATGCATTTCTTCCTTCATGGTCCACAACCTTCACATTGGCATTTTGCTGAAACAGAAAAGAATATTACTCTATCAGATCAGTGATTATTTTTCGTATATTTTACAGCCAAATAAAGGACATTTCCACTAGACCAAAGTAGGTTTATTTTCCCCTTAATATGCTATATTTTCCCTTTGTTCACATTATTCACCTGAACCAGGTAGTAGATAGATTTACTTGACTTAAAGACAGAAAGCTGTCCCTATAAATAATGTAGACATCCTATGCTATGTACCATACATCTTTAATCAAATTGAAATGGAAAAAATTATAAAACATGTGGGTTAATTCCATTCTAAGTTGTTGGAAATTGATTTCAGGTTTTCTCCCTTTTTCTGATATTGTGCTTTATTTTTCCCTTCAAAATGCAACAGGTTAAAACAACAGAAATCACTGCAGTTTATTCATTTATTCATCTATAATGATTCATTTATCTCACTACTTTGCAGACAGACCCATTATTCCACACTGGAGAGGCTGTACCATTACAATTTTTAAGCTATCCTTTCTTTATCCTTGCATTTAATACAAGGATCCTTGAATTTACCTACAACATTAGGTAATTGAAACTTCTCTAAGATCCAGATCTAAATGTTGTTTTCTTATATAGGTATTAAAAACACAATTTATATTTTAGATTTGACAAGGCTCTATTTCTTAGTTCAGCACAAATAAACTCAATTTTCAAAAAATATATTAAATGATGACCTTATAAAATAAACTTTTTTTAAATCCAATCACTATTTTTTTAGGGCTTTTTTTGGTTGCTGCTTGGAAAGTTATTGACACGGTAACTGGTGGAGGAAGACCTCAGATGCCTAATTATGCATTAAATCAAGCAAGAGAAGGCACCTGAGTAAAACCACTGTCTTTCTGTAAGCTAGCTAGATAGATTCCTCACATGGAAGAATGTAAAGTTCCTGGAGGGTATCAAACACACAATGGTGTGGGACTCTGCAAGTCACCAGTTTAAGAAATAAAGATCATAAAGAAGTAATCTAAATACACAACAAGTTCATTACTTCCCAAAATAGCATCCATTTCAATAGCAAGAAAAGAATACCTTCTAATAGGTAAATGATTTCAATTACCTTAAACACATTGACTTACTAAATGTCACTTACCCAAAGTAATAACTGGACAAAGACAACATTTCCTAATGCAGCAGCAATATGTAGGGCTGTTCTTCCATCATCCTTGCTATACGGGGCAGTAATATCTTCAGCATTAGCATGTCCCAGAATCAGGACAATATTCCGTATATCTTCCCGTACTAGAGCATCTATCAATTGCTGTAAAAATATCAAAACATTGCATCTGAATGAACATAATTAACATTTAAACAGTATCTGTTATGGTGTATATTTCTTATTTATTTGCTTTGTTGTAGAAATATTCCCAACAGGAATTTTACAAAGAAATAAAAGTTCTTTATCTGTTATATTTTTAGATGTACAAAAATAAATAGAGGATTTTCAATTTTTTTTTTAATAAAACAGGATTTATTTTCATTGATTGGTATGAAATAGGGTATTTTTCATATCACAAGATGAAAATAAATCATGTATTTATAGAAAAAAACTTGAATTTTCTGCTTATTTAATACTTTTTCTCTTTTTTGACCTTAAATTTTTAAGAATTCTCCTTTAATTTTGTGTATATGCTGAATTAAGAAGAAAGTACACCAGTGAAAATACAGAAAAGATGTTTCACTGCAGAGAAAACTAAATTTTTACAGTGAAAATACAGAAAACACATTTTATTTTTCATCAATATTTCTCAATATTTCATTTAGAAGTATATAGTGAATATGTATTCACTGCTTTATCCTCTATGATGAATCTATGATAAATATAAACTAGCAGGAATCAGTAACCAATGCCAAGCTAATACATTTTACATAGATTTTATTAACCAAATCCCTGACATTTACATGCTTCAGGTATGAAAGAAAAGCAAAATTATTTACTCAATAAAGTCTTTTTACCTGATTTAATGGTATATCTACATAGGGAGGTGGTGGTAAAAATTCTTTACTATCATATTTTGCTCTAATCCACTGTTCTTTGTCATTTCTGAAACAAGAGACAAATAACTGATATCAAGGTTCAAGTTCATACAAGCCCTTTTTATGCAACAGCATACTCTCATATAACTGTCATAATATAACTTTCATAGGTGTATATAAAATTTTATTAGATGTAGATTTAGTGCAACATTTTAGATTAAACTTCTCTACAACTGCAGTAAAAGCTGGTTTTGCAGAAATTTCAACTAAAATTCCCAAACAGATTTGGCAGTAAGTTTTTCCCCCTTTCATAACTGACATTTAGCTCCAATGGATACTGGTTTATTATGACCTTAAAGAAAAATTCCCAAACAGGTTTATTTTCCTCTAAATTACAAGTCAATCACATACTAGTTTAGTGTAACCTTTCCAAAGAAATTACCAAACAGAATAAGCAACAAAGGTTACAGAATAAGCAACTATGGTTTTTCCCCCTATATAACTTACCTTGCTCCGTTAGGTGCTGGTTTAGTGCGACCTTTCAGATTAAATTCCCAAACAGAGTTAGCAACAGTGTTTCCTATTGATGTCATTACATGAATAAGGTCCAACCTGGTAAATAAAAGTTGCTGATTTATACAATAATAGAATTACAGATTTATTGAAACAATCTTTTAGAAGAAGTATATCTTCAATATTTCAAATTGTACAAAATTGCCTGTTTGAAAATAAAAGCTTTCTCCTTAGATCTTTATTTACTCTAAGTTATTCAGAAATAAATGAATACAAAGTGCTCATTCCATAATTTATTAATGTTATCATGTGAAATGTTGGACAATAATCAAACCCTCCAAACTTTCTTGCATCAACCATAATCACAAGACTTTGTTATCTTTTTAAATCAATGAATTTCCTTGTAAATGAATATAATCACTTCAATAAAACAAACGCTTTTCATTAGCTTTCGACATATCTTCTTCAGAAAAAAAATTGACGTTTGTAAAATAATAATAATAATAATAAAGAAGTACATACATTAGAATTACACTGAGATTACGTTTTGTTAATGTATATTAAGTTATGGTACAATAACGAATACTTACGGCCACTCGTCCAGACCAAGAGACCGGACTCGTGATAAATGTGTTCCTAAGTTTCTATGGATACCTGAGCATTCTATACATATGAGAGTTCCTAAATTCAAACTGGCCCATTCGGGAGCTGAAACAGAATCAATTAACATCTCATTAAAAACAATCTAATGCTTACGATAATCATTTTTCCTAAATAGTAATTTCTTTCCTGTTTTATCATAACTATTGTAATTACTATTCTTCATGTACATATTTCACGATTTTCCATTGTGAATTTGACACATACATAGCTATTGCTTTTTGCAAAATCTTTCAGTTTACTAGATGGTATACTTATAAATAAAGCTTTAAACTGCTCAAAGATAATAATCAAAACTGACCAAAAATAATTTCTGTTTTGGAAACTGTCATATTACAATTGTCTCAGTATAGAACTGTTCACTCATTAGAGGCTGGGATAACTCAGTCAGTAGAGCTGCAGAATGGTTTTATTAGGGTCCAGGGTTCGAGCCAGGCTACAAGTTTTTCTCACCCTGTGAGACAATGCAAAGATTTTATTAACCCTTTCCAACAAACTTGTTCTGTTCTAACTTATTTTTAACACGACCACCATTTATATACAAATGTATATTTTTTTTAAAATACATAGAGGATATTTGTTTGTTTTGCATGTAAGATTGAAATATAATTTCACTGAGTGAACACCAGATGCAATATTTTCACGAGTGGCGTAGCCACGAGTGAAAATATAATAGCTGGTGTTCACGAATGAAATATATTTCAATCTTATATGTAAAACAAATAAATTTTCTTTTTATTTCATGCTTTTTAAGTAATTTTAAATATTTTTTTACTGATTTTGCCGCGTAACGTCGCGCATTCTCCTTTGTGACGTCATCACATCATGACGTCACATCATCAATTTTGAAATATAGGTCTGTTAAATTTCTCTTATTTTGCTACATTTTTAACATGATGTATGGTGACATCGACTTTCTTTTCCTAAAGAAGCAAAATTTACGTATGGCGGCATTTATTTCTGCCTGATATTCCATTTAGTTATGATTTTCTTTTCCTCCACATTCAGATATAGTCCGGCTACAGTGAAAATTATATTTTATAAATTTCACTAGTGGTTTATCAGAATATAATCATCTGATATATTACAATAAAACACGGGAAAGCATGAAATAAAATAGAGCAAACAACAGTAAACAGTCACCTCAGAAGACTGGGTGGCTTAGCTTGCAAATAATTTTCATACATACCCGGAGCCCCGCAATCTGCACACTGATTATTGCCTCGAGTATTTCGGATGGCGAGGATTCCGGCAGGATCCGTAGTGGACTGTTTTTTACCACTACTCTCGTTGCCTTGGAGACTGGCAAGGATTTGTTGTTCTATTGCAGCTACCCATTCATCTCTTTCCTGAAACACATGCAATAATACACATACAAGAGGTTGCTAAGTTTGGGTATCAGAATCAAAATATCAGCATTTTTGTTTGGAAGATTTTAAGTTTAGCCAGAATTCTACTACCAATTTCTTTTAATAATCTGAAAATCTTAATATTTTGATATTCCAACAGTTTTTACTTCAGGGGCAAACCAAAACTTTAGAATAATTGAACACAATGATTACATTAAGTTTAATTAGATTACATGTAGATATAGCCTGCAGGTTGCACAAGAATTTTCTTATTGTTTCCGAAATCAATCTAAACATGATTTTGAGAATAACTAATACCAAATTAACTTTATTCTGCTGCAAAATTCCTCCTACAGGGGTGAAAAAACAACAACACATTAGTTATGTGAATTTTCAAAATCATCTTGCACTGCTTGCCAGTATTCAATTATTTCATGAAAATTTAATATCTATTCGTCACATTGAACTAAATAAATTAAATTTCTTTCACTAAAAACGGACAGATAGCTTTCTTCAAATTTTAGACATGATTTCAATTCCAATCCAAAAACACATCAATAAACTTTAAGGCTCAAATATGAGAAAAATGTCACACCATATTTTTAAAATAAAATATTTTTCATTAGCATTATGAAAAGCCATACTGCACTTTGAGATACTTGTCACCTCAATGTATCAATTCTTAACTAGTGGTCTATTGTACTTATATTCTGATATTGTACATAATGGTTATTTCTTTTAGAAAGTAATGTTTTATAATCATATCATTAAACATAACATAGAACTTCTACGCACTTTTGTGCTAAAACAACACAGTGCTCAGCCTTGATTATTTTCCTTCAACAATGCATTAACAGGCATGCTATTCATCACTGTTTACTGTTATAATATATACAAATATTGCAAGCACTATTATCTGACCTACTTGTACCATGCTTTAACAACATCCAAGACAGAAACATTTATGTTTCATCGAGATGAAACAGTATATAATCAAGAACAATTTTAACTATAGCTAACATGCTTTTTTTTTAGTATTTTTTATTTCTGACTGACTGACCGAGTACAGATCATGATGTGCAAAGTTCCTGCTGAATTTAAGTAAATAATTTGTCCTTTTGTTTTTTTATTGAACCGGACAACATTATGCAGCTTGGTCAGACTACAAAGGGACTAAAAACAACCAACTTTTGGAGCACACTTGTCCTGCAGGACAAGTCACTGAAAAAATCATTGAGCAGGCTACATTTTCCAACTTGTCCTGCAGCAAATTCTCTCAAATTCTACTTGCAAATATGAGCCGAGAAGAGGAAATTTCAATCCCTGCCCCTCAGTTTTTATATTGAGAGCATAGACAAGTCTTAATTGTAGTAAGTGTTATGGTGAATATATGGCCAGACAATAAAATTTTGATATTACTATCTAAGCATTCATTGTATCCAGGATGTCAATAAAAGAGCCTGACATTTTTATCGTAAATATGTTTTAGCAAATAAAATTGGTTAATTTATGAAGCATTTCCTATTCTATATATAGTAAAAAAATTATGATCTCTAGTAAAAGATACAACCTTAAACTTTATGACCTTCAATTCATTTAATGCTTTTATTTTAAGAAATTAGGGAGGGCTGTACTACATGTGTTTCATGTAGACAAAATAAGATTTTGTTTCAACTAGCAGGATCAACAAACATCATGCAAACAAAAAGCCCAGAAGGCCTAAAAATTCTAAAATTCATCTACAGACATGCCTCATCAGAACATAAGCATAATAATAAAACATTATAATTGGCAATAGTGATATATATCTACAAAATCTTATAATAAATAATTCTTTTTTTTATTTAATCAAATTTCTAAAGATAATTCATTCAAATTCATTGAATGTACCCAGAAATGAAGTCAACTTTTATATTTGATTTAAATATATAAAACTAGTTTGGAGTAAAAAAAATTCTATGAACTTCAGATGTGTATTTTTCTTTATAAAAAATAATTACATAATATTCATATTTTAACAAAAATTAAAAAAAAAAATGTTTATAATAACACTGATCTTCATTTGACTAATGCAATCTTGTAACATTAATTTTCATTGGACTATTGGAACATTTACATGAACATTATGAATTAATTAAATGTATAATAGCCATGGCGCAGTATAATTAATTTGTTATAAAAACTTTGCTAAATCATATACCTGTGTATGTAAGGTTGTTTGCCATATAACAAGAGTCACTATAAGGTTAAAGCCATTTATATTCAGTTATATAAACTGTCAAAAACTTTATAACCAATATTTTACATTGTATATAAAATACACTTACATCTAGACTACTGGCCTCGAATTGCCACTGTTTATTGAACAATGATACTATGTGGAACTCATACCCGTCTGAATCTATATTGATATAGCATACAGGAAAAAAAAAATAGAAAAAAGTATTAAAATATACAACATAGCATGCAATTAACAGAGAAAAACATTCAAACCTGATCCCTTCCACAGTAAAAATTTATATCTCAAATAAATGTCAGAGCCCCAATAGTTACTAACCCTTAACCTCCTGAATTTATGTAATGGATTTGCCCAGATTTAAATTTGGAACAGTTCATTTGATGTTTCAGGGATTTCAGTATTAAAATGTCAAAATGTGAGATCTAAATTTGCAATTTTATTATCAAGACAAAGATCGAGCTACCAACAGTATAGACTCTAGTCAGTCCACATGGATGTGCAGGCTTGGCTTGAATCTTCAATGGCAGCAAAGGCTAATTGCTTTTAGGTTCCAGCAGGTTAAAGGAATTTATGCAAGACATTGAAGACAAGGGAAACCCCACCACATGCATGCCGTTTGATCAGACTCTTTCCAATTGACCAACAGATCTACTTGAATCTTATAATGCCCTTATTTCCAAGTGGACTTTTCTAAATACAAAACAGGTCAAGTCCTTTTCCATAATTCAAAGGGTATGGCAAAAGTATTTTAAGTGAATGTTCCAAAATACTAGATAAACAAACATTTTTGTGACCAATCCTTTTTAAGGAATCATGAACTTTTCCATTTTTTGTTTGTTTATCTAAAGGAAAATAACATTAAAAAAAATCAAAACAAAATATTTTGTTTTCCATCAAATTACAAGAAAAACAAAGAGTTTTTATACCAATCCTTTTATAGAAACTTCCTGGCATAAAAATGGCAATAAAATAGGACAATATTTTGTTTTTTCAGATGAGATTAGATTTATCTGACATATTATTTCTGCTGTTTACCAGGATAAGGTTTGAATGAAGCTAAACTAAAGTAGATCCATAGATTACTTGCATTTAAAGGGAATCATTCTTTCCGGGAGAGAAGCATGCACGTCATTGATTGTCTGGAAATATATCCGGACCATCCTACTAGCATGCTATATACAGCTGATTATAGGCCAGATAATGGCAACAAACATCGTGTTATCTCCTACCATTGACATGTTCAAATGCAAGTAACAACGGTAATCAAAACTATTTCAACCCTCGTGTTACAATCACCGCCATATCTCTCACTATATAACAATGACTTATCTGGTATAGTCTAAAATCAAAAACAGTAATGTCTCAAATATCACTGTCATCTATTGCTTTATAAAAACAAATTTGCTTCTATAAAATCCACCATCTGATTCTGAAAATTACGTTTTTTTGACATTTTAAGTTTATTTGAAAATTTCAGTTTTTGACATTTAAATTTTATCTTTTATTGTTGAGAAAAAGTTTCTAACATGAAATGACTGTAACATCATGCATTTTGCTAAAATTGAATCAAATTTGATGAAATCTGTTGACATTTTTTTTTCTTTAATTTTTCAAAAACAAAAAAAAAATCAGTAAGTCAGTCATAGTCTCTAATTGCGGTATACATGGAGGTGATTGTATGTACATGAAGGTTATATAATAATGCAACAAGGAACAAGCTCTCTACAGACATTCTGCCATGTCAACAGTTACTCACTTCTTGAGAATTCGCCTCAAAATGCCACTGTTTATTATACAGTGACACAATCACAAACTCGCAGTCATCATCTAAAATCATAATAAACTATCAATACCTGATATATGATATGTAATAACTTTCAACCTAAAACTCTGGTTTAATTCACACTGACAGGGTTAAAGGTCATATGGCGACTCCCATGCTTTTCTGGCGATTGAAGTTTTCAGGTGCCTATTTGTGCCTCGGTGGGCACCAGAGTCGAACCACCAACCATCTGTCAATCAATATTAACGTCTATCTTAAATATCTTAGACACTGACTTTTACACCTCGAACTTAGACTTCTGAATCCGATGAGATTCTAATGACAACAAGTAGACAAATGCTTGACAAAATTTAATCTATATATTATGTAGTCAAAATGTAAGTCAATTATTGATTGTCAAAAACTTTGTTTTGCTTTTAAATAAAGGTTTTTTTCATATCCTGTAAACCAAGAGCAGACAGACAGTCGAGGCAAATTTAATTAAAACATTAATATCGTTCCTGTAACAAATGATCACATAAAGTAAAAGTGCAAAGAAAAATCTCCCAACATAAAATATATTTTAAGCATCAACTTGTCTGATATCTAATGGGCAAAACATGTTTTTCTTTTTATCCTTTTCCTAGAAAATAACAAATTACGACACAATCTATATACAGTTGATTTCTTTATGTAACAGTAACATAGTTCAATGCCTATCTATAAATTGCAATATACAATGACAGGTCAACATCATATTCTAGAAAATAACCATGCTGGAGCCATGATGACAAAAACAATTCTGCTGGAGTTGCAGCGCTTACCAGTACTGAAAGTTGCAGAACTTAACAGTACTGGAGTTGCAACACTTACCAGTACTGAAAGTTGCAGAACTTAACAGTACTGGAGTTGCAGCACTTACCAGTACTGAAAGTTGCAGAACTTAACAGTACTGGAGTTGCAGCACTTACCAGTACTGAAAGTTGCAGAACTTAACAGTACTGGAGTTGCAGCACTTACCAGTACTGAAAGTTTTAGTACTAAACAGTACTGGAGTTGCAGCACTTACCAGTACTGAAAGTTTTAGTACTAAACAGTACTGAAAATTTTAGTACTAAACAGTACTGGAGTTGCAGCACTTACCAGTACTGGAGTTGTACTTACCAGTACTGGAGTTGCAGCACTTACCAGTACTGGAGTTGTACTTACCAGCACTGGAGTTGTACTTACCAGCACTGGAGTTGTACTTACCAGTACTGGAGTTGTACTTACCAGTACTGGAATTGTAATTACCAGTACTGGAGTTGTACTTATAAGTACTGGATATGTAATTACCAGTACTGGAGTTGACCAGTACTTACCAGTCCTGGAGTTGTACTTCTCAGTACTGGAGTTGAACATAACAGTACTGGAGTTGTACTTACCAGTACTGGAGTTGACCAGTACTTACTAGTACTGGAGTTGTACTTACCAGTACTGGAGCTATACACTTACCAGTACCAGAGTTGTACTTACCAGTACTTGAGTTGTACTAACCAGTACTGGAGTTGACCAATACTTACTAGTACTGGAGTAAAAAGCAAATACCTTAACCACACTAGAGGTTCTCTTTCCTTAAAATAAACTCAAAATGAGCACTTACCGTCACCTTGACTAGGATCTTTGAGGCCGCCACTTTTGGCCCGCCGATGTCTCTTCTTCACATTGGGAGTTTCTATTTTTGAGCTTAAGTTTGCATTATTGTTTACAGCTAATTTATTAAAATCTCCGTTCGGCATGCCTGAAACATAGATCACAAGAAAGTTAGATAATCTGATAAGGTAAATTAACTTACCATGCATGTCATGCAATATGGAAATATACTGTATACATTCAATACAGACAATTATAGGAAATCAATAGAGTACAGATTCTTTTTATTTTATACATATAAAATGTTAGTTTGAAAACAAAAGTTTCTAAATCTACAGCAAAACTGTTGTTGTTTTTCACTCCATGCTTATCATTATTCAGGTTTTGTTAATACAAATTAACTCAAATCACAAACAGTTTATAGAATTTGTGAAAGGTTTTTTTATACTAAAAGTTAATTGGAATTAGGACTTTACTGCATTAAAAAATAAAGTTTAGCCATTAATAGAATATGACATTATTGAATTAAAATTGAAGGTTTAGCCATTGATTCAGAAATTTAGTCAGTAAAAGAGCTGGGAAATTTTTTAATCAAAATTGAGAAGTTTAGCCATTTACAGAACTGGGACATTATCATATTTAAGCTGAAATTTTAGTGATTCATTATATAGAGCTGAAGCATTTATGAGTGGTGTATTTTCTAGCAAGCTGTGTATAACAGTACTAGTAACCTTTATAGCAGGCCATGTCTCTTAACTTCTTATGTCTTTGAAATATGACTTTAGACATTTTGTCTTTTACTTAACCTACTGATATTCTTAAATGGACCTGTCTGGCTTCCATTTTTGGAACTATCCATTTTCAATGTTAGGAGTATCAAGATGAAAATTTTAAGTCGGTCAGCCAACAGTATATAGACTGGTCAGACAGTTTAAAGATGTGCCTGGGTCTATACTGGTGGCAAAGGCTAGCCACTTCAGTTCCAAAAGGTTTTAGAGTCAATGGGAAACATGCAACACTTTATATGGTCAGAAATGAATTTGGCATTAACAAAATCTGTGTTGGAAAAGTGCTGGAAAGAAAATGTTTTGGGCCTTACAATATCTGAATGCTGATGGGCAGTATGGTCCCTAGTCTGGAAAGAAAATGTTCTGGCCCTCCTCGAACCTTAACTGATTAGTAGATAGCACTAAACTAGAATTATAGCAAACTTGTAGAACAAACCTTGTGTTACTGAGTTAGAGATTACAAATGCTTCATCTAGATTCATTCTATCATCCACAGCATTCTCCTTGTTCTTACCTGCAAATAGCATTATAGTTACTAACACTAGAACTATTACAGTTAACCTTCACATGAAGGAGAGGTCTCTCTAATATTATAATGCCGATTTCTTGTACTGAAATGCACCAAAAGCCAAGCCTAGGGTTTTCCAGCACCACCCCCACTCTAGAGATAATTCTGATGTGGTTTATTTATTTATTTATTTTTTTTAAGGCTGGTTTTTACTGGTTTTGGTCATATTTTGGCTGCTGGTCCGCCTCACCAACTATCCTGGATAAATAACTAGTAATTACCAATTTCTTCCAAAGTGACTCAGTTCTTATCCCAATATTTGACAAATGTCCTGAATATCAGAAAATTTGTACATTTACTCATTTTTGGACAATAACTTTTCCTTTCCCCTTTTCCTCTTTGCGATTCTACCAAATTTTTCTCAAAGATCATGTCTAATTCTTGGCAATACAAAAGGAAAGTGGATTTTAATTTCTGGCGAGCATTGAGCAGTAGCATTTGTCTATGTGAGTTTTATATTAGTATGTTAATAAAAGTCATTCAACTTAAAATTGTAAGAGTATTGCTCCAAATGCTGCCTAATAAACTTATCTTGTTCTACTGCATGAAATAAATAATAAAAGCTTTGTGAATATATAGTAAACAGTAACTGAAAATGCATATAATTATATAAATAAATGAAACAAAAATCATCTTGCAGTATAAGTTTTCACCAATGTAATATTCCAAGCTATTAATAGCACCAAGCAACACTATATTAATTGGTAAGATTATTTGTCAGTTTTTGTGAAAGCCCAATCATTATGTCACCGTGGTGACGGAGTTTATTCAAACTCTGCCAGGAATTGTCTTACTATGTCTTCGTCTATCCCATAATTTCCTGGATTTATGCCCACCTGTCAACAACGATACATATCAAATGTCACAATTTTTTTTATATATTTTATTTACCCTTTTCACTGCTAAATTTGTATAATGAACCTGGCCTATTATTATGTTTATTTGAATCCACTTTCATATAAAAAATCTAAAATTTAGTATTACCTGCTGTTGCAACACCAAAGCAAAACTACCGAGTCACCCAGCAGTTGAGATATGGACAAAAGTAAAAACTAAATGCATTTATCCATGTAAACCCAGGGACTGGCATCCCATTACTGTTTCGTATCATTCTAGTTTAATCTTTTTTAACCAAAATGGAAATATTGACTTTTTAAATCCCAAATCCTGTTTTTTTTTTTATTTTTAATTTTTTTAGCAATCTGACAGATTCCCATCCTAGCTATGCATGTTCTCTATTTGGACAAGGTATACGGAAATTTATATAAACAAAAGTAAAGTTATCATTGAAGTTTCAAAATCACTACTATACAAATGTACTTCACTCCGCAACAACTATCATTTGCAACTGCCATAGAGTACAACCCCCAAGGAAATACATTCCTCTTTTTCCTGCATTAGACAGAAACTTTGAAAAGGAAAAAACCAAATATTACAGTGAAGACTGCATTAAGAAAAAGCATTTATTCAGAAATGTGAGAAGCATTTTGTAAAGGTCACCCAGTCTTGTAACAACTATTTTGCCTACAGTTTACATTATAACTGATACAAGAGACAAATCTTCAGAGATTTGTCTTATTTTTACCCACACTGATTCATGTATGACCTTTTCTATCAGACCAATATGATTACTGGTAGATTTAGATGAGAAAATCTACCTCTTAGCGAATGTTTTTACTATACCGAGTAAATGATTTTTTTCGAGACAAACACAAAACATGCATAATTTCCCAGACAGTGCCTACCTTCTCTAAATCTGAAATATCCTTAATTGGATTTTTATTCAAAATCTATACAGGGCTTGTCATATCACTGTCAAGTTTATGGATACGTATTTTTTGTTATCAAATTTTAAAAGAGAGGGTTATTTTTGTCCATCAATTTGGGGGATCAGCTGAAATGGAAGTTAATTCTACAGAATGAAAGAAAAAATGTCTATTTATAATCTCTGTTTGGAAAACAAAATGCAAAACATCAAGAGATGTTACATTGTGAGGAATGTATGTCACCAAAATGTCTATAAAATTACTTTTCCAACTATTTTGGCACAAGGCTTGGTACCACTCATACCTTAGTCACAACTAAACGATCTATTACCAAGATAATATTACCAAAGAAACTAATGAAGGACAACCTGAATTTATCATATAGATCTTACTTTAAAGTTGTTCAGATTTAAGTATTGAAGTATAAAACATTGAAAACCCTCAACAGAAAATAGAAAAGCAAATAATTTTTTCTTTTATAATGGTTATTATAATAGGTTTATATAAGGGAAAAGTTTTAATGAAAGTTATCTTTAAGACGTTATAGAAGACTATATCACCCTATGACCAAATTAGGAGAAAGCACTAACCTTCCAGAGATTTAGAATTTCTATTGAAATTTAAATATCTGCAGTTAATTTTTACTATATCAAAACAAACTAATTAATAGGACTGTTGTATAATAATTTTTATGGCATACAGTACCTCCTATTGACAGATTGTTCATTTCCATTGCAATGTTGCCATTATTTGTAGGATCCTGGTTTGTACTTGTTGACCTTGACCCTCGAGGTCGCATACCCGGGACCTTGACGGTCACATGACCTAGAGGAATCTCCTTGGCATGAACATCCTCCATATAATCCTGGTAAATTATAAGTCACATTACAAAATATATCAACTGAACAAAGGATTGCTATCATAAAGAAATGCATGAAAATGGGACATTGCCACTCTATAATGCTTTGAATTCTCATTCTGACAAAGTAGAGTTACTGCCCATGCTATGATATACAGTAGAAAACTAGAGCACAGAATGCCACAAAATTGCTTTAATGTTGTTTATATGCAAAAAAATGGTGAACAAACTTAAATATTCATAGAATAAAAAAAAACATCCATAAATAGCTTGCTTTTACAATTAATTAAAGCTATCAATCAAACAGACAAAAATTGCGAAACAATATTGCTGGAACATTTTATGAGAAGTAGAACACCATTTGTTTTATACCATCATAGGTCATCTTAACAGGCACAAAAACTACCTTTTAAGTTTTATCTTCTTTAGCATAAAGACGTTTAAACTAATTTTGTAAAGGACAAGAACTAGGCCAAGTCTAAAGCTATATTTTGAATAAATAGAAAAAATCGACTCTAACTTGTCATATTTTGCATTGTAAACAGCATTTAAGTCTGGAGTTTGGAAAATCTTTTTCATCAGTAGACTGCCAATCAAGGCATGATGTGTATCATTAAATCTATAGCTATTACTGTTGTAATCATAGTTATCTATTGTCATAAGTCAGGCATTGTTTCTAGGTTTATAGCCCTGTCTGGCAAATATAGAGGTAAACACAGTAGATACGTGACAAGGGAGGTAACTTACGTGCAGACTGGGATGATAAGTTAATCTTGCATCATCTAACAACGTTACATATTTCTTCTTCCAGTCTTTGTTCAAACCATGGCTCTTTTTGTAAAGATAGCCCTGAAAAAAAGAGGAAAAACAATATTTAGCTATAAAGTACATGGCATTTTCAGACATTCAGCCTTTTTTTAACACTATGTAAAACCTTATAGAACTTGAAAGTTTTGATAAAGCACCAGGCCTTTAGGTTTTAGCTTATGAATATATAGAAATTGTTAGAAATGATTTAATTAAGAAGAATCAAGTGAACACATGATCTCAGTATTTCAAGCTAGCATAAGGCACTAACAATGCACACATATTTCCAGAAACTTATCTAAAATGGTTTAAGAAGTGTCAAGTGAACACATGATTACAGTATTTCAAGCTAGCATAAGGCACTAACAATGCACACATATTTCCAGAAACTTATCTAAATATGGTATGTAAAAATAACCCTTCGTAGTTAAAAAAAGGTGATAAAAGACGTAAATTTAAGATAGCAGGGTTAGGAAGAATATAGGCTGTAGGTATTTACAACTCAAACTCTAGATATATTTTACCAAAATTTTATTTCTTTACAATGACCATTCTTTTCCTTACTTTCTGACCTATATGAGGAGACAGAGAGCTTTCAACTTTATCAATATTACATCTTCCCAATTCTTTGCACATTTCGTTTAGATATGTCATAAAAAAACAACATTGCTTTAAATATGGAACAATTGTCTCAAATGATTTCCTTAGGCCGCCTAATTTAGACATTGTCTGGCACCTATGTCCATAAAACTGGCCATTCCCCGGTGTACTTTATAGTAATTTACAGACACTTTTATTAGCATTACACTTTTATCTTCCTAATCTTAATCGTCAGACTTTTGCAGAAAAATGTTCAATATTTCATATTTGTGAAGAATAGAGCAAGGGTACACAGATTTCCTCAAATAAACTCTGCATATATTTTTGCACCAATACTCTTGGTTAAACCTCTGAATTTGTAGTAAAGACATTTTAAGACAATTTTACTACTGGACTGCGAGTTTGTGTGGTGGTGATGGAAGTTTAGCTTCCTGATCATGGCAGTAAGCCACAGTGAATTTACCAGACCACACTTAAGCCACCACATCATTCCAGAAAATAGATAAATACAGAATCCCTAAAGAAAGCCCAACACGACACAATTGAAAATGTTGCAGGCTCGGTTTGATTGAGCCTGTTCATGGACGGTACTGGAAAGTGCAAGTTACTTGTGTACTTGTTGCCTTCACTTTTGCAAGGAACTGATAACTCAAGTACATGCCAGAGCAGAGGTGAATGACCCTAGAAAGGACTTTATGATCAATCACAACGGAAGTGACCTGCGTCGTCCAGGAATCAAACCTGGGTCGCCCAATTCACATTTCAATGCTCTAACTATTGATCACTTTTGTTATGGTTGATTCATTTGGCTCAGGGGTCTAGAGCATTGTTACTTTTGCTTATAATCGGATGGTCACGAGTTCGAATCACATTCTGCATCTTTCTGTTATGAACATGAATGTATAAGTATAATCACTGATCTGAATAAATAGGAGTCAACGTTTCCATGGCAACAAATATATTCACCTGTTTTATAGGTATGACACGACCACACCCAAGTTTCTCACCCTCTTGTTTCTTGTCATCTTCTGCTTGACCTTTATCTTTGTCTTTATCCTTGTCTTTATTCTTAGGCTGAAAACATTCACATCAAACAATCATATAACATGTTACTATAGCAACCATAACAAGCCAAAAATGTGGGGTCTGTCAGAAATATGCACAATTTCAAGAAATCTAATATCATATCATGCCTCAAAATTATACATATCAGAAATAAAGATACAAAATGTTTTCTTTTTTTTGCATTCTAAAAACATACCTGTTAAATAACTTGTGTAAAGTATAAATTTGTTAACAATTTTACATCAAAATACTTCTTAAAATGGACGTCTTCACTATAAATTATTTATGATTATTTGAACTATTCTTTTAATTAGAATTTTAAAAAAAAAAAAATTTGTGAAAAATGCACCAAACTTTGTGAAAACTAAAACACCATTGCACTAAAAAACTTGCAACTACAATAATGCAGTGATGAAATACGTTTCACTTTCCCCAAACCTTTACTATACTATATATACATTTATATTATTTTCAGAAAAGTAATGTCCGCTAGTTGTAAGGTTTTTGTAAAGAAAGACCCTGGCTCCATTCATTCTCCTATAGTAATATACAGAATGATAGAAGATACATGTGTAAGAAGTGGGGGCAGGAAAATTTCAAGCTTAAATAAATTGCTACTTCAATTACATAAGCTTTTGACAAAAGTTTTACTAGCTAAAAGTATTAAAGCTACAATGCAAATTTCATCTATTTCTTTCTATTAAAAGCGAGCAGGAAATTTACAAATATATTTTTTTTTCTCCTGAGTTTTCTATTAAAAAATATGGCAGTCTATATTGGGGCTATTTTTTGGGGTGTAAAACTGCTTCTCAGCTCTATGTTTTTAAGGGAGAGCATAATATAATTATTTAAATGCTTCTTTTTCTTGATGCTACAGGGCATTTTTTTACCCTATTTTAAGCAATATTATCATGCAACAAAAGGAGAGCCTAATTTAATTTGTGATCGCCCGATGCCACCCATACAATTCTTATGATACAAGAGAAACTATACTTATATATAAGAGAAGCTATCTGCTATGATTATTTAAATTGTATTTAATTCTCCACGGCATTTGATTCTCAATAAAAAATGACAGCGATTTCTTTGACTGAAGAAGCAATATCACAGTAATGAAAATCATCATTTCTGGTTAATTTTTTCACCTTTCTTTCCTTTCCATTTTTTTCTCTTCATTTAATTGATTATGTCGCTGAAAGTTTCCTGCCCTATATAAAGCCAGATATCATTCCATAGTTATCAGAGGATATAAATAGAAATCTGTGACATGCATTTAGTGTTTTAGTACAAAATCTTATTATATACGCTTGATGGAAAAAAGAGATCAATTATTCATATGATATAAAATAAGACAAAAACTGCCGAGAACTAGGAGAAAATGTCCTGTATAAAATAAACAATAAAATCCCTAGCCAGTCATTAAAGTATATATATAATCCTGGGCCACTGATGATGTTACGATATTCTGTCATCCTATTTACTAAACTAATAATAGGCCAACACAACAATTTGAGCCGCTCCACGACAAAACCAACATAATGGGTTTGCGACCAGCATGGATCCAGACCAGCCTGCGTATCCCCGCAGTCTGATCAGGATCCATGCTGTTCGCTATCAGTTTCTCTACTTGTTATAGGGTTTGTAAGCGAACAGCATGGATCCTGATCAGACTGCGCGGATGCATGCTGGTCGCAAACCCATTACGTTGGTTTTGTCATGACGCGGCTCTTTTCATAAACATTGAACCATGAAAACTGCAAACTTTCTAAGAAAATCCTCAACCCTAATTTCAAACTGGACACAATAAAAATGCTGCATGGCAAATATTGCAAGAACTTTTATTCTATATTAAGAACATATTTTTTTTCTGTAGATACATCAAAAACTACTTCTATAAAACATAAAACGTCTTCTATTCTAAATTTATTCACCATTTTCTTACAATTTAAAATACGCAAGTAAATCATTATTTCTATTACAAATTGTGTTAAATCAAATTGTTAAATCAGATAAATGCACCACTTTCTTCTTAATATTTGTCAAAAAGTGCCAAATTTCCTAATATTTGCCAAAATTTGTCATCTTTTCATAATGTTTGCCAAAAAGTGCCATCTTTTCATAATATTTGCCAAAATGTGTCATCTTTTTTCCTAATATTTGCCATGCAATACAAGAGTTGTATCCCTTTGTAAATGTGAGGGGAGCTTACTCTTGGAGTGAAGACACTAAGCTGGATAGGTTGGGACTGGTATCTATATGGCTTTAACAAAACATGATCACAATCAATGCATGTGTTTACATGTGAAAAACATAAAAAATATTGACGAGTCATGATGAAACTGAATACATATACCATTATATTGTAGGTTAATTTAACATTGTTCAGTAAATTATGATAATGAAATCATATTTGGACATGTTTTTACAGAAAAGAAATCATAAAACAATTATGCACATAGCATAATGTAATATAATTATTCTACAATTTAATTTTTCTCCAACTCACTGTGTGTATGTAAGACTTAACACACTTTAAATTTAGAATTGTCCTGTTAATTATTGCCTGATGTTAAATAATAAAATTTTACAAACAAAAAGCTGAAATTTAAAGCAGTAAGACCAGATAGCACAGATCGTAACCTCAGTGCTAAAACTGGTTAAAAACTATGAAATTAGAAAGGACTTAACATGTAATGGCACTAAGGTGACAAGATATGCTGGCTAGTAGCATAGATTTGTCATTATCACAACCTTTGTTTAAAGTTACCACACTTAGTCCAAAATATAATTCCATACTTCATACTGAACAACATTAAATACACTTTGTTATTGTTGTATACCTACTTTTCTGCCAACAAATTATATTTTAGACAAAGATCCCCAACAGCACTGATTCTAGACAAGACAATTTCACTGGCCAATGGCTGCTAATTTTGAGATTAGATAGGAGAATAAAAGTTTCTTCATATGTAATTTTCAAATTTTTGTGTATCTAGAGCATAATTTTATGAGGCAGTTATCTAGTACAATTCAAAGGAATATCAAAAGTCATGTAACTCAATTAATTTAACTAGAGTTTACCCTTACTCTAGTGAATTAGTGTCATGGCAATATTCTATTTCAGAAATTGAAACTGTCCATTGAGCAGACTTTTAGAAGTTTTGAGAAGCATTACATCAATTAAGTAACCAAAAGTCTCACAGCATGGCTCTATACTGGTGGCATAGATCTGCTTTTATTGTCATTATCACTCAAAATGTTAACCCATAAGCAGCTGAAATTCTAAAATGGACTGACGTCCAGCTTCTGGGATTGTCCATTGTCAATTCTGGTGGTTATCAAGATGCAATTTTTGAAACTGGTAAGCCAACAATTTATGGCCTGGCCAAGACAGCTTGTAAGTGCAGGTCTGCTTGGCTCTATACACAGACAATTAATATGTGGAGCTCCAAACGCATTAAAATCCAAATAATTTGTATATTTGTCAATCCGGGCATATTTACTCATCATATATAATTATAGACGTTGAAATATGTTTTTTTTTTTCCAAAACAGCGTGTTTTAAATTTCATTGATATAAATCATATGATAAGAATATGTGCAGGGATTGGCAAATATACAATTTATTTTGATTTAAGGCATTTGGAAGCTCAGCACCCAAAGTGTCTGTGGCTCTATACTGGTGGCAAAGGCTTATCATTTTCAATACCAACTGGGTAAGGGTTAAAAAATAACTATGTTACAACAGCATTACAACAAGGTCATGAAGTACTAAAACTTTTGTTTTCTTGGTGTAGAAAAGTAGGAATACAAATGCAACAAGATGTTATAAAGCTGTGATTAAAAAAAAGATGAACCATAGAAGCTCTGATCAATAGAGACTTATAGAAGCTCTTACAAAACATATCTTACTTCACTTTGTAATGACAAGACCTGTATGTTGCAATGAAACATAGCAGAATGAAACATAGCACATATTTCAGGATGGTTACTGATTGAAATGATACAGGTATGTATGAAAACTAAAGTGAAACTAAAATCAGATTCTTTATTAAATAAAACATGTATAAATGAATAATGAAATTTCTTAAGTATTAAAACTTGAGAGTGTTTTTTTTTGTTTAACTTTTGTACTGTATTATGGATTTGTCCTGCTTTTATTTTGGGACGGTCCATTTCAAATGTGAGGGATTTTAGTATCAAACACCTGAAAATAAGCAGCTATGACCGGCTGAATTTGAGTAATGGATTTACCTTTTTTTTGAATTTGGAACAGTCCATTCTAATTTTAAGAGAATACAAAAATTGAGCAACAAACAGTATAGAGCCAGGCCATGCTGCCAAGATGTGCAGCTTGGCCTGGCTCTATACTGGTGGTAAAGTTTTGAGAAGATATAAACTAACATGATTTAAGAGGACATAAACCAACATGATTTAAGAGGACATACACTAACATGATTTGGGAGGACATAAACTAACATGATTTGAGAGGACATAAACCAACATGATTTGGGAGGACATAAACTAACATGATTTGAGAGGACATAAACCAACATGATTTGAGAGGACATAAACCAACATGATTTGGGAGGACATAAACTAACATGATTTGAGAGGACATAAACTAACATGATTTGAGAGGACATAAACCAACATGATTTGGGAGGACATACACTAACATGATTTGAGAGGACATAAACTAACATGATTTGAGAGGACATAAACCAACATGATTTGGGAGGACATAAACTAACATGATTTGAGAGGACATAAACCAACATGATTTGGGAGGACATAAACCAACATTATTTGAGAGGACATAAACCAACATGATTTGAGGACATAAACTTACATGATTTGAGGACATAAAACTAGTGCTTTTCAGTCAGACAGCGAGTACTGTCTACTGTTAGAATACATCTTCACTTTATTTTGACATCATGAATGAATGTGGAATAAGGACATGTCAAACTATAAGCCAGAGAATATTCCTAAATCTGAATCACGTTGTCAAGGGAATTACCGATGTTAACATAAAGACATTACCTATTTATCTTTATGAATCAAACATTTAGATAGAGTGAGTAATTTATTTAAACAGACATGCATCAGAAAATCACTGCCAAGCCTGTTGGAAATATATCCCGTATTGTACTCGCAGTCGCATGGTATTGCATACATATCTCAGCAAACATATCATTTCAGGATTCTCGTAAAATACTGAACATAGATCGAACAGGAAGGCTATAACTGTTACTTGACATCAAAATGATAAAATCACCCACCACAAAACAAACTTAAATACATGAAAAACACTATGGGAATATAATAATATACAAACATGGGGATGAGGTATGCAAAATAATCGTAAAATTTAGCTATATTCAAAAACTAGAAAATCCAAAAAAGTCTCCAAAGTTGTTTTTTTAAGTCTTGAACCACACTTAATTTTTTTTTAAATTGAAATTTCTTTTTGAAAGTTAATTTTCGTTGAAAACAAATGAATTTAATTCCATTCTTAACCAATAAAAATCGCCATTACTGTTTTGTTGCCTGTTTGGACGGTAGAAAATTTTATTTAGATCGCTTCTGAAAAACACATGTAAATTTTTCACATGGGACACAGATTTATATAAATTCAAGGTACAATCCACGATCCTTTAGCTTGCATTTAATGAAAAATGGTTGATACGTAGTCGATTTAAGCTCGTACATGTGTGTTTTTATCTACCTACAATCACCCAACATGACAACATTTTTACATGATATATGATACAATGAAACTCCACAGATGATTTCACTTATCTTACATTGAACAGATTTGACCGCCGTCTGTTTTTACGACTCTGTGTCGGCGTACTCGTGGGCGTAGGAAGTTCCTTAGAGTCCGGTTTAGAGTCCTGTAAATACATCGGGTGAGTGGTGTTAGTAAATATATACACAAAGCTAACATCACATACATGTCAACTACAATATACATCACACACGACTATAATATATATATATATATCATATACTCATACATGTTATGCATTATATTGATTATTGAAATAATTATCGTGAATATTTCGTTTCTAGACCGTTTAGCAGTGTTCGAAACTCAACATGACAATATAGAATTGGCACCTGTGTCTGTTAGAACTTAACAGTGCTCAATTGCTGTGGGCTCTTCAATAAACCCTTATATCTAATGGTTATAAAAACATGAGATGTGATTGGCTGACCAAGAAAGTCATCAAGCCATGTTGAAACATACTCTATAAATTATTCTGCAACTCTAGACCATCATCAACAGCCTGCACCAGGTCAGAGCTGTTTATTGAAGCCGATTTATCAATGTGCGATTCAAACACAAATGAACATTCTTGTTGCTGGGATTGACTTTCTGTATACATGCAAGATTAATAATTTTAATTTTTAATCACACTTTTTTTCACACAAAATATTGATGTTAATCATCAAATTTGGCAACTGCATGCAGTCTGTAACAAGTCTATAATAAAATATATGTTGTTATTTTTGTGTGCATAACTTGGCTAGAACTTTGAAACTTTCTAATCACATAATGCTCGTCTAAAACATGGACAATAAACTTCATCTAGAGAAAACACTACAAGATTTATCTGTATGTAAGCTTTTCAATATACAATGTAATATGTAAACTTACAATTATAAAAGAACTTGGTGAAATTAAAAAAATTTACTTGAAAAAGTCGTATCAATGTTCATTATGATTAAAATTCATTAGTGATTAACTAAGCTTTTATTGAAGAACTTATTATAATAAGCGTTAGACTCGCTATAATAACATAACTTTTTTACGTTCTTTTTTTCTTCTCTCTCTGTTTTTGCTTTTTATTTTTAGATCAAAATCAAAATTTACTACTGTCTACTAAAAGGTTTGTTTTAATAAATGTCTTTAATACATAGATACAAATAGATATTATTCTATAAACCTACTTACTGCATAATATGTTATATATTTATATAATAATTATCTGCTACCTAATATCTATTATTATGTTAATAATACATATGGTACAAAAATAATATAAACTATTATCACATAAATCGCGGCGCAGGAGTGTAATAAAGCCATTTAATAAAAACGATATTACACTAGTGTAATAACACTTTGACGTGACGTCATTTGCGCTATATAGAAACATAGCGTTAAAGCGCGCTAATGTTAGCGTTACACTATAGGCGCGTCGTTGAAAAATTTCTTATTTTTACAGTTTATTGTTCTTTTTTTTATATTATGTGATAAATATAATATTATATTCGTGTAGATTCAATACTAAATTTATTGAACTCGTTGAATAAAACAATATTATGCTCGCCAGAGGCTCGCATAATATGATTTTTTTTCAACTCGTTCAATAAATTTAGTATTAAACTACACTCATTCAATATCCTCTATTTATAATAGAATATATGAAAAGATACATTTCTACCATTTAGTTCTCCTAGCTTATATATATTTCTATATAATATAAATGAGCCACGTCACGACAAAACTAACATAATGGGTTTGCGACAAGCATGGATCCAGACCAGCCTGCGCAGCCGCGCATTCTGATCAGGATCCATGTTGTTCGCTATCAGTTACTCTACTTGTAATAGGGTTTGTAAGCGAACAGCATGGATTCTGATCAGACTGCGCTGATGTGCAAGCTGGTCTGGATCCATGCTGGTCGCAAACACACTATGTTGGTTTTGTCATGACGCGGCTCAAATATATAATTTCTATATATAAATATATAATTACAAGAGGAATGGAGCCTTCTCCTTAATATATTACCAAATATGGTCAACATCTCTCTAATAAACCAGTATGATTGAAAATTTATAATTCTCAAAAGAACTCAAATAAAAATAAATTTTATGCAAATTTCATAGTTTTGATAATTTAAACATTAAAACTGGTTATTTTAACAATAACAAAGATCTACAGGGAATAAGTGTTACTGTTATTCTCAAAGGGTTCCTTACAACATTTCATAATGCAAAGCCTCCAAAAAAAATTAAAATCAAAATAGTAAAAGGGTTTCCATGGTAACAAAATATATTAATTTAACTCGTTTTTAAACTGGGGAGTGAACTTGCTAAAATACACGGTCATGTTATTTCATAACGTGTAATCATTGGTGAGTCCCCACAAAAATTTCATGCAGTGTATGCACGAGACCTATGACCTAACATGTCATGTGACCAAATCTGGGTCGTTAAGACTGGTACCCTGCTAGCAGTGCATAGACAATACATGTATGTATACAAGACTGGTACTCATGCTCAACTGGGCTAACTACCAGAAATACTGGCCACCAAGATTTACCCCAATACCACCTTGTGTAAATTACATTGACAAAACATTTTTTATTTCTGTAAAAGGTTTCTTGGCGTGATACAAACTTCAGACACACCGTCTGCTGTCAAAACTTGAAACACATCATCAACATATTATAGTGTCCTATTTCTTTACCATTTTATTGAAATTTCAAATTTAATTTAATTTAAGTTGCATATTGTGGTATCAGTAAGGTAACCTTGGTGACCTACAAGTCTGGAAGGACATATGAGCATTTACCCTGGTGGACCGGTTCAGATTTGGTGTTACCGGAACATTCTCATGGACTTGTAGTTCCATCATATATCGCTCCATTTTATCCTAAAATTTACAATGTAATAACCTTCTCTGATTGTACTACATGTATTCCTTGATATATATATTACAAATCATTTTATTTTATTCCTACTACAGATTAAGGTATATATATATTACAATATTTATGAAAAATGCAATAAATATCCATATTTGCTTAGTGCATGCTTAAGAATATTATTTTCATATCTCATTCCATTAAAAATTAACTTTCCATGATAACAATTGCTTAAAAAAGGTATGTTCAAAGCGTTAAAGTGTATAAAAATATACCTGATGATAAAATGATAATTTCTACGACTAAATCTAACACTACCCCTGAACCTTGATTAATATAAACAAAACCAAGAAACTCCAATCAATATCAGTTTAAACACATCATTTATTTTCCATAACCCAAATATTTCATAAAATTGTCCTAAAATACAAATATCCATCCCCTGAAAGTTAAGTTTCAACATAAAAATCATCCCCTGCATAAAATTCCTCGCCCCCTCCCTACCCCTTAAAACAAACTAGGTTTCTACATTATATTGATACCCAATTAAATTGAATTTATTTTCTACATAAAATTTATCCCCCTGAAAGTTGATTTGATTTTCCCCTGAAAGTTAAGTTTCTACACAAAAATTATCCCCCATTAAAGTGAAGTTTCTACATAAAACTCATCTCCCATAAACTTAGGTTTCTATATAAAATCAAATTCACTGTCAAGTTAGGTTTCTACATAAAATTTACTCCTCTGAAGCTTCTAGATAAAACTTATTCCTCTCAAGTTAGGTCTACATTAAATTCAACCCTCCTAAATTAAAGTTAGGTTTCTACATAAAATTCACCTGTCATTAAGTTTAGTTTCTACATAAAATTCATCCCTGTTAATTTACGTTTTTTCTTAAAAAAACCAAACAAAAATGGCAAGGAGATATACCTTGAATATGAAACCATCATATGAGGAGAAGGGCTACAATAATAAGAGATCAATTAGTTTTTATAATTTAAAATTATTAATATCATTATCATTTTGCCATTTCCTAATGTCTTGCAACAGAACTGCTTTCAGCCATCAATATTATTATACCATAGTAAAATCAACAACTGATTTTAACCTGTACTATATGTGCACCAAAATATTGTGTATGTTCCACAATAATGTGACTTTTCCACAATATTATGTCTGTTCCACAATACTGTGTCAGTCCCACAATACTGTGTCTGTTCCACAATATTGTGTCACTGATAAAACTGTGTTTTGTGTGCCATTATAGACACAGCATCACTAACATATCAAAATAAGTATACAGATAAAATTGGTAGTTTCTATAATTGACTACATAATTATCTACACTAGAATATCTACATTTACTTCTCTCTCTGCAATATATATTTAAGAGTTACTCTAACATGAACTATCTACTTATTAGAAACATGAAAAAGACATGAAACTTGGCTCTAACTATTGCTTACACTAATATTAAACACTAACTTACCACTAAATAATGAATGTATGAAATAATGGTTCAGTGTATTCCAAAATGATGTTGATAGACTGATAAAATAGGGGTGTGAATGTGCTTACAGTCAATCCTGTGTATATTTAGTGTACATCCCTAGACAAAAGGAAGCTGACTTACAAAACCTCTAGGTTAAAAATCAATGCCATATGTGTCTGTTTATTTAAATAAATAAGGCATATTGAGTATTTTCTATAGGACCCTATTTAATTGATATTGACCAATCAAAATAAATCATGGGTTATATTATGTTGGCCTGAACAAACAGGTTTGACTGTATTTAGGGCTTGGTATGTAATGTTTGTAAATCACATGTCGGAGACGAGATACATCAATTTCACACCATACCCCTTTGTATGTTATAAGAGATATTATAGATCTATATAATGTTATACAATAGCTGTTAAAATATTATACCATATATATCATATAGCAGAGATTACACATGTATAATAGTGTAGGTCAGTTTAATATATCTATGATACACTGTATACAGTCCTTTACCGTATAATGAAATATTTCACACTCATTTTCACAATCTCACAAAGTTTCCGTGACCAAAGTGATACAAAAAGTTGATTATATAAACATAACTGTGAAGAAGAGGAAGAATTGTCCTACATAAAGTTCAAAACCCAGATTCAGGTACTTTTGATAAAAGTATACAAAAACACCTTATTGTACATGTAAAGGTCAGCAAACAGTTATATATGTAAGTGCTATTTGCTGCTTAATTACTTCTTTGAAAGTCTTCATGTAAAATGAACAGGACAATGAATTATTTCTTATAAAACAAATATTACACCTGAATATGAATGTTATTCCACCCCCCCCCCCCCCCACCACTGTCTCTCTGGGAAACTTTTGACATTTTGACAATAATTTTTTTTTGTGTGTAAAATAAACTAATTAACAAAGTCTATATCACTCCTATATACCCAAAGGTTAAGGTTAAGCAATTCGCTTAATACATGTATATCTGGGTTTGGAACCCTGTTTTGTCAGTCGAGACATAGTGCCGCAATAATTGACAAAATGTCATGTTTACGTCTTCAGAGACTCGCCTCTGAAACTCCACGTTATTAACTGTAGTTTGTAGGACATCGAGCAAGAGAAAAGAAGTAGAGAAGAAAGTGAAGTAATAATTCAGAATGGAGTATTTATATTCAATCTATTTATATACAGAAATAATGACAATATTGATGGGGAAAGAGTCAACAATGGAGGGAGAATAATGAAAAATGAATCCCATGTGAGCATGAAAATGAGCATGACTTTAATAATACTTGCTGCTGAATATTTCATTAAGTTCACGAGAAAACCACCGTTCTTGTTATTGTCCAATGCATTATTTTTTGTTATTGTATGCATTAATTTTTGTTATTGAACAACATGAGCATGTTTGAATATAGCTATTCTGATTCATGATGATTTAATTATAGCATGCAAATGTCATAAAAATATCAGGTTTCTCACATTTCTATGTATGGAAAAAGGTATCATATGATAATGACCTTTAAAATGACATAGAGTTACTAAAAGACTGTTGTAAATTTGTTTCATCACATGTTATTTTAATTGAAAATTTAGTTTTTTTTTAGGAAAAAACACTTAAGATGACTGTTGTTTTTGTAAAAAAGTCCATTATTTTATTCAGTTCAGACAAGATAACATTTAAACAAATTTTTACAAATGGTCAATACATTTTATGTGTAAGGAATTGTTTTAATCATAAAGTCTTCCTAAGTTAAAATGGAGTAGTACAAAAAACACACACTGCAATGCTATAATGATATTTATATAACAGCACTCATTATACAGCAATTAAAAGTTTTTCAAAATGAAGCCTAAAATCAAAATTTTTCAATGAGGTCAAAGGGTAAGACAAAGAGGTCAAAGGTTAAGAATATTATAATCAGCAGCAAGTATTAGATCATTATGAAGCTGGAGAAGCAATGTTTATGTGAGTAACTAAACTGCTCAACATGTCGTTCACTATCTCTGTTGCTAGGTTACAAAAGATTCAGTTTATATCAAGTGCTTAGTTACTAAGCAACCAATGGTCAGTTGCTAAGCAACCAATGACAAGTTGCTTAGCAACAAATAATGAAATGAAATCTTCACAGTATTAACAGGATTAATATTTTTTAATATATCCGACAAAGGAGAAAAACAATTCTCCATATAAAAAAGTATGACTTCAAAACATTTGTAGACTGGTAACCTAGCAACAAGAAGATATTTGCTTGTGTCACTTTCTACCTATCACACGCACTTACACTTAAGAAAGAAGATTTTAAAAACTTTGAGTTTTTCCGACTTAGAACTGGGGTAGTCTGTGATTGTGTAAACTGTCGAATGGTGGTAGCTCCCTGTACAGATGTAAATCAACAATAGCATGCAGTTGCTAGGATACAACAACAAAAATATCAGACAATCATGCTGCAAATGAAAAATGGCTGAATTCAGCCATAGGCAAAAGCCTACATTCAGATGTGACATAGAAATATGGAAAATAACATAATCATTACAGTAACATAAAATGCCAAGCAACAGATAATTAAATAGAACAATATTCAGGTTCATACTTGGAAAACACACATCTATAATGAAATGAAAGATGCAAAATAAATATGAAAGCAAAAAACAGATCAGTCAAATGTGCAATAACTAAAGCGCAAAAGGCTTTCCATAGTTGTTTGTTTAATGTAGACCATAGAAGTGTTTTTTGCTTTTACAAGTATTCAAATTATGTATGGCTTTCTTTTCAATGATTTAAATTATTTATCTTAAAGCTACTACTTTCCTACTCCTTGTTTTTTTAGTGTTTTTGAAAATAAATGTCACCGGAAAATAAATTACACCAAAGACATTAAACATATATTTAGGAAATATATTGCTTGTAGAAATATTAGAAATATCAGCTTATGAAAGTTTTGCCAAAGGTATAATTTTCAACTATTCTAACATTAAATTTTGTAAACATAGGTGTGTCGATCAGTAGCTTTAAGAAAATTTCAAAATGTTTAATCAGCGACAAAATAAGAATTACTCTCGTTTTTAATATATGTTGTTTTTGTTTTTAAGAATAAACAAACATCTAAGATTATGCCTAGTCTACAAAACACATCACAAAATCGCCTTCACATATTAGAAATATTGGATATATTAGCTAGGGTGTAATAAAACTGAAAATATAATCTCTTAAGCAAAAGTTTTTCCCGAAAATTCCAATTTTTTTCCTTGACAAATACAAGTAAGACAAGCACACCTGCGTTTTATGGTCAGCGTCCGACTCGTACGTTTTATCACATATCGCTTTGTACTCATGTGAGGTCTGTAATGCCTGACTTATCCAGTACTGCATAGGGGACGTTATCCGTGACGTCACAGACTTGTAGAGAAAATGTTTCCCGCATCGTTTCAGTTTAAGAAGTTTCTGCGTAGCTGCACTTTGCTTTTTCTCCGCATGTTGCGGCTTTACATAAATATCATCGTATTTTTACTCAATCCTTCATTATAAACTTAGTTCATCTCTTAATTTACTTAAAAACTATAATGTTACTTTTACTGAGGTATAATTTATTAATTCCATTAAGGATTACATGTTGTATAAAAGTATTGTTAAGGATTTAATCAAATTTGTTAAAGAATAACTTTAATAGTGTACTTTTATATAGATACAAGTTACATGAGTGGCAGATATACAGTCCATACAACCTAGTTTATAAACCAGCATCCCCAGGGTAAACTATGATAAAACCATTCCATCCTTCCCGAAAATAAATATCTCTAACTAAAATCGTAAAAGCTCTAATTTTGAACAGAAACCAAAGCAGCTTTGAATTTCACAGTCTAAGGTATTTTTTCACAGTCATAACCATACTGCTATATAACCTATACAATTTATACAAGCATATCAATGGTATGTCCAAGTAGCGATGTGGTTGAGCAGTTTTTGAGTCAGATTTAAGAGTTGCGCTCTAGGTTCAAACCCAGCCCGGAGAAAGCCGTTGTTTCCTTGAGCAAAGAACTTTACACTCATTGCTTAGAAATGGTTGTTTCCAGAAACAGATTTGATAGAGTATGTCTATAAGCTTATAGCTTCCTACACTATCAAACTATTTAAAATTCTGTATAAACTAACAGTATTTTCAGTCCTTAAAGCCAGAGTCCTTCATTAGCAATGACCCATGTTGCCTTACTTTCAATATTTAGACATAGCAGCATTTTTTGTTTATAACGCCCAGGTACCATTTTTTTCTTGACCATCAACATGACGTGTCGATTTCTTAGATGGCCTTATGTTGTTTAGTATCTTTACTGGACAACTGTTAAGCTTAATATGTTTTAATAGCATAATGTTACATTTCATTCCGTTAGTTTTCTGTATGAATTTTAGCATATTCCGTATTAATGTAGACTAAATGAGATTTATATGTTTATAAAGATACAGAAAGTTCCAATATAATGAATAAACTAGTATTATCTCCCCTTGGTCACCACATAACAGTATCTTTAAAGCATTGTTTACATTATCTATATGTGTAATATATAAATATAAATACTAGTATTTCATATACATGGGACAGACTGGTAGTAATTTAGTTAATATTTCATTTTAGCTATAAGCAGTTTTATTACACCCTCTCTAATACATTATGTCAGAACAGTGATTACAGGCATCAAGAGTACATGCACATTATTATCTTTATATGAGCCGCACTATGACAAAACCAACACCAGCATGGATCCCGACCAGCCTGCGCATCTGAGCAGTCTGATCAGGATCCATGCTGTTCGTTTACAAACCCTTTAACAAGTAGGGAAACTGATAGCGAACATCATGGATCCTGCTGATCTAGGTCCATGCTGGTCGCAAAACCATTACATTGGTTTTGTCATGGTTCGGCTCAATTTCATTCTTTATAGATCATGAAATAACAAAAGCTCCAAGGCGGCATTAAGCTTGATGAGATCAAATGAGAACAATGTCCAATCACTGCCTCTATTGCTGAACCCATAACCTTCTGAATTTATGTAATGGATTTGCCAGATTTTTAATTTAGAATAGTCCATTCATAGTTATAGGGATTTTATTATCAAAATACAAAATTAGGCTACCAACAGTATAAAACCAGGTCAGACTGCACATACGTGTAGGCTGGTCTGACTCTTAAACTGGTGACAAAGGCTAATCACTTTTAAGTTCCAACAGGTTAGGGGTTGACAACCTTAACCTCCCTTGAACTTCCCTGACATTATATCCAGCATTGCCCATTGTAATTTAAGAGGATCTTTATATCATATATCAAAATGTTGAAACAAAGCAGTAAATGGTTTAAAAAGCTGGTCCCAATTCTGAATTTGTGCCAGAATTATTGTTGTCAAAATGGCCACTAGCAGTGAATTAATATAAAGAATTTCTTTTTTGAAAATTTTCTCTCTTGTTCATTAATTCTGAGAAAACTAGTTTATTATTTAATAAAACAACTAATCTTGTGTTAAGATTAATGCCAAAAATAGCAAGCAATCTAAACTTCCCTATAGCAATTTAAAGATTTAAAATTGGAACATGAAAGTAATTTTGGAAATACAATTTTTGCCATTTAACAATTTTTGCCGTTAAGCCAAGCTACTGTGAGAAATGTTGAGAAGACACATTATGTTCTAGGGCATATTGAAGGGATAATGTCTTTGCAAACACAAAATGAAAGTTGAAAAAAACTGTGCAGTGATCAACATTACGACTGTGCATGTAATACGTGGAGTCTAACATCATAACTGAAACTTACACTGAACGAATTAGATTTCTGGACCGCTGTCGACTGTTTTTTACTTTTACGAGATGACAGAGGGGTAGAGTGTGGGTAATCAACGTCGTCCTACAAATAAATCAACATAAAAAACATGCCAACATGCAAACCAAAATAAAAATATCAATACAAAAACATAAGATAAGAAAGCTGGAAATTAAAAACTCAAAAATCATGAAATCAAAATTAATAGTACATTTATATGTTTAGTTATTTTTAGTGTCAGACCGGATTTTACGTAAATTTCATCATTTTGGGTTATCTGTTAACTGGACGTCATCTATACTGTCAAATGTAGGAGATAATGTTATTATGTTAACTTTTATGTTATGCATGGGCATATAAAATACATATACACTTAATTCATACCCAGTCCCATTTAGTATATAACCTTTGACCTACACAAATGCAGCGTTATGCACTATATCTATAGAGCCCAGCCTGCACTCAGTCAAGTCAACTTGTTACCAAACATTGTAACATAAAATATAATTAACCAAACAAAAAGATAAACATGCATAATTTTTAAAACGAAACTTAAAATAAAATATTAAAATGAAAAAGAAGCCATAGACACTGTAGAGTACTATATTGAAGCCATATTCATGTACATATATAATGACATCAAAAGTTGTGTGAACTAAACTATACAGTATCAACTAGTTATGTAGCAGCTAATTTTATAACAGAATAAAACCGCTCATCTTTCAGTCATTTTGTATCTGAAAGTGCCCTAGCTACTTAAAATTTCACAATCTATTTCAATAGATTGATACCTTTGACTTTTCAGCTACCAAAATCAAGTATAACCACTTCAGAAATCATTGAATTTTATCACATCAAAAGTCTAACTCAATAAATTAAGAAAAGGTATAGCTTTCTCTTTTCATTACGTTATACAACATTCTTCAGGTGAAATTCAAGCGAAATTCACACAACTTATGACCTTTTACTTGAAGACACACACAATATGTCACATGACCAAGAGAAAAAGACATGTGATACACAAGTATGTCACATGACCCTTAGTTATGGTCACATGATACACACAACATGTCACGTGACCAACCTCTTCCTCTGGTGGTGGTTGTTCTTTATGTTTATGTTTATCTTTCTTCTTCTCCGATTTGTCTTTCTCTCGAGATTTTTCCTCTTTTCCCATGTCTTTAGGTGTTGGCGGTACCTTTAAATACGTCAAATTTTATTAATTTGTAACAGAACACTGTAAAACAGATTTTTCCCCTTTTCCCATGTCTTTAGGTGTTGATGGTACCTTTAAATATGTCAAATTTCATTAAAATGATAAAACTATAAAACCCTGATTAATAGAATTGCCACCAGAGATTGTTATCTCGTTATATCTTGAAATTGTGATTTTAACCTACTTACTATTGATTTTCCAACATTTAACAACAGAACCTGAATGTGTTTTTGAAACACTAAAGCTTGCCATTGATTGGCTGTTTGAAGGGTCACAAGGTGACCTGCCATTGGTGTCCATCAGATCCTAATGTGAAGCCTTATTTAAGAGTGGATTTTAAAGGATTGTCAATAAACAAATTGGAGAGCAGGGCTGCAAATCATAGAAAGTTTTAGGTGTATTCTAAGTCTTAGGCGATAAAATCAACTTTTGGACTTACTTAAAACTGTTATGTCTTCAGTTAAATAATGTAGACTATACATGAATTAATTCCCCTGAGAAAAGAACTACAATGACTGACCCTTTATTTGCAATACATGTATGTAAATGCCCATCAGCACTGCTACTCAGAAATTAACATAGGAGTCATAAGTTAGAACATTTTCTTTGAAACTCATAACTGTCTCAGTTTTGGTCTTAAGACTGATTTCAGACATAGTTCAAACTTTATTTAGTAAAAGCTTTTAATATTTCATCAGAACACTTTCAAAAATAATTTACCTGTGCTATTACATTTGGATCGTTCCTGGTGACTAAGGTACCACTGCTTGATGTTGATTGGCTACTAGTGCTGTGGGTATCATACGGTTTCGAGGTCTGGGTCATGTAGTAAGGACGTTGTGAGTGATTTGGGGTACTTGGCACATTTGGTAGAGCTGAAGGCATACTGGGGTAACGAAACTGAACTATTCTAGAACAAGCTGAAATTAAAAGTTAAACTTAAAGAGAAAATTGTTACCTTTTTGCACTGAAATTAAAAGTTACAGAAAATGTTGTTATTTTTTTGTATCTTATTTCATCTGTGCAGCATATCATCACAGAAATATAATACCCAAAGTACTGCTTTACATGCTGCATTAACATTTATCACACTAAATATCTAAAATAAAATAGTCCATCATTCAATACAAAACCATTTTTAGGTAAACTTTTATAAATAGTACAGATTGACCAAAAACCAGTGCAAATGTGCAAGCTGATCTTGGTTTGCACTGGTCGCATTGGTAGATTCAGTCACACCCGGCAGGCTAAGGGTTTAAACCAACCTTATTTAGTACTTATAAAAATTTATTACATTAAAATATTTACCTAATATTTTGCTGATGAAGAGTTTTCCAAAGTAATCAACATATTAAAGAATTTTTCCTCATAAAATAAGTAATGTATATTAATTAACAATTGTTTTGTTTTCATGACATAACTTCCTGTTTTAATATCAATGAATGTTAATTAAATCCACAGCTTCCTGTCTGTAATATATGAACATAGCTTATACTTGGCAAGTTCTTGTCAGTTTTGTTTTTTAATTTTCTAAACATGACTTGAGATATTCTTGACCACAGGCACTAGACACAATTAATAACCCATATACGCTGATAATACTATATTATAAAGAATATTATATATATATATATATATATAGTATTATGAGCGTATATGGGTAAATTAATTGTGTCTAATGCCTGTGTTCTTGACCATGTCCTCTTATTTTCTAGGACTTACATCTATTAACATTGTGAAGGTCAATATCGCAACTTTAAACAATGCTGCTCCATTACTTCAGTTATAATGAGGCAAGTGAGTATAACCAGTGACCTTACGTTAGTTATTAAAATAGCACACTGACATTTTCAAGTTCTATAGACCCATCTTAAGATTTGAACCCAAAAAAGTGAAGAGACAGTGATTCCAAGTAATTTACTTCAACCATTTGGTTATCAGTGTCCTAGATCATTGCATCAGTATTAATAGATCCCTACTTTGACCTTTTTATTTGAATAACAATATATTTAACTATGTTCTTTCATTAACAAATACACTGTGGTGAAATTCTTACTGAAATCTACAAATCTGATAATTTGAATTGGAAAGATTAGGGCCATGTTGGGATCCATGCATTTCTTTAAGGTTAACAGATTTTCTTTTAGCTAAAATACAATTATATACTTGAACTTCAGGCTACATAATTCTAAAAAGCATTCATAAAGTAATTTCTTAAATCATTTTTCAACATTTCAACTTTTAAAGCCATGTCAAAAATGTCTCCCAAAACAGAACAACCATATATCGATAATACTGTCACTTTTACTTTGGACATCCAATAAACCTCCAAATTACTTTAAAACAAAAAGTCTTGCCAACTGCATATATACAATTATGTCACGATAATATATGTCAACCAGACGCATCTCATAAAATTTTCAATTTCTGTTCCTTTCCTTTGACGAATGTTCGTTTTTTGACAAGAATTTACATTTTCTTACACATCAAGATTCTATAATGGTCACTTTGAAAAATTATGTATAAAAGAACAGTAGATGAGTTTTATGTATTTCTGTAACCATTAGTAACGTACAGACAAAACAGATACCAAATATTTTTTTCAAACACTATATTCTAACAAGTTTGTGTTTATAATCTTATATTGCCTCGAATGAGGGAAAATAAAGGTAAGAAAAAAACAACTATATTCCAAAAAGTTTCTGTTTATAACCTTATATTGCCTCGATTGAGGGAAAATAACGAAACTTACCATCTTGAAAGACTCTTTCAACATTGAGACCATAAGTAGCACAGGTTTCATAATAAGAACATCGCTTCAGATCGTTGGCTAATTTACGGGCACGTGTATCGTCTATCACTCGTGGATTACTCTCACTGATCGCATCTGAAATGTCAATTATTCATAATTAATAATTAATCATAAAATTTCGTAAAAACATAACCTTAAATGAATCGTAAATATATATATTTTTTAGGTACCTGATGAACAATAACATAAATATATATGAAAAGAAACGAAACAAAATATAAATTACCTTTTAGCACTTCCAAAATATGTCAATATTAATAGTCTGTTACATTTGTTATATATATAAAATATATATATCTAAGTCAATTATCTACTCTTCGATTTTCTTCCTACTTGTTTTTTTTTTGTCACCACCGACCTCTGCTATTTCACTATAAATATTGCCAACCAATAGCCGTATATTATACCAACATTATCTAGACGTGTGTCTCTAGATAGCGGGATATAATAGACAGCCTGTGTCGTATATAGATTTCTGTAACAATATTGTAATTGACTCGAGATCATCTCATTTATTACTATATAGCTATAACTTGACCATTATTATGAAACCATATTGATTAATTGCCCTGCTCGTATCAGTTCTGTAAATAAAATCTCTATATAGAGCAGTGCTGTATAAAAATTCCTCTCTCAGCAACTCTTTATTACCCAGAATCAGATTTGCCGGATTTTATGAAAAAGTCTTCTTGGTTTGCTTAGAAACATGCCAATAACTTCAGCAGAAAACAAACTTTGGCTTAAGCCAAGTTCTCAATTCCTTAAAAGAAGTCAATAAAATGACGGTTGACGTTTAATGATATTTGCAATAGCAACAAAGGAAAACACGGTTATGCAAAAGATGCGCCATCATGATTTGTAAAGTCTAGAAAAATATGAAAATCTAAAGGATAATAAAATTCAATAAATCAATATTGGATCTAAGGCAATGCATTGTTTATCTTCAAGTCACTGTTTATCTTCAAATATCTTATTTCCACATACTTACACGGCATTTTATTCTAAGGAAACTGGGTCCTTTCATAAAACTGAAGGGTCTACATATATAAGTACCAGCAAATGTATGACAGAAAATTACTAGAAGTAGCCAGGTTGCAAAGGATTTTACCTGGCTAACAGGTCATAATTAAAACAAAACAGCCAATTCTATCTACCATAAACTGTCCGAGACAAAAAAGAATAATATAAATTTCCTATATCATGTCTACACTTTCCTATCTAAAAGTGTCTGAATGTTGTATTGATGGAATAATTGGTTCACATCAAATATCTAGGTAATATATAATACAATTAAGCCTACGATATAGTTTCAATATATAACAGAATTAAGTACAGGATAAAGTAATGCCAGTAATCGATATACAGTCCAGGCACTGTAACCTATCACTGCCTAACATTGCTCTGGTTATTTATTTCCATGTTGCAGACAGTATGCAGATGAAACATTTCCCTAAATAATCCTCCTCTACAAATCATCAGAGTAACATTTCAGATGTCAACCCCCACCCCATCCCCCAAACAACCATAGACATTCAAAAGATTCATAGGCTGTCAAAAAAATCAAATATAAGCAGCCAGACTATATAACCAAGGTACACATTATTGTAGAATCAAGTTATAGAGGGGGAGGGAGGTCTCAGTTACTTAAGCACCAGTACTGAAACTTGTTATTAATCCACAAATGATAAACAGCTTCAGATATTATCAGTTAAGTCAGCAGAATTTATCCTATAGCCATAAGCTTAATGTCATTCATCCAAACTGAAACCATGCTTGAATCATTGACCAATTAACATTACTGTGATTGATAGTGAAACCAGGCTTCTTTGGCCACTTACTTCTCTAGGTTTGAATCCCAATTCTTTTATGGAGGAAGTATCATACCAGTTATGTTACGGAAAGCTGGTGATTTTACTCAATGGACAATACACAAATTCATTAGAATTATTCCATAACCTACTTTCTTTACAGACTTGTCCAGCTCCCATTCTTTGAAACCATCAATAATTAATTTTGGGGGATATCAAGATGAAAAACTTTAAAGTTAGTCAGCCAACAACAGTCTGGTTAGACTGCCCACAAACTGGTCCAAATAAAGGGATGTGCAGGCATGGCTAATATCTTTGGGTTTCAGCAAAGGGAAGGGTTAAGATAAGTACACAATGGAATCAGATTAATAACTACAACTCAAGAATGATATGATTTCTTGATATTGGACCAATATAAACAGTCTTCAACTGATCATAACCTCTTAAAAACATTACATTACATACACAAGTACAAAAAAATATTTTTGCAACATTTCATGCGTACTTTTTTAAAAATCAAGACAGATCATAAATAAATCTCCAAACATTCAAAATAATCCCGTAACTGCTTCAAAACAGCCTGATGGTCGAATAAATCCCTAATTACACCTACATAACTGTTGAAAACAAATTAACCAAATAGTTTTATAATCCTCGGAAAAAAAAATACTTGAATATGTTTGAAAATCTTTTTAACCGAATTATTCCCCACATATATTCCACATAAAAAACACAAAGAAACTGGGAGCCCTTCACAGTATTCACATAAAGAGGTATTTACATGCAGGTTTGTAACTGTTTTTATCATTTGGGGATATCTCTGTATCTTATATATATCTACAAGGGACCTAGGCTGCTCTAGAATATTAACTAAAGTAGCATTATCTACTTTCATCTATAGCTCCACAGGAGACAAAATATCAACATTACATGTACAATCTATACATCTTTTTTTCCTTCTTAATCTTTAACATTGATCAGCTGAATTTGTAAAATACACTTGTTGCCCTACTATGTAATATTGTATATAAAACTGTTTCATTGTCTTAGCCTTTCTGAAACCAAAGGAAGTAAGCCTTTGTCACCAGTAGAGAGCCAGGCCAGCTTGTAAATCCATGCAGTCTGATCAGGCTCTACACTGTTAGCTGACTAACATTAAATTTTCATCTTGATACCCCCTAAAAATGATAATGGACAGTCCCAATAATCGGAGCTGGGCAAGTCTATTTAAGAAAATCAGCAGGTAAAGTTAGATTAGCATTAAATTTTATCTTTATATCCCTAAAATTAATAATGGATAGTCCCAATAATTGAAGTAAAGTGTTAAAGAGATTGCAATAAAAATTATCATCAAATTTAAGCACAGGGGTCAGGTCAGATTATATGGATGTGCAGGTTGGCTGGGCTTAATACCCATGACATAATCCCACAATTAATATTATTGTTTGCGCTCTGAAAGTAAAAACTCTATAAAAATTCCTGCAACACTGAGCATTTTGAAATGTGATAAACATCTGAGATGTCTGAAGTCACATATCAGAGCCAGATTTTTGTATGTGCTAATCAAAAGCAACACACCAGAGATTAATTGAATGCACATTTATGATGTTGTCATCAACATTAACTCCCCTGTGATGCTTCTTGTTCATTCAACTTCATTAACAATTTATCACTTACAGTATTTAATTATAGATGGCATTCCTTTGTTATTAAACATATCAAAGTCACATGGGCAATGAAAAATTCCATTCCAAATAATGTATCATATTCAAATTGCATTAAATATTATGCATAATTTTCTTGTTTTGTTTTATTTTTTACTACGAAAAGTATACAAACATTTCTTAAAATCCAACAGAAGCAGTAGTAGGGATGGGAGGAAAGTTAAAGGTCATTTGGCTCTTCCAACCTTGACCTTTCACATCATTGAGTTAACATCGCATGAGCACTAACCTAACCCTGATCTTTGACAATGATGAATTACAACATGGTGATTAAACATTAATTTAAAGGCAACTATCCAATGTTATTTTGTTTTTTCCTCCAAATATAAGTCAAATATTTTTGTTGACCAGAAGCCAAGAGAAGGTATATGTATATTTATTTTTCTGAGCTGGCCACACTACATGAGAACAGTTTGTCTGATTAAAATATCTCCTTCAAGGCTAACTGATATACCTTTTACTAATTACCTTGTATGTTTAAATGATAGCAGTTGTTTTGGTATGGTGATCAAGATGGTATAAAGTTTCCACAGGAACACCTGGCAACATGAGGGTGCATTCTCTTCAAAATCTCATTACACATTTCAAAAACAAAGAAATGCAAAGTGAAGGCTTTCGTTTAACTTGCACCAACATTATTAGGTTATAATTTATAATATAATACTTTAAACTCTAAAGCCCTATGGAATTTTTTCAGACATATAGGGGCACCTCAACTCAACAAGAGAACTTATAAAAGCTTTATTTTAAATGGCTTACTATTATCCCATGCAATGTTGATAATTAATATCTCATTGCCCACAGCAAATGAGAGACAAATTTATTAAAGGGCATGGCATGTATTGAAAACATATTAGTACTGAGAACAAGAGATTTTATGAAAGTTTGTTTGTTTGTTGTTGTCCCAATTGAACCCATTCATATCTCAGAGGTTGGTCAACCTAACCAGCTTTTCTGGATAACTTACCAGTAATTACCAATTTCTCCCACATGGCTGAGAGACAAATAATCATCAGAGATCAATTGTCAGTGGCGAAATTTTGCCTCAACTAGGGATCAAACCAGTAACCTCTGCATTACAAACCCAATGCTCTCCCTACTGAGATAAATGGGCGGACAAAACAAATTTGTATCAAGTACAACAGATTTCACAAAAGAAGCTAACTTCTAACAGTTTCAGCAACATGCACTTTCTTTGAATGATTTACGATAAGCTCAAAAAACATTTCAATTATTGCCAGAGATTGAAAGATACTAAACAAGCAAACATTGCATCTTTGTTTAGAAACATGACTCATCTTCAGGAACAACATAAACAACAAAATCAACAAACACTGTCAAAACTGAGAGATTTTCAAATATTCCAATGACAGTTTTCCCACAATGCACCTGTAGGCAATACAAATATTCATTGCATACCTATCAAAACGATTGGAAAACAATGTATACAATCACAAATTACCTTTGAAAAAATCCTAATATTTCCTATCTTATACACTGAACACCTCCCTAGATGTCTATTAAACACTTCAAATTCATATTA